AATGATTCCATATGATTATTTATATAGGATTTACGATAGATACAATACTTCCAAATTTTCCTTTAATGAGTAATATCAAATATTAGCTATTGAGAATGTATCGTTAGTTTTTTGTAAATACTATTCTGTAGCTAGATTTTATAGCGGGAAATTAATAGTATACTTTGTCTCTATTCTATATCGAAACGGAATACAGATAGGCTCTGTGTAGCAATAATTAATTCTTGGTGATAAATATTCTGCTATTAATATCAATCATTAAGATTACGACTTTTATACTGGTTAATTGATTAATAATCTTTGTTGCTGTACTGGTATGGTGTAAAGGCAATAAAGAAGCGATTACAATAAATGAAAGTAAGGTGTTCAACATCCGATCTGATATTAATTAATGATTAGCCTGCTAGATTGTATCAGCAGTCGCATTAAAAATAACTCTCTAAATTACATCACAATAAATAGTTTCATAATAATTTTATTTATATTTGAGTTTGTATATATGTTAGTAACATATATACGTTTACATTTATCTTTCCTTATTTTAACCCAATTTATTACCATGAAACGATGATTTTTTGATTCGCTAAAACCGGATTTGAAATTAATTTGTAGACAGGATTTAAAGTATCCTTCCAGTATTCCAGTAAACTATTGAAGAAGAATGAAGAAATTTTTATATTCAATTATTGATTCGATCTGACAACGGAGTGATGATCGCTATTTTAATAATTATTTGATATTATAATTTGTCAGGTTACTCTTACACTTTAACTTGGTTATTATTTTTTGTTCATGCCACTGTTACTTAAGCCCCGCTATTCTTGGCTACTGAAGAAGCAATTAGCATAGCGGAATTCATAAAGATATTTTCTACTTGTCATCAAGAAATGATTCGATCGAGTATAGGTTCAAATAAGTTCGTTGTTATACGATATCTACTATGGATCTTTTATAGACTAACTACTCATTTATTAATATACTTGTTTCTGTAACTTGATATATATAAAAGAGAAGTTCTAATAAATGATAATTACTTACTTTTATAAACCATGTTGAAATACAATTATTGATTAAGATTATCGTTTGTGTGTACATAGAATCGATCATCTTGATAGTTCAAGACAGGTCTGATGAGGTAGAATTGGCATAGGTGTTGTTACCAATAGAAAGTAGCTGGAGAAATTACCAGAATGTAGAAAACAGTAAATTATTTATCAGTAGCTAAAATTAATTCAACGCCAGATTAATGACTTCTGGTCAATGAAATAGAATTATAATTAATTTAAATCTCTTTTTGTCAACATTTTTTGTGTTGTGAAGTAGTTGAGTGCGTCAAATTAGTGACTAAATTGTTCTACATCTTTCGTCATCGATGAAGTCATCTTAGCTAGGCTATCACGTTATTGATTATTTTGATGCAAAATAAGATGGGTGGGATTATTAACCGAGAATTGATTGGCTTTACTAAGCCTTTAAAATATCATTTCTGATGTCATGTATTACAGCTAATCTTATTCTGTAGCAGTTGACCAAATAAACTAATAAAACTGTATTGAAAATTCTTTCACTGCGTTGGGAAATGTATTTTTCATCACGTCTATTGACAGCCATATATTGACATCAACAAATAACACTTTTCATCATTATATTATAATCTATCTCATTCTATTTAACTTTTTTTCTCTCATTAGAATAATAATCCACTCAAGGAAAATAGCGAGTATGATTTTTATCCTCTTTTATTGAATTGAACGCATTAAAATATAACGTGATGGTGCTAACAACGACATTTCTTTATGCTTGGCTAGTCAACATGTTTGATTCTTTTCCAATAGACAAACAACAAGATTGCCAAGGATACTCTTATTCCATCTTCTAGCAGTCTAAAACAAAAAATTAAATTATCATGAATCCATTGTTAATGCAAAAGGAGAATATTCATCGATCAATACCCATGATCAATCATCTGTTTTTTTCTATCTATTTTCCCTGATCAAATAGACTTGATCGACAATTTTATTTTCTTCTCGACGCCATTGATTTTTTTTTATTCATTAGGCCATTGAAAGTCAGACAGCAATTATTGAATCAATTGAAGTCATTGGGTAGGTGAAGTCAAGGCATCAAATCAAGTAGAACTGACCTGTCGAATGACGTCATCATTGCCAAAGAGGGTGACGCTCGATAACGTTGACTCATTCAATACTGAGTCGATAGAGGAGATAAGGGAAAATTGCAATTGTGTCAACTGTGCTTGACATCGGTTGGGTGATGCTAGCCAGTGATTGACCTTACCTATTGGATCGAACTAAAAAACACCACGTCATCCACACACGATCGATCACACCAACAATTTTCTGCTATGCCATCTTTGTAGCCAATTTGGCAATCATATTTTCCAACTTTTCCAACTTGCTTTCTCGTCCTATCCATGAAGGGAAAATTACCAATCGAAGGATAGAATAAATTATCAAGTTGATACGATCAACATCAATTTGTAAACTCCATTGGATCATTCACCATGAAATGGGTCGATTAGTTTGTTTGTTGTAGTGAGCTAGGATTAGAAAAGGGAGCATCTTGCTGTCATACTGTAGTCAGTCAAAATTTAAAAATTCAAAAGTTTATTGCCAGATAGAAAGATAGTTCTAGTCTATTTTACAAAGCAATAAAATTCACTTATGCCGATGTAGAAATAGAATGAAGATTAATCTATTTTATCATAATAATATTGACATCTTAAGCCTATAAAATGCAACATCACTCTACCTATCTCTTGGTAAATGTAGCCATTCTATTTCGAGTAAGGCCATAAAAGAGTGACAATTATAATCAGTTGATAAGTAGCCATCTCTATTCCATCTGCATACAATTTTTGAAAAATAGGGTGAATAATTTATCAATGCAATAAAGTTCACATCAGTTGCCTTTGAGAAAGGATGAATTGAGCTATTCTAAAGAGGTTAAAGGGGGTCGATCAAGAGGAAATGAAGATCAGAATACTTATTCTTCCTGGCATTAAAGCAAGAACAATATCGCTATAATGTGGCTACTTTAACTAGATAATAACCGTTCTATAGTATCTCAAATTTGACTAGATAATCAATATTTAAATAATGTAACAATCTAAATTACACCGGATGGGAGTATAATTAATACTGATGAGAATTATTCAACCAACAATCATTATCAATCAAGTTTAAAGGCAGTAAGCCAATATTATCTCATCATCGGTATAACAATATTGATGACCAACCCAGTTCATCGAATATATAAATTATTATTTTAAAAATTGATTTATATCCTCTTACTTTCATGACGTGAGAATATTACCAAATAGCTTTCAAATAACTAATTCAAGAATACTGCACCTATTAATTCTCTCAATTGCTGATGATGATTGAGTAAATAAATACTCTACTTGCAGTTCAATTTCGATAGATTAAACTACGCCATGATGACGAATAAGTTCCATATTATCATATTTATCGGGAAAGTATGGAGGATTGATTTCTAAGAGTGAATTTTTATTTTCATCACCTTATTTTACAAGTTATACTATCATTAAGAATCGTTTTTCTAATTAATAATTATCACGTTTAATACTATTAATTATAACAAATTCCTCAACAATATTTAATTTAAAACACGGTAAAAATGTCAATTTAATGCTACAGTAGTCAACGAGACTCCGTACTATTTACATATTCTCATTGATATCATCAACAAAAGCTGTATTGATTCTGTGATTGTCAATAGATTGACTAATAACAATTAGGAAAAAAAATAGGAAAATTCTTTCTCTTCACTATTGTATAGTTTAACAGATAAAATTTGCTCTATAGGAAGCCAAGCAAATTAGCCCTTTTACTAGCAGATGCTATTGATTAATTATTGTTACACATCATTTGATCATTTTCTTATTTATTGATTTTTTCATTACATCTTTATTTACCTATTTCGCATCAACCATTTATATTTGATCCGCTATTGATATAAAAGCCATTTGTTGGTGGAGACTAATCCATTTAGCACATTTCAACTCGTTCTACAAGAAACAACATCAAAATTATTCCGTCATCTGGACAAGCCTTTTTTTCGTAAGTTCTCTTCCATTTTGTAATTCTGTCAAGATTGTCCCTCCTATAGTATACCGAAAGTAATTCTACTTAGCGATCTATTGGATCTGTCTCTTTTGATCTTATAATCAATTCATAATCTTTCATAGCTACTTTCAGCCTATCCCAATCGAACGTCTATTTAAATCTAGGTAAGATTAATTTTTTTTTTAATAGCTCTTAGTGTCTAAATTTGTACAATCGTGAAAGGATAACACCGAGTGCGGTGACCAATTCCTTTTTTTCATAACCAACACGAACATTGAATAAATGATAGGTAGTTTTAAGTTCAATACTAATCAAGACGTAAACCGTACATAGGAAAGAAAAAAATTGATCCAATCGAAAGTGATTAGTTTTAACGCGCTCACATCAATATCGTCTAATAAAATAATTCACACGATACAGTACATAAAAAGTGGTTAAAAATTAGCACTTATTGAATAGTATACACCCGTCAGCGATTTTAATCAAATTTTCATTCTAAGATCAATAATTATCTATAATAACTGTAATACCAAATAATAATTCTACCTAGGTTAAGCAAAAAAAAAAATATTAATTACAGTCCAATGATAATCTCTTAGCGGTTAAATTGATTGGACAGACTATTTCTATACAAAACTATAATAGCTGATCGATTGGAAATGCACACTTTAGACACGGAAGTAACTACAATCCATACCATAATCTGACTATTATTACAAAATGACGCTAATCACATCGGTAAACGATTAATATCTGACCTCGATGTATTTGTTTATTCACAGGCTGTTGATTATTTAAATACAACTGCTACAGCCAGAGCTTTCCAGTAATAGCCTGCAGATATTTCATCTATACGTCAAAGTTATATTCGAAAAAACGAAAAAATCCAGAACTATGTCCGTCAATCAAACTGTGCCAAAACCTCATTCTACTCATGATCTGTTAATGGCTAAATTGGCATCGATTATAATTTATGAATTTATTGGATTTTTTTCATTATTAAACAATGGTTTGCTAATTTATCTCATTTTATCACGTCGCCAACTACGTAAAGTAATGAATATTATCATCAGTAGTATGGCGATAGGTACTATTATCTTTGCGATATTTTACTGCTTATTACATCCATTGGAAGTATTATCTTTTCGTATCAACTCGATCTTTTGTCATTTATTTGGACCATTTCGAAATTTTAGCTTAGCTAATTTATCATTTCATCTGAGTCTGCTTAGTTTGGAAAAATATATCGTCATTGCCTATCCCTTTCACTCTAGTCAGATTATTACCAAATTTAAAATTTTTCTTTCTCTCATATTTGTGTGGGTTGGAGCCTTTCTCCTATCCTTTTTTCCTGTTTTTGTCCTAAGAAAATATGATCCTATTGATCGTAAATGCCCTAAGGTAGGAGATGCAGAGCAAGAATTTATCTATTTTACTTGCTTTTATGCCCTTGCATTTGGTCTACCGTTAGCTATTATGCTGTTTGCTTATGGTTCCATCTGTCGAATTGCTTTAAAGCATATGCGAGATATTAGAGAGAAGAATTTACCCGGAAATGCAGAGGTGCATCATGAGATACGCAGACGTGTCCATGCCGCTAAACCGTTACTGATTATGGTCGGCACTTTCTTTATAATGTGGACACCATATATTATTTTTACGGTCATCATTTTCATTTATGGTCGACATGCTGCTCAGAGACAACAGCTCCTCTTTCATTATGAAATTTTTGCTAAATTACAAGCTGTCCATCGCGATATCTTACTTCCAGTAGCACTAAGTTATTGTGCAATCAATCCAATCATCTATGGCTTCTTCAATCCTGGTATAAGGAGAGCATTTGTTGCTATGATTACTTGTAAGCCTTATCACGCTTACAGTGGTGGTACCTCGATAACATCATGTAATAATGATACTAGCTATAAATCAAACTGGAATCGATTAAGTGCCGCACAACAAACTAAAGCATGAAAACGGCAATCAGACCCTTACCTTTGTCTTAAGTAATATTAGTGAAACATATCTATTTATAAATCAATTTGATCTCTTATATTACAATATTCCCTAATATAGTTCATCAATAACATGGTCGTTATTAATATCTTCAAGCCTAATTGTACCATGACAAATAATAAGGCGAAGAACTTAGTTATCTTAATGGCTATTTAGTACAACTCTTCAATCGTCCATAGATTCTTACTATGTCTTACATTCGATCTTCGGTTAGTTTCAGCTGTAATCCATTGTTGATTAATTCGTCGCTAGGGGCGTCATGTCCTGCGAATACAAGTAATCCGTATGCTTAATTCAATAATCTGCTTGGTATGTTGTTGTCTTATTAATTCGTTTAAAAATATATCTCATATAGAATAAACCCTCTGCTATCTGTATAGAATTTATTCCTCTGCTTTAATAATATTTCTAACAATTAACAAAAATTCTTTAATTAAGCTTATCCCATGTTATACATCCTTTAAATGTGAATATTCATAATTACTTAAAGCACTATTTAGCTGTCTACTGCTTCTGTATCCGTTCATCGTTCTAGCTATCATCGTCCTTCCTTCTATGGTAATGCTTATCAACTCCACCAAAAATTGTACAACAGTTGGCGCTTTGGCTGTAAAGGAATAAATGTAATCGTTATAGTAGGTATGATTTAACTCACAAGTAGAGAAAGTTGTGGTATTTCTATGACGATAACTACTTCGGATCTATTAAAAAAAGTACTGGCATACACAGAAATAGTATAATTCTACTTGAAAATCACATTCTTGGATCCATTTATTTTAAAAACATCCATAACGACAACACATGTCTGCAATTTATTGTAAAATTGACGATAAGCCATGAATGACTCTGCACCCTATTTCTGTGGCACAATAAAAGCTAGTATCTCATTTAAAGCACAGTTTCATCATGGCAATATTAGCAAATTTTTGTTATGTTATATTATTTACGAAAATATGTTAGGTATCATCATCGCCTAGATACAGAAATCTAGATCGACTTTTTGGCATATTAACATCATCCCATTCCTGTTATGATAATGACTACTTCGCAAAAAGTGATGATCTAATAGGAAATCTCTTTTTCTAATATTTCCTAAATAACAAGGACCGAAAACCATTGTAGTCTACAAAATGATTATTCATCTTGCATCTGAGCCGCATACATCTTTCGCCACTTCAATACTTAAATCAACCGAACGTATTGACTTCATATGATTTATATATAAAATTGACAAAATCGATAAGATATTATTACTATACTGCAAAAATACCATTGCGGTAATACTCGTATAAATTGTGAACTTCGATCTTAGTCATCGCTACTGCAGCTGATAGATATAACAACATGAGAATAAGGCGAAACAACACTTATTCCGTATGAATTTTATATTCATAAGGATTATTTCGAATTCTTTCTTGCTAAAGTAAAGTAGAGTTAATCTAGTCTATATTATTACGTTACTTTAGAAAATATTATAATTTATATTATTACTATATCAGTTATAGATATTATCATTAATACAATTAACTTTAATATAATTAAAAAAATATCATGTAAGAATTGTTGACTCACGCAATATGCTCCGAATAGAGGGCAGTAATCTTAACAAGGTATGATAGTATTATCATGACATTACGAAGGTTTATTTAATATCTAATATGGTTTAGAGGATGAGATAATTCATCATTCTTACGTAGTAATTAAACTGATCTGACAATTATTTGTCAATATTATGCTAATACGTTATTTAATAAGCAATATAATATCATTAAATCGATGTGCGTCTATCAAATTATATCCTATAGAAACTGTTATTTCGAAATAGAATTGTTTGCAATAACGTTGTATATTTTTACTCGAATTATTTCGATATTTCTTCAGTAATTCTAGCATAGTGCAATAAAATCAATCGACCCATAAACCCTCGCAATTCTAGAATTGTATGTCGTTGTTTATTACTATAACATTGCTTGAAGTGATCTGTAATTAGCTCTAATAATATCTATAAACGATCAAATAGAAGGATCAAGATCAATTAAATCGCCTATATAAAAATTATTGTTAATATAGTTAAGATTACATTCAAATTATGTTATTAAAGCAGCCATTATAGCATTACAGTAACAATTGATCTATTTTACTATGATTAGAACAGTTCCTTTATTGCTAATACTTTATGAAGTATAGTAGAACAGTTAATCTATAGAAGCATGATGCATGACAATGAATTTGTCTGGCCTATTCATACATACGTATTTGTAGCTATAAATGAAACCTTCGATCGATGGATCACCAAGAGAAGTGATCATGATGAAATGTTTTCGTAATTTAAAAATTCTACCCTCATTCAGTATTAAGAATTGTAGTATTGATGTACTAATTTAAAGTATAATATATTCGATATTGATTAATTTTATGTCCATTTTTAGTGAGATGCAATCACCGAATCGTCTTACGTGGCTATTTAAGATTTACGTCTTATTAGCCCGCGAAAGAGTTTAGTGCTTATTTCGGCTTTTTCACAACTCACTAGTAACTTAATGTTTGTAATACAAATATGGCTACAATAATTAACATATTGAGAACACAACTTTCATAAAAGTGTTCTTTATACTAGAAATATATAAAAAATATGAATTCCAAGAAAATACATAAATATATTTTTAAGACAAGCTTAAAAGCGTTATATTAATAATTAAATTATCCTCATTAAGCTAAGTCAATGTTGTTATATATTTTTTATAAATGAAGTCTTAATGCAAGCCAAATGCTTAGCAATTTATAATGAGTAACTTATCATAACATTATCAATCCTAATCATCTCAGAAATTCGTGCCGTAGTTAATCTCTACCTGAATAATAAGAGATAAATTATAAATTATGGCTATTTTACAATGGTAAAACTCAACAATTTTGTAAGTAAATTTATGATATAGCTAATCTTAATGACATAATAGGGTAATTTATGTTGTTAGTGGCCTAGAAACTGAATATTTAAGGCCCTTATTCGTGTTTTTCTTTCGGATATTATTAGAGGTTAAGGTGTACCTGATCTAGACGCAAACGAAGCACAATGTTTATTATATGGTATATCATAGACAATTTAGATTTAGAACTCCTCCTATCATTACAACTCAATAATACTGAAGAAAATGGACAACGACGTCATTCAGATTCCAATCTTCGGTGACACATTCATAATTTAAAAACAAACAACTATTATATGATAATTTTTATAGTGGATAATATCTACGTGACAAATTTATCATAGTAAGAGTTATCCGTAATTCAATATAAACAGCTACGTACGATTATGGGTCACGATGCTCTATTGAGTTATTTGTTTAGAGCCTATATAGTAATTAAACCTTATTTATAGCACTACTACAGCCGTAAATATTCTTTTTGTCATCGTGTTGTTATCCAACCGCTAATGCGTCATTAGAAACGCTTGAGGACATGTATATAACATATATATATACATTTGAGTATATTGTACATATACACGCATGTATCACAAATATATAGTACATGCATGCACAAAACTCCTTTATGGACAATTTTACGAAAACAAGTTTAGCATAAAAAATTAGCACATTACGCTAGAAATGCTGCTTTGGTTTTAAATTTTAATTAGCATCACCAGTAATCCTTTTACCAATACTTTAATGTATCAAAATTTGTCACTTTAAATCGACACTTTTTAGCCTTTCAAGGACGTAAGGCTAGCGAGAGTATAACAAGTGCATTCCAGTTCGAAATGTGTATAATAGTAATATTAGTAATCACTATCAAACTATAATTTACCTACCGGTATGTCGATTGACTGATATCAATGATAGGTTTATAAGCACATTTCGTTAGCTACGCTCGTATACTGTACTTAAAGGATAATAGTCTCTATTGCATTCATAAGTAAATTATTGTCTTTGTAATGTACCCGAGCACTATATTATTACAAATGCAATTGTTTTGATGATGACAATAGTAGTTATGAAATGTTGTTTCTATAAGACAACATGGATATACTAACAAAGGACGCACTGTTTGGCTTCATAAGAATGAGAAATGTAATCACGAACAGATCTTGCAAGACGGCTGTATTATTTATTTCTCCTAATCTTATTAATGAAACAGTAATCTAGATAATATTTTTCATCCAAAATTCGTAAATATGGGAGTTAAGCATTACAGTAGTCGCATATTACTAAATAATATATAACAAAACTCTTTGGACTTAATAATTTCGTAAATAAATAATTTGGTAAAATTATAACTGAATCTAATTTATTTCCATTCACGGATAGATATGGAAACAGGATAGGCTATTATATAATATTATACTACATTAATTTATTTGGAAAGAGGAAGTAATTTCAATTACTGTAAATAAAAGCTATGAATCACTATGGGCAATATCTAATCGATTACTTCGTTGCCTCATCCTACTCCTACTAGGAATCATAAGATGCCCAATTGTCAGGTATGATAGGATCACTATCTTTAAATTACTCAAACTTTCACTTTTAAGTCCCTGCAGTTTGATTTATGAAACCGGTATATTTTCTAATTACATTGCAAGATAAAGATAAAGTCTTATTTTACAATTTCCTGCAGATATTCTCGTAATTATTTCCGTCAATAATTAAGAGACAATGATAAGACAGGATACTATAATAGAATTTCCTCTTAAATTTTCCAAGGCATATTATTATTGTTGTTAAGATCAATAATATTATTAGTGCCGAAAATTGGATTATCAACTAAAGTAAATACATATGTCATAATCTAACGTAGAACAAGACAACGTTAAGTAAAAATTTGTACAGCTGAGTTTCCTGAACATTTATCAAGGGAAAGTATTAGACTAAGTACTTCTAGGAGCGTGTCTTGTGCTCCTATTAAAGATAGCACAATGAATTGAGTATCCTTTTGGCTCTATGTTATATGTAAAATTAAGACTACAGTAGAACATTTTTTATTGTTTGAATTGTCTTGTTCCAGCATAATAATTGTAACATATACCAAACATGATAGCAGTATTTTAAGCTATCTACTCATAAAATGTGGTACATCCCCAAATTAGCTTAAGCTTACTCTTATAAGATTGTACAGTGCAAGAATAGATAAATTTAACGTTTGATTGTAAGGTTGCGTAAGTGTCTATTTGTAGAAAGAAAATTACGGTACATATTGTAGCAATTTTATTGAGATATTTATATAAGGTTTTACGATATAAAGAGATTGCGCTAAGTAAGTGAGTATTGTTTTAAGAGATTCATATTTTGACGCTATAATTAGAAGTACGAATTATGAATAAATCGCGTAATAGGAGATTTAAAACTGACCTTGTGATTTAATTGGCAAATTGTGGTTGTGTGGTAATAAAAGAATCATTTTGTAACTAATTGTCTATAAATGATGACCTTTGCTGTAATAATTCAGACAGATAAATGATTACAGCTAGATAGTCCTTGGTAGTTATAAGATAAACTAATCCCACCCTAGCTAATTCATAATTTTAGTTCGCTTAGCAAAGAACATGTTAACGTTATGACGTGAATAGAAATACCCTACGTTACAATTCACTTAGCTATAAACATGGGAGGACATAAATGCCAGTCAAAAAATTGAACACTGATTTTATATTTCTTCTCGCATTCTGATATTAAATTTGATACCCTATCCTATCGTAAAAGGAGGTCCTTACCTCTGGAATTCAAATGGCAAGTTTCCTTAAAAATATGCCCATAGAAGTGAGCTCGATTAATAATTAAAGTCGTACTGTATCTTTGCTATTGATGCACTTATGTGCTTTACCTTGGCAGCAGTTGTACTATTTTTCCATGTAAAGTTAGATCAGCACAAGAGATTGATAGATTTTAGACGTTGAAAAGCTTAACAGTATGCTTCTTAGATATAAATATAATTAGTAAATTAAGTACGGTAGTACTTTTGTTAAACTAATGTGCGCTTGAAAGTTAAATTACTATGGAAGATATAACGAAGAAAGATGCTTATTAGCCGGCCAACACTTTAAATAATAGCTGCATTTAATGCTCTGATGTCTATTGGTTTCTATCAAAACCAAGTTGTTTAAAAATAAAAATTTCTTCAGAGCGGGTATACTACGCGTATAGTCCATAAGCGGTTAGGCGAGGTAATGGTGTTGATGCACATCGAAAGAACCTATTAGAATCTATTAAGACGTAAGCATTATAATTATAATTAACGCTACTTCTACTACGCGAATTAACATTATAGCTAAATCTCACTTAGTAATACTCGTACTACTGTCTAATAGTATACTGTAGTCAATATACAGTTATTTTTTCTGCATTAGCGTAGATTAAATATAAATTTTAATTGATTTGATTCGTTACGGCAACATATCGAGAAATTCGATTTGTGTTCAGTATTGTCCGAATTCTACGTATTGACTGAATGGTTTGAAATTTTTTACGAAAGCACTACCGTCCGAAATGCTATGCAAAGATGTCGAGAAATTGGGGTGAAAAATCTAATCTGTTGCCCAGCTGCATTATCGAAATCAAATGCAGTGAAAGTTCAAAGTCGATGCCGTAGCAATATAATTTCTAGCCTTCAATCGAAAAACTAGCAACAACCTTATTAAGCTATGGACATTATACAAGGTTCATGATTAGTGTTATTCACAATTACGTGGACATTGCAAGTACTGTATTATGAAGACGATCGGCTACTGAACTTATCTAGACAGTTGTAAGCGTAACATTGTTATGCTATACCGAATTCCGTGATTGCATGCAATAATGTAAGTCTTTTCGTATTATGTGCCGGACATGGATTATGATTGTATCAGAGTATTCAAATTCACTTACCAATGATATCCATTATTTTTTGAAATCAAAATTACATACTAGCTGGCAGTGAAACTACAGTAACCATGTGTAATTTAAATACTGCGAGATGATAAAATTAATTTTATTTTTACAGCTTATTAAAATCGTATTGCGTGTTTTAGAATTGATGAGTGAATACAGTTAACCAAGCTATTCCGATCGCAAATTCTTAACAAAAATCTTAGGAATCTCTCCGAAACCATACATAAATAAAGTGTGCAGGAACTTGTCCTAAAGCGATTGAAAACAACAAAATTATCTACAAAAGTTAATAATTCTTAGACAAAACTAGCCTAAGTTTGAATATTTTGCTACCATGCACCGTAGTCCAGCATATCCATAGAAAATAGAAGCAACATTTGGGTGCATCTTTGAGGATAAAATTTTTAAACTAGATCATATATTAAATTAAATTTTAAATTGAGCATAGAAAATCGTTGCACGGTTTTACTGCACATCTAATATTGAAACTTTATAGTACTACTTGAAGACTAGCTATCAAGAAATCCGGTTATTACTGAATCAGTGCTGGATACGTTGATTTGTAGCAGTACTATAAAGCGTGGCTATATTTCGAAGTTTAGTCTTAAGATTTAATTCAAAAGGTTTTATAAAATATTTAAATCTATCTTTACTCGTACACTTGCACATCTAACATACCGTACGTCTAATACTCATATATACGAATTTATAAAATCAATTAAGAAAACCTTAATTGATCTTAATGTAAACTATTTCGCTTAAAAATCCGTTTGATTGTAAGGAAGGAATCGATGTTGTCATAGGCGGCACACTACTGTAAAAATAGTCATCTTACTGCGGAATATTACAAAGCGACGCGCTCGACATCCTTTCGGGTGGTTAATTAAGCTTATTAAATACGTATACTTAGAATGACTTTCTAAATCGTAGATAATTTTGCAAGACGTTGTAAGGATCTTCCAGTTGTGGATAATGACCAATGTCTTCAAGGACAACACATTCGACTCGAGGGACTCTTTTCTTAAATTCCTGCACTACAATAGGTGGATTAATTGGATCTTCTGGCCCGTAAATGAAGATAACTGGTATATCATTTTTTGTCATACCATCAAGCCAATTTTCACCATTGATTTGTCTTTCATGTAAATAGCCTAAGATATTACCTAGAATTAAGACGCCCTTTTTATAGGTAATTTGCTGCCAAATATCCATGGATTCTTGGCTAGTAAAATCATATTTTTTTCCAAAGATAGCAGAAAATGAATATCGGAATTGATAATAATTCATGATACGAGGTAAGATATCTTTTAGAGAAGGATGAACCAGCATATGCTGTATTAAACGCGGTTTATAAACTTTAGGGAATAAACCACCATTAAGGAGAGCTAAACTTTTGATTGTTAGCCTATTCTTACCAGACTCAAGTTGTCGTTCATTGAATCGACGTAGCATTTCCAATGATACTGTATCACCAAAATCATGTGCAAGGATATGCACCTGAGTAATGTTAAGCTGCATTAGAACATCTTCGTATAGATCAGCTTGCAATCCAACGGTGTAATTGATATCCAGTGGTTTATCGCTAAATCCAAATCCAAGCATATCTATCGTTACAATTCTACCGACATTCATACGAATGCCTTCCGATACTTTATGCCAGTCGTAGCTACTAGTGGGAAATCCATGCACCAAGAGAGTGGCTTCATTTCCTTGGTTGACATTTTCAGCAAGGCTATCATGATAGAATATATCATACTTGCCGTATTTGATATACTGCCCACCACGTTGCCAATCTTTCAGGTTTTCCGAAGGACTACAAGATGGGAAATAAATGTAGTATAGGCCTGCTATCAGCACGGCAATTATTGTGGTACGTCGACTTAGATAGAAAGCCATTTCAATTCTTTTCCTAGCTGCTTGTACCCTCCAGGAAAGAATGTTTTGCCTCTAGGTCGTTAATTGAAGATTTTGAGCTGACCACCTGGATAACGTGGATGCTTGCAGGATACCGCCCAATGTTGACAAAGTCATACTGTACCTATATTACCCCTATCCAGTTGTACAGTACAGTACTGAACGACTGGATGGTTGCTGGATACCGCCCAATGCTGACAAAGTCATACTGTACTGTACCCAATACTGTATTACCCCGATGGATTGTACTGTACAGTACAGTACATTTAAGTGTACATTGTACTGTACAGTATAGTAACTGGATGACCTGGATGGTTGCTGGATACCGCCCAATGTTGACAAAGTCATACTGTACCCATACAGTACTGTATTCCCCCGATGGATTGTACTGTACAATATGAGTGTACATTGACAGTGCACAGTACAATGTAGAGTACTGTACACGGTAGAGTGGTCAGCATCGTTATTGAATGCTACGGGTGACATCATTTTTTCTATTTTTTCCTGGCATACCTCAGTAAGCAGTCTAGTTGTAGTATTATAAACTACAGTATAGTATACCATAGTATAGTATATCGCTTTACCTAGCAAAAATGATGTCGCCCTTGTCGCCAGCACACTATATTACTTTACTGCACTCAAACCAGACCGTGCCAAACCGTACCGTACTGGGTATCACCGACATCTATTGTATGAAGCCCTGGTCTGTGGGCAGTCTTAATACAACACCAGCAGTGAGGCATGGGCCAAGAGAGTCTGCCCAAGCACGATGGTAGACTCACTCAGGTAGAGTAGCAAGCCATAGCTGAAACCACATCACAGTGAGGTGTACTGCACAGACGGCACGGTACAATACGATACGGTACGATACGATACGGTACCATTCAGCTCACATTGCAGTGATCAATTTGAACACCTGCAGAAGCCATCATTGACGATAAATGCTGCAGAAAGCTCGAGGCTAATTTCAGTATCCAACAAAAAACGTCCAATAGTACAAGAAAAGTCTATCATACTATATCAATGCTGAATTATTCCAGAAGCACTTGTCCTTTTTAAAATATGGCTTATTATAGTTTATGGAAGACGATTTTTCCTCGGCCTGGAAATTTAACTAGTCGATTCTACGCTGCGGTTGCAACGTCCCGGAAGGCAACGAGGGAAAAGGAAGATACTGTTACCTTTAGTAGCAATAATCCTCGACAACCTCATGATATCGACACTGCTTTGCTCATTTTAAAGGCTTACGCTCTTGGTAGAGTAAACGAAACATTGGAGTTATCGATTAGGCTAAATCTGATGGAGAATAAGGTATGAAGGGAATAGCTATACATAATGATTATCATAGCAATGCTTGTTTATGGGGTTGATGGAGATGAGTAAAAGAAACAGATTATACCTCAATGATGAGCAGTAAATACATTTGTACCACTTAATTGAAATCTTCTTATTTTATGTTTAGAGTAAGCAACGAGATGCATCACAAATCCGTGGCACCATTTACTTACCTAGAAACTATTTTCAAGATCGAACTGTCTATGCGTTTGCTGATGTATGTCTAGTTGAGTCAAGATGTAAATCCGTCTTAAATACGTGCTATAAACACACCTGTATAGTACTGTATGTTTTGTGCCGACTAGTTGCGAGATAATTCATTGTAAACTTAGCGACATTTATAGCTATACATGTATGTACAAACACTTTGTAGGATCTACTGTATCAAGCAGTAGTCAAATTGTAAAGCTTACAAGATTTCATTCATGAAATTCTATATACCAAAGCAGAGTTATAATACTAATGCTGTTGTCCTTTGAATTGGGAAATAGGGTGAAGTTGCTGAAACCGCAAAGAAATGCGGAGTCCAACATGTCGGATCGGATGACCTCATAGAAAAGGTAAAGTCGCTCTTTCGTCGTCAATGTAGTTCTAATATTTTAAAACAAATCAAGGCATACTCCCAACCATAAGAACGTAGCCCTACAGTAGTTTAACCGGCGTTTTCTTGTGACCAAGGCTGCGATACTGTAAGAATACGCGCTAGGCTATTACAGTAGCAAAGATGTAAAGCTTTGCAATAGAGAAAATGGCATTTTTTTATCACTGGACATTTTCATACATTTGCTAGTGCGTATTAAACTCTGTCATCAATAGAGAAAATGGCATTATTTTATCACTGGAAGTTTTCATACAGTTGCTAGTGCGTATTAAACTCTGTCATCGTTTCACCTTATTCATACGAGTACGACGTAAAATAACACACTTACCGAACTGTTGTGTCAATGTATTGAGCACGAATAACAAAATTTTAAGATTAAATTTTACCTTCAACTGATATTATTACATAAAATTTCCATACAGATTCAAAATAAATCCTTGAAGCTCAAGAAGAAGCAAATGAGATTTTTAACGACGAAAACTTATGCTAAAAAAATTCGATCTCTACAGCCGATATTGCGATCGGCATTGATGCCAAATAAGAGAAAAGGTTTGAAATTGTAACAATTATGATTGATGAGGATTATCTTACTGCATCATCAGCTTTCACAGCACTGTTATTGGTAATTTATCCATCTATATATATAGATAGATTTATTGTAAGATTGAGCAACGCTATTATTTTAGGCAGTATTGTGGAGGAGGTCACGGTGGAGTCGGTAGATCGCTTAAAGAGAGGAATAGAGTATCGATCAGATAAGAACGGCATAATTAACATTCCCATTGGCAAGGTATAGTAATCCTTTCGCGTTGCTTCTTACTCAGATCATCCTTACGATGCTTGCCTTACCATGATAATGTATCTACTTTATGATTTTACCATCTCTTTTAGTTAAATTTTCCTGCTAGTGATGTAAAACGCAACGTCAATAATGTAATTGATGAGATTATGACCCATAAAGGAAAAGGTAGGAGTTGATTTCAGTACGCGTTCACATCGCTATATTGAATTGATTTTAGTATTAGTATGATTTCTGTTATCAGTCTGGATTGCAAGGTGTCTCAAATTAACAAACTGATAATTGCACCATGTATACCAGGTCGTTTTATACTACAAAAATTCCTTTCTTCCACTCGAGGACCCGGAGTATTACTAGAATAGAGCGAAATAACGACAATTTTACTCTAATTATAATATCATTTATAAATGTCTTTCATGCAACTATGGCTATTAATTATATACTATTGATTATAATCATTGCTTAAGCGCTGTACATGAAAATTTATGCTTATAATCGCAACTTTTAATATTAAATTTTACTTCATTTGGATATTGACGTCTATATTTTATTACGTTTCTTTATTATCAATGACCAAAATGATACAGTATCAAAAATGTGATTGAGCCCGCTAGATAATACTGATTCATGAACTAAGATTATTTCAATACCTAGTTTTGTAATATCATAAATTTGGCCGGTAAATATGACATTCTATACACAATTCATTAATATTATTACATTACGGTTATTAATACGAAATCGAGTTACATCTAGGCTACTTATAGCCAGAATTACAGTTGTAGAATAAGCCTGGTGCAGACCAACGTTCTACTGACGTTAATGCAGAAGCCTGCATTGAATTATATAATTAATTATAAGTCAAATATTTATATGTGCAGAGAGATAAAGCTTATTTGTAAGTCAATGAAATCGAAAACAACACACCAACTGACAATGGAGATACACGTATACAGCGATGATGCTGTAGTACGTTAAATATCAGTACGGGAAACTAACTGCTCAGTAAGCTAAGAGTAAGTAAGGCTCGCATACTGTATTGTTAGTATATCGCATCAGTAATATTAACATTAGTAGTGATGATAAGCAACTCCATATGAATAGTAGCCGCAGCTACTATAGAATGTTTAAAATGACGGAAATGGTATCCCGGAAACTCCTGATACTATATCGATCCGTAGCGTAATATTGAACGCATTCAGATCTCGTATGTTCTAAATCTGATGATGTTTGCATTTTGGACATCGGGCCTAAAAAACCGTGAAAATCGCCCTGCAATAGAAACATCGCCATAGCGTTAGAATGTTAAAAGTTGTATCTAGGCTTTCGAGAGTGAATAATTTGATACTTAATTGTTAGTAAAATTTTGAATGCTAATATTGAAATATTGTACGCGTATTCGTTATGATTAGGTAAATATTTTGATGGTATAAAAGTGCGTCAAACTCTACATCTGTAGGTGAAATGAATACTAATACAATACAGCATAGTGGATTGTACTACTACGTGTATTATATATACAGTTTTAGTCCATTACATCACAGAGAGATTGCTCTAGAGGGACTGTTCAAACCTACTGCAATGCGTATATCTACAGCACTGGTATAATTAAACTACAGTAAATACCATTACTTAAAAGTCTATGAAACAACTGAGTATAATCGTGTCGACACTTGAAAACTTTTATAAAAATAAATAAATAGGCGATCAATCAGCGAAACATGAAACAATCGTAAATTACATCAATAATCCATTATACTAATATATTATTTAATGTCTCAGACTCGAGAATACTAATCTATCAATTTATAGGAGAATAAACGTGGCATCCATGATAAACCTACAGCAATGTATATCATTACTAACCGAAGCTGGGAATAGAATCGCATAACATCTCTCCTGAATTTTTGAACGCATCACTATCAGCCAACATAGGCGTTTTTTTCTCGTTCGTCCAGTGTATCGTCTAAAACGGAACAATGGAATGCCGATGGTTATGTAGTTACAATTTACAAGTTGTATTTCAATTGACATTTTACAAGTGGAAAGTAACTTGCACTTCACGACATGTAAGTAACAATCGTACTAGTCGATGACAGTACTATAGCCTGTAGGATAGCACAGAGATTGATTTAGTCTAGTATTTTTAGTTATTATTGATGGGCATAAAGCAAGTCACCTGTTCAAGATGATTTTGGGACCACTGGTCATAGGACATGCCACCATGATTTCGTCGAAAGAGATCGTATGCCTTCCGTTTATCGGGATCCATTAAAATATTGCGAGCTTTTTGCAATAAGGCAAATCTTTTGACTATTTACAAACATAGGAAATAAGTATCGTGATTACGGTTGTCATTGTAGCTATTCTAATAAAGCCCAACTGAATCAATTCCATTGATGTCAGTAAGCACTTGTTGTAGAGTATAGTACCACAATTGTGTCTATCAATATGAAGTGGAATAACGTTCTACCGTACCAGTATCCTCATCATCCTTCACGGAACATCTATCAGGGTGTAACTCCTTGGCTTGGATACGAAATTCGGTATTGATTTGTTCAAGCTAAGTTAGTCAAACAAGTCAAAGCACCACATCAGTATCACGAGTATTTTGAACTCTACTGAGTAAACTGCCGAGAAGAATAGGGAAAAAAGTCTTCGGGCGATGTTTATTATGAATTCTATTATTGGTTTACTAACCGATGATGATTCATCACAGTTTAACATCTTGTAGAAATCATCTTCTGGCGAAATGGTTGATTCCCAAATTTTTTCCATAGTTATTTATCAAGTTGAAGAAGATTGTTTACTTGATAACGTACAATAGTGTACGATATTATTGAGGTGAAGAATGAATTTTTTCTCGACGCTCTTCGATGCCAATCAACGATTTTGCTAGTCTTGATGTGTTGGTACTACGTATTTATTTGTTTATTTGTGTACGGTAGACCGTGTCGCACACCGTGTCGTTCCTTACACGTGTACAGTACTGTACTGTACATACGTACTGTAGCAAAAACTTGTTTTGTACAGTTCCTTTTTCGAAACTACAGTACAGTACCGTAGAGTACGGTATTGTACAATCGACCGGACAGTACTGTGCATGCGTGCTAGAATACACAACAATACAGAACAATGCAGATAACGGACGGCACACCCACCAAAACTTCAACGTGTTTACTGTATTTTTTTTTTTTTTCTTGCGGAATACCGTACAATGTACAGTACACAATACTGGTCTACACAGTACAGTAGGTACTGTGCACTGTACAGCGGGTCATCACATAGCATGAGACCATCGAGGTATGACGCAACCATCGAGCTGATGGAGGTAAAAATGGATGCAACTGTGTCTTCGCTGCAGGACAGCAACCACCAACAGCTGTCTCCGCATTGACTAAATTTTGTTCACTACGGTTATTCATGTCAACTATCGTACGATAGGATCACTGACTGACTTAGACTACTCCATAAATTGCGATTTATCGTGGTGTAACCATATCTGGAATTAATTACAACAGCCAGGAAAAACAGCTTTCTTTCTACAGTGTACGCGTCGATGGGACCGTACTTTGAAGTCGATGGATTCAGCAAGCGCTCAGAGGCCCAAAATGCGCAGATTAGTAAACCAGGGACTTCTAAGGAGGAATTCTCCCTCTTAAAAGTCCCTAATTAAGCTTACTGGTCCTCTTCATAGGCGCGCTCCGAAGTAGCTACCAAATGTTTTTTTTTTGGGGGGGGGGGGGGGGGTAATGAACAATTTTAGACAACCCTTATATAACTGTACAGTAATTATATAACGCCTTCAGCAGATTAAATTAATTATCATTCCTTACACCATCACATCCAAGGAGCACATTTGTTGCAAAACATATATCAAGTACGGGACAGTGATGGTACAGCATTCATTCAATTACTATCGGTTAATTGCATTTACTACACAAATGACGAGGGAAATCACTCTTCTTCAATGAAATGTACTCATTCAATGCCTGTTAAGCGCATTCTATATATCATCAACTTCATCTACGTAATACCTAGTATTGGTAGGGCCTTATTTAGAAATAGCCACTTTTCTCCTACACCCATAAGCCTGCTTATGTTGATAATACCCACTTTTCAAGCCTTAGTACTACCGATAACCGTAAACAGTTCCAGCTCTTAGGATATCGGATGAATCAATTTTCCAACAGTTGCTTAATGACCACATGCGTTCATCTGTCAAATAAGATAGACGAATTCTAGTGTTTATTATTGCTATCCTATATCGTTATTATGGTTGTTTATTTTAATCGGAATTAAAATTAAATGATAACATTTAAAAGGTTTCGCACGTGTAGTACTATCCAATAGACTGAAATTTTTGCCCAGTACAGTACAATATAAAAGATATAGCCAACAAGAAAAATAGTAGGAAATTGCTTATCTTATTCTTGTTTTCAGAAATGATACAATCGTCAAAAGACGATCGTAGAAAGTAGATCATACGTCGTTGTACAGAGGCAGAAACGAGCCAGAATAATCTAGGATGAGACGACTTCCATTAGCTGATGTTATGATATAGGGTTGTATGGTTGTAATCGTAACCAACGTTACAAATAGTATCCCCATCGGTAGTATCGGTTACTAATCTAATTCATACAAGCACTACTACATTCTTGCAAGATTCGATATTTACAAAATATTTCATCGGTCTCGTGTGAACAACGAGTTACAAGGCAACCCACCAGTTCAAATATGTATAATAAATTTTGCGCTATAATTTAAAGCTTTTACTCATAAAAATAGTAACCTGATTGTAAGTATTAATTCATATGAGTTTCTCATTAGTCGCAGTAAACCTATCTTTAGGTCATTGAAGGGCACCAATATATCTTGAACATTATTTACTTAATAAATCGGTTTATCAGTTATTTCCGACCATACTTGCTTTGAGTCATAGAAAAGTAGCCTGGTCCTCATAACGTTAATGTCGTATCTTTAATCAATTCTATAGATTGAACTAAAGTAATATATGTGGAAATTAATGATAAACTTTTTAAATCAATTTTATCAAGAACTGCTCTATTACCATGTATATTTAGATGAAATCCTCCTAAATACTATAACATGGATAATTTTGTGATGTTGGTGTTATCCAGTTGATTGATAGAAACTTGCACTACCGTTAGAGCAGCATGATTGTAACAAGCAATAAGTCTATCTTAGATATCTTTAAAAATATAGCCGACCAAGCAAACATCTGTTGAAGTATTTATTTATTCGCCGTCTGCGGAATGATGAAAATTGATCTGTCACCATGTACTATAACGTGGAATCAATATTGAAAGACGCGCCTAGCTCACTTTTCAATTATCAGTTTATACAATGGTCTATAAGTGGAATGGTCTATTCATATTGATAATGAATTAAAACATATAGCAAATGAAGCTATATTCAAAGCTTTGATAAATCAATCGAATAAAGCTGATAATATATGCTCTGTATTACTTATTTTTATTTAAATTCGTAAAATTAACCTATAGGATCTATAAAAAATCTACAAATTTCATCCTATCAATATTAACATCTGGATATAAGAAAATAAAAATGTAAGACATAATTAATTCCATCAAATTATATAGAACATACTGCTAAGTTTATATCGCATCAAAAAGTAGAAACATATGGCCAGGAAATTAATATAGCAGCACGCAATCGCAGTTGCTCTTTCAACAAATGAAATTTCTACAACTGTTTCACTCCACCTCTCAAAAGACATGTTCAACGCAAATTAATTAAAATATTACTTATTAAATTTAAAGAGTGCTATAATGATATAGGTAGGTACTTGTATTACGCTATCAACAGACATATAAAACTAGATCACAATCTATACCAAATTTATTTATATAATATATAAATGATTCAACAAATTAAAGCATCAATTTATGCATTACATGTGACTAAATAGAATAATTAACGATTATTATAGAAGCGGGCCTGAAAATGAGTAATAAATAATGGTAAGATTCTCTTTAACTATATATGCTACTGTTGCATACGTGTATAGTTCAAATACTGAACAAGAAGGCCGTATAATCTAAAGATTACGTGATCCTATACAGAAGAGAACGTGTGATATAATGATAAATAGAATACTCTTCATCCTCTATAATGGCAGTCTCTTCATCAATAATCGAAAGTAAAATTTCTACATTTCTTATCAGAATTTGCTTTTATCTTAAACTAACTATAATTATCAATCACATGGAAAAGATATTGATATGCAATACTATATTGTCGTCTGTTAGTTATACTTTAACAGCATGATTACTGTTGTTAATACATATTGGAATTTAGTTTAATTTATTTTAGCCTTAAATTTTATTAACAACATTTAATTCTGGAGTGGATGTAACGTTCTATGTCATCCACTTAATTGCAAATATTAAACGGATAAGAATGATATCACCTCAAGTCACTTACATCCTTTCATTTGTCTTTGTTAAAGCATTAAATTCATTGATTAGGTATTGATTACTATATAAATAAGTAATCGCAAACTTTAAATTTGTGATATTCCAAAATTTTTCAAAAACAGTCATTATTTCAACAATTAAAGATCATACAGATCATCACTAAAGTGGAAATTTTTATGTTCAAGATTGATGCAATGCAATAAATGGTGTAATTATGTAAAAGTATGATATTAATCTTATTTCTGGAGATTGCATACGATAGCGTATACAGCATATATTCTTATACATATGCAAGTACTAAGGTTGACAAGAGGTCAAACTGTGTTAACTGATAGGAATAACTTTGTCTATAAGGTTAAGAAATTAAATGAACAGTTGATATAAAGCGTGGGAAGCAAAGAATAGATATTACCATTCCATATACAGGCAGCTATTGTGGACATATGGTGTCCACATGTAATCTAAATTATACTTCTATGAAGATTACGTTAGTACGACAATGATGAAGAGTTTTATAGGTAATTCTTCCTATCTTGATATCGTTGAATATGCATGCAATAAAATATTACTAAATTCAATATATTATTTTTCATGCATTTGCCCATCCGTTAAGTTATTTTTGTATTCTGGTGTTCAGCCCACTCCCATTTTGCAATATAAATGTTTATTTTTTAAAAGACGTAATTGTACTAACTAGAGATATTTTGCTATACTATGTTACGGTATTATTAACGTAATTGTCATAAAATTTCCCTGCTCTGTTATATAAAAACGTCATAAAAAAGAACATATGTCATCATCATCAACAACTATAAGATTGGTGGGATTGATTTTCGGCGTAAATCTCAAAAGACTTAAAATTTCTTTGTTACCACTAGCTGTTATATCAGTCATCAGTGTTGATTGTCGTGATTATAATTATTATAATCTATAAATTACTTAATAAATTGTATAAGAATCGATTTTTTTATAGTACTACCAAGAAAATTAATTTTACTACTACTTTTATCCTAATATATCATTTCGAAGATTAATATAATACAATAAAAGCTATCATTAATGTGATTGGAGTAAAATGGCTAATGGTGATTGCAATCACGATTTTTCTTCGGTAATAAACGAAAAAGATTACCTCAACATCGATAACAACAAAGACATGCCTATAAACGCGATGAACTTAGATGACAAAGGTTTAGGCCAAAATTACAAATTGAGATCACGTATAAATGGTAAGAAAAGACCGTCTATTAGTGACAGCAAAATTGTATAAATTTTTATATTTATTAAAAGTCAAACTTTTTCTGCTATAAATCTACCAGCAAGTTTCATTCATGTCCACTAAAATTAATGATAACACATTTACAACAGTAAGATTTATTGATTATACATTGTAATACTAAAACTATCAACTAAGTACGATATTCCGATAATTTGCCTGAACACTACCCTATACAATTATAACATAACGTCTCTTAATATATAGAAATTGTTAAATTAGAGTGATGAGCAGGTGGTACACATATCGGTCGTTAACTATCCAATGTATTTATAAAAGCTATTTACACGATACAAAGATCATACACAGGAATGATATAACAAAACGATGCTAGTGACGAGTAGATTGATGCTAAAAGCTCGCTTCAAATTCGATAGCTAATCTTTACGGTTTCATACTGTAGTACATTATTACACATTGATTGGATCACAAGCTGTATTAAGCTAGCAAAAGTAGATAAATGATAGCTGCTGATAGTAGCTTATTCATGTTTCTAAGTCGAAAAATTTTGAATGTTATATCCAACAGGAAGCTTTTTTTCCTCAGTGGAATCCATCAGTAATCAAAATTTTTGTAATATAGATAAACAGAAGCATTGCTGTATAAATTCTTTTGTGTATGATTTTAAAACGCAAAATTATTATACAATATCTTCATTCAATACACATACAGCAGAATATGTAATTACAAAGGAAAAATTATAATAAATTAAGATACTAATGATTGTGCTAAAACAGCTCCATAACAATTTTTTACCTATTTCGATGTTTCAAAGATAACGCCCAACGGCAGTAGTTTTACGTCAATAATTAACACTGCTGCAGTTCCTATTCTGTCTGGGCAAGAACTGTATGAATTACTTACATATTCACAGATGTACAGATATACAGTATGTACTGTATATGCCTTAAATATACTAAATAAATGTACATGTAGTATATTATGTAAGTACAGATCTATACGGACATATACATATGTATTATTTATAATATTCTAGGAATCTCCCATTACTGTAAGAATATTGAGAATCGAAATACAAGCATAAGATGCCTAATAATGTAAAATAATGGATATTAAAATTTATTACGCACAATTAGCGTATCATCATATTAAATTCAAAGTTACAGGCAATATCTTCTTATTAATTAATCATTATTAGCCCATAAATTAGTCGACGATACCTTTCTCTTACCAAAATAATAATTATACCACGCGCTCAGCCAATGAAGATAGGAAACTCTCTAACTTCATTGCTGAGCCTATGTTACCAGATACTCTTAGTCTACCTTGCATATAAGCCATTTTAGCAGATATCTGCCTCGTAAATAAATCTACCATGTCTTCTTCTGATATACTGATGATACAATCAGGTTTACAATTTCTTGGCTTTCCTACACCAGCAGATCCATCTCCATATTTTAAATCAATGTAATAAGTCTCCGTAACACCTCGTGATATCTCTAAATCTAATTGGTAAACAGCTCCTACATTAGCAACATGGATTCTGTTACATAAGCCATCTATAGCTGTAATAATATCATGTGGTGAAAGGCGCGCCTTTACATTTTCTTTCGCGTTGTAGGCTTCAGTGGAATCTACATGTGATTTACTGCTTGTATTTAACATTTCCAATGCGGTAGAATCATAGTTAATAGTGTTGTGACCAGGAGTAACATAGGTAGTATTATAACCAGGAGAAACAAAATTGATGTCAGTTTTTGGAGTATATGCGTAATCGGGTAATAAGATTGGGTTGGAAGTATCATCTTGGCGTCGTAGAACTCGGGGCAAAGTTCTGTGAAGGGTACATACATTACAATTAAATAGTGCAATACCGTAAGATCAATTTAAATGCATCTATTGCTTTTTTAAATCAAACTATAAACTTACAGCTCAACTCGCTGGATTTCCATACCCCATAGCGTTGTTTCCTTGTTTAATGAAATCTGAGAAATAAGCGTTATTTATGAGTTGAAAAGTTCAATTCAATCAATCATGGCATGATTGTAGGCTACAATAAATGAAGGTTAAATTCACTTTACTTGAATTTCATCATTTAAATGTGGCAATTTCGATTCAATTTCCTGTACAGTTTTTGTTGTAAGAATATTTTTGACAGAAGTTTGAGCGATTGTTCGTGATGAACAATTTAGATCCTGCGTTGCCATTATAGAGGTATTTGCATCATGAATACGATAATAGATGGATGCGCCAATAGAGATAGTAGCCTTATCTTGAGTTAAAATCTGGAAAAAAAAGATTGGAAGCAATGTTATACGTCATCATTTAAATGGCTAAAAACTATTATCTACAGGTACTACGTAAATTATAGAACCAGCTCAGAAAGTACAGGAAATACTGCAATTTTCTCAACTTGCAGTACAGTAAAAACGAATGTAAGTAGCACAGTCACAACTTACGCACGTTATGATTATCATTATTATTTACCTGTTGGGGCGGTACGTTGAATGCACGAGTCCTCATGTCGCAAATGGTCCAGTTGTCAATACACGGTAAAATTACGTTAATACCTTGAAAAAATGTGTAATGTTAGTATTCAAAACAGGATCATCCTCGATTACCGGCTTAGATGTTGTAGGGCGAGTTTAGCAATACGTGCAAGGTCATTGCACAATATCCACCTGGGTTGCGATAATTGGCTTGATAAACAAGATCATTACTAATGTTTTAACGCCTAGAGTAGCATTGTGGTGATATACGGCAGTAACCAAGTTGTATAAGTTGTTATTTTGAGATAAGTAGCGTCACAATTAATTATCTAACCTGATTTCTTGGGCGGAAGTAGTCTGCCAAGGCGGAAAATGGATAATACTTCATATTCCTTGACCGCCTATGTATATCATTGAATAACGTCAGCTCAATTCATTTCATTATACTTTAAAGGGAAAGTTCACTCATTACTACATCATTCAGTTCGATAGCATCAATACATGTTGACGACTCTTTACAGTATAGCAGCAGCAATGGATCGTTTTGAATAATTAATATATAATGATCACAGTTGCCATAGTATGGATGTCATTTCGCTTTAGGTATTCAGTACGGTATTGATCTAATGTTGTGATGAAGCACATCGACCACTCGTCTTAATTATTGTTGTTTGTTTTTTTTAAGTATTTTTAGGCAAATTCTATGTAATTTATTGAAGAGTTTTATTTCACTTGCTGAGAAATATATTGGCTAAGATCAACTTGCGAATGTAAATCATTGATACGATTGCTAGATAATATTACACGGCAGTGAAGATAATGTATAGTTAGTCAATAATTATAATGTGAAGTAGGTGGGATCTAGCCTATCCAACAAGGTAGTCCTAAGGCAAGTAGTACAGTTATTATGCTGAAAAGCGAATATGCATGGATACTGTAGCAAGATATTGGATTGAATCACCGAAGTGTATACTGTACTTCTGCTATTACGCTGAAAAGCGAATATGCATGGATACTGTAGCAAGATATTGGGTTGAATCACCGAAGTGTATACTGTACTTGGGCAGAAGTGGAAGTGTTGCATTTCAGCGTTGAAAGCCCAATGGTAGTCAATTAGACATCGCTAACTGTTGACTTATGGCTGATGGATTGGAGTAGAGTAAATTGGGTTTACAAAGCAAGACTAATGATCATTGATTGCACTGATAGAATTCAGCTTGGATGATCAGGCCTACCTTTAAGCAGAAGTACCATGAGAAAGGCGATGTTATCAGCATCAGCAGGTAACATAGCGACACGATGACATAATAGCATGGATGGAACTTTTTGGCTATCCATCATAATAATAAATAACATCAATAAGGAGAAGAAATCAAGTCTCTTCCAAGGCAACGTGTCTACTGAGCTAGTCTTAATCATTTTCAAAACATTCTTAATTGCCTTACATGGTAATTGGTTAGCCGTTAGTTGCCTATCGTCAAGAGGAATTGCGTTATATTTCATCGTCACCATTTTCCTCGATCGCAATCGGGTCCAAGTTGAAGTGGCGATGGCTTCAACCTTTCCAGTGGGTCACCTGCTTCTTATGACTGCCGTTGACGACCCTGCGTAGTACGGTACCATGGCGTGGTGCAACAGGCGACTGGCTGTCTTCTCCACTCGCCATACTGTAGCCTAGGATGCTAGCGGCATTTTGGTCCACAATAGCAGATTGGAGATGGTTCACCGATTTTGTGTTAATGTTGTTGTCATTGCATCGGTCGAAGGTTCAGTACCAAAACAAAACCGTTGAATAAGGGAAATGAGCCTGAGGAGAGTTGTACTGTACAGTACGCTTGTAGCACGGTGGTCATACTGTAGTCTAGACTACTGTTGCAATGGTGGTCATGGACTATCGAGGACATTTGGTACTGTAGTCCATGACTGTGGTGAAAAGAAAAGCATAGCAATCATTGATTTGGACAGGCCACTGTCGCCAATCTCAGCTGCATCGTCCATGGTACAGTAAAGTATAGACAATGAGTCCAGTTTGAAACTTGGATGATGAATTGTTTGCGTACCGTCCAGTGTCCAACTGTCTATGCGCGCCCAACAATGGGATCGATGGGTGACGTTTTGGACTGCTGTACACATTCATGCGTTCCCAAGCTTGGGATCGGTAGGTGACTTTCTCGACAGCTTTACAGTGTACAGTACTGTACAGTACTGCACGATCTGTAGTCTACCGTACTGCACTGTACTGTACACAATCCATACCAGTACTGTACCGGTACAGTACCGGTACTGTACTAGTACCAAGAAGTTGGACAGACAACTCCCCTTACCCTCTCGTCGTTGGAGGACTTTTCTGTCTGTCCAAGCTGTTCATCAGCGACTAACCTAACCTGGACTGGAAAGTATTTCGGATGACTCAGTCACTCAGCTATGTGCTGACGCACAAGCCACCGGATGAGCACGTGACACTACTTTCGGAACCAGTTCTCCTGTACCGTACTGTACTGTACCGTCTAGGTCACTGACTCTGTATTGGTTTGTATGGGAAATGGCTTTGAATGAGGAGCGTCATGTGGATATCATGCATCGGACTGCCCCCTGTAAACAGTCCACCCTAGTCACTCCGTCGATAGCGTTGAAACACAAGTATCGAGCTAAGGTAAAACTATGGGCATTTTATTTCACCGTACTTGAATAAAGTGCAAGTCATGGGACACGGTGTTCAACCCCACTGTGGTGACGCGCCTTATTGTTATTGACAATAGCATAGCGGTCCAGCAGTAGTAGGGTGAAGGTAGTAGGGTGAAGGTAGTAGGGTGAAGGTACTTGGGTGAAGGAATTCTTTTGCACTTAGCCAAAGTGGAATCTTCCAACATGTCTCTGGCAATTCATTGAATTGCATGTCCAATCGACTTGAAATTGAGCTTGAAAATTGGTGCTGGAGAGATTGAGAAACATTTGTCTGTTAAGAGTTGTGTCTAAAAAGAAGAAAAAGGGGTTTGTTAAAGTCATTGAATTGAAATGGTTGTTGGATACTGTAGTGGACAGCCGTTGGAGTAGATTGGATCTCTTTGATACAACAATTGTCAGTGGAGGAGACAACAGCGAGAGTGTTGGTCAAGCTTTCCATCCTTCATTTTTCAATAGCGGTCAAATCGTTCTGCAAGCAATCTTGACTGATTACTATCCTACATAGTATTGCAATAGCCAACAGTTTATATTATACGGTAGTAGGAGGAGTAGATAATCCATTGATGTAGTCTACCTTTCCTATTCCAATTGACAGTCATTTCCCAATCAAAACATTGGTTGTCGATAGCGACCTACTACTGCTGCAAATACTCTACATTCTACAAAAACAACCTTTCCATTTCTGGATGAATTTCTCTGCTTAACCAGTGTCTATATACAACTGGTGTACATGATCAACCGTTCAACATGCTTTCTAAGATAGCAGCAACTCTATCCTTTTCTCATAAAGAAGAACAAGACGTCATGTAAGTTCAATCATTAGTACACAACGTCATCGTCATACTGCATACTACCATACTACAGTAGACAATGTTGATAGGATATACAGTAATGGCCATGGCCAGTCAATTGACAATCATGGCTATAGTCCTCACAAAAAAAGGAGAAAAAAATACCAATTCTTTAGTACAGTCCAATACAGTACATACAAGTGCTAGTCGACAGAAAAAGACAGTGGAAAGGGTTAGAGATATGTATTACAGTATTTACAATGATCAACCTCGCCATATTGCTGAATGGAAACTGCGTCCATCGATACTGTATCAGTAAAGAGATTGATGAATGGCGGTAGTCCATAGAAACAGTAAAACAAACTTAGAGCGCAGTACAACCGTGATTGCAGGTGCTTATTTGACAATAAATAATTTGTCGACTACAAGTTGATAGGATAATTACAATCAACCTATTGCTTGATTGCACTACCAGTGGTCTTGATGTCTATAGACATTGGTATGGACTGTATTATGTATGATGCAATGATTGCAAGTTGAATGTTTTTTTTTTCATTTGCTGCTATATAAATCTTCAATCAATGTCAAGCAGTCAAGTAGAAAGCCATGCCAAACCAAAGTAAGTCTCTTCACAAAATGTTCTACCATGATCGACCTTACTAGGTTGAATACACTTTATGGCACTGTAGTAGACAATTTTTGATTTTACAATATTCTTATTTCATTCTTACTTCTTGTCGTTGTCCGATATTACATTCCCTATGCCATGAATACAAAATAATACAAGTACTGTACAATCGATGACTCATTCCACCATAATCATTATGAACGTCTTAAAGTCTGCACCTTTTCGACTCATCATTTCGCAATATCACCTACAGCCTCCTATCCATATACACTTTTTAAATTGATAACATGAAAATCTTCTTGTCAATGCTTACAATTAGCAATGGTTCAAATCGAATTACATGTCGCTTTTGTCCAAAACGATGTAATCCACTAGATAATGATGCAACATCTTCTTAATGTAAACTGTAGTAAGCAAATTGAACCAACACAAAATCTGACTTTAAGGCCTCTTATTCTACGGTAGTCTGTTGTTATATGAACGTCAGTGATGTTTATGTTAGAATGAATGGGGTAGAATAATCAGCGCGTTACCATCAATTTGTAGAATCCAAGTAATTCACTCGCTTACAGTAAACTTACAACTAGCTATCCATGGTAAATATTCTTACCAACACCAAAATGAAAACATGTGCATTTTATTGGTCCCATATTCTTCTACTTGTAACTTACAGTGATACTGATTGATTACTGGATAAAACAAGCAAATTACGCGTGTATGCTACATCCACTTTAAAACGTAATTCATCTATTTTTTCTCCAATTGCAAAGTTATAGTGTACTAGATCATCTACACGCTCCTATTCATGTTTACTGCAATATAAACAATTTCTGAATTATACGTAAATGAATTAGTATTGCTCATAACAGTTATTCTTTCTATTAAATATACTATAGTAGACCCTTGTAATATCGCGTGCTGATCTGTAGTCATAAACTATAATTATCAATAGTAAATTGTGTTTTGAAAGATTTCTTTTGAATTAAAAGAAATTGAGGCAAAAATTCTCGATATGTCTACAATTTGTACATATGAATGTCATGAGTTTGGTACTAATCATTAATTGTTGGTAAAATTAACCTATTCATAGAGCTCGCTCTGCTCAATCCTTTGACATGCGAGTATTTTACTACAATGTGTACCGAGGCATTAAATTTACTGCTTTGCCATTATACCATTTGGACATCAATGCCTATAACTCTTCAAAATGTTACCACTAAACTAACGCAGTGATATCAAAATAGTAGCCCTGGCTGAACATTCTCAAACAATTACGCCCTAATTAATGAGGAGCAACATTACGTAGTTCCATTATCAATCGACTTTTTATGACTTAAAATGCCAAACATTGGCTCTTTCTTATTCTCTCGATATTAATATAATATTTTAAATTAATACAACATGGTGCAACGTTATCGCTATAGTCAAGTAATGATTGATAGACTTTATTCCATGTATAACATACCTGGTAAATGATTGATTTATGTACTGCACTGATGAGTAACAATTCACTATTATTGACATAAACTGTATCACTTTTAGATTGCCATCTCCTCCTTTCGACGAGAAACAAATTCGTATCTTAATATTTCAAGAAGATCATCATGGACAAAAGTCGTTACTGTTAGATACTGGAAAGAATGGTAGACGTTTCCCCTCAGATGGCAATCAAGGCAATCAAATTAATTCCGATATTAAAATGTTTAAAGAAATTATGTTTGGTTCTGTCGCCGTTAAAATTGACAAAACCACTGTAAAAGTCCACGAAATTAGAATACCTCCACAACTATTAGTAACCAAAGTATTTACGTTGGATAGGTACAGCAGATAGTTTAATGATCTACCCTCTATAATTTGATAAAATTAATATATGAGTAATTATTAACTTTACTCATGGCGTATTATTAATTTTACATCTCCTTTTTTAGAATTGATAATAAAGCTGACGATACGTCATCTAAATCGTCTTATGCAAGATCAAGTCTAGATGAACTACGCGTCAGTTCTCGACGTAAGCCTACGCTATATGTTACAGTCACTGACCGATTTGTCGACTACGGCTTTCGTAACATTAATAATTCAATATATTATTTACCTTTGTGTAGCCCTTACTTCAAAGTCCATGTCGACTTCCATACTCAGACAAGGTACTAACACCTTCCTTACTAAAGCAATTCTACTTATACGTATACTAGCAGAATATGAAAACGTTTATGACTGCCGACTTTGCTTGTTCATCTCGTTGTCCAATAAACGTTATTTCATGCAATCAAAATATCGCTTTGCTTACATACTAAAATTGAATAATAATTTTAAGTGATGGTACTCTAATATCGAGCGATTTTTACTTTTACTAGTTATATTAAAGTGGTTTACAATTTTAGAACTTAGATTAACTAGCGTCCAGCGAAATTTCTTCAATTTTTATCACTATATGTTTTAATCATTAGAAGCAAGTCCGCGTACTAGCCTGGCAAAGCATAATTATTCTGTCGATTGTATGTATACATGTTTATCGAACTGTATAAATATATGATCTTTAATATAAACTAGCATACACTTTATATTGATTTACTTCGTTGATTGATGGTCTTAAAGGTTTAATCAATATTCCTGCTCGTACCGGTAGACGTGATTCTGGATTTGGCGGTAAGTATAAATGCTTAGTATTAATGATAAATTTAATAATTGACGTAACATCGACGTTCATTGAGATGCTTGCATGCATTGTATCTAACAAAATGATTAATAATGAAAAGATATTTTCCATCTAATGCAAATTCAATTTTTTTACAGTTGGTAGCGCCGATTCATTTGGTAAATGCGACAAGAATTCAATAATGTCATCTATTAATACAATTGGAACAATAAGATTATTATTATTTTAAACTTATCACATACTCGTATTGATAGTTCTTCTCTAAATGGGATGATTTTTTACGCTATATCTTATAGAATCAAGCTCTTTGAAAGGTAGCTATTTATTTTACCCGCAGTCACCGGCTACCTTTCACGGAAGCTACCAGCGTAGACTGTTCCGCAATAAGTCCACAAGTCTCGAATTTGGATTCTCAGAAGACAACTCGCAGATACAAGAAGCAGAAAATTCTCCAGTTAGTTACGTTACACAAATTTAATGTGATATACTCCTACTTATAACATTACTTTCTATTACAGAATTGTTCTAATACTAGAAGAAGAAAGCTTAAATTAGCCGTTGGAATCATATTTAACTTGTGGGATGATAGTAAAGAAAATGCCTGTAAAATTAAGTTAGTAAACTTGGATGCATATCATTTGAATATTTCGTTTACGTTGTTGGTCTTGTCCTTCTTATTTAAGTATAACGTTTACCCTGTCCCTTTTTAGGTCCTTCAAGAGATTTTTCTTTTCTCATTTTATGGTATTGGAATCCCATATTAACCGACTTAAGGAAATTATTAATAGAAACTTTGATGACAAATCTAACTTTTATGCGATTATTACTGAAGTAAGAAGCTGATTAATTTGTCATTCTTGTTGCACAGTTAGTATGATACAATAATTTCTTTCCTCCTTTTATACGCAAACATGGATTTCAGGCTGTTACCAAATTTAAGAATACGGTATGCCAGTTATATTCTGCTATTCGTATGCCGGTAAGGGTATTTGCATTGACTATATTGAAATATGTCATCGAAATTGGCTTTACTTTGTATTTTCAGCATCGAAATCATTGCGTAACAGTATGTATTATTGCTTATTCAGGAACCGGTGTGGCTTAATTTACTAGCTATGAATAATCAACGAGACGAAATATGTTCGCGTTTTGTGGATACCTTAGTACAAATGGTCGAAAGATTTAATGAACCGAAATATAATTTGTATGTTTTTTGTTTTTTAATGCGATGAATTGTTCACGTCATCTACGATTCATAAAAGAATATTTTCTTAACCTGATTGCATAAAATTTTTTACAGTTTCATTTCAAAGTTAATCACCGCTGTCCTACGTCATCACCTTGCGTGGGTCTCTACAGTTGCTCCTGATGAAAAATCGCCCTATCCGTCCTATTATGATAAACGTTTTTCTGTATCTGTAAGTGTGAAAAGTGTGACATTGTAGCCTGTTACTACCCCTAACTTCTTTTTCAATTATAACCAAGATATGTTAATCATGTATATTCTCTTAGTTGAACGAATTGGCGCGCTCGCTTCCTTACAATCCAGTGTGGGCTCAATTAGGGTATGAAACTAGCATTAATACTCTATCAGTAATTTCAGTTAGGGCCTTGGTTTATTCAATAAGCTGTACACCTTTCCTCATCATTCTTTATTAGTGATCTCTATGGTAGTGTTGGCTCAGATACCAGAATATGTCGAACTATTGTTGTTGGTAAAAACGCTCCGGTAGTGAGGAATATATTATACCTTTTAAGCTACTTTATCAGATGTAGTGAAATTTACGAAGACGATGAAATTACCATTGAATGGCTTAATGAAATCGATGATGAGAGAACTTTGATTGATGCCGAATGCAAAGAAAAGAAAGCTCCATTACTCAAACTAAGAGCTTACTCTGAAAACTGCATTCATGAAATTGTCAAGAATCCGGTTAAAGAAAAACCTTTAAATGCTGCGGATGCTGCCATAGAGTTAGCAGAAAAAATGATAGCAGCCAACAGTACTATTGTTGAGGATACAGAGTTCGAAAAAATTACAGGTAGAGCTAGATGTCAGTCTGCAGGCGGTGATACATCTTCATCAAAAGATAGTCAAGATAATTCCTCATTGGAGGGAGCTGAATCTGACGAAGATGTCGACGCTCTATATGACGGATTTAAGGAAATTCCATTACCAAAGTAAGAAGTGTTCTTCAATTTTTAAAAGTGTATGACAATTTCTGACCTGTAGCGGTATGTTGTTGCTATTTTTTGTCGCTATTCTAGGACAAAAAAATGTAACTCCCCGAAACCTGTAAATAATCTGTGAGTATAATATTCAAACATATGATTAATTTTCGCAATTTTAACCTAATTTGAGCTTATCTATATTCTACTCATTAGATGTTCGGAGACGCATTTTCATCATAGCTTTAACTTTGGACGCTCGTTCTTAGCTGAGTAAGTAATGATATTTCACAAGTAGTACTACGATAATAGCGCCGATTAATTTCTAATAATTATTAAAAAGTTGTCATATATTAACAGTACTTTATCCGGGTGTTATCGTATAACTATTATTATTTGCTCTTGCATAGTTACAACGACGAGTATATGCCAGATTTCGTTTTGCATGGAACTCCAGCAATGAATTTTAAGGAGAAGATGATAGATGACTTAAAACATTCTGTTGAGGTATGTAAGAGGTAGTAAGAAGCTCATCCTAAACTTTGAACATGTATGACGTGAATCTTTCTATCATATTAGTGTTCGGCTTTAGATGAAGAAATCGCTGAATCTGTATGTATTGTTGCGGACACAGATACATGGTAACTACAAATTATGAAAAGTAACAACTTACAGTTGCCGAGATTATCATCGCTAAGCAAATTTTTAATTCTTTTGAAAGGTCCTGTGAAATGTATATTGCCAACAACAATGATGCAAGGTATTGTAAATTCATACTATTATAGATAGTAAAATTATTGACCGACATTCCTAAATCATAATTAATTGCTAAAAATTAGGAATGAAGTAGCAAGGAAAGAAATATCCGCATCCCCGCTTGTTTCTGCAATGTTAAATTCTGTAAAAAATCTTCGAAAATTATTTCCTCCTTACTTTGTAAGCATTTGTATGATCATTGCTTACTACAACATAATCCTGTATATGTTATTGTTATGTTATTCACTGTTATTTCCTCAACTATGTAGTGCATGATGCATTTAGAGGATTGTCTATCAGAAATATTTCTCAAAAGCACGGTAAGAAATTCGATATATGTAAATCCAAATTTGTGGGTATTTATTATTATTTACAGAAATAAAAATTATTATTTTAGGTCTTATCTCAATACATCACTGCTAACGCTAGTATTAAAGAGGAGCAAATATCTAGGCATTTAGGGTAAATAGCGTTATAAAGCTATTATTTTGACGATAGAAATTATTAGGTACAGTTCCAGATAGCTGTAGTGACTGATGATAACTCTTTCAGGTTTGACAAGGCTGATTTGCCGTTACTCTACGCCGTCGCGAAAGCTGGTCCTCAGATGGCATTCTAGTTATACTACGAACCAAACTTTCTTTTAATGTGAATGTTCGCGAATTTTTATTTATTACATTATAATTATTTAACAACTACTGTAATATATATTTTATTCGTAAGGGTTCAAATATTGCTTCATTTGAGGTTGCATGGCCCTTTATAATAAGTTGGTCAAATTTCATTTAATTAAAGTATGCCTATACCCTGCTATTTTATGGAATAGCAACTTCTAACTGGGCTGTAAGGGCGATTCTGTATTATTACTAGCCTTAATTGAGGTATATTTTCATTTTTAAAAAGGTATCGACTAGATATTACTACAGTACTAGTTAATGTACATGATTGTTGACACACTCTTGTAAACTAAATGAATGAAGTTCAGGGTCATCCACTCCGAAAATGTTCTGTCTTATACTTTTCAACTTCGAAAAACATCTCTTATTTTTCTCTACTAAAAAGTAAATAAACACGATGAAAGCTAATATCGGCACTCTAGAATTTGTCATTGGAAGTCAAAGCTGTATCGAAATTCTTTATCGATTACGAAATGTATATTATCGATCATATTATCATTTATTTACGATATTACAGTTAAAGCAATCTCAGAAATTGTAGCTAAGAAGGAGGATGTATCGCCTTCACTTTCAAAGAATATGCGACATAGAACATGTCAGAATGACAGTTTGCCAAGTTAAACGTACTGCCATTTGTTTACTAAAAAAACGTAAAAAAATGCATATTTAAATTAACCATGATATTTACCTAATCAATCAAATTAACGTTACCTGACTGATCAATAGAAGCAGGGGATTGGCAACTCGGTTGCTATATTTTAAGAAGTGATGATATCAATATGATTGCATGATATGATAGTCTTTTAATCAATTTTAAACTAAAATACATTAAGTTGGAGAAACATACAGCATCGATTTCTTTCTGAGCTTCATCCGTCGATATCTTATGATTGTTGTTAGTAGTCGCTGTATTAGCCCTATGATGATAAAAAATACTATATTATATAATACTGATATAACTATATAGCTGCATATGCGATTATAATATTACCGATTCATTCCACCATCATCGCATGCGCCATTAACAAGATCGCGCCAATAATTGTGAGTTTCATGAATAACTCCCATTGCAAATTGCTAAAATTAACAACAAATCCAATACATTTGTATTCGCAGTATTTTCCACCATCATGTTGCTATCATATCAATTTTAGTTGGCTTTTACTTCAATAGACACATCAACTTACTTTATTTTTAGCTTCACCAGAAAAAGCAAATTGATTGGGTGGCTTGCCAGCCGGGATCTTATAATCACGGAACCAATTATGAGTTGCCTAAACAAACATTCCAAATTTCAGTGTTACTGAAAATGGGGCAGTTACTATATAAGTGTAGTAGTCGAATCCAATAAACCAAAATCGTACTAAAGTCCGTCTGAACTATGAGTTTATGTGTAATTGTAATAAGCCAACATTGCAATGATACAAATTACCGCGAACCTCGAGAAAGTTTGGCATATACTTTGGGATATCGTCAACATCTAATCATAGCAAAAGAATATATTAGATATTTCAACAATTTGAAGCACGTCTATCAAGAAAAATGATAACTCATTCTGAGACCACACTGCGTAGAAAGTCCGGGTACATTCATAAGCAAGAATTGATTGAGGCATTACAAACCATTGATTTTATCAGCAAGAGGATCGGTGACATCAATTGCGAGAATCTTCCAGTCGGTTTCACCTATATTCATTTCAAAAAATGAAGCATTACAATATTTTTTTACGATTGTTTATCCTTTTAAACGTATTGAGTATACCTTCATCGATCATGGCCATTACACCTAGGACTTTAACCTGTTTGATCTCTCCGCGCTTTCCCACCTATTTAAAATTTCAAATATTAGACGATGATAATTGACTCCGATATAGCCTCATATCGTAGACTGAATACTCACAATTCTCATGAAACATGCTCACCTTATAGCCGATTTCACAGACATCCAAGGGATCATTGTCACCTTTACAAGAGGTATTTGCATCAACATGATTTGGATCTTCCCATGTCTAACAAAATTGTTAGAGATTAATGAATAAAAAGTAACTGAGCTAAATTACGATCTCCTTTATAAAATATTGTAATAATAACAATTTGATCTTTATTAAGACCTGAGGGAACGCTCCATAATTCCACATATACCCATGATGTGGAAATATGTTGTGAACGAATCTTAATTTTCCTTTCTTAATGTCTTGCTTGATAGAATTCAGTTTATCTTTGGTGGCAATCTATCATCAGTACCATGTGATAATTGTTTAGTTTAGTTGGCATCATCATTTCGCTTATTATTATGAAATATAACACCACCAAACATATAGCACCCACTCAAGTACTAGCACTCTGCAGTGTAGAACAACCGTTATAACATCATGGCACATGCATAAAACACTTTAATTCAACGTCACTATTTTACGCATTTAGGATTGATATTGTCGGAAATGACTAGGAGACATCTGGATTACAATACTGAACGACTGATAACGTCCAATTTGATGATACCCATTGGAGAATGGTGATAGCCTACCTCCATCTTAGCATTGGTCCATCGTGGGATCTCCACCACCATATTTAGGATTGTTTTCTGTTAAATATCAAAGTCATGTTTAGACATTAGATTTATTGCTACTGATACAACATTACCATTCATTTATAACATATCTTTTATTCTACCCTACCGAATTTTTATGTATTAAAAGAATTAATTAAGAACAACATGTCAACAGTTGATTGTCACGATTGCTACGACTAGCTAAGCATCAACGATAACTCTTTGCTAAGGTAGGAAAGCAATATAATCCATTCTATCGTGAATTTTAATATGCCCAAGCACTGATTTATAATTTAACTCATAATCTATCGTGTAGCGACATGATACTGCCGTACCCAATCCCAACCTACCTCTTCATTTGCAAATAAAGGAATATCATGCCATGGAGAAATAGGCCCATCTTGATTTCCTAATCATACGTTTCGAAAAATAAAGAGGCAGATGAATTACAACTGTTCACATCCAAGGAATCATGTATAATAATAATAATACATACGAAAATAGACACGATAGCTAAAGTCGTATTCTTGACCAACTTGGACTGCTTGATAGTTTGCCATAGCCAATCGAGTGGAAAATGTGTAACAGGTAGAAGATAGTAAGCGACCTAATGAGGATAGAATACAAGAGTAAATATAGATTGGCAAGTATTCTTGACTACTGACAACATCAATTTTAATCATTTAAAATGAATTCCAACAAGCATAACTGTATCATCATGGATTCAAGTGAGAAATGAAGTTATTTTCACCATTAATCCTTTGCATTTTTACCTGTTTTCAAGCCGATAATGCGAGATGAAGAAACAAGGCGTCGGATGAACATTAATGCAAATGCGCGTGCGTCAATGTGGCTTTTCAATTTACTGCCTTTAATAAGCCACAGTAAAATTTCACCATGCCAACCTTAGCCATAGCCAGCGGAAAGTCTACAGCTCGGAGATTGGATTAGCGTAGCTAAATTATGGCAAATTACTGGCCGATATGATATTTCGATCCCTATTTGTCTATTAAAGATTCAAAACACTTGCCAATACACTCGAATCTGCTTAGACTATAGAGTCGATACGATTTTAGGGATCACTATTGCAGACTCAACACACCAGTTGATCCATCGTGTTGGGCTATTCTGCAAGTTGCAGGAAGGAACAATATGGCGTACCAACTTGTAGCAACAGCCGGCATTGCGGTCTAGAGTATGCAGTGGTTGTATTGTGATATACAGTAAACTGATGACAAAGCATCCCCTATCAGTTTGCCATTGCACGATCAAATAACAGAAATTTATTATGAATGGTATGGAAAGTCTGCACGGTAATCGTCGTCAATTCATGAGCTCAATTTACTGTATCGACGTCGTATCCTTCCAACTAGTGCATCTTGATAGTCCATGCTGGAGTGATCATCATCTCCTAGTACAGTAGTCAACAAGGCGGATATTGATTTTAAAATTCGAGTCCAATGGAATACACAATTTACTAATCTAACAGATCCATATCAAGACAGGCAATCGAATTACGACAACACTGAGTTCAAGATAATAACAAACTAAAACAAGTATGTCGTGATCAACAGTTTGTATTATACTAGAGCATTGCGCACAATAATCTATGTTGACCTAGTCATCATTTTAATAATATCGAAGCCTTTTAAATAGTCCATTCCATCCTGGTTCAATAAGAGAAATGATCCATTTGTATTTTCATACACAAACTGTCAATTGCCTTCTTTTGCCTTTAAAATAACTGATGCAATTGTTTATTCAGTACAAAAGCCATTTCAATACGGTAGCCGATCAAGTTTCTCTATGTCATTTCTATACATTAGCCTACAACAGTTTATGGCGCAGTATAAAATCGTGCAAGTATATTTACTAGGTGTTACGAAATGACATCTTCCTTAATTGATACAGTTTCTACACTATAAGCTCACTGCGACTCGAACTTATTCTGTTTAACTAACTATAGTAACCATGAATCTTGGTTGGTATCGTAATCGGTAAAGTAGTCCATGCAATCCATCAACCAAGCTATAACTTCTTGTTCTGCACGAAATGATATGCTCTCTCGTCTTTATCAAGTCATTCACTGCTTTACGACAGTGATTTTAGTCCAGTTGTAACGTTCAAATGCTGTCATCAGCAATCCCTTTAACACATCCAGAGCCTCTAGCCCAATTGATTGTCTTTCTATATCTCCCTTCAGTAAGTTATTTCCATCCAGCTATCCATCATTCTTTGATATGGATTCTAGCAGATCTATATCTCCCTTCAGTAAGTTATTCCCATACAGTATCCAACTATCTATCATTCCTTGATATGGATTCTAGCAGATCTATATCTCCCTTCAGTAAGTTATTCCCATCCAACTCTCCATCACTCATTGCCATAGATTCTAGCAGATCTATATCTCCCTTCAGTAAGTTATTCCCATCCAACTCTCCATTACTCCTTGCCATGGATTCCAGCAGATCTATATCTCCCTTCAGTAAGTTATTCCCATCCAACTCTCCATCACTCCTTGCCATAGATTCTAGCAGATCTATATCTTCCTTCAGTAAGTTATTCCCATCCAAGTATCCATCACTCCTTGATATGGATTCTAGCAGATCTATATCTCCCTTCAGTGATTTATTCCCATCCAACTCTCCATCACTCATTGCCATAGATTCTAGCAGATCTATATCTTCCTTCAGTAAGTTATTCCCATCCAAGTATCCATCACTCCTTGCCATGGATTCTAGCAGATCTATATCTCCCTTCAGTGAGTTATTCCCATCCAACTCTCCATCACTCCTTGCCATGAATTCTAGCAGATCTATATCTTCCTTCAGTAAGTTATTCCCATCCAACTCTCCATCACTCCTTGCCATGGATTCTAGCAGATCTATATCTCCCTTCAGTAAGTTATTTCCATACAGTATCCAACTCTCCATCACTCCTGGCCATGGATTCTAGCAGACCATCACCACTATTTATTGGCCATTTTGTATCATCACGGTCGACCTTAGTCACGTGAGTAGATTATGACCGGAAGGACATACATACTAGCAAATACCAGCTAGTAGCCATTGTAATACAGTATTTGACTGTTGTATTGACTACTGTTTGCGCAACATCGCGTTATTATGACACCCCCCCCCCTTCCCAACCCAAGGGCTCAACAACACCTTCACTTCTTCTATTGACTTTGTATTTCTATAGTAACGCTGTTAAAATACCGATGGGTATACGATATAAGGGAGCAAGGGCAATCTTCTTCTATTGACAATTCTCACCTATCGAGCCGAACGCAATTCTCCTCCTTCAACGTTTATTCTTGCTGTTAGCCTGCTAGCCATTACATATTTATCCACATCTTGTGGCCAGGCTATCGTTTCCTCGCTCACGAGCGATCTCCTAGTTGTTTATTGGATTGGTATTGATTGCAAATGGCTTGTAAAAGATTCTTGGCAAGCGTACTTTGTTGGATGGCGATTTTCGCTTGTTTCAACCTGGTACAATGCGATCAGCTAGAAAAGCAATGGAAATTTGATGCTAATAACAAACTAAATATCCATCTTGTCTCTCATACTCACAACGATGTTGGTTGGTTAAAAACACTTGATCAATACTACTACGGAGGTAGAGTAGATGGCTTTCTAATGGCCATTGCAATCAACAGCCAATGTTTTGTTTGACTTCATTTTGATTCATCAACTTAAGTAGTTCATTTTCATCCTGGTTATTGTCATAATTTGTTCTTCCATATCATCTTATTTCAGCCAAGGATAAAGTCGCTCATGCTGGTGTCCAGTATATCCTAGATACAGTCGTACAAGAATTGATGGCTGATCCATCCAAGAAATTCATTTATGTTGAAATTGCTTTCTTTACCAGATGGTGGCGTGAACAAGATAAGAAAACGCGTGAAAATGTCAAGATGTTGGTCAAACAAGGTATAGCGTGCATTTATCTGGTTCAAATTGAAGGCAGAGAGAGGACGACTTTACTGTAGTATATAAGATTGAATTTTCATCACTTGGATGTAGTAGTAGTAGTAGTACTGATTAAAATGTCAGATATTGTTTACTGTTGTGTATAAGATTGAATTTCCATCACTTGGATGCAGTAGTACTGATTAGAATGAACAGATATTGTTTACTGTAGTGTATAGGATCGAATTTTCATCAATGGGATACGGTAGTTCTGGTTACAACGGACAGATATCGTTTACTGTAGTGTATAAGATTGAATTTTCATCACTTAGATACAGCAGTACTGATTAGAATAGACAGATATTGTTTTATTGTAGTGTATAAGATTGAATTTTCATCACTTGGATGCAGTAGTACTGATTAGAATGGACAGATATTGTTTACTGTAGTGTATAGGATCGAATTTTCATCAACTGGATACGGTAGTTCTGGTTACAACGGACAGATATCGTTTACTGTAGTGTATAAGATTGAATTTTTATCACTTGGATGCAGTAGCAGTAGTAGTACTGATTAGAATGTCAGATATTGTTTACTGTTGTGTATAAGATTGAATTTCCATCACTTGGATGCAGTAGCAGCAGTAGTACTGATTAGAATGGACAGATATCGTTTACTGTAGTGTATAGGATCGAATTTTCATCAATTGGATACGGTAGTTCTGGTTACAACGGACAGATACCGCTTACTGTAGTGTATAAGATTAAATTTTCATCACTTTGATACAGTAGTACTGATTAGAATAGACAGATATTGTTTTATTGTAGTGTATAAGATTGAATTTTCATCACTTGGATGCAGTAGTACTGATTAGAATGGACAGATATTGTTTACTGTAGTGTATAAGATTGAATTTTCATCACTTGCATGCGGTAGCAGTAAAAGTACTGATTAGAATGTCAGATATAGTTTACTGTGGTATATAAGATTGAATTTTCATCACTTGGGTGCAGTAGCAGTAATAGTATTGATTAGAATGTCAGATATTGTTTACTGTAGTGTACAAGATTGAATTTTCATCACTTGGATGCAGTAGCAGTAGTAGTACTGGATACGGTAGTTCTGGTTACAACGGAAAGATATTGTTTACTGTAGTTTATAAGACTAAATTTTTCATCACTTACATACTGTAGTACTGGTTAGAACGCACAGATATTGTTTACTGTAGTGTAGAAGATTGAATTTCATCACTTGGATACAGTAGTACTGGTTAGAACGGATAGATAGATATTGTTTACTATCCAACTTATCACTGTTAGTTTGCGGTATAACTGTAGATGCAATCATCTAATATCGGAAATGATTGCATAATTAGGTCGTCTAGAATTTATCAATGGAGGCTGGTCCATGAATGATGAAGCTGCCACGCATTATAATGCAATCATTGATCAAATGACCCTAGGATTAAAATTTATTCGAGATACTTTTGGTGATGCTGCACGACCTACAATCGCTTGGCATATCGATCCTTTCGGCCATTCAGCTGCTCAGGCATCTTTATTTGCACAGGTAGATATACGTGTATGTAATAAAGAATATTGCAATTCGTCCATTTCTGTCTACATGATTGCTTTACGTGCATATGTTAACACATATATAATCTACATTATGTGGGGAAGAGCCATTCAAGATTGTAATGACTGCTCATGATTGAAAAGACGCTACTTATGTTACCCCTAGACATATGTATTGATTATGTTGTGATGCTATACATCGATAGAGAAAACACTATAAATAATTAGCATAAAGTTGGAAGCCTCTATAAATTACAACTTAATGTTATTGTTTACGTAGTTTATCACTCTATTGTAAATGTTAATCATGCTTTCCTACGGTATAGCAATTACTCGCTTTATATTATACCGGTAGGTATCGATCATGCTATCATCCTGTATGTATCGATACTATAAATATTATAAATAATTGTTAGCACCGAAATCGAAAAGCAAAGACCTCTATCTATATTGTACAAGCACACTTCAATTAATCTTCTACATAACCACTAATCTATTACTAATTTTCGGTTGATCAACCCATCCATCCTTTGGCAGATGGGATTTAATGCATTTTTCTTAGGTAGAATCGATCATGATGATAAAAGTGCAAGATTATCCAAAAAAGAAATGGAGATGATTTGGCGTGCAAGTCAAAGCTTGGGTAAAAAAACTCAATTATTTACCGGTGTCTTGTATAATCGGTATAGCCCACCCCCTGGATTCTGTTTCGATCAAGGTTGTAATGATCCACCAATACAGGATGATAAAAACCTAAGGGGATACAATGCTGATGAAAGAGTAAAGACTTTCATGGAATTAGTGATGATGCAAGCTTCCGGCTATCGAACCAACAACATCATGATAACGATGGGCAATGATTTTAACTATGAAAATGCGCGACATTGGTTCAAAAATCTTGACAAATTAATAAAACATGTCAAAAATACTCATAAGAACGTCAATATCTTCTATTCAACTCCTTCAGTATATCTCAAAGCTGTCCATGCTGCCAATCTAACATGGCAAGTTAAAACCGACGATTTTTTCCCATATTCTGATTGTAATCATTGCTATTGGACTGGATATTTTACCAGTAGACCAGGTTATAAAGGCTATGTTAGAGATTCTAACAGCATTCTACAGGTTTGCATACTTAATAAAGTAGATTAACAAAATAACATTGAATAAAGTCTTCAATTCATTTTAGATTAAGAATATTATACTAACAAAGTATGTTTTGCTTCCGTTATTTAAAGGTTTGCAAGCAACTAGAAGTCATATCAAAGTCGACGGGTAACTCATCATCTGAAGCACTTACTAGAGCTATGGGAGTAGCACAGCATCATGATTCTGTTACTGGTACTGCTAAACAATTGGTTGATTTTGACTATGCATCGAGATTAGCGGATGGTCGTAAGGAATGTAAAGTAAGCAAATCAGTCATATCGATCGAAGTGGGATTTTCACTTAATGTTTTTTTCTTCTTGGAAACTTGAAATTAAATGTTATTATTGCAAACTATTTTAAATTTTAGAACGTTATTAGTGATGCCATTGGCAACTTAGCCAAGAAATCAAGTTCTAACAAGGCTGCTACTTATGTCTATTGTGATTATCGCAATATCAGTATCTGCTCTATAACTCAAAAATCGAAATCATTTACGATTAATGTTTACAATCCTATAGCAAGATCTATGAGTAGTACTATCTATTTACCTATTTCGGCATCTCATGTAACTGTTATTGGACCTAACGGAAAGCCAATTCACGCCCAGGTTAACTGCAGACTTCTATATTAACTCGTTTCAGCAAGAGCATTTTCTATATTGCCAATGAATATCGCTTATCCTTGTTTTTAATCTTCAAAGGTTAATAAGAATATGCATTACAAATCACAAATGCAATATCCCGGACAAGCTCCATATACCTTGGTCTTCGAGGCAACTTTACCCGCTCTTGGCTATAGCGAATTTTACGTAAAAACTATCAAGTCTCCATCATTTTACAGTTCCGCCGAACTCGCGAAAACTATTAAGTTTGATCTGTCAAACAAAGATATTGTCATGGAGAATAAGGTAAATTCAAATTAATATCATAGCTTGTAATGATAACTGCACACATTTCTATACTTTTATTATCATTCTAACGATACTATCATGGAAAATAAAGCAAAATTAATTGACTATATCTTTGTTTTCATATATTAGTACCTAAAACTCACCTTCTCGAATGCCACCGGACGTTTAAAATCTATTACGACTAAAATTGGAAAACAATCAAAGACTATGGATGTCGATCAAGACTTTTTGTGGTATAACGCAAGTAAAGGCAACGACGAGAGTAGTCAAGCATCTGGCGCTTACATATTTCGACCTGCGGTAATGGACCCAATACCTATTGCATCCAGTGACAAAGTTGAAATAACCCAGATTACGGTAATAAGCTAGTTTTATAGGGTTTACAATCGTCTACTAGCTCATCAATGTTTTTGTCTATTATTAGAAAGGGTCAGTAATCCAAGAAGTGCATCAAAAATTTTCTCCATGGGTAACTCAGGTTGTCCGTTTACAAGAAAACTGGAAATTTGCCGAATTTGAATACACCGTTGGCTCTATCCCAATTGGGTATATCAAAAAGATCAATTGCTCTCGCTTACAAAATTTGATGATATTATCATATTAAAACACGCTTTTATCAATCTTACTCTATCTACGTGTAGGGACCGATTAGGTAAGGAGATTATCAGCAGATTCACAAGTCAAATCAAGAGTGCCGGATTGTATTATACCGACGCAAATGGAAGAGAAATGCAAAAGAGAAAACGAAACTATCGCCCTACTTGGAAATTAAGATCCACTGAGCCAGCCTCTCAAAATTATTATCCAGTTAATAGCAGAATGTACATAAAGGATAATTCTATGCAGTTGACTGTTTTGACGGACAGGTCACAGGGTGGCGCAAGTTTGAAAGATGGACAAATGGAATTAATGGTAAGTATGATCCAGCTAACTTTACAACCAATAGGTTTTTGATACTGAAAAAATCTTGCACTGTAATAAAGGTTCATAGAAGATTACTTTATGATGATGCACGTGGCGTAGGAGAGCCACTTAACGAAAAGGGTGTTACCGGTAAAGGTTTAATCATTCGAGGAGTTCACTATCTTACGTTGGCCCCACCATCAGACTCTGCTAAACTTCACCGAGAACAGGGAGAAGCGCTGCTATTAAGGCCTTATGTATCTTTCTCAAATTCCTATAGCAGTTTACAAAGCTGGATGAGCAATTCTAACGCTCAGGTAATTTATCCATTTTAGACGGTGCAATCATGGTAATAATAATCTAAATATCCGACTCCGTGGTGCTTGCTGAATTTTAATAACTATCAATTTAGATGTCAGCCATTACGAAAGGTTTACCCGAAAATGTCCACTTATTAACATTGCAAAGATTTGATAATAATATACTATTGCGGTTGGAACATCAATTTGCTGTTAAAGAAGACAGCAAATTGTCTAAGCCAGTTACTGTGTCATTAAAGGTCAGGCACATAAAAAATATTAATTGTAGTAAACATCTTTTATAATAAAATCAAGCCCAATACAAGAAGTGTGTGACATTCATAAGCTTAACTTAATTTTCTATCTTTCTTCAACAGAATTTGTTCAAATCTTTCAATATAACTAGTATTTCTGAAGTGACTCTGTCAGCTAATGCTGAAATAGGCCAAGTAAAACCGCTTCAATGGAAAACACATGACACAAGTTCAGGTTTGATTTACCATTAAACAATAAATCTTGCTAAAGTATAATTTATTGGTCTTCATGTTTGGTAGTTTATGAATTCTGAAATTCCATAAAATTTTATCTTACATAGATAAGCTAAATTTGGAAAAAGTGATAGCTGAAAATCTAAACATCGATCTAAAAGCTATGCAGATTCGAACTTTCAATGTCACCTTTACCCGCTATAACTAACAGAATACAGCTAAATCTGTTTTTTAACCTTATAAAAATTATTCAAGTATACCCTAGTTGGATATTAACTAAAGAAATTATCGTTCAATTTCTTATGTTTGCATATTTTGTCGCTTGACTTAAAATATTAATTGTACTAGTTTATCAATTCTTTAGTGAATTATACTAAGTCACAAAATTAAGATTTATGTTTTTTCATAAAATGTTCTTTGTACTACTACTACTATCCTTTTAAACTAATATCAATTATTGATAAAACCTAAGTTTATTACTAGTATTCATGAAATACTCATGACATGAAAACTGATATGATTCACTTTAGTCACCGATATTAAATCTATTTTTATCAGGTAAAATAGGTCTAGTTAAATTTTGTGGAGTATTTCCTAATAATATAATCAAAAGAGCACAGGCAATATTTGTTACTACAATAGGATACATTTCAATTGCTTTATTTCAAGAGTTGCTAAAAGTTTCCAAAAGCTAATCTTTTAGTTACGTCTACAGCAATTACTAGCTACACCAAAAATGTAGCAGGTAACATAGCATCGACGATAAGACATTACAACTAACACCAATAAGTACGAATCACTACACAATAAGTATAAATAATCAATGATACTACAGCTACGTTTAGGAAGCTGAAGCAGCATTGGAATTAGCTGAATCAGCGTAGATCTTCCATACACCGTTGTCTTTGTAGTATAAAGCAAGACCCCTGGGAAGATATATTAATAAGAACAGATTAGGTTTCATATCTACCCATTGCATTCAAAATGCTATCAAGTAGCATAAATACGATATACTGTCTGACTGTTGATGTTGGACGATAAAAATTTTCAATATTGGCATCTCTACTTGTATATTGTTCTAGAATACTTACTTTCCGTTATCAAAGACAGATCCATCAGCCTTGTATAAGGTGTTGTTATAGATTACGTAGGCGTTGTTGCCTCCACCTCCAACTTCAAGGACATCTGTTTCCGATTTTCCAATACCGAGAGCAGCTAAGCCAGCGAAATACTCTTTGATTGCTAATAAATAATGAAATAATTATCATCGTATACCGCACAGTCACTGATTTAATAAGATCAATTGATGTCTCAAATATCTCCAATCATTGAATAACTACAGATAATGTTTAGTTAGTATTAACACATTCGTCGATAAATCTAATTCATTATGGAACTCACCAGCCTTGCCAGAGATCATTGGGCTACCAGGTGCTAAGATTTTAGCATCGTCAGTATAGCAACCAACGACTGCATCAACGTCACCTTTATTAATGGCCTCGTTGCATTTCTTTTCAGCGGCTTTGATTTCTTCTTGAAGCGCTAAATTGGAAAGAAGAATAATGTATTAATTTCTATAAAATATCATTCCACCATTACAATGACTAACTAGACACGTCCACAATCGATGTGATCACGACTAGATTCAATTAAAATAATAGCAATCTTAATAAATGACATCAGGCCAGACATTTTCTACGTATCCAGTAGGTAAAGATTGACAATAATATAGAATAGTTTCAATAGATTACAATTAACTGCACTATAGGACAACTCCATCTCCATTAACTATGGTTTCTCATTCTGCTCTATAGTGCTTAAAATAATTATACTATCAATAGTTTGTCTCAGCTAACTATTTAAACAATTCACTTTGATTCATCGAGAACTTTGACCTCTAACAATAAACGATTCATGTAGGTTCATGATAGTAACCTCCAGGGACTGATGAAATATTTATATTGCAACCTTTTAACATTTAATAATATCGTCTGATTAATATGAACGTCATGCAAGTAATTTATCTACGCTCTCGATAGTCAATTAGCTTAGATTTAATTAACGCAGCATGATTTTAAAATTATGACGTCTTAATAAATGACATTTTATCTATTAACATTAGGTGGTAAAATAAGACCATAGAATAACCCTTCTATCCACGTGGATTACGATCGAAGTATGCATAAGAAAAATTTTTTTACTATGAATGGCCTAGACGCTCAATTTTCTATTACTTTATGAGGTATATAAATTGAAATAATTATTATACCACGGCTTATCTTTTAGTGTTAACCTTAACCTTGATCGAACTCTACCGCGTAAAAACTTCTGTCTTACAAAAATTCTAAGCTTAGACTATTATAGATGTAGCAATTTCATACATCTTTAATACCGGCATCTATAATTTCACTTTTTATCATTAATGCTGACATTCTATTCTATTGACATTCATATGTCAGATACTATTGTATGATAGTTACGTAGAATAAGCTAAAATATAGAGTGCAATCAATATTCTAATAATTCCATCAGTTAGCAGCATATAGAATATGTTACATATCCTTTCCACTAAGACAATCCAAGACTATTACAAATAGGATATTGTACATGTTTAGGACTGAGATGAAATTTACTTGACTCTAGCTTCTATGTGTCAATAAAAACTAATAATGATTACAGGATGTACAACTTAAAATTGATGGATATTTCTAAATTATCGCTACTAAAATAATAAAAATAGGTTCGATTGATCACCAAAAATGCAATCCATTCAGCATTCAACAGGTAGGATAAATTAATCTAAGTCAGCGAATAAATAATTTATCCCTATTTTAATTATCTTACTTTTCGCTGTGTAATAAAGTCATGGTAAAATAAGATATCGTCATAAGTATATATATATCATTACTTTATTGGAAAAACTGGAAGCTTAAGCCGATTTTAAGGATATCCCAAAACAAGAACCTGACGATTTAAAATGGCTTATCATGGCTAAACAGCACTCCTAATCTATAATAAAAATTCATGACTTACCAGACATGACTTTCTTGTATTCGAAATCAATTAGCAATAGTGTTCGGAAAAATGGATAAACAACTTAGGGGAAAGTTGTAGGAAACTATTGAACTGGGAGAGATTGGAGGAGAAGTGATTTTTCCAATAGTTGTAGGTCTTATATAGCCTTGAGCCGGCATCATGTTGACGCCTTACGCTAATTTTTATTCTATTGCTCCGTATTGTTCCAGGAAGAACCAATTACGCATATACCATTCCAATAGTGTCTGAAGAGGGCGGAGTAAACTAGTTATGGCTAACAATTATTGTCCGATTATTGACATATCGATTTAAAAGGCAATTATTTACGCTATAGTTACTTTCTTTTGCAATCTTTAAGGAACTTTTTAAGCTTAGACGATATTATTTCATCATGAGCTTACACCTATTGTCCCTTATTGAGTTAGTCTGCAGGACAGTACAAAAAAATGAGGAGTGGACTTCTATTTCCATCGTTAGCATTTAGATTATGTCGCCCTCTTTTACTTGTATTAGACTTTATTCACATTGTTGATAGTCTAACCCTTGAAAAGTAGAAATAAAGTTCTACTACGATGATAGCAAGGTGAAGTGGCGTCTTTGATATCTAACAGTACTTATAAATAACTTGTTCTTGATCTAGAGAAGTAGATATGAATGGCATTCGATCTTTTCAATGGATTAAGGTTAACTAAACAGTTTAAGTCTTCATGGCATCTCATGAAAGTAATTTATTGGTCTGCTTATTCTTTTCAATATAGAAAGACTTTGATGCTAGTATAACGTAGCCAAAATTTAGCTTTCTGTTGCTATACTAGTATATTGCTAAATTACTATTACAATAAGGAATCTCATCTATCGATACAACAGACTAAATAAATAACCAGTAATCCTCTTACACCATAGATATGCATAGAATCATGTACAAAACGGCAATCACAATCCCTATTGCCAATCTATATATTTTATCCTTTTTTTCATGGATCATCCTACATTCTACTTTTATCAAGTGTATCAAACCCATGGCAATCATGTCCAGACTGAATTAAGATAGCGACATACTTCAAATTGAAGAGAGACTAATGTAATCAATCATGACTAAATCAGTCGACAAGTTGGATTCTATCTATCCGCGATAGAGCAATAATTGATATTTTCTAGTCTCCAAATTATTCATATACCATTGAAAACTTAATTATTGTGAATAGCTTTTTAAGCTTGTAAGCTGTCATGATTGGTTCCCTAAATATATTAATAATTTAGATAGAATAAAAGAATAACAATGATCATTTTAATTATATTGCTATTTTTTAAAAGTGATGGGGATTTAAAACTGTCCTTTCCAACAATGAGAAAGTTCTTTGTTTATTTAATTTAATTAGAGTTATGTAAAAGCTTTAAATTTAAATACGAATATAATACCGTACGATCTCGTGAAGAAAGAACCGATATTAAATATTAAATCAATAATGCTTAAGATCTGCTACCAATAATTTGTCTGCTTGACTTAGTTACGCAGATAATCACTTCCTCCCTTACCAATTATAAGTTGAGATCTGCCTACTTCCATCATTCTCTTGATATCAACTGCAAAGCAATAAACTAACCTGTTAGGTCTAGACGTAATCATCGAATTGGAATTGAATCAATTTCTTCTAATTTATATAAAATTAGGAATAGCACGATAGCAACTATAGCTCGAAAACTGAATTGATAGCCAGAAATAGCCTAATTATGATAACATGGAACATAATCAATCTTCACCTGCCGATAATCGCTTTAATTTTAAAGCAGTTACGTTATCTCCTATCGATATTTTAGTTTTAATTAATAAAATTTTATCTAGAGCTCTATTAATTATCATCGATGCAACAACAGATTTTTAGTGATGAATGTTTTACATTAATAACTGCTTTATCTGCAATATCCTATTACAATTAAGCTAAAATGACGATTACTCGAATTTATAGATTAAATAATTTACAATACGACAAAAAATTTCAGGTTCTGATGCTCTCGATTAATTAATGCTTGATCAACAAAATTGTGTTATAACTTAGCTAGATCATGATGACTACCCTGATTGATTAGTTATCAATACATCAAGAGAATTCTGTTAAGGCTATTTTATATTAATTCTTGCTTCTTCTACTGCATCATTTTACTGTGTAACTAAGCCACCATAATATTACTCGGGCTTATTAGTTCCTAATGCGATAGTAGATTTCAATCATAGATACATTCGTCAATGCTTGATCTACAGTACCAGTATCATATTATAGCCAAGCTAAAATGATAACTGCTTAATCAGCTACCTAGATAATATAAATCAAGTACAAAATTTTCAAATCTAATCGATTGCAAATAAGATTAAATAGGAGGTGGAAATGTGATCAAGGTCCGTTATCGTCTACCATCATTGTCATTCTAGAAGAATTTTATAGGACATTCCTAAGATATCCCAAGGGTAATTTAAGAGAGGAAAACTTTAAAGTTTTCCGTTATCGAAATCAAGTCTATTAAACAATGACGATGAGGTAAAATCACAAGCGAGAATGCAGTCAAAGTTCGCTACGATCTTTGCTATAGTAAAAAAGATATTAGCGGAACATTCTTGATCTATTTCTGAGGCTATTTCGAAAGAGAAAACGTGTTTTTATGATTTAAAAAAAAGATTTTAAAACATACTGTACAAAGTAGCTGATAGCTATATTAGAAAAATGATTCGCTATCATCTACAGGGAAAGTAAAATAAGGTAAATAGAATTTAAAGTCTTTAAAGCTTGTAAACCAATCAGGACGATAGTTCTATGCTATTATCAGCTTATTTACTTCATTGTAATACATGTTCATCGATGTTTTATTTTAAATAAACTGTTGATGCCTTCGAGCATTTAATAGCTACTTACATTCCATTTAATTAAGAAAATTACTCTAGTTGTCAAGGATTTTGTTCCAATATCTTACTTCGCTATTATATCACTTTGAACTTATTATTTTAATTGTATAATATCCTTTTCAACATAGGAACGTATTATGTAAGTATTATCTATAGGTCAAGGTAAAAATAGACAATTTGATCCAAAGGAGACAAGTAGCATTGATAGGCCACGGATAAATCGTTTATTTCATGACTTATTCTTATGATTTATTAGCTATAGAAATGAGGCAAAATCAAAGTGCACCCGGCGTGCAACAGTAAAAATTTAGCTTTGACAGTAATAAAATATTTCTTACATTGACAACTAGAGGTAGTCTATGATTATCTATGAGAAATCTAGAGCTTAATAACCTATCATAAGACGAGTGGCATCGATGGTTCATAATTAAATCGTATCATTTCATGATCAATACTCGCACTTAATGGTTAATCAGCCGTGCAAAGCATTAAACCATGTTGATGACAATACAAGCATTAATTGTAGGTTGAGATAAAAGTAAGCTATTAATCCATAAGACAAGTAGTATCGGCTACTCATGATTACATACAATAACTCGTTTGATGATTGATCATCTAGGACCTATACTAATCGGGTAAAGCTTTAATATTTATATGTGGAATAACATCGATTTAACTTGATTTATAACCATCCGATGCTAATCTCATTCTTAGATTATAAATAAAAGATCATGAAATACAATGTCCCTACATGTTACTAATATACAATAAGTGTTGTTAACCGCAATCATCTGCTAATTATTTCTATATAGCCTGTATAGATTGCATAAACGACAAGAATAGTAATGGAAGTAGTCATATTCTTATTTATACGATATTCCTCGATTAATAGTTCAAGTTAGATCAAAGATACATTTTAAATTGAGTGCTGACTTTAAATATAAATGTGAGTATGATGAAAATCAAGAGATAGAGCTAGATCTCTCATATTAAGCCTTTAATAACAATAATAAATAAACTAGTCTCAATCCATGATATTTTGTAGCAAAGTACTATAGTAAAATGATCATACGTCGAAAATCAACATCGTATGAATAACATTATTAATATTAAGTAGGACTATTTAAAATGCTTTTATTCAGAGGAAATATAGGAATTTCTGAATAGCTAAGTCAGAAATTTTTCTATCAACAGATACAAGAAATATCATTCTATACTATAGCCAAGAAAGTATATTACCCATGAAGCAAGTGACTAAATATTGAACGTAGATGCCCAATATCGACGCTGAGTAGCATACTCAACGGATAGACATCCTACCGTAACAGGATCGAAAACTAAAGTCAATGACTTCATAATCCATTCGTTAATTTAAAACTTATCTACAATCGTCTAGTCGTGATGAAAATTTTTTCTACCGATAATTAACCAATTCAGCGATAAAATTAAGATAGTAACACAATTTCGATTCTAACAGCACTGCTTAAAATGCAATTTTATTTTTACGCTTATGCATCAGTTCTTATCGTTCAATAACAAATGACATTATTTCATTTTCATTGATTCTATTCTCAAAGTTCAGCGATAGTGATGGTAGGATAATAGCGAAATGAAAAGGTACAACGATAACTTGATCAATAGTTGCTTCAAAGCGAGCAAAAGCTTTGTTCCTAGTTTGATAATCAACCCACTAGCAATAGCAGCAATCTAGATGAGAATAATACTTGACGATGATATTATTTGATGATAGCATAGCCTACGGGCATCCAATTGCTATAACTGTTCTATTTAAATGGCCATTAATTAAAACAAATACTATATTCTAAATAGAAAACGTAGTCGATTACAGTTGAATTAGTTACTTTTGGACTATATTAAAGTCGCGATACACTTTATCATGACTCAAGTCTCCTGATCTTCTAAATCAGAGTCTAATTGTTTTGCAGGGATTGTTTATTTCTTGAGAAAAATAGTTGAAGGTCATTTTCCTATAATTCTGATCATGGATTTTAATCCATGATCAGATCAGATAAAATAAGTATCCGAAGCTCTATGTTCATCTCTCATATCTTCGAGATTACTAACCTTCCTTACGGCAGAAATTGCTCGATCGAAAAGGAACTGCACTCTTTCATTAATAGTGATTGAATCAACACCCTTTTTATAGTAATAATCGCTACTTTACGCCTAGTATCTTAGTAAAGCAATTGGACATGAATAAATATTGTAGTGAAGATCGCTATAGAACTTGTTTTGTAATTAGTCGATAACCATTTGATTCATGTTTCTATCTCATAATGGCTACTTTACGTGTAATCCAAGCAGAGTAATCCGAGTTGAAGTAGACTCATCCATTAATACTGTTCGGATCATCACCTTTTAATAGTTACAAAAAATATCTTAACAAAGTACTTCGACTTGAATAAATATCGTAATGAAGGTAGCTTATGGCTGGATAACTTGCTTTTGTAATTGATCGATAGTCATCCGATCTATGTTTTTATCTAATAATGGCTACTTTAGGCCTAGTATCTTAGCAAGGTAATTCGAGTTAAATTGGACTCTTCCATCAATACTGATCAGATCAACAACTTTTTACAGCAATAATGACTACTGCACGCTTAGTATCTTAGTAAAATAATTCGACTTGAACAACCATCGTCACTACGATGGTTTATCACTAGATTAGTTGTTTTATCATTGATCGATAACAATTTTATCTATGTTTCCGACTATACCCTGTATAGGTAATATCATTAAGACAATGTTATTTGAGTTACACGAATTGATGTTGACATACTCCACTAGAAATAGTAGTAATTTTTGTGAAATTGCTGGCTATTAATCTAGTCGGAATAGCAGGGTGAGTTAACTACAGCCTAGTTATAGGGGATTGTTAGTATTTGAAGTGTATAATAGACAAGATGATGAGAAGAGCATGTCGGGCTGTAAACTACAATCTTAGTGAGTTTAACTCAAATATTATCTTTTAGCATGCTAAAACAACATCAAAGGTATTCGCCAGTATTTTAAAGTGCACAGCAGATAAGATGATGAGAAGAGCATGTTGGGCTATAGACTGCAATCTTAGTGAGTTTTGACTCAAGTATTATCTTTTAGCACGCTAATACAACATCAAATGTATTTCATGATTCAGGAATGGCTGCTACATATCAGATATAGTATCGGGAATCGAATTTCTGCGACTATATTAGTAAACTATCCCAGTATGGCATATAAATTAATACGCTGCGATCCTACTTAAGGCAGGGAAATAATTCTATTTCGCATTCGTATATTTTACTATAATTGTGGCCATGCGTTACAACGTTTATTTAAAACGGATATTTAAATTGATAGACTGGTAATAGCCTTTAAATAAATTGATCACCTGTCAGGACTAAGAAAAAGAATTTTAAAATTAAATCGATCGATCTGGTCCACCGATAGATTCTGAAACAAATTAGATCAATCATTAAGTTTACATATACCGCAGTACACTATGCATTAATCATATCATCAATTTTCGGATTTTAGAAGAGGTCAAGGACTAGGGAACAGTAATATCTCGTAGACATAAGCTCTGTAACATTATATTAAGTTCGAATATAAAATAGATTAAACTTGGACTTACAGATCTATAATTAGTAAAGATTTATAATTGTATAGTATCGATTCAATACCACTTCTCTAATTATCAGACATCGACCGAACGTCTGACAAGTTTTTAAATATAGAACACGATTGATTTATAGTTCAAGACTGTAATTTCTCTATCGTAATTTGTAGAGCTGTTAAGCAAAAATTTCATCATTTATTCAACTTTAAATTTTACTATGGGAAACCCATTCCATGAAATATAAAATGCATAGACAAATTGCCTTAATTTTTTTTTTATTTTTGATCACTCTTCACATTGACTGACAATTCAAAACACACACTTGATGATGCTCTAAAAATTGGAATATCTTCTATACTAAGCCAAAGTGAGTATCAAAATCATTAATTTGCAATAAACAATATCACATTTTGCTAGCTATCATTACTTTAAAGAGGCTGAAACAGAGCTAGAATCTTCATAGCTCTTGTTGTAATTCAAATCTTGATATACGGTACTATTGATCTAACGCGATCGATAGCTAATAGCAGTCATTGAGAAAATTAATGCGTTATCTGATTATATCTTGCCTCATTCTGTGTATCACTTCCATTTGTAATACAAGCTACACTAATTTTACCAGAGTATCGTGATCATTAAATATCTGCAAACTAGTATAGAATAAAGTAAGTTAGAATTGGACTACTGTCATTCTAAACCAATTGCTAATGAAATATAAAATTACCCGTAATAGTACATCACACAGCAACATCATACATACATATTTTTAGAAATATGCATTTCGATGCTTAATATCTCAATCATGAAAGGCATACGATAATAGTAATAGCTACTTAATTGGTCATGTTTGTTGGTTATTTTTCAACATGACCAAGTTACACCTATGTAATGGTGTTTATTGCTTATTAGAGTTGGCAACATCGAGGAAGATCTTCCATGTGCCATCACTGTCCTTGCTATACAAGACAACACCCCTGCAATGAAAATAAAAGCATGATAATAATATGAATAGTGGATTAATGATCCATGTTGTTAGATTAGAAAAGATTTATAAATTAGGAAAACTAGAATCATATCCTGTGAAAGATACCATCAACTCTTGATACGTACTTTCCTTCTTCGAAAAGTGATCCATCCTCCTTGTACAGTTTGCTGCTATAACGCAAGAAACCATGAGTGCCTTCACCGCCACATTCTTCAGTTACAAATTCACTTTTAGCAATACCCAATGCAGCTAAAGAAGCAAAGTATTCCTTAATAGCTGAAAAATATAAAGGCATACCGTTTAGTTTTAAGCCAACAATTTGTCGCAGAGGATAGAATCGCATAGTTCAGTGATAGGAGCAAAAGAGTGATCGAAAAATAATATTTACCCTCTTTTCCAGAGATTGTTTCTGCACCTGGAGGTAATACACGTGCATCATCAGTGTAGTGGTTGACGATGGCATCTAGGTCAGTGCCATTGATGGCAGCTTCATAAGATTCCTCAGCAGCAATGATTGCAGTCTTGATATCTAGTAATTAATAAAAATTCCTATTTAAAAAATGGCTTCAAAAATCGACTTTAACGTTCTTCATTTTCAGCTATGTTGAGCTACACCCATTAACTAGCTGCAGTTATTTTTAATTTAATTTTATGCTATCGTAGATAATAACATCAGCTGGTTAAAAAAAACTGCTAATAACATCAGTTGGTTAAAAAAAACTACTAATAACATCAGCTGACTTTAAAAAAACTGCTTTTAAAATGGATTGTTGATGCTACTATTCATAATTCTGACATCAACTTCTTTCTAATGATTGCTGTAACTAGTATAACTGTATTAATTTTCAAGGGAATTTTTTTCAATTACCTGCCATTTTTGATCGGGTGGTTTCTGTATTGCTCGGATATGACAAAAAGTGAGAAATAATTTTAACAGATGTTGCAATTAAATACAACTAGTTGCGTGAGTACAAGTAAATAAATGGAATTTTTAAACCATTGAAAATTTTGAATTATATTATAATTTTAACAATGAATCATTGACGGCCAATAATGCAATTCTATGTGGAAAGCAATCGAAATGATTAAATAATCGATAAGATTGCTCATGATACTTAACTACCCAGGACATAAATAAATTGCTCTCTCGATTTTAGCCCGATCTTATTCACTAGACAAATAAAATTCGTCCTTACTTTCCATTGCTAATCAAAGATTGACATTTTGAGATTGAGAAATAAACAACAATCTATCTATCTTTATCCATTAGCCTTCCTGTTAAATCACTCATACTTATAAGCTATTGGCATTAATAGTACATATGCTGCCATGCAAAGACTCTGAATACGATAATTAGATTGATTTTGGTTGCAAAAATTTACCGGAAATAAAATCAGCATATGTCATAATAATATAATTAGCAAATGAAGTGTTATTACGTTATTAAACAAAGTGCCATGGCAATACTTTATCGGTTAAAATAGAATAAAAATAAATCGATAAAATTGAAAGATTAAACGAAACTGCAAGCATGAACTATACAATTTTACTTATACCTAAATACTTCGAGTAAAATTAAAAAGAATTCCATTGTAAGTGTAAGGGTTAATAATAAATTTTACTTTAAAACTAAAAAATTATTCGTCGATATATCAACATTATTTAAATTGGATATATTTTAACTTTTCCGTATATTTACTAACCTCATTTATGTCAATATTGGTTATAAGTCTCGCTGTTAAAGAATGAGCACTCAAGGTATTGCTGTACCATTCAATTCTATTCATATCTTAAGAATATTGTTATCCGATGCCAACCTGTATAACATTTTTCATCGGAATGACTTAAACAACAAACCGTCTTATGGTATAACTCTATTGCTAATATCAACGCATCGAAATAAGGCGAACAGAAATATTAAGTAAAAACTAAAGCAACATCTGGACAGCTTGGCTTATTTAGAATAGATTCAGTACTAAAAGTTCAACTCAATGGTTTAGAACACTAGCAATGAAATATTAAGGATTTGTTTAATCGATATGTCAATAATCGGACAATAATTGTTAGCCATAACTAGTTTACTCCCCCCTCTTCAGACACCACTGAAATGGTATATGCTTAATTGGCTCTTTCTGGAGGAGCAATAGAATAAAAATTAGCATAAGGCGTCAACATGATGCCGGCCTAAGGCTATATAAGACCTACAACTACTGGAAAAAATCACTTCTCCTCCAATCTCTGCCAGTTCAATAGTTTCCTACAACTTTCCCCTAAGTTGTTTATCCATTTTTCCGAACACTATTGCTAATTGATTTCGAATACAAGAAAGTCATGTCTGGTAAGTCATGAATTTTTATTATAGATTAGGAGTACTGTTTAGCCATGATAAGCCATTTTAAATCGTCAGGTTCTTGTTTTGGGATATCCTTAAAATCGGTTGAGCTTCCAGTTTTTCCAATAAAATAATGATATATACTTATGGCAATATCTTATTTTACCATGACTTTATTACACAGCGAAAAGTAAGATAATTAAAATAGGGATAAGTTATTCATACGCTGACTTAGATTAATTTATCCTACCTGTTGAATGCTGAATGGATTGTATTTTTGGTGATCAATCGAACCTATTTTTATTATTTTAGTAGCGATAATTTAGAAATATCCATCAATTTTAAGTTGTACATCCTGTAATCATTATTAGGGTATATTGACACATAGAAGCTAGAGTCAAGTAAATTTCATCTCAATCCTAAACATGTACAATATCCTATTTGTAATAGTCTTGGATTGTCTTAGTGGAAAGGATATGTAACATATTCTATATGCTGCTAACTGATGGAATTATTAGAATATTGATTGCACTCTATATTTTAGCTTATTCTACGTAACTATCATACAATAGTATCTGACATACTGTATGAATGTCAATAGAATAGAGTGTCAGCATTAATGATAAAAAGTGAAATTAAAGATGCCGGTATTAAAGACGTATGAAATCGCTACATCTTTAATAGTCTAAGCTTAGAATTTTTGTAAGAAAGAAGTTTTTACGCGGTAGAGTTCGATCAAGGTTAAGGTTAACACTAAAAGATAAGCCGTGGTATAATAATTATTTCAATTTTTATACCTCATAAAGTAATAGAAAATTGAGCATCTAGGCCATTCATAGTAAAAAAATTTTTCTTATGCATACTTCGATCGTAATCCACGTGGATAGAAGGGTTATTCTATGGTCTTATTTTACCACCTAATGTTAATAGATAAAATGTCATTTATTAAGACGTCATAATTTTAAAATCACGCTACGTTAATTAAATCTAAGCTAATTGACTATCGAGAGCGTAGATAAATTACTTGCATGACGTTCATATTAATCAGACGATATTATTAAATATTAAAAGGTTGCAATATAAATATTTCATCAGTCCCTAGAGGTTACTATCATGAACCTACATGAATCGTTTATTGTTAGAGGTCAAAGTTCTCGATGAATCAAAGTGAATTGTTTAAATAGTTAGCTGAGACAAACTATTGATAGTTTAATTATTTTAAGCACTATAGAGCAGGATGAGGTACCATAGTTAATGGAGATGGAGTTGCTCTATAGTGCAGTTAATTGTAATCTATTGAAACTATTCTATATTATTGTCAATCTTTACCTACTGGATACGTAGAAAATGTCTGGCCTGATGTCATTTATTAAGATTGCTATTATTTTAATTGAATCTAGTCGTGATCACATCGATTGTGGACGTGTCTAGTTAGTCATTGTAATGGTGGAATGATATTTTATAGAAATTAATACATTATTCTTCTTTCCAATTTAGCGATAAATGAACAAATCAAAGCCCCTGAAAACGGTTGCCAGATCGTAAATAAGGGTAGTAATACCGTGGCTGAAAACAAAATCGATACTAAGAAACCTTGCGAGGTTGGTGAGCTCCATAATGAATTAGATTTATCGACGAATGTGTTAATACTAACTAAACATTATCTGTAGTTATTCAATGATTGGAGATATTTGAGACATCCATTGATCTTATTAAATCAGTTACTGTACGGTATATGATGATAATTATTTCATTATTTATTAGGATCCAAATTTGGTAAAGCAACAGGTAAATGCTGTCAGTGCTGAAATATCGATGAAAGATGTCTTGGAGTCGGAGCCGAAGCCAACAGAGGCTTCGTAATCTATAACAACACCTTATACAAGGCTGATGGATCTGTCTTTGATAACGGAAAGTAAGTATTCTAGAACAATATACAAGTAGAGATGCCAATATTGAAAATTTTTATCGTCCAACATCAACAGTCAGACAGTATATCGTATTTATGCTACTTGATAGCATTTTGAATGCAATGGGTAGATAAGAAACCTAATCTGTTCTTATTAATACGTCTTCTTAGGGGTCTTGCTTTATACTACAAAGACAACGGTGTATGGAAGATCTACGCTGATTCAGCTAATTCCAATGCTGCTTCAGCTTCCTAAACGTAGCTGTAGTATCATTGATTATTTATACTTATTGTGTAGTGATTCGTACTTATTGGTGTTAGTTGTAATGTCTTATCGTCGATGCTATGTTACCTGCTACATTTTTGGTGTAGCTAGTAATTGCTGTAGACGTAACTAAAAGATTAGCTTTTGGAAACTTTTAGCAACTCTTGAAATAAAGCAATTGAAATGTATCCTATTGTAGTAACAAATATTGCCTGTGCTCTTTTGATTATATTATTAGGAAATACTCCACAAAATTTAACTAGACCTGTTTTACCTGATAAAAATAGATTTAATATTGGTGACTAAAATGAATCATATCAGTTTTCATGTCATGAGTATTTCATGAATACTAGTAATAAACTTAGGTTTTATCAATAATTGATGTTAGTTTAAAAGGATAGTAGTAGTAGTACAAAGAACATTTTATGAAAAAACATAAATCTTAATTTTGTGACTTAGTATAATTCACTAAAGAATTGATAAACTAGTACAATTAATATTTTAAGTCAAGCGACAAAATATGCAAACATAAGAAATTCAACGATAATTTCTTTAGTTAATATCCAACTAGGGTATACTTGAATAATTTTTATAAGGTTAAAAAACAGATTTAGTTGTATTCTGTTAGTTATAGCGGGTAAATGTGACATTGAAAGTTCGAATCTGCATAGCTTTTAGATCGATGTTTAGATTTTCAGCTATCACTTTTTCCAAATTTAGCTTATCTATGTAAGATAAAATTTTATCGAATTTCAGAATTCATAAACTACCAAACATGAAGACCAATAAATTATACTTTAGCAAGATTTATTGTTTAATGGTAAATCAAACCTGAACTTGTGTCATGTGTTTTCCATTGAAGCGGTTTTAATTGGCCTATTTCAGCATTAGCTGACAGAGTCACTTCAGAAATACTAGTTATATTGAAAGATTTGAACAAATTCTGTTGAAGAAAGATAGAAAATTAAGTTAAGCTTATGAATGTCACACACTTCTTGTATTGGGCTTGATTTTATTATAAAAGATGTTTACTACAATTAATATTTTTTATGTGCCTGACCTTTAATGACACAGTAACTGGCTTAGACAATTTGCTGTCTTCTTTAACAGCAAATTGATGTTCCAACCGCAATAATATATTATTATCAAATCTTTGCAATGTTAATAAGTGGACATTTTCGGGTAAACCTTTCTTAATATTTAATATCGGTTCTTTCTTCACGAGATCGTACGGTATTATTTACATAACTCTAATTAAATTAAATAAACAAAGAACTTTCTCATTGTTGGAAAGGACAGTTTTAAATCCCCATCACTTTTAAAAAATAGCAATATAATTAAAATGATCATTGTTATTCTTTTATTCAATCTAAATTATTAATATATTTAGGGAACCAATCATGACAGGTTACAAGCTTAAAAAGCTATTCACAATAATTAAGTTTTCAATGGTATATGAATAATTTGGAGACTAGAAAATATCAATTATTGCTCTATCGCGGATAGATAGAATCCAACTTGTCGACTGATTTAGCCATGATTGATTACATTAGTCTCTCTCCAACTTGAAGTATGTCGCTATCTTAATTCAGTCTGGACATGATTGCCATGGGTTTGATACACTTGATAAAAGTAGAATGTAGGATGATCCATGAAAAAAAGGATAAAATATATAGATTGGCAATAGGGATTGTGATTGCCGTTTTGTACATGATTCTATGCATATCTATGGTGTAAGAGGATTACTGGTTATTTATTTAGTCTGTTGTATCGATAGATGAGATTCCTTATTGTAATAGTAATTTAGCAATATACTAGTATAGCAACAGAAAGCTAATTTTGGCTACGTTATACTAGTATCGAAGTCTTTCTATATTGAAAAGAATAAGCAGACCAATAAATTACTTTCATGAGATGCCACGAAGACTTAAACTGTTTAGTTAACCTTAATCTATTGAAAGGATCGAATGCCATTCATATCTACTTCTCTAGATCAAGAACAAGTTATTTATAAGTACTGTTAGATATCAAAGACGCCATTTCACCTTGCTATCATCGTAGTAGAATTTTATTTCTACTTTTCAAGGGTTAGACTATCAACAATGTGAATAAAGTCTAATACAAGTAAAAGAGGGCGACATAATCTAAATGCTAATGATGGAAATAAAAACCCACTCCTCAATTTTTTTTTGTACTGTCCTGCAGACTAACTCAATAAGGGACAATAGGTGTAAGCTCAAGATGAAATAATATCGTCTAAGCTTAAAAAGTTCCTTAAAGATTGTAAAGAAAGTAACTATAGCGTAAATAATTGCCTTTTAATCAAACATAACTCTAATTATAAATTGATATTTTAATGTCATAGCTCAAAGTATTACCTAGTAGTAGGCCTACGGTTCCAATAACACAATATCAATACATACATAAATATCTTTACATTTAGCCACTAACGAATTACTCTGTATTGATTTGGCCTACTCTGTTCCACACGTGTTTATCGTCTTTTAATTGGATCATTAAATCAAATATAAAACATTTCCATCTGTATAATAAGGTAAATATTACGCCAAAAAAGTTTTTGATACCATGCCATAAAAAGGACAACCTTACAATAGCTATCAATAGTTGTAATCATAGCCATTTCTAGTAATTATATAGACTATACAGTGGATAAAGTAACATCCACTTATAGCAATCTTGAGCTAATTTTAAGAGTTGATCACCTTGTATTTTGAAGAATTACTACTCTACTGTACGGCAATATTGCAACAGTCAGTCCCAATTTACAAATGGGTGCTCCGATCATACCTGTTGGATGACAAACAAAAATCGTAAACACGTTGCATAGCTATAGTAAATAAAGAAAGAATAGCAAAACTATCTCAGTATAATCCTAGCTCCATATTTTACTGCAATGCTATATCCGACGAATGATATTGATTACTAACGCATAAAAGCTAGGATATTGCCATAAAAAGATATTTCCTTGATATTTATCTTAATGGTTAAATTAATTGTGATAATTCAACCAAATTGCCTATTTCAATCTATACAGCTAAGAATTAAAATTAGTTATCATGAAACAATTGATATTCTATTTGCATTTCTTAGTCATAAAAGGTTTAATATTGATTGTATAATAGGAAAAGGACTATTCCTGAGCTCTCTTACACGCCGTTATCAAGCTATGATGATTGCTGATAAATGAATTTTTCTGATAATTAATGGATAGTATAAGCTAAATTTAGCCAGCAATCTGTATGGATTTATTTGATAGAGCAAAAATAGTGTTCAGGTGTATCCTAAAGTGGAGAGATTTTTTAATTTGATTCGTTTAATTTAATTAATTACTATAGCTCTATTGTTGGTAAGGGCGTTTACAACAGGGATGGTTTGCAATATTGGCCACCTTCTAGAGAAATAAATCTCAGCATACCGTGTTCGCTGAAATGCTTAGGAAGCAGTGCTACTAGTAATAAATTACCTTTCAGTTAAACGACCTGCATAGGTAGCCCGTAAAGAATTGGGATACTACCCTAATCTAAATACTTTTCTTATATTCAATGCGGAAGAAGGAAAATCTGAAATTTTACCATACCTGCTTGATTTCTGCACGATATTAAATTATTCTGGCACGTTAATACCGGCTGTGATTGCGTTAAGATTGATGTAAGTTCCATTTCAAGTATTATATGGCAAATAAATCGATGAAATTTTAATCAATCGCTGTATGATAGTGCAATAGAGAGTAATTTGTATGCGATAGATCTGTTTTCTTCCTTCATAAAATCTATTTTAAATTTTAGATTAGACGATACAATTTAGATCTATTTTCATTTATTGATGATAATTAATTTAACATTACGATAAAAATCAAATACTTTCGTCACTTTAGAAATGGCGTGTGTAACTAACTGCGAATGCAGACATAGCGATACTGCTAATAATAGAATTAGTATTACTTAATCATACGTATAAACGTGTATTAGATCAAAGTTTATTTGCTAGTTAGACTACAGTTACACTGATATCTAAGTTTAATGCCTAAAAATAAGAAATTATACATTCCAATCATATACTGTAAAATAGAAAATCTAATTCTATCCGCAGCGTCTGCAGTAACGGAGGCAAAATTTCTTCCAGTTAAATAATATAATTTATATCATCATTTTATGCTAATAAGGAATATTACTAATATTTAATGAAGTAATAACCGTACATCATAACATATGGTTAGATCATTGAACTATTTGTTCCTCCTTTGAGTCCCATGCCGTCTAAAACTCTGAAAATATCGTCATTTAATTAATAAAAACCCCTATTGCATCAGCAAAATAGGACATCACCTCGTAAATATCTACTAGAAAGGAAAGACTTATAAAATAATCAGGTTAATAACTCTTTTATAGGCTAAGGTGAGCTAAAATAATGCATTAAAATTAAAATACATAGTTTAGAATACTATCTTCGCTTGCAAATTACATATTTTGTCCATGTCTGTACTCTGTTTCAACTTAAAAACTGCAAGGTTTTGCAAAGAAGCGAAATCGCTTAATTGCTACTGCTGCAATGCTACCATGAATTGGTGATATGAATGCCATCTTGCTATGCGTTTATGAATAGTTGAGTTATATTATACTTTTATTGCATAATCTTACAGTACAAATAGTCTAATTGCAGCAATGGAATAATTTGCTAATACTGTCAAAATTTTGGCCTTTCTTTATATAGCGAGCATTTTGAACACCTGCAACGTTGTAGTTAATCATGTCAAGTGAAACATCTGATTTTGTTGTCGATCCTTTACTGAAGAAGGAAATTAGTGCTTTTAATAAAATGTTACAAGATGCTTTTAATCAACAAGACTTAGGCGCTATCCATCATTTATTTACTGATGACGCCGTATTATTACCTCCGGGTCATTGCGAAATTGTAGGTAGGCAAGGTAAGATTTTCAATGTGCAAAATAAAAGCATCAAGATGACTTTGCTATTATTTCAAAATGTCGAAGAGATAAGAAGTTAACAGATATTATCAGTTGTACTAATTGAATCTGTGTGGCTATCAATTACTACTCCTTGATTATTTTATATCGTATTGTCTTTATTATGAAAATTTTCAGTTTTTTTTGTTCTATCTTTAGCCATTACGGAATATTTTGATGAAGTGGTCATTATGGGTAAAGAATATGGCTTGCAAAGTCGATATTTTTACGATGGTTATGGAGTCATCATCAAAGATTCAATGTATTATATTAGTGGTCGCTATATCCTTCATCGTGAAGATGCCACTGTAATTGATAAAGGAAAGTAAGTAATGCAGTATTGACAGATTGCCTACTAAATTTAAACTAGATTGAGAAGCTACAATACACTTGCAAGTGCTCGATTGCACAAAGATAATTTGATTGACCAAGATTGATTTACGAGTAAACACCGTTTTGTATGTAGCAAAATATAATCAAGAGTGATTCTTTGGTATTCATAACGACAGACTTGTTTTATTAACAGGTATTTATCTATAGCAAAGAAAATCAACGGCCAACTACAGTTGTATATTGATATCGCAAACTCGGATTTAAAAGATGAAGACTGATATCTTTACAGCGTCATGAAAAGAGATATCTATTACAAACTAACAAATTAATTATACATCATGTTGCCTAACATGAGAATAGCTTAAGACGCATCTTCGAACTTTACATACTCTTATATATCAACTCAAATGCACATTTTAAAAAAAGTAAAAAATCCTCTCCTAAAATGTAATTATCAAAGTCAAGAATGTAATGCAAATATTTTTAATCAAAGATAATGTTATAAATTAAATTTTGATACCGATAGTGACAATTTCACATTAAAGCAAGCATAATTTTAGATCTTTCTTGCTATAATAATGTTTAGCCTACTTTTTCTCGCCATATAATTTATATATAACAGGTGTCTTTTGTTATTATAATGCTATAGAGCAGATAACATAAAATAATACTGTCCTGAAAGAAGTCGATTTCTTTAAATTACTGAACTATACAATTCAAGCTATCAATTCCATTTGGATTATTATAATTATTACTCATCAAAAAATTCTCGGCTAAATTTTTTACCCCAGTCTCCTTTCGATCTTCCTCTTCCTTCACCCATTTTAGAATCCCTATTCCCATCTTTTCGGTAACGTGTGTATTCAAAATCTTTACCAAACTCTCGACGTCTAGAATTTCGATCACCTTTACCAAAATTTTCACGATTCCTACTAAAATCACGATCGCCTCTACCAAAATTTTCACGTCTCCTACTAGAATCGCGCTCACTCCTACCAAAATTTTCACGTCTCCTACTAGAATCGCGATCACTCTTACCAAAATTTTCATATCTCCTACTAGAGTAATTATCGTCCTTATTCGAAAATTTCCTTTTAGAACGCTTTCTATCCCAGTCGTCATCTGCATCGTCTGAACTCCATCTAAAAGATAATATCTATTTTAGTACACTTACCAACTTTATAGGTATAGAGTCGCTGCTACGCTGTGTACGATTATCAAAACTTACTTTGGTTTTAAGCTCGGTAAATCTGCTAAAACCAACAACGCTTTTGCTAAAACATCAGCAGGACCATTTCCGTCAGTAGTTTCTTCTTTTTGTAAGAGCTAAAACGTCAAATATATCCAAATATTGAGATCAGATTTATGTGCTACTCTTTGCACACTGTATACGAGAGAATGAAGTGTATATAGCAAATTTTGGTTGTTTAGTATCTTCAACTTACTTCTTGCGCTTTTGGTAAAGCAAATTTTATCGATCTCTGATCAGCCTATTACATCCAAATAAAATTCACAATGGTTAAGCTGTATTCATGGCTAGCATCTAGCGTGCGGCTACTGGTAAAATCTATCTCAAAAGAGTACAGTATGCTATCATGATAACAATGCCACTACTTTACCTCTTGAAGTCTATCACCCGCGGCACTAATTGCATATTTTGCAATTTCTTCAAACTTTAACGGTGATTTTTCCTCTACTTGTACTTGCTGTCTGAGCTATCATCATTGATAAGTATATGACTTTAAATCAAAGTTTACTTTTGTAAACGACATCAATATCTAGACATAAAATTTAAATTTCAGATAAACATCTGCAGATTCCGTTTATACTACCTCCTTTAAAAATAATCGATCTTTGCGATCGGATCCATAAATTAGTACAGCAACTCCAGAACGACCGGCACGGCCTGTGCGACCAGTACGATGCACGTAAAAGTCAAATCCGTTAGGTGGTGGAGCAACTATAAAAAAAAGAACGTTGATATGTTAATGGTAAAGGGTGGTAAAGCTACGCAAATGACATACTGATCATTATTATACGCTGAAATATTTAGTAATTTCTTACCTTGAATTACTAAATCAGTTTCAGGAATATCTAATCCTCTAGCAGCTACATCGGTTGCCTAATTATATATAGCAAAACGAGTGGAGTATTAGATAAGACACATTTCAAGTGTTTCCGGAACTCCCAATATTATCACTAAGCGTATTGTACTACATATACGGTAATCACAAGGTTAAAATGTCAACAATAAACTTACAACGATTGCCTTTAATTTTCCAACTCTAAATGCTTCTATAATTTCCTCTCTTTTATTCTGACTTAAATCAGAATGTAATGGTTTAACAGGTAAGCCAAAACCATTGATCTTTTGAGCTAAATCGTTGGCTTCCACTTTAATGGTTGAAGTCAAGATATAAAAATTAGTCATAAAACTATTACCAAATGTAAGGTGATTAATAGGTATACTTGGCTGACCTTTTGTTGTTACAAATACAACCGACCGCTGGATACCCTCTTCCTCGATAATATTTCTAACTGCTAATGAACGACAACTCCAGTTTAATAGTTTGACGGCCTATATATGCCAAAAGTTAATTTTTAAGAATGATCAGCAAGACACAATGGTAAAAATATGAAGCCTAAAACTAGGCTTCATGTGTTTAACTATATAATACTCCTTAAAAGGCATCATCTGGTATGGAACTAAGCATCTACCTTATGGGTTACAGTTTTGGGAAATGGAGAACCCTTTTTGGTTATGTCGATTACTTCTGGAGTTTTTAAATATCTTAAATGAACCAATATCAGAAATAGTGAGAAGACATCACAGCACATTACATGGATTATAAAATCATCATAATATTTGGAGCAGGAAGTGTATCAGTCAAGAACTATACGAGAATACCTCATGTTATGTATCCCGTGTGAAAAACAACTGAAAAATGATTTCCCTCAGGCTATGGAACATCACTATATGCTAATATTATAGCTATGTTCTAGGCACCTGAGGTAATTCGACTAGCGTTTATCGTAGCAAAAAAAAATGATGCATCTCCTAACATACATACTTCTTGGCAATTTCTTTGATATATCGTGGCATTGTTGCACCAAACATTAAAACCTGTTTGTTTTGGGGGCTATCCTGTAGAATATTTTCAATTTGTTCCTAACAAAATCATGTCTTTTAGTGCTTATGGTATAGTTAAAAATAAAAGCTATGAAGGGAATGCAACTCTTACTCTAAAATTTGGGGTCAACATTTCATCAGCTTCATCCAAAATTAATAACTGAACATCATCTAAAACCTGCGATCGATTAGAACATGTAAAAAAATCCAGTATTATGACACTATTTAAAAAGATAGCAGCACCATCATACCGCATTGTCTATTCCGCGATATTATTTAAATAAGGGTAAAAGTAACTTACAAAATTGTTACGCTTCAGGTGATCGTTTAATCGTCCAGGTGTAGCACATATAACATCAGCACCTCTTCTTAGCTTTGAGGTCTACAATGAAATATTTGATACTGTTAGACAAATAGACGCGTATAATAGTCGTTCGTAAAGTAAAAAAGCTTAGTATCATTCATTAGCCAATTACTTGAGGACCGTAAGCAGTACCACCATACAATGCAACAGATTTTATTGTACTTGATAAATCAGCAATACACCTGCATTTTGATATGATTATTAGTAATTGATATTGCATCTATGGTTATGACGTTTAAATCAACTGTTTCTTGATTTATGTCACTTCAAGAATTTATTGAACTAGGCTTGTCAACATGATGAATAAGCAATTTACCCATGAACTTGACTACATAACTCTCTTGTAGGAGCAATGACGATGGCTCGAGGATTACCCGTTTTCTCACTACAATTGATATTTACATCCATTTGCTTAGTATTACCTTATCAATAACACAGTCTGTAGAACAATATAGCACTAACTATCGAGCAAATTTAATCCCTTTACCCTTGCGATAATTTTTGAATAATTGGTAAAGCAAAGGCTAACGTTTTACCGCTACCAGTAAGGGCTTTCCCTAATACATCTCTACAATAGCATTTGAAATCATCCAGAGTTAGATATGATTACAAATCTGCAAACACGGCAAACAATACAAGAAAGTAGTTTTGCAATACTGCATTTATGCATCACCTGCCATTCAATGTATAAGGAAGGCTAACTGCTTGAATTTGAAAAGGACGATTGAAACCAAGTTGATGCAGTCTGGATACCAATGTTTCATCTAATGGAAACTGTGCAAAGTTGTCACTGCAATCATTCAAAATAACTACTATTAGTTTGGAAAACAGGCGAAGCCATCAAAATTCTATCATGATATCTCGAGATCCATTGTGTAGCCAATATCCACTACTTATCAACCGTTAATATACGCGTCAGAAAAGACTTACACATCTTCATCGATGGGCTGTAGTCGATTTTTCAAATGTTGAGTTGGTGCATCAAAATGGTGACTAGAATCTTGTTTTAATGCAGTATCTGTCCATCACGAAGCAATTGCAAGCATCATTAGTCTATTGCATTTTACTAAGTTATGGGCGTAGGGCATTTACGGTATAATCACTCAGTCATGATCTATACTACTATCCTTGATGATAAGACATGATTGTATAACGACTCCTTTCCTTCCTATTGCATCCATATGCCTCATCATGGATTTCTACTCTTCTCAGCTTTGTGAAGTTGTACGAAGTGATGCACGCATGTATTTCCTGTATAATGACTTTATCATGATGTACACTATGGCATCCTTGCTTATGCCATACTTGATGATAACTACCTCTATACGTCTACCTCATCATGGGCTGTATTCTCAGCCTTGTAAAGGTGACCAAAACGTTGCATTCCTTACGTATTACTATTTCTAGTCTACAGTCCTATTGCCAACGAATAGGATCACACTTTGAAAATTGCTTTCTAAAAGGTCTTGATCACTTTTTACACTTGAATATCAAGTAAGTTGGATGTAGTGTCTACTTCAACTGTGTGATTGGTATAAAAATACAAGTATGGCATGAATGCTGCAATCGCTATTTCTATTTTATAAGCCTGTATCTACAAGTCATCAAAGTTTTTGATGGAGGACTGATTGATTGTATGCCTGTGATACCGTATCCTTGAACTATTGCCCGATGAGGATTATCAATGCTTGCATCCTAATCAACTCCTGTCCACCAGTGTATCTATAGAACGCATGATTTAATGTAGAAAAGTGTGTCTACTTACTATTATACTTCATGGTCGTGGTCGCTGCCAGTCGAAAGGTAGACCAAGCATTTAATCCTGCACAGCAGATATCAATGACAAATTTAGGATGAATATACACACGATTTATTGTAAGATGATTATGTAGACAATGATTGGATCTATCAAGACTGATGATGTGTATCAACAATTCAGCTATCCTGCAACACTTTCCATCTAAGCAATGATTTATCATTGGAATTGCAAAGATGGTGCAAAACTAAAACTCTGCTCATGGACTTGTGACCAAGATGCAGCAGCATACCTGGTGACAGCACACGTGGCAACCTTAAGCTGCGCGAGTACAAATGAATTGCTGAATAGAAATGCCTTGCAATCATTTTCTTCTGTCGTTTACAGTTAGTTGATCCAATAAGACAATTCCTTGTAATGCTAAAGCTATAATGGCTGCAATCTTTCCCTCTACAATGACGACGTCTGGAGGAGGAATTGCACGAATGGATTGCAGGTTGTCAAATGCTACCTTGAAATAATAGCAAAGATGAGTAGAAAGAGACCTAGAAAAGAATGTGATGCAACCGACTTACCTACAGCAAGAGGCGGATGGTCCGACCGACGTCAGTCCTATCGTCTGCGCCAAAGAGATGACGTCACGTGGATGGCCCTCGGGCTCCTTTATCGGTGACATTCTTTCTGCCAGCGAAGGATACCTTGTTTGGCTGTCTTGGATCATCATACGATATATGATAGAATAAAGTCATTGATGATACAGTAGCCTGACGTCAGTATCGCATCGCTGGCTAAAGTAATGTCATGACAACGTGACCACAGTGACGGCCACAAGCGATTGTCATGGGTGACATTGATTGTGGTGATTTTTTTTTTTTCCTCCACCCTAGTCGCTACTAGTCGCTACCGCAAGCGTGTCCTTGATTCCTATACTGTACCGTGTACGGTAGAATGAGAGTTGAGTAGGTGAGGGGAATAGTCCTACAGTGGTTCTTTTTACGGTACTGTTCCAGTTAGTACTGTAAATAGTAGAGTGTACTGTACAGTACTGTAGACTACAGTACTGTACTGTTAAACTGTGTCCTGTACAGTACAGTGTACAGTACTACAGTATAGTACAGTGTACAGTCGGACGGAAAGCGATTGTGACCAGATCGGACTGTACTGGATTGCTGGACTGGTGGACGTGATGTCTACAAAATTTCTTGACAGTACAGTATTTCTTGACAGTATTTCTTAGCTTCACTACAGTATAAAGGAGTTCATACTGTACTGTACACTGTACAGCCATGCCCTTGTCACGTAGTCCGTCCTGAATGTAATCTCTACAGTACAGGTATTCTCATGTACATTGTACAGTTACACTCACTATCATGCCTTGTCACACAGTCCGTCCTGCCACCGAGTCTACAGTCTACAATGTACAATACTGCCTGGTCGAAAGTGTTACTGCATGCACTGTACACTGTACTCTTGTCATCGATATGATCTGCAATCATTAATGGCGGCCGACTTTGGATCCTCAAATTGGTGCAAATAAATACAAATCCAAACCTAGTAGTACATCCATATACGCGTAGACTACATTTTAAATCAGTACATGACAACTGGATATTGAAAATCTTTCTTAATGACTGCATATTTATCATAGCAGTATCGGATATGGCATTGACCTTACATCCACATACACTACACGAAATTGAGAATCAATACAACATGGCCGACAATTTACTGTTAAAATCATTTATTAACGCCATTCTATTATATCCATATTGGGCAGTAGATCCACGTCACTTCCATATATATTCCATTTACTATCAGTTTAAATAACAATTGGATACTAAAGTGATTTATCAATCAATACTGGTATTGAGTAGGATATCCACATCCTATCGATATACACGAGATTGATAATTCATTATTAGTATGCATAAGAGTTGAGTATTCAAGTTTTTTTACCAACTGTATATTAATATTAGGTATAATATGCACCATCCTTATACATTGGGTTAATAATAATAAACATATAGAAGAATTTGACTTTAAAATTGCTCATCAACAAATTGATATCAAAATTGAGCAGTATATGCAAATCGCATCGATATGCATCGGTTTCAAAATATCTTATACTATGTAAAAGAATTTGACTTTAAAATTGCTCATCAACAAATTGATATTAAAATTGAGCAGTATATGCAAATCGTATCGATAGGCATCGGTTTTAAAAATATATTATAGCTATGTAAAAGAAGTTGCTCTTAAAATTGTTTATTAACGACTATACAATAGTATTGAGTATTATCTTCTGACTACACAATGATACATTGAAAATCTTAGTCTTGTCATCAATAAATGCAAATTTATACACACCACATATAATTACTTGTATACCATCACTTACCAGTATGATCAGAATAGCTAAAAATTGGCCAATAAAAATGCTCTTTTACCACTTTATTTTTAAAAGTTAGGGGTCCATTTACTTGCTGTCTTTCACTACATCACCATCATTGAGGAAAGAAAAGCAATATTATACACACCACCTACATTAATACCATTGTTTGCGGGTGTAGTCAGTAGGGCTAAAAATTAGGCAATAAAAATACTGTTTACTCGGTTTATTTTAAAAAGTGATCCATTCATTTACCTGCTGTCTTACATTACCATCTGTGAGTAGAGAAGAGTAATATACATCATATACACACGTATATTACATAGTACACACCACATCGAGTTATATCATCATTTACCCGTGTAATCAGTATAGTCAAAGGTTGGGCAATCAAAATTTTCTTCTGCCAGTTTATTTTTAATAGCTATGCGTCTATTGACCTGCTGTCTCAAGTTAGATGTTTACACATGTGTATTACATACACCAAATAGATTTAAACCATCGCTTACAAGTAGAATCAATATGGTAGAAAATTAGGCAATAAAAATGCTGTTCTGCTAGCTTATTTTTCAAAATTATCAACCTATTTACCTGCTATCTTACATTAAATCACCACCAATGAGTAAGGAAGAGTAAATAATAAAATAGAGTGATTATATAAATGTACATTGAATATTCATTTCTTCCTATGCACTTGTTTACTACACTATCACTAGGGATAAATTACAAGACTAAATAAAAGAAAATCAGTCATTGAGCATAAATCAATTCTTAACCCTAGTACAAGTCTATAATATCATTATTTGATTTATTTTCAACATTCATCCCCTTAGCCCATAAATTTGTAAACGATGCAATTGCTTTCAAATCTAAAGTACTCAATGAATGGACAGGTGAGTGTACATCTATCAATCTTTTGACAATTATTAATGTACACCTGGATATCACTACATGTTATGTTATATAATTGTTTACAAGCAAGGAAAACATTTGAACGTTTGTGTTCATAGTAAACAATTTATAAATTATGCTAGAATTAATCCTTTCCCTAGTACGTAGTAAAGACCCAATGGAATAATTGAACACGTCAACTTAACTCTACCTAATCTTAACAAGGTAGAATAATTTTTTACCTCTGGAATAATTTTTAAATTAATAGCGATAGATTAACTACTGAGCTGACTTATTTATTATGCAAATTAATTTGGACTTGGTCAATATCATTTATTCACTTGATTAAAATTGTTCTTCATATTGTTTCCATCAGCTTTTCTAGTCCAACCGATTATAAAACAACAAATTAGTTACTGTTTCCTCTATTTCTCTCTTCTTTCAATAGATTTATAGTAATATATAGCATCTGCATTGTTCCCTCATAATAATATATAAACTTCTACCAATTCTATCCATACATCATCATGTAACTTGGAACGGAAGCAAATGTTAGAATAAAAAAATTATGCAAAGAATAAAAATAATCATCATCCATAGCAATCCTCGATAATATTTAGTCTTTTATCTTCTACTCTGATTTATTATACTAAGCAGGATTAGCGTCCTACAGTTTCCATCAATAGCATAAATTATATGCAAAAATGATGAACAAAACTTCGCATAAGGGACGATACTATTATTATCCTTGATGAAAATAGACAATAGTTCAAATCGATTAGAATGACAAAAGTATTGTTTCCATGCTCTAGAATGGAATAGTAATCAGGTTTATAAAGCAATTTCAACCATCATCGTTATTATGATTCTAATGCGTCTAACAGCAGATAAAAAGCTAATTAAATAATAGTTTGACGGAGCAGAATTGGCTCTTGTCCTATCTGTAATAACTGCTAGCTAGCTAGTGTCAAATTAGAATAGGTAACACCCCACAAACTACGCTAACAAATTGATTAAGATGCTTGATTAACGTATGTTCGCATCTCGATATTGAATAAAAAGTCCAGTAAGAATTTGCCCATCCTAGTAATCCGTTAATAATGATTTCAGATCTTTAACAGCAAATCAACTTTGAAAGGTTCATAACGAGAAAATAGTATTATCCAAGTAAATCCGTTACTTTTTTCAACATTATTAAAGCAAGCATTACTTTTATTATTACCGATAGCCATTTTGCTACCCATTTGAACAAAGTAGAAAGACATTGACAGAAAAAGAGAGACAGGGACAGATTGATTACTGGCGTCCATCGAAGGTGAATAATAACTCTATTCGATTTTGAATAAAATTATCTATAGTTATTTAATGTATCCATGAAATTGAATAGATTCTAGTTCAATGTACTAACTGCAATTTTAAGAACGAGTAAAGTTGATGGATTTAAAGCTGATATGTTTTTGTTCGTTAGACAATAACGAATGTGCAATCATGATTAAAATTATTCCATCTGCATAGGTTTTACTATTATCAATTGGTTCAATACAATTTTGTTAATTTACTAGATTAATCATCGCCTTGCTAGACTGGATATTCTAAGATGGCTAATACTAGACCGAAAAAATATCAAACTTTAACAGAGGTAAGCCAATCCATTTACAGCTGCAATCGGAGGTTACCAAATGATTTAGTTACTACCATGAAATCAATGGACATGGTAACCTTAAACAACTCAAGAGCTAATGCCCATTATTATTCTTCGGATTGAATTTATCCTACTGCAGCTTTGATGATTGAAATACGTTTTATTTTCTTCATATTTTTGCCATCATTGCAATAGATTTAATTGCATTCGTACCTTGACATGGTAGTGAGCGTGATTGAATTTCGTTTCTGAAATCATGTCGAGGCACATCATTATTCCAATGTTACAAATTATTGATATAGCTAGCGCTGATTGGAACAGTTTATGCTTACTACAGTTAAAAAGGAAACAAAACACTCGAATTGTCGATGATCTACTACGACATGGGAATCAAATTTTGCACTCTTTCAACTTGTTACTGTAGTACTATCCTAGCAGTTAACCATAGAGAGTATTTGAAATGTCAATATATTCATGATCGAATAACAATTAATCCTTGGCATAAAGATAAAATGATCCGACTATTTTGGCTATTCTATTTTGTTCTTTTTGGGGAATACTATAAATAGTAAATTTAGCAGATTATGACAAAGTTGACAACTTTATTAAATCAATCACGATAATACTAGTGTAGATATACCTTAAACTGTCCGCCATAAAAATATTGCTGGGAAACTCAAACTACTGTAGATAGCATCATAAATATCATTAGCTTGCATGGTGATAATTTTCCTGTCTTCGAGAACATTAAGAGATGACACTAAAATAGATTATGAATTGAGAATCGTGAATTGATAGCCTAAAATAATGTTTACCAAATAATCATGTCGATTAATTCATGGGCTGAGTATATTCTCTACGCTGCATTGCCTCTACGAACAGCAGCGGCGAAAAGTAAAGATCAGAAGGGTAGAAAGTAGTATCTATTTCAGTGAATGAGTAGATTGTATATTTACAAACATCCAACTAGAGGAAAGTCCCTCCATCATGTTATATTAATAACGAATAGAATTTAGAAGAGTGATTCTTCTAATTTTCGCCTTTCTATGCAGATTATGATAGAAATTTTACGAAAAGACATTCATGTCTTTGCTACATAAATATCCTAAATGAACCTAATTTTATCTCAGTATCCTTAAGTTATAAATGTAGTAGTTCCTTGATTACCATGATTATGGATTTAAAGACCTTAATATTCAATCAATCTACTTACCATTTACAATACTGTCAATTTCTCATATTCTGCCGCTTAGACTAAAAAGATATAAAATTATTCCTTCATTAATTCCACCAATCATTGTATTATAAACTTTAAAATAGATTACGAAGATTAATTATTCGTAAGAACTGTACATACACGTATGCTAGAAATTTACAAATAGATCCTATTGACTAATGTACAAGTTGATTGTTGTACATCAGCTTTAACGTCATATTACTTTATTTTCTTAGTTCTAATGCTGATAGAAACAAAGTTGTTTCTCCATTAATTCTATCTATCATCAAGTATATCTTAAAGATATTTCAACTATATTTATTAACTCATACGAAGGCCATCAAAAATCCTCAGTTACATTCGATTGACTGTTGTCAGTCTTATACTTATACATATTCAGCTTTAAGATTATAAATGTATTATTCTCTTATTTCTCATGGTGAAAGAAATAAAATTATCCGTTCATGAATGCTACCTATCATCATAAAGTAGATTAAAAAAATATTTTACGACGATGAGTAAGTTGTACGGACTTAATGCATGCTATCTCAAATATATTCGATCGACTTTTATACAATATTACACTTTTAGTTTTGATATTATTCTACTTTACTGTTCTATTTCTCGTGATATTAAAAGTAAAATTATCCCTTCACTAATCCTATCTATCGTCGTAAACATTACGGTGACTATTTGTTTGTAGGGACTGTACACGTCCTCTAAAAATTTTAAATATATTCGATTAACTTTCAAACGAGCTTATACCTATATTCAAATATTAACATTATACTACTTTAGTCTCCAGCTTCCGATGCTAATAGAGACAAATTACTTATTTGTTAATTACTCTTTTTATTCCATTCATCACCATCAAGAGTAAAATTATAATATTTTATAAGGATTAGTAATTCGTAAGAAGTTTATATGGGCTACGAAAATCTCAAATATCTTCGATTCACTTCTGTATAAACTTATACCTTCAGACTTGATTTCATACCTTAGTAATTATAAAGTTAAATTAAAACTGCTAGCAAAATAGATCATTTTAAGAATTATGCTCTTATCTTCCCATTCGTTAGCATTGTAATTACACATATTTTGAGGATTATTTCCGATTCATTCCCTCACCAAGATTGGCTTGTTAATAAATTTAATATAGTGTATTGGTCGGAACAATTTTATTAACAGATGAAGCTATGAATGAACGATCATTTATTCTGATAACTTCAAATCATTTAAAATTTTAATTTTGGATATGAAAGGCCATTATTAAAGCTTTCAGACAATGAAGGATAATAAGTAATATAGTTCAGTTTAAAATAAAAGTCCTCTAAAATGTATAGAATAGAGTTAATACTGTATAATAATGTAAACTATTTCATTGCCTTATGGATCTCATTTAGGTCTATTTAACATGGGCAAACTTCCATTTGGCTAATCGTGATCTAAAGATCAAAAAGATCCAACATGACTTTTGCGATGGAATTTTATTATGTCATTTGATTGAATTGACATCCAATCATCAATTATTGCATAAAGTCCAGGTTGGAACAGCATAGGAAAAATAATTACGGCATTAAAACTTATATTATTTCAGTTTTTATCAGCTGAATAGCTAAATCAGTCTTTCTCACTGCTAGCAATCACAATCAGTCATGTCTCAAATTAATAATGTCGCTATATTATTGGAGTTTATGAAAAATTGTGGAATCAAATTAACCACAAAACCTGAAGGTAAGTAATTTAATTTATGCTTATTCTTGTGTACTCCGCCTTAAAATCCTAATTAAAATCACTTGGGATATTAATTATTGGCCATTATTTTATTTATTGTAGACATTGTTAAAGGTGATATTAGATCCATTTTAAGCATATTATGGGCAATATTTATCCATTTTGATGTCCATGGAAACGGTAAATAACTCTCTGTTCTAACGTCTAATTGCTGATAGTAGAATGCGTTCGTTTGCAGTGTGCTCCTATACTCATGTTATATAAATTTATCACTCTATTTTTGCCTAGCAAGGTTTAGTTTAAATTTGGTTCCTATTGTAATATTTCTAGCTATGTTTTTACCTAGTTTAAGCAGATTTAACTATTCGTTGTTACCCAGTAGTCAGGGATATTTCCGTACTTTCATATTGAGTTGCCTACTCTTACCGATATTTCATGTTACACATAAACTAATATTCTTAAAAGGAATATAATGTTACAGAATGTAGCTTATGGTGTTATCCAAGGACTTTCACGCTAAATTGATAGTTAATAGATTAAATAAATTACTTAAAAATGTTGAAGTAATCCCGATTATCGTGCTATTTTCCGACTACATGTACTTTCACATCTACCTTACATGCTAGCGATCAAAAGAGCTAGCATTGGCTATTAGTTATTACAAATGATCAGCTTTATACTTGTATAATAATGACTGGGTTATCTCAGTCATGGATATCGTCAACAAATTTTATGCCGCTTCTTATAAGATCCTAAGATTAGCAAATCCGATAAAAACAACACATTTTTAAATTCATAGAACCAAATCGCATTTTAATTTAATTCGTTCTTGCCTAAACCCACAGATTCTACGACTTACTTACGCACAACAGCCCAGGCCATGAAAAAATTAACCAAGTGGTGTCGCGATCAGTTAAATATAACGGATAAATTGGATATGAAGAGAACACCATTCGTAAAATGGTAATATTTTCATAAAAATAATAAACAGCTACATTAAAATCAATTACTAAAATTACCTTGAGCTGCATTAATAAATTAATAGATTTACATCATGATCAATCTTCATTTATGAATTTAATTTTGGCTTTTAGTTATCAAGACGGGAAACTTTTAGCTGGAGTGATTCAAAAATATTGTAAACTACCATCGTCTACGGCCGATTCTTATGGTGGTTCGGTATGCTTGCAAATTAAACTATAGATACATTTCTCAATTTTATTGAATATTTTACAATTAATAACTCCTAGAACTGATACTACATGAACTCAAGATACTGTAGTTATACATTAATTAAGAATGAAATCTCGGCTACTGATACTTATGCTGTCATTCACAATCGCCATCTTACTATAGCCGAATGATAAATTGCGCCATTTTACCAGCGTAATAGAAGCTGCTGAAAATCAACTGGGGATACCTAATAATTTAATTCGGTAAGACTAAACCCAAATTATAAAAACCTTTTAATGCGTAACTAATTCATTATCATTTACCTATCCCTAACTTAACTATCTGAAATAAATAAAGTGTGATGATGCCACAGGAATATTCGCATTAATCAAGTTAAATTTTTACAGTAACTCATGAACCTAACTACGACATGGGCAAGTTTCAGTCATTGAAATTGAAATCAATTAAATAGTACTTTAAAGTAGCTAATGAGCATAAATAATGTATACTACTAGGATATTTCTATCATTGATATTGAAGTTAACCTAATAAGGTTTTGAAGCAATCAATAACCTTAAAGTCGGGTAGTGTAATAATATGAGGGATTTATATCGTTGAATTTGAAGTTAATCCAGTAAGATTTGTAGGAAGTCAATCAATTTAAATAAAATACTTCTCATAGTACCGTTTTAAGCTAAACTATTTTTTAGATATTTTATATACCACTATAATCAATGAATTTATATTGTTTTTAATTAGTACGATAGTCTTAACCTTGCTAGCACTATACTTCTAGACCCAGTGATATTCTCCAAGGAAAGGCTGACGAACATATCCTACTTATTTTCTTAGCATTGCTAAAACACCGGGTTAGAAATCGAACTACTTACTCTTTGCTCTTTACTTTATATATTTTCACCTAATTATAAATCGAATACCTGATCTAATATGCATAAATCTATAGGTGGAAGAAGATAACTTAACGAAGGAAAAACAAGTAAAAGACTCCATAGCTGAAGTAGGCACTTAATTCAAATTGGGCTAATTGATCCTCCTATAAGTTAATCTTTATATTTTTTCTAATTCAAATAAGGGACGCAATAAATATGAAATAAAAACAAGAAATAACTCATCATGGACGGAACTAAACCATCTCACTAAGCCTCTACGTAATCAACTAAAAACGACATCAGCTCCATCCAAAGGTAATATTTCGTTTAGGCAAGTACTCAATGTTCAAATCGTTAGCAATAAAATTCTCCTTTGCAATATTTAGTTAAAATGAACGACATTAATAAAGATGAAGTCACTAGTGAAGCTCTAAAGGTATGTAGGGTACTTTTAGCAGTTGCCGAGTAAGGCTATAGGAGTAAGAAGGTTAATAATTGAATTGGATTGGTAGGGTAGATTGCCTCTCTTGTCTATCACTGATCTAATGCTTTTCTACAACTTGAACTCTTCAACATATTGCAGACTCTACATCAGCGTATTCACTTCTATAAAGATGCTCGACTTGAAACTTTTCAAAAATCAAATCAGGTAGCTATAACATGCAGTTTTCAATCTGAATATCTTGGTCGTACAGATAGCTATGATCATATTTATTTTTACTAGAATCAGTCTATTAATTAGTTAATTAGCAATAGAATTTGATTGCCGGCCTAATAGAAATATGCTTACTCTAGTTGAATCGCTTTCGATGAAATGAGAATCTTTCTATTGAAAGACTGAAAGTGATAATTATCCCATGAGTGTACATTAAATTAGCAATCAATGTCGACCTATGCCTATGGTACTCATGGTATATCTATATTGAAGGTATCCATTCGATTACTGGGCCTAATAGCAACATACCTACTGTAATTTAATCACTTAAGTTGAATTAAGAATCATTCTATTGAACTACTGAAAGTGATAATCATCCCATGAGTGTACATTAAATTAGCAGTCAAATGTCGACCCATGCCCATAGTACTTGTGGTATATATTTATATCTAAGGTATGAATTCGATTACTAGACTGATAGCAACGTTCCTACTGTAGTTTAATTACTGTAGATAAATTAAGAATCTGTTTATTTAACAACTGAAAGTGATAACCATTCCATGAGTGCACATTAAATCAGCAATCAATGTTGATCCATGCCTATAGTAGTTGTAGTATATCCTTATGCAAGGTATTAATTCGACCGCCGAACTTAATAGCAGCATGCTGTAGTTCAATCAGCATAGCTGAAATAAAAATCTTTCTATTTAATGACTGAAGCTGATAATTGCCCTGTGAGAGCAAGTAAACTTAGCTATTAATGCCAGCTCATAAGAGAAACGTATCGTTATCAGCAAGAGCTTAAATGCTTTTAATAAAATAAAAATCTTTCTATTCAACGGATGAAATGGTTAGGCATCTCAAGAGTAAGCATTAACTTAGCGATCAATGTTGACCTATGCCTGTCGTACGGTATATCATATTTAAGGAATTTCTTTGAGACGGATAACTAGAAATGGCCTTGTAATAAAATATCTTCGAAATAGTAGAACAAAGACTCAAATTTCTATTAAAATTTGATTACATTAGAAGTTTGTACTCCAAATTATCTGTGAGCGATTACCTTTCTATTTCGTATACACTTGTTAAATTAACTGTCTGTTTCTATTAAGCATCAACGATTTATATTCCACTCTGTCCTATAGGATAGTCATAGCAAGCCATATGGTGAGCGAACTCCAATGTCAGAGCCAGCTCAAGCTGTAAAATCAGCAGATAATAATGATGATGAACAGGCTCTAGCTTCAAAGATAAATGGACATGCTAATCAACTTTCGCAGTATCAAAATATGGCTGATTCAAAAGTCGATTCTTCCTATCCTCTATTGAATCGAGTTGGACAGGATGGCTCGAATGAACCCAATGGAACTTCTACATTACATGATAGTCATCATGATAGCCGTTATTTAATTGAAAATGAAAGCCGAAAAGTCCAACAAGAATTGGAAAAACTAGAGAAACAATTGCATGCCAGTAAGCAACGTTTTAATCAACCAGATAGCGTTACAGAATTATTAATATCATCCCAAGAACTCGATTTAGAATTGAATGATCGTATACAAAATCATCAACTTTATGAGAATAATGTTGAAGTAAAACCGGTCGATAATCGACAACATTTAGAATCAACTGCTATTATAGAAAACAACACTTCCATCGGCTACGATAAACTTCAACCTCTATCGACATTAAATCAATATCATGGTAAATTAGAATTGCAACACCAATTTGATGAGCAACAGATTGAATTAATCAAGGTAAAAAAAGAGAAAGAGGATTGGATTGCTAAGCAATCGCAATTAGAACAACGGATACAACGATTAAATCAACAATTAGGTAGTGAAAAAGAAATTCAGTTGGAGTTGGGAAAACAAAATATCCTACTTAAAGAGAAATTGATTAAACTAGAAGAAAATTTACAACGTTGTACGCAACAAAATCGTCAAAATCAAGACTTTGAAGTCGATAAAATACGCGATGAATGGGAAATGATGAAGAAAAATAAAGACTTTTATGAAGATCAAATTCAACGGTTAGTCCGTGAAAATACGATCTTACAGACAAAGTTGGACGATTTCCATGTTGTTAAGCAAGAATTAATGGAAGTTCAGCAAGATTTTAAGGTAACTATAACAGATAAAATGGCTAAATTACAGCAAGAGAATGATCAATTAAGGGAAGCATTGCATGAAGTAGAAAGTTTACGCCATGAAGGGATGCAATTTAAGGTTCAATTAAATGAGATATTACAGGAAAATAATCAATTACATCAACAATTAGATAGTGCTGAACAAATGCAATCCTATGTATCGCAAATTAAAGATGAATTAGATCAGTTAGAATTGGAGAACGGCCAATTACACCGAAAGAATCAACTTTTATTCGATCATCAAAACGATGGTGAAAACAACGTTGCTCCAATACAATCATCAACAGTAGCGACTACATTGGATCCTAATTTAAATCATCAAGATTTGGAACCTACGGATAGCCTCCCTTCATCACCTGTAAATCATTCTCATTTAGTTAACGGCCAAGGAAATGATGATAATCATTTCAATCAAACATTGGATACGGATCTATCTACCTTGTCAAGAGAATCCACCAAGTTGAAAGAAATTGAAATTCGTCTCGATGACTTAAGGCGAGAGAATAAATTATTATCCGGTAGTTTAAGAGATACCGAAGTTGCATTCCATTCGTTAACCAACAGTTTTAATATGGATGACCAAGCTCCTAGCAATGCTATAGGACCATCATCAACGACAACACAAGATACTTATCAAGCTGCAAACTTGCATTTACCGATGGTAGAAAAACATGATCCTGCTCCATCATCGATCATGACAGCGAAAATAGAAGAGAGCGAAATGAACTCCATCACCAACGGAAATGATCCTGTTAGGACAACCCATGTCGAATATTTCTCTAGCCAACAGTATCATCATAATCCATTTATAAGTATCAAGAACGATAATCATCATCTTCATAACCGAGATATCAGTCATGCTAATTTTAATGAAGGTAAGAACACGCTTCCTGATGGAAAAGGAAGTCTCAGCGAGAAATCAGTAGAATATAATTCTAATCAATATGGGAATCCATTTTTAAACACACATGCTAACGGCTATCGTGATAACCAAAGTCATCAGGACGATTCTATAACGAAGAATGATCATCTACTCAATATGGGTGAAAATCAGGAGGCAATAGCAACGAATCCAACCTCTGTAGTCCAATCGCATGCCAATTATGATTCTGGTCATTTTTCAGCCAGTTATAACGGCCATAGGACGAATACTATTCATGGAAATCGATCTCTAGGCAGAGATAGAGAGGATTATAATCATCAACCTAATATGGATGTCATAAAACAGCCAACCAATCATTCTTTACCATCGACTCTAAATCATGAATATCGATTAGCTAAAATGCCTGGAAATGATTTACAACCTGCTAAGAATAAATCTACCGTGATAACAACAACGACGACATCGAATGGTAGTTTTGATCGTGAAGAAGTAGCCAAACAACCATTCCGAATGGAGATTAAAGTTCAGCAAGAGAAATCTAATGGCGATGTCTACGGTGGATCATGCACTAGCTCCTTCAATAACGAGAATGTTAGCAGCCGCATTAGCGTTTTTAGCGAGGATAGTTATATGGAATTTGCAACTACTACACGCAATCAAGGTAAAGGCATACCTGCTGGCCATCATCCTCGAAGCGCAATACCCTCTCACCAGCCACAGCAAGGTCGTGATAGAAAGGTAGAAAATCAAGGCAATGGCCGCAGTATTAACTCACCTTTCAAATATGATTTATCCGTAGAAGATTAATTCTCCATTCCATATTATGACTTGATATAAATAGAAGACTGTCGATTCTACTGTGAGAGACAACTATTTAACCTTGCAGTAATAGAATCTTTTAAAATGAGTCCATCATGACAAGAACGTATTGCCATCATTTATGTTCACCATTGGCTACCATTAGCTATCATGATTGCCATCATTTTTATCGCTTTTCCATTACATTAACCATAGAATTTTTTTGTATAATTTTATACTAATGATCAATATAGAAATAATTAAAATAAGGCAGCAATAAAAATATTCCTTTTAGCGATACTGCATACTCTTGTTATAAGCACTATCATGATGAGAGTAAACATAATTTATAGCTGCCAAGGGATGATGTTCAATATTAGGATAATACAAATATTGAGTAATGTTGTTGAAAATGATGGATCGATTAAGGTGTGCTTCGTGTTGATAAATGTATTTTTAGGATTGCTGTTCTATTTAATTTCACTCTCGAGGCAGTTTCTATATCATGTACAAAACGGAAAATATATCAATTCTTTTGAATTAACGCCATTACAATATATCAATTTATTTCATCATGCAATCATCATAAGCATGTATACCTCTAATTTGGGGAAAATTAGCTAGAATTTCCTCATCATTATGGTAAAATGTTAGATTGATTTCATTTTAATCAATTCTCTCACTTACTGTACATGGATAAAACATAGTTATGACAGCTTGATAGTATCATCAGTACTGATGCCAAACTTAAATTCATTTATTACATTCTTTTTATCTAATCATTATGATTTATAATTCATCATAGTCTTCTTATGACATTAATGATACGTATAAATTGTACCTGTACTTTTGAGAATGATTCATTGCTTATGAAAGTGGTGCTCATTACTATGGTAAAATATTTACTTCAACTTCATTTTAATCGATTCTCTCACTTATAGTACATGGATAATTACTATAATCATGGTCATGACAGCTTTGATAGTATCCTAACTGATGCCAAACTCTAATCCACCTATTACATTTATTGTATCTAATAATTTTGATTTATAATTCATTATCGTCTTCTCATGGCATTAAAAATACCTATAAACTGTACTTATGCCTTTTAAGGATGATTAATTGCTTCTGAAAGTGGTGCTGGAAAACGTAAACTCTAACATGCTATTACAGCGGTTCGTTGCTAAAGAGGTCGGTGCTAGTTAACTGGAACTGGCATAACGTATAAAATTTCTATGATATACAGTAGTTAGCGATGACAGGTGTTGTAGTAACTTTAGATTTAGGGTACCTTTTACTGTTTGTGAGATGGCAGTGGATTTGATTTATTTTTGAGCCAATTTTTAAAGGATATTTTACTGGTACAATATTGTATTTCTATGGTTATAGTTACAAATGAAACCTCTATCGTTAGACCGATACTAGTAAGCAGGAATTGATATAGCGCTGGTAGATCGATATTGAGAAAACTTCAGATTTAAGGTCCTATGATTGCATGTGGGATGATAGCAGTTCGGAATCGCTTGAATGACAATTGAAGATTAATTACGTTGCCACTAATATAGTTCTGGAGCTACATTTACGTATATGACCTTTATCGTTAACAAATGGAAATTGATCAGCAGGAGCTGGCGTAAAAAATAGACGTGGGTCGATATAATAGTTAAGATGGTGGTGCGAAAGACTTGCTGCAACGTGCCATGGTTGCCTGTTAGTTAGCGAGAACATAACGTACAGCATATCGGTACTAAAGTCAAGAAGATTCTGTGGGAACTCAAAATTTTACGTGCTATTATTACCTCTGCGATTGCACTAGGTTATTCTTCCTTGAACGAAATTAAAATGCTTTCACTAGTTGTAATGATGTTGTTCTGGAGCTATTATATATTCTACTCGCTACATATGTCGTTACTAGTCAACAGAACCAGGAAAAATACACCAAAGTCGATATTCTATTTTAAGTAGGCACTATCAAAACTTCATATTAAAAATAAAAAGGTGCCATTATTGAATCTGTTGCTAAATATTTCGGTGCTAGTCGGCAGGAATTGGCATAACGAACTGTATGGCAATGTTGTAATTAAGTAAGCATCGCGAGAAGTTAAAATTGAGGGTGCTATTATTATTTTGCGGGATAATAGTAAGGACAATGTTAGATCAAAGTTATTTTGAATGCAATTATGGAAGAGTTTTTTTAATGGTTCAATAGTAGAGTTCTGCAGCTATATTTACGAATAGAATCTTTATCATTAGGTCAATGATGTAGTTAAGTGATAGGTGATATGAAAACTTAAGATTTAAGTTGCCATTACAGTATTGCCTTATTGCCAGTAGGATGATGGTAGATTTGATTCTCTTGAAGGAAATTTTTAACAATTTTTTTATCTGTAATAATGTAGTTGTAGAGCTAGACCGACAACTGTATTTATAAGCCATACTCGGAGACAGATTGATATTGGCATATAATGGACGTCAGTTTAGAACAGTGATCTAAATTGAATATCAGTCATGCACAGTACTAACTAGCTGAAATTATAACTTGCCATTAGCTGTACTTATTCATAATTTATTTCATACTATCAATAATTTCTTGACTGTCATACACGAAAATAGGTGTAAGAGGATCATTTATCCACATTGGATAGGATTAGGATAATTTTACCGCTCCTGTATAGATTTCATAAAAATATGCCATGATTATGGTAGATGATTAATTCACTAATCTCCGACAGATTACTAATATACATTAGATGAGCTGTATGTACCAGTATTCATATATATAGACATATATATATATTATAGATAGATTGCGAAAGACGTTGATGTAGATTAAACTGTCGTATGTCAGAACGTCTTGATGGCCAAGAATTACACACAATGATAAATAACTTTCATCAACGACGATCCTTGGATATACAGTATTAGCATAGGAATTCACTTTATGTCAGTCTAGTTTTCTTGCTTGTCAATGAGCTTAAAATGCATCTTCACGTATCAAGATTGACATAGGATGATCAAGACCTATAACGATTTCTAGGGTCTAGACACATCAACTTAGGAAATCAATTACTTCATCTAATTCTCGCTTTCTAGCTTGTTCATGAGCCCAACGATCTTCAGCAGTTCTAGCCGATATTTTCCAACGATCATGATAGATTCGTTTGGAGCATGCTGGGCATTTTTTTCCTCCAGTAAAAGGAGGCTTTTTCATGTGTTTATCTAGACAACCATAATGGAATAAATGATCACAGTAAACCCTTTCCACATAGGAATCATGCTCTATATCAGTGACAATCTGACTCGGATTTTCTGGTAACGCCAGCTTTTTACATATTGGACACTTTGCAATCGCATGCTTGCGGCAAAAATTGACGATATAATCGGTGACTGGCTGCAATGATGGCTGAGGGATAAAAGGTGGATCTTTTGGATTAGGTTTGAGTGGTTTTTCAACACATTTTCGAGCAATTTCTTCACAGAAACCAGATAACGTCTTTTTTAGTAATTCAGGAAAATTAGTACTTGTAATCTCTGCTGTTGCACAAGCTACTGGATAGTGATGAGGTATAGCTAATTTCGTTTCAATATAGTAACGTTGTTGTTGAAATCGAAGCAGAATAGTGGATGATTTTTGCTTAATTTTAATCCAATCGCCACGCTGAGCATCGACAATATTATTCTTTAAATGGCGTACTTCATCAGCACAAATACATAACGGATTATTGACTATAAATTGGTGTACAAAATGGAGTAGATAAAGAATTTGCTTTTGACCTTTGTGTTTCTTGAATTCACTATTACATAAATTTAATAGAGTATCTAATATTTTTTCAGATATGGTTTTACTTTTGAATTCAACAAGCAGCACATCATGAGGATAATTGGCTGGAAATTGAATAGAGGCTACTATTTGCTTATGCTTTGTCAATCGGATTCGAACTTGTACCAATTCAGTGTTACAAGTTAGAATGGTTGATTCCTTGATTAACGAGTTTAATTTATTCTTTATTTCTTGTAGTTCATCTTGTATCACTCGATTTCGATCAGAGGAATTATCCATCGGCTCCATATCGAAGGACGATGATTGAATATATGCCGATTATATACTGCAGTAGGATCGCCTTGAAGAAGGGGGAGGAAAATCCACAAGCCTGGTAGCATAAGTGGCTTAGTGCCTAACTGCATCAACTGTATAATATACTATAGAGTAAGAGGTAGAGTATATATGTACAGTATGTCAAGTTGCTTGATCTCCGATCGTTTTGACTTCAGCATGATGCCATACTCGGCACAGTCATGCTACTTAAAACGCTTCTACACGATAGTACTATCGTATGGATGGCAAAAGAGGATAGGAGCACATCATTGGTGACACTTTTCACCGTTGCCAAGCCGACGGGCTTGGCCCAACCTCTACTTGTACTCTCGGTTAGTCCTCTACTCATCGCTACTTAGGCAGAACGCCTGGAGAAGCTTGTCTTTAGTTTACCAACATTGAATGATAGAGATCTTCAGATAACCAGGATCAACTCCTAGGAATCCTAGACACACTATCGGGAAAGCCTACCGAGTACGAAGTGAAACCGAATGATGCAGTAATGACAATATTCATGCTATGTTTGTAAGAAGGAGAGCCATGGCCAGAAAGGCTCTGCTTTAACTTACCGTCGATGTGGATTATGGAATTAACGGTGAAAAGCAACACAAAGACATTACTAAATTAGATTGGAATCAAATGCCTAGTAACTTTACATCTACTATCTTATTCATTCACTTCATAAAATCAATCGTTATTGCACGATCGATCCGCAAAGATCCAAAAAATGAATGCTCAAGATGCTAGCGTCAAACTGTTAAAAGCCCATAGTGATGAAATCAATACTTGTGCTTTTTCATCCGATGTAACACTATTATTAACAGGAGCAGACGATGCCACCGTTTGTGTTTGGGATTGTCAATCAGGATCCTTAATTAAAACTTTAGAAAAGCATACAGGTCCTGTTCGTTGTTGTTGTTTCTCACTTGACAATAATTATTTTGCAACATCATCTACCGATCGAACAATTATCCTATGGAAAGCAACAACTTGTCAAGACATTATAACTTTAAAAGGTCATCATCGAAGCGTAGAGGTTTGCTGTTTTTCACCGGACAGCACCTTACTATGTTCTGGCTCCTGGGATAATTGTGCCATTTTATGGAAAATAAATGAGAATAAAAGTCAACTTTATACTAAGTTAACGGGACATTCTAGCTGTGTTCAATCGTGTGCATTCTCCCCTGATGGAGATCAGCTCGCTACAGGATCATGGGATCATACAATTAGAATTTGGAAGTTATACTGTGGTATTCGATGTATCCAAGTGTTAACTGGTCATTCCGGTAATGTACATACTGTAATTTACTCCAGTAAGAATCAATTAGCGTCAGGATCGTGGGATAAAACCGTGATACTATGGGATGTAGATAAAGGATACCCTCTTCACGTATTAGTGGGTCATGATGGATGGATTCAAGCTTGCGCATTTTCTCCTGATGCTACATTTCTGGCATCAGCAGCCGATGATGAAAGCGTTAGGGTATGGGATGTCAGCACTGGAAAATGTACTTCCATTCTACAGGGACATGTCGATGAAGTTCATACTTGCGCATTCTTACCAAGTGGTCATATTTTTACGTCAGGATCCGTAGGAGAATGGTTTAAGAAAGAAAGTGGATTGTTAAATTTATCAACAGAGAGTTTGGACACGATTGATAATGACTTGTTGGCCATGCAGTATAATCCAGAGAAATATATACAAAATTTAGATTTTAATATGCACGTATAGAACGTCGCTGGCTTTATTGTTTATCAATAGTCTGGGATATTGTGTTATACATATTTCTTCTGTACAGGACATTAGAATAGCACCATTATGTATATATATACTATATATTGATGATCTTAGGACAAACTTTGTTGTTCTCATATCAATTCTAACATCTAATAATAATCAACAAAAACTTTTGTCTTTGCCCAATTTCAAGCGCTGTTTGCTGTACCATCGTGACAACTGTCCTATTAATTGTAGAATTGTAAATAATGGAAAAGCCTTCGCGTTAGATTCCTATAGATACACTTCTTCCATTTCAATTATTAAAGATTCAAGTTTTCCATTTAAATATAGCATTAATAACTGTATGTATAACTACCATAGTATAATAAAAATATTCAGAAACATTAGATTGAAATCATGTATTCATACGAACGAGACTTTTTGTTTCATCATTTTAATCATAATCAATTCATAAAAATTACGAATTCTAAGTACATTTCTACTATACTTTTTGTGAATATAATCATTATATCTTCCACAAAAGAAATCAGTTACGCTACAGTTAAGTAGGTGCCGTACTTCATAGTCACTGCAGAGCCAAAAACATCTACGTCATCCATTCACAAAAGCTTGACCTACAGTGTAGAAGATGAGTAAAAATATTGCCATTAGGTGCAAATTTGACACTTTTCCAAGCCGCAAAACTCTTTTTAAACTAATTAAGGGCCAATCAGGAAATAAAATTTCAATATCAACATTAAATTCTGACATATGCTTGTCGTAATTATTTCATCACCTCTAGACCTAGCTTAAAAATAATTTTGCAAAATAACTCATACACTGTACCTGTCCAAAACGGCGTTCGGAAAGTTACAGCAGAGCATGTGGTCGGTCAGCCCTAATATCTGTAGTGGAGAAACGTAACAATTATAAGCTCAGTGCTATACAATCATTCCATGTCCAAGGGCTTATAGAATATGCAATTAACAAAGATATCAGATACAGTTGTCATCAAGACTCAGAACAGGTCTGTGTAGGTGGTTTTGATCATCATTAACTAGTAACTACAGTCGAAATGTATCATACACTACTTGCAAAACTAGGTCTGCAGTCGCTCAAGGTAAAGCTGGACTTACTAGCTAGCATTACAGCTGCAGGCATTTTATTGCAGTAGCAGGTTTTGTGAAGACTCCACACCACCAACAGCAGATACGTCTGCACTTTCTTCTAGATAGCAAAAAAATTGTTGTAGGAACCCAGTCAGGATCCTATGCAAGACAAAGCATAAGATCCTTCACCTGCACACGAGTAGCACGTTATCATTTGATCCATCCGCATTTACAGCAGAACACCATTCCTAAGAATAAAGCATGTTACAGTTAGTATCATTCCTAATCCACTGCTTCGAATAAACCACAAGTTTCTCAAATGTCTATGGAGTAAGTCGATATTTCATTTCCGATCTTTAATTCTGCTCAGATTTGACGTTCGGAACAACTGTCTCTTCAATGTTTCTTTGCGAAACTCAAAGCGAGCTGGGATTATTCCAGTCATCATTGCAGTATATGAAAAAATCGGATCAACTTTGATTCAACAAATCTCTAACGGACTAGTCGCTAACTATATTAAAAGTAGCTTTCAATTTTTTATAATACTGTAATAATTTGTACAGTATATTAAAGTAGGAGAAATCAATCAATGCATGAACCACTCGGCCCATGTGTCAGGTGTACAGAGCTGAAGAAACCAGTTCAGGTCCAAAAAATATCCTCCATTGCAACAGAATTTTAGCAAAAATGTGATTCATTTTGTTTCAATCATTGGATCCGATACTCATAATAGTACTTGTCTATCTTTTTACCATAAAGTAAACTATCTACCATTCAAGATGCTAGAGATGACTATGCGATCTCTTTTCTTGAACAGATCTGCATTTTCTGTAAACGTGCTCAGCATGAAGAATAGGACTGCTGTCGTGTAGATAAAATTCTCTACATCAACTATGCTACTAAAATTCATACCTCCGCAAACAAGTCAAAGTCAAAGTCAGCCTATAATAATGTCAATCAGCAGTAAGTCCTAACCTTTCAAGTGACATTTGTCCATAACTGCAACTTTCCCATGGCGGTTAGTGAGGAAAGAAGAATTTTTGAGGGCCACGACATCATTCCACTGAGATAGAAAGAAGGTCTGGGCAACGAGCAAGGTGCAAGAGATGCTAAATACTATAGGAGTGGATCTCCACAGTGTACAGTACAGAACCCTAGCTGTACTGTAGGGTTATCCTTACTGGACCTGTTCTTGCTACAGTACTGTACACTGTAGCAAGAACTTGTAGCGTCTTGGTGCTTTCTTGCTACCCAGTAGCATGGACTAGCACGGACTGATCACTGTTGGACAGACAGACATTTTCCGCTAAAACAAATAAGTGCCTAACACTCCGTTAAGGCAGTACTTTAGTATGAGGTCGGTCGATTTTGGATTGCCCGATATTTTCTCAATGAAGTAATATGGCATTGAAGTTTATTATTTGTTGCAAAGTTCCACTTAAAAACGGTGCTATAAGATCATAGACGATTTTTAAAATTAGTACCAGTAATTTAGAAAACAGACACGGAAGACCCATACTAAGTCGCCATTTTTTAATATTGACGTAAGAAAAGTCTGCCTGTCCGAGGGAGTGATCAGTCCAGGTCTTCTTCTAGTAGTCCAAGACTGTTATTACCGCCCGACGACTATCATTAACTATCCAAACCATAATTCATTCATTAATTAATTATAACTCAATATATGACGATATGTTATACATTAACATACAGTATATAATGTGCTGTATGTGTAATTAATTATACAGTACAATAATTGACAGCACAATTCATTTTCTAGCCCAAATCCAGAAGGGCCAGATGTGAATGGTGTGAATTATTTTCAAAGTTAAAGCATTCAAACTTTAGCAATCCGTCGAAACGATTCCAAATGGTCTCACCACTACCTATATTTTCTCAGCCGCTTCCAAAGGTGAACAATCAAAAACAAATAATCTATCAGGCAAAAATTGATGAAGCTGCTCTTAGCAGTTTCATGATGAAGCATGCATGCTGTTATTCCTTTTTCCCGGTCTTTGGCTGTTTACTATTGCAACCATGTCGCGCACTATGTTGTGCACGACATGAAGCGCATTTGCAAGCTGCAGCGATCAAAGTAACGCTATACGATGACGATGTAGAAGTTCGTGCAGAATCATATATGCAGTGCTGCACTTGTTATGGTGCCGGTGCGCCTCCACAACCACAAAATCATATTGGTAAATACTGTAGTATCATACATGATTTCATCGCTACAATAATTTAATGTCCGATCAAGTTCGCAGTACTGCCATTAAATCATGATGATACCAATAAGTGTTAATACTAGGAATTACGTGTACAGATATAACGACAACGTATAAGTTTTTGGATCACCCAATACAAATGATTCATTATAATATAATTGTACAGTATTGAAGTAGTTTATGTTAGCCTTTTTTATTCATTAACGATATGTACGCGTGTTGGCGCCTATACCATCGATTAATTGACACCTGAGTTTTTAAAATAATATTAATGATGGTATACAGTACTGAATTCAAATTTTTGATTTTCCTATGTAGGTTTTTGTTGGCCCAGCCCGAAAATGATACGAATTATTCCATTGGATCAAATAACTGATGTAACAATATCGTCTACCTTTCAGTGTGATCGCATATGTATTACTTCTACTGTTAGTGCAAGACCGAAGGATCTCGATTATGGCATTGATATTATCGGCTTGCAAGATACAAAAGATTTTAAAAATGCAATCCTAAAACAACAACGTCTGCGCAAGGAAACAGCCAATGGACGGATGTTACCACCAACTGACAGTTAATGTTTTGCTGTGCCTAAATGATGTGCAATACTTCGTTTCAAGTAGAATTTTAGCCGATAAAAAACACCTCTTACAGTGGTACAGTATCATAGCAAAGTATCACTTTCAAAAGGGGTGTACGCGTATGAATCAGCATGATACTTAGACTTAATATACAGGAATTGGAATCATTCTGTAATAAATTCTCGAGCAAATGTAGAGACAGTGTATTAGCAAAGTATAGAACTTTATTAAGACTTATAAAGGCGAACTAATAAAATATGACAGCAACACTCATATATAGAATCTATCATGGAATATTTTAGAACTTATTAGTAGTTGTTATAATCTACATAGAATGAGTATTTTAGAAGGTTCTACATACATATGAGGTTCGAATACATGCACATCTAAAACTAACCCTTACGAAGTCACTCTATTAATACTATGGCACATTCTTCTCGTCAATTGTCGTCTTCCATATCCTGTAATTTAGCGGACTCTAGCCCAATTGTTCATGATACGCCTAAGCAGTAATTACATATAGTACAACAGAATATTATTTTTGTTCATAATGTGCAATCGGAACTGTACATTATGCCTAATATAATGAAAACCTAGCAGTATTTTTAGATTGACGTCAAATAACAGGTACAATATTTTACTTTTAACAGTATCATCGTTTCGGACGATCTCGAGTATGCATTGTCTGCATGCCGTAGTTTCATTAATAACCAATTATTAATTAATGCCAAACAAATGGAAAAGCAATTCATATTCTATACGTTTTGAGACTCTTTAACAAACTATTACTCAAGAAGTTTATCTAATTATTCAGCTTTAATTTGCGGATTTATTCCTATATTTCTTTAAATCCCGCCTCTGAACAGTTACGTTATTAATAAGAGAGTTGATAGAAAGATTAAAACAGCTATATGACATCATATCTTGATCTCATTTTTTTCATTTATTACAACGACGTTCCTATAGTAGGAGCAGAACCGATTTCTTCTATTTGACAACGTATTATTAGTGAAGACTCTAGAATTGTATATTATTTTAATCGTAATTCCGTGAATCTGTGTTACAGAATATTATTCAAATAGATCATCATGTTCATAGTCGAGGTATGATACAGCCGCATGGTCTCGATCATATTCGTACTGTATACTGAATCAGAACGTCAAAGAAAATTAATCCTTGTTTAAATTTGATTTAAAAATTCTATAATTACTGTATATATTAGGTACCGTGCGCGCAGATGACATTACAATAAATTATAATGCTGCATCCTATGGGACATTACTTAATAATAAAATATATATAATAATTATATTGTATAAATTTAATCAAGTGAGCCATCCAACTTCCGTTCACTACAACACTATTCACAATTCATCATTGGCTGTACAGTATAATGGGTTCATATCCCCAAAATGAGAATGTCCAGTTGATATGATTTGCCAAGGTTTAGTGAAAATACTGCAGAAAATTGCAATCTAATTTTAATGGCCGCCCCACTATACCGAGTATTAGTCCATCGTTGGCCATAGTATTAAATGATTCTTTGAGCATTCTCCAGATACACTCCTATGTGCTATAAAGTGTAGGAGAAATTGAAATACTGTATTTTTTCTACGGATTTGTGAATACGAAGAGAATTTAGTAACTCTTGACAGTATTGGAGATTACTCTTCTAAAGTGATTTCCCACCATTAGCCTCTTTCTTTTGAGTATATCTCTATAATATCAATGTAGGCTATAACTATTACGTCATCATAATCCAAGATTGCCATAAATAAGAACTACCGGACTATGGACATATAAAGTGTAGGAGAAATAGAAATATTGTATTTTTCTACGGATTTGTGAATACGAAGAGAATTTAGTAACTCTTGACAGTATTGGAGATTACTCTTCTAAAGTGATTTCCCACCATTAGCCTCTTTCTTTTGAGTATATCTATAATACCAGCGTAAACTATAACCATTACGTCATCATAATCCAAGATTGCCATAAATAACAACTACTGAACTATGGACATATAAAGTGTAGGAGAAATAGAAATATTGTATTTTTCTACGGATTTATGAATACGAAGAGAATTTAGTAACTCTTGACAGTGTTGGAGATTACTCTTCTAAAGTGATTTCCCACCATTAGCCTCTTTCTTTTGAGTATATCTATAATAACAACGTAAACTATAACCATTACGTCATCATAATCCAAGATTGCCATAAATAACAACTACTGGACTATGGACATATAACAATATTGTACACGTATTCATATTTTTAGCCATGACGAGAGTTTTACTGCCATCGATTGTTATTGTGCTTTTAATAGATGTTTTTAGCATCCATAATTGTAGGCAATTCATAATTAATTAATTATTCATAAATTAGCATCAATTCAGTCATGGACCACTAGAAACACACCTGTATTCTTTTAATTGTGGTCTATGGTTTAATTCACTATCCGTTTTTTTTGCACAGCAAGTTTCTAGTGTTTGGCATTGTATGGTGCTTGGTGAAAAATACTACAATAGTGCATCGCTACAAGGTATACCAAACCTTATATAAAGCTGCTTTTATTGGTAAGAAAATCACTAGTGGTAAAGCAATCACAAAATCTTTTTAAAATGGCACAATCAGCGACAGTATTTTCCCAGCCGCAGCCGTATGAAAAGGCTACTAGCGAACGACGAGTAGTTTATGAAGGAAAGTTGGATGAAAATGCTCTTGCTAGCTTTATGATGAAGCAAGCTTGTTGTTGCTCGTGTTTACCCGGATTTGGCTGCTTATTTCTACAGCCATGTCGAGCAATTTGTTGGGGACGACATGAAGCACACTTACAAGCGCAAGCAGTCAAAGTCCTTATATACGAAGATGCTGTAGAAGTTCGTGCAGATCCGTACATGCAGTGTTGTACTTGTTGCGGAGCCGGTGCACCACCACAACCACAAAATCAAATTGGTAAGTTATGATTTGAAGAATACTCGTACAAGTGCAATACAAACAGACCATAAATTGATAATGATTGAAAACAATTTTAAAATGTCCACATCATCCCATTTAGGCTGCTGTTGGCCCAGCGAAAAAGTGATCAAAGCTATTCCATTGGATCAAATAAGTGATGTAACCATATCGCCCACTTTTGAATGCGACCGTATTCGCATCTCTTCTACCGTTGGAGGGCAAAATAGCAGCAACTACGGCATTGAAATTATTGGTTTACAAGATATTGAAGCTTTCAAGGACGCCATATTTAAGCAACAAAGTGTACGAAAAGCAGCAACCGGTGTAATGGCGTTACCGCCCAGCTATACTTAATAATTTCGTTCAGAGGTGGCTTATCCTATATTGCGGTATAGGGAATAAGTAGAAACTGAAGGGTTCATGTAAAATTGATCGAAAGTAGAATCATCTGGTGTGGATAATACTCTACGATAGCTTTTTACCATTTTATGCATCAATCTATGTATTATTGTTTGATCAGTTTTATAGACTTAAGGTTGTTTACAGTAGTCTCTTACGTGGGTGTCTTAACAGTAATCTTATGCGTGAATTAATCTGTCTTCTATTTCGCAGTCATCTTACCATCGATGGTGCAATAATTGACATAGCGGATGATTCAATATTTCACTTTATTTATTTATAATAGTACGGATGAGTTAGTACTAATTGCAATTGCTTTATGGTACTAGTTTTCTTATTAAAGATCGATTCATTAATTATAACTTCTCGGTATGTAAAATAATTATCCAATAGCGCGCTATACAGGATGTCGTATTGAAGAGCAGTCTATTCGTATGTAGCTGGTCTTTCCAATGTAATATGGATATTAATAGTTTGATTAGATACGAGTACTTCTAATCTGCGCTCAAATGAATTCATGTACAGTAGACTTATTAGAATGAATAATTGGATACGGTTAACGCATACGAGTTTTACATGCTCGTGATTTATTAGACAGTATACTGTATTGTTATTTATTATTGACTAAATTGAAAGTGAATTCCAATTCTCGTGAATAAATAATTTGCTTTGTGATCCTTGATTGATTACACACGTTATGATGTTATGCTCGACGATGGAGGCAAAGAGTCTTCTGTTGTTGAATAATATTCACGGTTTATCGAACAGTTCCGGTCGATCAAATCTTCTAATACGGTTGAAAGTTGGAGTACACAACAGGCATATTGCACCTTATTGATATTGTCGAAATATTTGTATCATCACTATTTGTAATAAATAGCAATCTATCCTAGTCTACTGTCGATTAATCTAGACTGGTTTACTGTAAACAACTATAAGGTATTATTCCGTGTGTAGGCAGTCAGAACTCGGCCGCACTTGGAACTGTTTGCCGATATAAAATGGTGGATAATAGTTCGTGTGCTTCATAAAATGATTATCAATCTACGTTCATGGCAGGATGCTTATGTCTTCAGTCATGTCGTGCACAGTGTTGGGCACGAAATGAAGCACATTTACAAGCCCAAGCAGTCAAAGCTACCTTATACGAAGATTGTGTAGAACTTTGTGCAAATCCATTTCTGCAGTGTTGCATTTTTTATTAGATCTGCAGTAGGCTTATTCTGACCTTGCTTTTCTTGCAAAGGCATTAGCTTAAGCTGTAGTATTGACGAGAAGTATCCAGTTGTCAGTATGCTATCCGTCTATCCATTTCTTCACTATCAGTACTGTACTATAAGGAAGAAAGTCCACATATGAGTAGAGATCTTGATGTTCTAACCCTTCATTGGATCTGCAGTAGGCTTATCCTGTGCCTTGCTTTCCTCGCCAGAGGCTTATGCTAAAGCTGTACAGTAGTATTTACGAAAAGTATCCAGTTGTCGGTATGCTATCCGCCTAGCCATTTCTTCACTAGCAGTACTGTACTATAAAGAAGAAACTCTATGTACAAGAAGAGATCTTCATGGTCTATCTACCATTATAAGTCCCTAAATTGATCCTGTAGTTTGCTTTCTTTGCCATTCGCAGTTTTGCCTTTTTCATATTCTCGATAGTCTCCATCCATGCAAGTTGATGTAAAACAGATGTCGTGCATTGAGGTAGCAATTTGCAGCGCCAAGTACAGACTTGACATGCCCTTTTGTGACATCTATTTGACACATATTGTTCTTATTGTACTAGTTGAAGTATACAGTCCTGGATTGACTCAATTACTATGCTTAATTACTATAGGTAATTTAGTACCACAAGGGACAGTACTTCAATTTCAGTATGCAAAAGTATAGACGGCCTACCGCCATTCCAAAGTCGAAACTTCTTAGCTGGGTAGCAAATATCATTATTATCCTTCAATCAGAGCTTGTGGAAAACCTAGAAAAGTTGCAATCTTCCAGCTTGAAACTGCCGAAATGAGAGTCTATTAGGTCTCTACGGGATAACATTTTGTGCCGCCTGAGACAGCCTAAAAGATACAAATCGTTTTTGCTTAAAAAGATAGATGTACAAACATTTAGTTTACTGCTACTTTTCAAGTCTTCTTGTAGCTCCGAGCACCGTGTTTCGACTTTTAACTCCAGTTTTTAACCCACCTGACTAGGAGTATGCTCTGTCCTTTGGGCTAAACTAGACATTCTGATAGATGGCACTTTAACAATCTTATTGCAAGCCTAAAATTGCATACTATACCTAATTTTCTGGATTAGGTTGCTGCAATAGTGGACAAGAAGTTAACCTCCATTGGTAAGTAGAGTACCTACAACCTTGTCTACAAGTGTGCATTCCATGTTGCAGCTGTTGATACATCAATACCTATCGAACTATCCTTAACCCTCTTCCATAAACTGCTTGATATTGTCTACAAAATTGTCTTTATCAGCCATTAATTTTACTGGTTTTACCTTCACCCTTCAGGAACCATCGATTTCAATTAATGTTTAGGATATGTAGTGTAAAGTATTCACAGTCATGTAATATTTGCTTATATCATAAGCTCTGTTCAGGTTTCAGTAACTTGCACAAATGAACAAGATTTTACACCTTTAGAGCTGATGATTCAGCTGCAATGGCAGACAAATGAACTAAATGGACAAAACTATTCGTATTCATATCGATAATTGAGATGATAAATCTCAGGAATGATACTGCTGATTTGCAGCCATGGACTAATACTAGTGTACTTCAAACTTACAAAATGGCTTGCCTTTCTCAACGAGCTATATTGGCCGTTCATTATCGAATTATTCATTCATACCAGTCAGTGAAATTATTACAAAGTTGCATAGAGGATCAGGGCAGGAAATATTAAAACTATTGAACGATAAACTTGCTTTTATTGTTCTTCTTTTTCCCCTCCAATAACTTGATAATATCTACAAGTTATAATTTCTCCATCTGGAATGGAGACAGACGAGTACCGTGCATACCTTGAACCAAGAGATTCATGATTAAACTAAAAATATTAACAGAAAAACAAGCTACAATGTGCTAACCAAATCGAACTGACTCAATTGTATTTTTATTCCTATTATTGGTAGGCGGTGAAAGATGAGTATTCGGAATCATAACCGTTCAGATCAATTCGCTCAGGTTAGCCATCCAATTACTTTCAAATTTCCATCTACTGTACAGGCTCAGTTTTATTAAATTAAACTTGACCCGGTATTAGACTTATTACTATTACTCGAAATTATCAACTCCAAAAGTGATAAATACTGGATTGCCACATAACCTATACAAAATGAATCAAATTATATACTTAATGATTATAGAATGACAACAGCGATGACGATTATCTGCTAGAGCAAAGTCTTGTAAAAGTAGAAGCTGACTTATCAAAGTAGGTTAAATGCAACGCAATTGTTTAAGTCAAGAATTGAATGCTGCGTTGTGTATATTTGCATTACCATCATGTAGTGTACGATGGCATGACAAACTTGTAACTATAACAGCTTTTTGATGCTATCCATTTGTCAATGTAGAAAAAATTCGTTTGTCAGCATGGACGATATCGAAAATGGAGATGATATAGTGTGGAGTGATGGCGACTCTTTAACTTGGCCTGAAGTAGAAGATACAATCGATAATGGAAGTGATATTTTAGTAGCCGAAGCATTAGATGAAACGAAGGCCAAAACGATCGTTAACAGTAGTCAGGTAGTTGTTTAATCATGACCAACATGAATGATATATGTTCTTATCCTTGGATATTACTAATATCGATTTTCTACTATTCAGGTTGAAGATATTTACGACTTTGATTCATCAGATGATGAAGAGCTGGTTGCAGCAGAAGAGGTGAGAAAGTTATTTATACAAGTCGATAATTCTTTATACGTCATTGTACTTATTCTAATGGCTTGGAAGAAATCAATGCTTGCACTTGTCTATGCTCACCTGTGAGCACTATGCTAATAGATTACACTGTGCGTATTATATAGTATCTGGAAGTATTTCTATTTTTTGACCATATTCCTTACTTTACATTAATTGTACCTATTCAAATCTCTAGGAAATTACAGGACAAACATCTTTTTCTTCGATTAAAAGTGAATTAACGACTTCATCGAATTACAAAACTCCATCGTCAAAAAATATATCATCACCTTCATCATCAATTAACAGCATAGCCAGTAGCTCTCCTGAAAATGTTAAAACCAATGTGACTTCAACCCCTCTGCTAAGTAGCAAGCAACTGACATCGCATAAAGTTCTAATGCGTAAACGAAAAGCCAGTGAATTTATAAAAGAATTGACCAGCCGTGATAGCCCTTCAATGGATGAAAATTTTGTAGAAAGTCCGCCCAATTCAGTAAAAAAGAAAAGAAGAAACCGCCACATTAGGTTGATGAAATTAATTATAATGCTGCGTAACCGTTACCTCTGTATAGTTGCATAGGTGGCGTTATAGTCAGTATCATAAATGCCTGTTGTAATATTGTTAACGTCTGTGTTCAATATAGAAAAGAAATCGTCCATAGAAGTTCAAATCTTAACAGAATGCAAGTCTTATGGTTTATCTATAACCTTCTGCAATGTTGTCAAACATAATCAAATTGGTCAAACCGAAAAGGATGATGATTTATCAAATTACTCCCATGTGATTGCTATTTTTACTGGTGAAACTAAAACATCAATAAAATACAAAACTGGCGATTGTGTGGAAATTTTTGAGCCTTGGTAACGATATTTTTACAGAGTTGTGTCTACATAAAACTGGTAGTGTTAAATTGAAATCTTTGATTGCTGTTTTAGGCAGAGGCTGGACATTCCAGCTAAGGACTCTCCAGTTCTTATATGTACATACTTCGGTATTCTTAGTAATACGAAAACAGAAAGCATTGTTGGAGATGGTAGCCAAAACAGTGGCGTCAGAACAGCAGTAGATATTCGTAAGTTACCTCTTATTTAACGTCACAAACATGACGCTTGCACGTACTTATCGTTAACTATTTATCCATCGTCAGAAAAACTGCTCAATTCTTCTCGTAGCGCTCTTAGCCCTGATGAGAGTCGAATACCACTATCCAAGGTTCTTTAATATTTCTTTTATTATATTCATGCAACGCCTTACCGTTTCAGCATTTTGTACTAACCTATTGCTTAGATAATATATTTAAATACGCGATTAATAGTACTACTTTACTTTCATGTTTACGTTATAGGATCTTCGTCGTCGTCGTTTAATATTCCATAGTAGCAATTTGTCTTCAATAGGGTCAGATGAAAGCAAAGCTGGTAACGAGTTTGATCAGACCAAGAATGAAACTCGATCCATAAAGAGTTCGCTAACTTTAGTAACAAGTTCAGATGATGGATCACTTTACGGGTCTAGTACGTCACTACATGCAGCAATTGAAAGTAGCTCTCTATTTAAGCACCCAAATAGTGTATCATTTATTGGCAGAATACAAAGAATCTGTAGTACTATTGCAAGAAATTCTACGAGTTCAAGGACAGACTCAAGAAAAAACAATGTCGTTAAAAGTATTATCCATAGGGCATCAAGCTCTAGCTCATATTGCCAACAGAAGTGGATGCTCATTGTACAAGATCTCTGCGGAACTTTTACCGAAATCATAGTAGACTGTCAAGTGAGTCAGCTAAACAGTTGGCATCATTGCTTAAGGGAAGGTGAAGGAAAGTGCTTCAAATTTTCCAATTTAGACGTAGCTAATCGAACGAACAGTCAGAAATCTCCAGTACTATTTAGCTTACTGAAATCGTTACCTTTAAATGACGACAATGAATACAAAAATTTACAAAATATCGATAACAACAATTCTTGTTCAAATTGTTATATTCTTACTGCTCGTGCTGGAGAATCTTCGGCTACTCTGATTCCCTCTAATGAGGAATATCTCTACGAATCAATCACAGCAAGCTTTGATGCTTATTCTTACCCTAAGATTAGCTCCTTATATTCGGTTAAAATGTTATCGGGAGAATGTCAACGAGTTAGCACGGCGGTCAAAGTTGTCTACATAAGACATGATGATGATCCAAATTCTAATATTCAGCAAATCAGTTCTTCTAATGTTTCATTTTCTCAACTGGGATTATACGTATATGCAACGGACAGCAGTATACTTAGTAAAAGTATCCCGCGAACACCCAACGAAAGCAATGATTGTAATACTTCACAATTGTTAAGGAATGAACCTATTGTAATGATCCATTTGGACAAGACTGTTGTTTTACTAAATTCTTTGGTTCAATGCCTTGGTGAGAAAAATTGTCTTCTATATATTAAAGATCTCTGCATTAAGAAAAAAGGCAAGGGCAAATCGCGTTTCATTCTTCCCGTTAATTAGCGACTGATTAATTGTCCTTTATAAATTTTTTGTTGATTCTTTCTAGATTCAAATTGCAACTTTTTCGCTGATCGTTATTCTATTGTTTGTAAAGCAACATCGGAAAAAGACGTGGTATATTGTAGATAATTATAGTATTACTAAGATTATTTATGATAGCAATTACTGATTCTGATATAAATCCTTTTTTAATTATATAATTTAGAAAAATGAAACCATAGGAATACCCGATAATATTTATAATAATTTGCTAAGTATTGATCTCAAAAGTCTGCGAAGGTTGCAACTTAGTAATACTAATCGAAACTTAGTTTGTATTGAAGGTTAGCAATGTTTTGTGAATGCTTTGTACTATTCTTGTTTAGATCTATTAATACTTTAAATTGATGAACTGACAGGTCAGCTACTAGATCTTGATAAAGAATCAATAAAATTCTATTTCCATTGTATGGCTTGCAAGAAAAAGAACTTTATATATGATGATAGGTAAAAAATTGAAGAAATATTTTGTATCTTTTAACAGGTTACATAGAAATTAGTAGGTTTATTGTATTTATATATCCTATTTCGTTCCGTAGATACGTGCGCCGGTGTCATAAATGTAAACCGAGTCAAATTACATGCAAGCTTGGCTTTGAAGTTCAAGCCAGCCTTGAAACAGAAGAGAGTATTGCTCAATGCTTTGACTTAAAGATGACGGTATGTATTCATTTTTAAATGCGTTAATGAAGTGTTTGAAATAAAAAGTAGACGCTGATAAAATTGACGATGAAGTTAAATCTCTATAGATAAATGATATAGTATTAGGCAATCTTATAGCCCCTGAACGTCTACGATCTTGTCCTACAGAGGTAAATTACAATGCAAACCGATGACACGATATAATTAATTACATAATCATTTTAAGTAAGCAAAAATGTTTCAAACTAGGATTTGGGATATTTGAAAGGAAATAAGATTGGCCCTCTTAATGGTTACGTACGGAAGAAACTAATTAATAAGTGCAATAATAGAACTACGTTTATTATTGAGGAAATAGCGTTATCAAATTAACCAGTATCTAATATATGATCTTCTTAATTCTACAATTGTTGCGGAATTGAAGCTTTTACTTTATTAATAAATTATAAATTATTATGAATATCTCAAGACATATTTAGACAGCTTGCTCTACATATTATTCTTTCAGTAGAGACTATTGCTACGATACTTTAATATCGTATCTGGTTATATTAAAGTGATTATATTTGTGTAAATATTTTACTATATCGGTTTCTAAACGAAATAGATTCAATGTGCCTGTTCAGATATTTTGTAGGTATTACTCGCAGTGTACAGTAAATAGTGTTTAAAACATTATTTATCTATATCATACTATCTGGTTTTGTAAAACGCAGATTCGTGTTCATTATAGCAATAATATTATTCACGAATAATGATTGTACAACATATTATATTACTACTTCTATGAATCAGAAGTGACCTTTACGCTTGCATCGTTATGAACTATGTCTACCTGGATTATTATTTCACCACATTTATACGTGTATTAAAAGTACTGTTTTAATAAACAGCAACAAAGATAATTTAAGTCATCTGATTAGTGTGCGTTCTGTACTGTAACATTAAAAATACTTTAGACTAAGGATCATTGATTAATCATTCAGATTGACCAAATTGTTTTATAACTGCGTCAGGAATGTCAATAGAAAGTGGCAGTATAACATACTGATTCCTACTTAAATCGAAAAGGTTATAATTTCGACATAGATACTCCTTTTCACCAATTCGACCATCTTCAAGCTTTGTATGGCCATCACCTGCAAAGAGTTCCAGTAATCGAAGTTCACAATATAAAAATAGTCTGACTTGCCATGCTTTACGCGGATGAGGGAGATTACAAAATCGTTGATAAGACATGTAGTTTAAGCTATCTCTGAAAGGCAGCACTTCAATAAATCTGAATTGTGCTTGCTTTTCGAAAGTCTCGATATTTGTTGCTTTTATCTCATCCAAATGGATTAAAAGATCATCATAAGCTTGCGGATAAATGACCTTCATGGCTTCAACAACACCTTGCCAGGTTGCTTCGTAAAAATCTAATTTAGACCCACATTGGCCTGGACATAATAATATCAACCAATAAACATGTTTGCGAATGCAGCACTAAAAACAATATGATAAAATTGATAATTGGTGATTAATTCGTTCATTTCGATTTCTCTATTAAGCAAACTACGTACAGTGCTATGCATACAACCTTTTCGTGAATTCCTTCAGGTAACATCCCAAGCTCGAGTAAGATTTCATACGGTTTCTTTTGCAATAAAAGGGTTTGCACAGTTTCAGGTCCAAAAACAAAAGCCGTCTTTCTTCTAGGCACATAGGATAGATTCTTGGGTCTTTCTTGCCTAGTTGGTGTCGAGCAGATTCTTCCAAAGACTCGACCATTTGCTTTACTTAGGAAACCATTGACTATACCAGGAAGATTACTATAAGTCTTGATAGTCTCTTCAGGTATGCTTATTTGCGACGGTAGTAATTCAACACAATCAGCCATTGTAAAATCTTTAGCTGAGCATAAATATCTTTCTGGTAAATTATCTGGATGTAGATTTCGTAAAGTATCATAATACAACTGGTGAACATGCATTTCGCTAGTTAGGAAATACAAGGCTTGATTTTTAGTAACTGGCTCCCTTAAGTTCATGAATGTATCATAGTGCATCTCAGAATCGTCACTATTATAAAGGTATCGACCTGGATCATTGCTCAATTCTCTTTCAATAGTGTCAAGCCATGGTTGCAAGCGCTTTTCGGCCAGTGGCAAACAGCTCTTAATCGCTGCTTTAATTCCAGCCCATGTCAAGGGATAAAGTCGTAATCTCGCAATGGAATTTTCTGATATGAAAGCTACGGAGAAGTTATCTCCAGCTTCGTATAGCTAAAAAAATGAAAGAATACAATTTTAACATTTTGATTGATATTTCCATTCTATAGTACACGTTTTTTAAATGGTTTATTTAAAAGTACTGCTTTATTAATGAGTTCAATTGCTCTATTTGTAAAGCTATGATACTTGTGCGAGTGCCGAGTAAGGAACTGTAAAATCTAGTAATGTTCATAAGCATTTCACAATTTTTTAGTTTACAGTATAGCGTAAAGGTTATTAAGATAGCACTCATAGTTATGTAACGCATATGCACATGTTATACTATATGCTCGTATATGGCTACATGCGTGTCTATTAATGCAAATTTTATTGACGCTTCTAATAATAGTAGATGCTGCATACTCAAATCGAATGTAAAATAACTTCTCAAGTATCTTGTAACTGTAAAGATAAATTAGCGTCATAAAACAGTAATGACACTTGGATTTACTAGCGATTACAGTAGTACTGTATAACCAGTTTTACGATGGTATATTTGTGTCCTTGCATAACAAATACAAATATAAACCAACTTCTATACAGTATATGCTATATACCCATAGATTAATCAATTAAAATAGTAGCTAGCGGTATACGGCAGACTTGTATTTCCGAATTTGTATTAGCTATCCGATTAAGCTCATAAAACCGAATTACACGTAGGCATTACACCATTGATGGCTATACGCTATATAGTATTCAATATATGTGCATACTCCTACTGCCGTTGACTTTGAAGACAACATACAATTTACGACTTGCATGACGCCATTAGTGATAGATTATTACCGTTTGATATATCTTGAATGGTTTCAATCCAGACCATAATAACAACTGATAATGATTATGAGAGTCCTGAGGCGGTGGAATATTCCGATTAGAGCATAAGATTACAAACTTTCCTTCTGTTGGTTGAACTACCGGCATAGAATGAGCGATGCTCGCTTTACCACTAGAGTCAATATCCGATTGGATAGAATTGATCACCATGGTGAAATATCCATTGGTTCGCGCAGACATGGCAGCAATTGTTATACACCGTACTGCAATGAAACGATAATGACTAGATTTACTAATCAGAATAATCTCATTGGAATAGACTTGATATCATTCTTGTAGGCCCTGTTTTACCCTCAATCAGCCGATGTTGACGTTCTATTCGTGAGGAGTAAACGCCATGCAAAGTCTAGCTCAGCAGTTGTTAAGATAACTTAACTACTACTATCGCATTAAATCAGGATAGACTTGATGTCCATCCTGTCCATCCTCAACCCATGCAAAATGAATCAACAGGTGTTTGTTGTATTCGTAGTTGTGCTAGCGTAGTCAAGTATCTTCCATTGCAATATTGAGATTGGTGTCTTTTGCAGATCATGTTTGGGCATCAATATTATCGAAATCCTCCAAATAATCTGTCTTATATAAGTTGTAGGCAAAAATGCAAAGTACGCGTCCGTTAATAGGACTACGAAAGATCCAGTATGCCCATAGATCATATTTTGCTTCGAGTCCATAAATTTGTTGGACTCTGGGCCATCTACAATAACGTACAAGTCTGATTGACTTCGATGGTACCCCATGGTTGAAAATCAAAGTTGTATTGTGTTGAAATTCTCGAGTAATATTGATATGTACACGTAGAAGGATATCTATGAAATAAATAAAATTGTGCTAGTTTGAGCTTGATTTAACTTTGCATTCTTTCCAGGTGCCATCGAAATTAATCAGACTCTAGTCTATTTCATTACATTATACAATACTATACAATATTCGGAGGGCCTGATTGTAGTAGACTCCAGTCTAGACTAGAAGTCCATACTGCTACTACTGTACTGTCAGTAGATTTATGGCTCATTATTGAAGAAATAATAACGAAAATTGTGAGTTAGTCATTTCCAACCGTCCGCTAGCACCGAGCAGTTTTGCAGGCATCTCCTTTAGGCTTTTAGGCCTTTTTCCTCCAAGTCGATGGAGTAAAAGGCCTAGTAAACTCTATTACAACAACTCCTGTTTGGGTATCAGTACTACCGTGCTATTTCCAGTCATACACCATTTATGACCAGTCATTGGGTCAAAATGCTGTACTGTATCGACAACTACAGGTAGCAGATAGTAGGCCTAAATTTTGTTTTCTACAGTGTACAGTGCACTATAACTACAGTGCAGTACTGTATGAAGAAGAAAGATACACTATATACGGTACGATACAAGGGTACCATTGCACTCATACTGAGTGGCTGGTCTGACAGCCGTCGGCTACCCCATTTTAGACTGTAGCATCACGACTGCGTAGTAACGACAACGTTAGCGGGCTCTAATTCAATCATTTGAAAAGGCCAGCGAGCAAAGATTGCAATTCTTGCTGCCTATTTGTGACTAGAAATTGAAGAAATCGTTTGAAATAGCGGCCGATATGGATGATAGTGATGCTGGCGGTTTTGATGTTGGCTCTCATGATCGACTGGAAGGTAGTCAAAGTAGTGGAGGTGGTTTAGTTATTAAAAAGAGGACCGCCAATGATGGAGATCAACATGTCTTTCGAGCACCTCCAACAGCTGCAAATGCCGGTGTCTCGGAATTAGGTTTGGATAAGTTAGCCCGTGAGAAAAGACGACAGAAAGAGGAGCTTCAATTTAAAGAGAAAAGAGCTAGATTAACTCCTTTACGTCGTGATTGGGATGAAGATGAAGATGTCCGATTTAGTCGTGGTGGTAGTGGGAGTAAGAGAGACAGTAGCAGTCATCGTGATCAAGGTCGTGATCGGCATTTTCGTCCTCCACGTATTGAAACGCCTTCACATACTGGTGGAGTTAGCGATCAAGTACGTTTAGAGAGGGAAAAACGGCATCAACGCGATAGAGAAAGTCGAAAACATGGTGTTTATGCTTCTAACCAGCATACTTCTCAATCACGTAGAAGAGATGATGTAGAAAGAGAACGCTATCGCCATTACCAACAAGAACGTGGCGTTCAACGTTCTGCTCGTGATAAATGGGAAGAGGATACACCAAATCGAAGACACAATCGCAATTGGGAACATACACCGCGCTTTAAAGGTTACCAATAGTAGAGTATAATATAATTCAATGAAATGTTAAAAACCATAGTAAAACGGATAATTATCCTTCTATTGATTGACCTTTTATTCATGTAAAATTAACTATACTAAACCGATATAAAATAAGGATGGACAAGTGCTAATGATCATGGATAAGAATGATATGTAACAACAACCATCAGAATGTACTCATACTGTAGTAATTCAACCTGACTTTTATACGTATCTTTGCAGTCAGTATCAATATGTCACATATATTAAAGGAAAAAACTTCCAGTTATACGCTTTATATGCGAAAGAAATTGCTTTGCCTAAAACAATGACATTAAACCAATTGTTCACAACTAAATAACTATTTAGGCGATCGAACTCCTTCTCGTACTGGCTGGGAAGACAGCAATAAAACACCTAAACCCTCTGATTGGGATTTATATTCACCATCTCGTCAAGACAAGACAGATCGACGTGATAATCGTAGCAGGTGATACAAAGATACGAGAGAATAGTTAATCTAGACATTGATTTTGTTATAATTGATCATATTGATACATTGATCTTGGCTGATTATTACCATCGATATAGATACTGTATTTTCATAAATATCATTTTCTCTTATACAATGCTATCATTAGGCGGTATGCTGATGATACTCCTAAGGCTACTCCATCTCATAAATACAATGCATGGGCTAATGATCGCAGAAGCACTGGCGCTACACCAAGATTTTCTACTGGCCTAGCTGGTATGACCCTATTAACAGTTTAGCCGATGTCAACAGTAATATTTATTTTTTAACTGTAAAGAATTCGAGTTACATAATAGTTTCTTAATTTTAACACGACTATTGTACTATAAAATATTACACATCATGTCGATTAATTAAAATTTTTATGACAATAAAAACAACACGACTCAAAATTTAACCAGTCCATTTATCTATTTGTTAAGGTGATACAGATGATTCAAAATTAGATCAAGGCATAACAGAGAAAGGATGGGAAGAAGAACAAAAGGTAACACCGTCGAACTTATATTACCCTATGTTTTACAATTTAGGTTCAAGAGCGTCTTTAACTACATGTTACATTACCATAAGAGTTTGTAACTAAAGTACTTTGATAATCACTGATTAGAAACTCGATCGAGCATGGTATGATATGGATAGCGGTTATGATGAATTAAACAACCCTTTCTCTAACTTATCCGAAGACTATGTTAAAAAGAAGGAAGAAGAAATTACTCGAAAGCATGTCAAGAAAGTATCCGCTCAGCAAAGGCAAATCAATAAGGTAAGGATCATAGCACAAGATTGATCACATTTTGTGTACTATACGCGTATGACATGATTACATGCGTATGTAATTTACTGTACCCTATATAATTATTCTATTAAGGATAATGAAAGATGGGAAACTAATCGGATGTTAACAAGTGGCGTTGTCCAACGTTTAGAACTAGAAGAGAATGAAGAAGATGAATACAAAGCCAAAGTTAACCTTTTAGTTCAGAATATTGTACCACCATTTTTAGATGGTAGAATTGTGTTTACTAAGCAGCCAGAACCGGTATTACCAATCAAAGTACGTTTACTAAGGGATTTTTTAAATTTAAATCAAAATTATTGTATTTTTATACTAAAAGTTGTCATTAATTATTAATTGTTTCATTATTCTGGTATCAATTTAATTTTTGATGTTGTTATTTATGATGCAGGATCCAACGTCTGATATGGCTATCATTTCACGTAAGGGATCTTTAGTAGTCCGACGCTATAGAGAAGAGAAAGAACGAATGAAAGCTCAAAATAAAGACTGGGAATTAGCAGGTACAAAACTCGGAAATTTAATGGGTATTAAAAAGAAAGCAGAAGAGGTATATAATAAGTCATTACATATTGATTCAATCGTCTAGCCTTGCGGTCGAAATGTCTTAAAAAAATTAATTATCATGTCTTCGTAGGATCAACAAGAAGAGGGAGATTATAAGGAAGGTCATAAATTTGCAAAACATATGAATAAAGCCGATGAAGCAAGTAGCGAGTTCGCTAAAACGAAAACTTTAAGAGAACAGCGACAGTATCTACCAATATTTGCTTCTAGAGAACAGGTCTTTATTGAAATGATATCAAAACTAATTAAATAATTACTTGGCTCGTGATGATTGATGATGATCTTTATTTAACCCATTCAATACACAGTTATTAACGATTATCCGCGATAATAATATTATTATTATTGTCGGTGAAACTGGCTCTGGCAAGACAACACAATTAACTCAGGTATGTATATCATTTGATGCATCTTCTCTAGTTTTATAAAATATGTATCAAGACGATAATACAATATATAAATTTATATTAAAATTTATCATTCTATCGCATTTGTAGTATGTACATGAAGATGGATATAGTAAATATGGCATGATTGGATGCACACAACCTCGTCGTGTTGCAGCAATGTCCGTAGCTAAACGTGTTAGTGATGAAATGAATACAAAGTTAGGCGAAGAAGTTGGCTATGCTATCCGATTCGAAGATGTGACCTCTGAGGTTGTAGTGTTAGATGCGTAGAAAGCCTACGTGTTAGTTAATAAAACTGTGAATTAATTACTCTAATAATAGATAGTATTGTTTGTTTCTTCGTATAGAATACAATCATTAAATATATGACCGATGGAATTTTATTGAGAGAATCACTCAGAGAGCCCGATTTAGACAACTATAGCGTAATCATTATGGATGAAGCTCATGAACGATCATTAAATACAGATGTCTTATTCGGCTTACTTCGCGATGTAATATACAGCCATAGTTTTATTACCATCGTTCTTTCAATATAAAAATATACCATTATTTAATTTCATGTATACTATATTTTTCAGATTGCTTGCCGGAGAAGAGACCTGAAATTAATAATTACCTCTGCTACTATGGACGCGACAAAATTTTCGAAATTCTTTGGAAATGTTCCTACCTTTACGGTTAGTTGTTTACAGATTATTAATACACGTTATAGAAGCTTTCAATGTTTGATTTCTATATCGAGTTAGCGTAAAAATTGTTCATTTAATTACTTAATTTCTTATCCTGCCGTTGTGTAGATACCTGGAAGAACATTTCCTGTGGATATATTTTTTAGTAAAACTGCAATTGAAGACTATGTAGATGGAGCTGTTAAACAAGCACTGCAGATTCACTTACAACCTAGTAAAGGTAGGCATTTGAAAATTTTTTATTACAAGGGTGTTGATAATTATAAATCGAATACGATCAATACATTATTCCATTTGTAGGTGATATCTTAATTTTTATGCCTGGACAAGAAGATATTGAAGTTACTTGCGACCTTATTACAGGTAAATACCTTACCGAGTTAGATATTAATACTATCTGCAATTTGAAGATTTGAATTCTGCTGTTGTTTGCTTTAGAGCGCCTTGGTGAGGTAGAAGGAGCACCTCCATTGACTGTCTTGCCTATATATTCCCAACTTCCATCAGACTTGCAAGCTAAAATTTTTCACCGCGCCCCTGATGGTGTCCGAAAATGTGTAGTTGCTACTAACATTGCCGAGACTTCATTAACTGGTATGTGAACACTTAACGAATTAAATCTTGGTATTAGGATCCAATTAGCTCTATATACCATAAAAGAAATTAAAACATACAATTACTCTCTAGTTGATGGAATTATGTACGTAATTGACTGCGGATACTGTAAACTGAAAGTATACAATCCTAAAATTGGTATGGACGCTCTTCAAGTTTTTCCAATTAGCCAAGTAAGGAAATATAGGACTTCTCAAATTGCAATACGGACAATATTCCTTAATATATTATCGTGTATTAGGCAAATGCTAACCAAAGGTCTGGCCGAGCTGGTAGAACTGGGCCTGGGTAAGTAGATTGCAAACAAATTCAGTTCTTAACACTTTTAATTTGTTGGGAGATTTACAATCGTAACTAAAATCTTATTTTAAATCCCTTCATTATTGCCTTGGATTTATCAAATTAGACAATGCTTTCGATTGTATAATGAATCGGCTTACAAGAACGAACTCTTAATAACAAATGTCCCCGAAATACAAAGAACCAACTTGGCAAATGTTGTATTGCTGCTGAAATCATTAGGAGTAAACAATTTGCTTGAGTTTCACTTCATGGATCCGCCGCCACAAGTAACGATAGATTACTCGTTGAATGCATTGATTTCATATTACAGTTAAGATTAATCATTTCTGTACTATTTGAGTAATTATTGCGTTTAAAATCACCTATTAGGATAATATACTTAATTCAATGTATCAGTTGTGGGTTCTTGGCGCCTTAGATAATACTGGTATGCTAACGCCTCTGGGTCGTCAAATGGTTGAGTTTCCTCTTGATCCCGCTCTATCAAAAATGCTTATTGTATCAGTTGATATGGAATGCAGTGCGGAAATTTTGGTATGATACGTGAATTATTTGGATAATGTAACTTCTTAACTTAATAAGACACTTTTTTTAGACAATTGTCTCGATGTTATCCGTGCCAACAATATTCTACCGCCCAAAAGGGAGGGAAGAAGAGAGCGATAGTATTCGTGAAAAATTTTCCGTTCCTGAAAGTGATCATTTAACTTACCTTCACGTTTATCAACAATGGAAAACTAATAAGTAATATAGATTTTCTTTGTGAGAATTTTAGTTAATGCAAGTAGGCTTAGGTTGATATGCTATTGCATCTTTTAACTTTTAGCTATTCATCATCATGGTGTACACAACACTTCCTCCATTTCAAAGCTTTGCGTAAGGTCAGCTCAAAACGATTATCGAATTAAAATTATGAAATGGTGCCTTATAGCTCGATACATATTTTGTCTATATGCTGTGTTAATACTACTACTTTTATATTGCCTAGGTGAGGGAAGTTCGTTCTCAACTTACCGACATTATGCATCAGCAGAACTTGAAGATCGTATCTTGCGGAACTGACTGGGATATCTGTAGAAAATGTATTTGTTCATCATATTTTCACCAAGCTGCAAGACTGAAGGTAAACGATCGTTTAAGAATAAGAAAGTATTCCACGGTTGTTAGCTGATAATAAAGATGTACTAAGAGTATTTATATAGTTAAGACAACTAATTACTATCAGTGCTGTAATTAAAATATGTATAAAATTAACAGCATTCTTGATCAATGTCTGTCAATGAATCTCTAGGGTATTGGTGAATATGTAAATATGAGAACCGGCATGCCATGCAATTTACATCCGACAAGTTCCTTATATGGTATGGGATTTACGCCCGACTATATTGTATATCATGAACTGGTTATGACAACAAAAGAGTACATGCAATGTGTAACTTCAGTAGAAGGGGAGTGGTTAGCTGAATTAGGGCCCATGTTCTATACTATTAAAGAGACGACAAAAGACGCTCAGGTTCGCTTCAATGAAGTTGCATTAATTTTAAGCGCTATAAATATTTTTCTTTCACTGTATCGTATGTCTGATTTTGTTAAATGCAATTATTTGTACAGTCAAGGCGTAAGAAAGCACTAGAACAGCAAAGTGTCATGGAATCTGAAATGGAAGCTGCAGCAGAATTACTCAAGAGTAGAAAGGAAAAGGAAAATGTCACAACAAGAATCGACGCTAAAAAGTAAGCTATACTGTCGAATTATTTTCCTCGCTAAATTTTAACTAAATATTTTTATTTGATGACTGTTGTTAGAGTTCTGTATTTAGCATTGTAAGTTTATAAAGTAATCCTTATTCTATCACTAGAAATAGAATAGAAACACCTGGTAAGTTTACTGGCAAGGATGCACCAACACCACGTAGGACCCCACGTCAGTTTGGTTTATAAGCCTCTGTTACGTGTATATATAGTATTCAATTTTACTAGTTAATTTAATGTCTGATAAGCTCACTCTGGGCATTGAAGTAGGTCATGAAAAAAATTCTATTTGAAAAGTAATCTGAAATTATGCAAGGCTTAGTAAAGTACTCGTGTAATATTTATTGTGGCTTTCGTTGCATATAATGATTTTCATGAAACATCATGCAATTGTAGTTTGACAGAATTTCTGTTATTTATGATTTTAATCGTATGTAAACCATTGATTCTGTAATACGATGTATATTATGCTATCACACCCGGGCTACCATAAATTGCAACGATTGACATGATCTACATTTATAATTTTAAAACTTTAATGTAAATAGGGTTTACGTACAACCTGTATTATAATGTTTTCTCGTATTTTTTTGTTTATTAGACTGTCCTCATCAAGGCGTGATGAGTGTAAAATTACAATATCACTACTAGTTATGCAATTATACAGCATCCTTAGAAGGGTGAATAAATTTTGCATTAAAACGTTTTTAGTTTTGAAAATTCACTCTGCAGCTGCGCTGTGTAGGTTCTTTATTGTTTACTTAATCCATTTGATTTAAAATGTGTTGCAAGTACGAAGATTGCAAAGCACTGTAGTGTAATAACTATATAATCAACAACCTAAATGAGGCCTTTTTTCTAAGTGAAGATCATACCGTAATTGATCTGCTTAATCTAAAGGTAAACTGCCGATTAATATTAAGAAAATCAAAACGATTTCTTATAAACTAGTAAATTATACATAATCGAATTGTTCATATATTTTTCTAGATATAGGATTAAATGATAATGATCGTGCTTTAACAGGGCAATATTCAGACTGTCAGCTACTGCATGTTCAGTATTGATTGCATATTAACAAATGATTCGTTATAAAGATTAATCAATATTAAATAATTAAAAGAGAATAAAGATAATCTCCCACATACACGTAAATTATAGCTAATCGGGTTATGCTGTACTTGATACAGTATATCTGTAGATAGGATAACATTATAATGACTGATTTTTTCAACAGAAAATACTCTAATAAAACAGTCTGTTCGCTTTTGATCTTGTCAGTCATGTATTCCAGATAATTAATTCGTATATTACACGATATTTAGTATATAATCCTGCATACATCTAGATCAGATAAACAAAATAAAAATCGGTCCTCACCCTTAGGTGGATGTCGTCATTTAAACGATGTTAAAACATTTTTTTTCAACAATGATCGACGATTGGTGTTGGATTTACGAAATCACACTAGGGGTTTGGATATTCCCCATCAAGATAGAATGGATCATAATATCAACAGTTTTGTTATTAACGTCATCATTTACATCGCAATTGTAATGTACTTCGTCACAAGTCAATCATCCTTGTTTAAAACTCCGTCAGAACCATTTTAACCGCCTGGAGTTGCTCTTAAATTAACAAATTATTCCTATCTATTACTTACATGATTCCTTGCATAAACTAACGTCTTTTATCGCGTCAAGACGGCCCCCATACTATCTCTATCTGCCTATATAATAGTTGAAAGTAGATGTAGGAAAAGTGGAATATTTGTAAATTATGATCTATATCCACTAATAGCATGATATTGATATTTTCATTACATCGTCTAAGCTATCGAAGATTAGAGCTATGAAAATTAAGTAAAATCAATGCTGTAAAGTATAGAGATACGAGTCTAATAAGTTATTTATCAAGATCATGTCTAGCATATTTAAGCTGTTTATTTATCCTACGATAATTCAATTATACAGAATATTAGAAAAAAAGGCTGTTGTAGCTATATCAATACCAATAATTTCTTAGAAAACGTTTATAGGAGTGCCTTTATTTTAATGAATGAATCTATTTTGATCAAGGGTTCAAGGAGATTGAATCTTTAATAAACTCTTCATTTATCCATTCAGAAATCTTTGAGTTTACCTTACCTAATTTTAATCAAAATATATTATTGAAAACACCCAATCATAAGTATATCAATACTAACAGTTTCTTCGAAAAGGACTTGTAGCTAGCTATGAGTATGCCTTTCAGCTATTAAATTTATCTTGATGAAGGTAAAGGCTAACGGAATTTGGATCTTTTATTAAACTCTTAGTATAATCATTTAGTATTGGAGTTTGTGATATTTCAATTGAAGCAGAATGTTGGAAGCTGTTGAAGTTCTACTACTTTTCTAGAAGACTAATTATTGCTCATATAATAAGGGTACTTTCATCACAACAAATGGATCTACTTTTGATCTGAGGTATAGGTGAAGCAAATTGCGACTATTTATTTACCCGTACTGTGAATATACCTACAAGGTAGTTTTTGGGGGATATGATCGATCGGATTAACATGTATTATTGAAAAGAACTAAATTGTCCATATTCACTTTAACATGGTAGCTATTCTCTGCTAACGTATAAATTGCAAAAATCTGTTTTAGCTCTCTCAAATTAGAAAAGTATTTATTGCTCTACAGTAGGAGTACTTTCATCATAATAATATAAATTTAAGTAGCTTGAGTAGTATCGATGGGATGAATTTTATCCAACTGTGGAAAGTCCAAATTCACTCTAATACAAATGATCTTTCTTTACTACAGGCTAAGTTGGAAAGGGTTGTTATTCATTCCCTCGACGAGAAGGGCGTTTATTGCTTATACAGTAGAAGTACTTTCATCATAATAATGAATGTGTTTTATTTTGGAGTATAAGTTAAACTAATTAAAATCATTGATTAGCCAGTACTACCAGTATACTTAGAAGGCGATTTTGGGATAGTAACGATTCGATACATTATTGCAATGGAAGAAATTCAAATCAAGTTTACTTAATAACATTGCCATATTCTGCCCACTTTCTACCTTATTTTATGTATAGAAAATTTTGTACCGTCCATTGCCAGGATAGGTATATTTCAAGTAAGTTATGGCGGTTTATCCGTAAGTTAAATTTTTCTGAAACAATAAACCTTTCTTGTTTTTCTGTTGATCTTATCGAATTGATTGTATATTTGTATAAGTTATTTATGCAGTAATAAAAACAACGTCGATCTGAGTTAGCGTGGCCGACTGAACGTCGAATTGTATCCTATTTATTTGGTATACTATCCAGGTTAACTTCAGCGTGCTTGTACTAGCCATTACCTCATTTGTAAAGATTGTTTTATTTCTATTACTGTTCCGCAAATTGGAACCGTTTTTCCTCAAGATTTAATCTGTCCTTTATTAGATTTTATAAGAAATAATTTTGACCGATTGCAGAAATAATTGCTCTGTACTCGTCTATTTCCTGTCCAAGAAATTTAAATCCTATTTTAGCCGGTTACTATTTCTATCTTGCCACGTCATCAGTCCAAAAGAAGAAGAAATCATTCATTATGTCTTCGGAAAAAAGTGAAGAAACCACCGAGAAAAAATCTTGGCAGATTCGAAAGAAACATATCATCATTGCTATTATTGCATTAATCGTCTTCTACATTGGTTATAAATTTTATCCAGTCAAAGGCACAGATGTCATTCGTAAGATTAGTAAGAATAAGAAAAAGGTTTGTGGCAGTGCCAAAGGTGAGAATCAAATGTATTGGAAAAAGTGGCTGAATGACCCAAATAAAGTTGAGATTGGCGATGTTTTCAGGCCATGCCGTAAGTTTCATTTGTTAGACATGTTATTATTATATGTATAAGTTACAGTATTCCTACAGAGAATCAAACTAGCTAAGGAATAATATCCCTTTAAGAAATGAAAAAGGGAACAGGAAGGAATTATCAACATAAATCATCATTGATTATACAGAATTTCATCATTTTTTAAGTCTCCATAGCTATTTCAATCGCGTTGCAGATTAATAATTTCATCATTTAAAGTTGATCTAACTTTTCGCAATATCTAATTGACTATAACTAAATGGCTTCATATTGAATTTATCTGGTCTAGCATCCAGCAATCAGGAGGTCATTTGTGACCGAGAGATATTGGGTAAAATTGCCCTTGTAGTGGATCAAGAAACTGAAAGATTAAATGTAACCTATAGAGCTAAAACCGAACTAGGTAGGAATATATAGACCATACTGTCGCCATAAGAAGAAGCAAAGCTGTCATAGAGAGAATAAATAAATTAATTACCATACTTTAGAATACTGCTGCGAAGAAAAGATATTAGTACTATATTTCCCGTTAGGTTACCTTGTTAAAGCAAGATGAAATATCCGTTGAATATTGTAATAAAAAAGCTTTAGTTCTACCGCCTTTCACTTTGGATTCTTTAGCTCATAATTATTATCATTCTAGTTTTTAAAACTGTTATTTGACATTTGATTATTCTGTCTGTATCATAGAGTATGATATCACGAAAGCCGGTATCCACTTAAAAGTTACCATCGATGGCCTGTCTGCTGTTGATAAACAGCTAGAAATGTGTAAGATGTCCAATTTAACTCATATTTCCTGTCCTGTCCGAAAAGGTAATTTAGCTGCAGCGATGATATTATTTCCAGACTAATTTTACAGCTTTCTAGTATTAGCGGTAGTTGTTTCTAGGCATCTTTCAATCAAAATAAATATAGTACTCAGAGTTTTTAATATAAATGGAAAGAATCAGTGAGGTTAGCGTTATTTCTTGGCCTCTCAAAGTCAAAATAAATATACTACCTAAGATTTGAAAGTTAATTAAAATGACTTCTCTTCAAATATCAGGCAGTAACTTTTCTAGTGCCATCGTGAGTCATACCCATAATTAAGCTTCCATAACGATAGTCTATCTTCCATTGCATAAATCTATTGATCTATCATCTAGTTATACTATATAGATTGCATTTTACAGGATATATTTTCGAATGGTCTATGTTAAAATTTCAAAATAAAAAAGATCATCAGGAAAGAATTTCTTTAATAGTGATTTGAGAGAGAAAATCGTGAAATTTTAGTTTTCGAATGTATTTTTATGTTGGCTAATCGTGCTATAGAAAGTTAAAAATGGCATTTCTGTCCACAAGTGTCTACTAAAAGTAGCCAATAGTGATGGTTTTATTGCATTCATAATAGCAAGATTCTATTTTTTTAAAGACTGCTTTCAATGCCTTACAGTAGAGAGTTTGAAAGCGCAAATCTATCTGTGAACACCTGCTAGAAATAGATAGTAGCAATAGCTTCGTCATTACTTTCAGATAATTATTTCATTTTATTTTAAGCAGCTCAAATAGAGCAACTAAATAATGTTTTAGTGCTTTTTGAGACTGATGTATAAAAAATTTTATTGCTACTTTCAAGATGATTACTTATCTCAAGGATAGCCATCATTGTAAAATTTAATAATCATGGCTGATATTGTATTGAATCTATTTTAGCGCAGTAATACGAATACGAGCTATCCTTCCGTTTTTTTTAATAATTATATATAATCAACCAATAAGATCGACTGAAAATAGTATTTCGTTTAAGTAGAGTCCATGTGAAAATAATTTGTTTTAACGAGAACGAGATGGAGTCCAATATATTATATTGTAAAGGAGAGAATATCGAATTACAAGTTCTATTTTATAAGTTTAGGCAATAGTCTAGGAGAAGAACGGTATTTGTTTAGCGTATCTAATATTTTCTATTATACATGAATTTTTAGGACTACTAAAACTTCACGATAGCTTTGCTTTGCCAAAACTTCTTATGAAAGTAAGTAAAAGAGCTTAATGGATGAATTTATATCCTTCTTAATTATACGTTTAACTGAATATACAGACAAGATTTAACTCACTGTAATCTGAATATGACGAAAACAATATCGTAGCAAATAAACTTAGCAATAAGTATAGCTGATCTTCTCGAAGCTGATAATCATTGAAGATTTTATGGCTTGTAAGAACTTCTCTACAATATATTTAGCTTGTAAATGATATAGAATATCTTTTTAGCTCAAAGTAAATCCTCTACTCTAGAACATCGCCATTCTATCCAAACGCACCACTTCACTGATTATATTTATTACATACGCATAGCCTTGCCGATTGCTTGTAATAGCGTATACATTGCCAAAATAACCATCTATTTGCAGCTGATGATATACTGTGTTCGATAGTAATTTAGTTGTAATCTTTAAAACAAAAAATTTTCTAAAAATCTCTACCATTAATTAAATTATGATGTGACTTTACTTTTTCGAGATGGAAACCGCTGATACCTCCCATTTTGATAGATCATTCTCAAATTATTTGCTTCCACACTTAAGATACGGACTACAGTTAGGATCCAGTGCTAATAGATCTTAACTTTCATTAGGGATCATATTCCGCGGAAGCCAGATTAACAAACCAGCATGGAGATGACATCGCTTGTCTTAATGTCCAATTCGATATCTAGTTCGATTTGCTCAGTCATATTAATTTTTATTGGAAATATATTGGTACTATCCTAGTTTGTATTAATTTTATGAGTAAATCGTTTAACGATTCGTATAGATCTTGATGATCTTCCAGTGTTAACTTGGCTACCTACAGCTGTCTAGCATAAGTTTATTCGTACATTTTTAAGTTCCAATGGCTATCCTATTCTAAATTTTGGTGTACCTTACATTTTTCGGGAGACCTTAACATTCGGTGGAATGACAATTGTTGATACTCAATGTATCTATAGAACTACGGTTTTTCATGTTCCATCTATTATTTTAGTGTATATGCCAAAGGATAAGGAAGGTTCACGATGATGTATGCCGCCCGCTTATCTTTTGCTAATGTTATAACATTTAAAGTAATCTCGTTGCAATGCTAATGATATTTGTCTTAGTACTTGTGTTAAGTAAGTTTAACCTTCTAGAAGGCTACTGATCAAACAAGCATTTGATAAGCTAGATGACCAAATATCCAAGATCTATTATGGTCTAAAGATTTATTACTGTTAAACGGAAAATATAATGTAATAAATCAAATATAAAATCTTCAAAAGGATTGTTATGATTGTCTATTATCTCACCTATTATTATAATTATTTACCGTAGGCAAGATTTGATAAAATGAAATACATGTTTAGTACTATCGAATACAAATTGACGTATGGAGGCAGTAATCAGTGATTATTTACATAACATCTCGCGTAATTTTATCTCGTATGATTTAGTTAAAATCTAATGTAAATGAACCCTACTATAGGTAATTTACAACAATATCTTGGGATTAAGTTACTTATTTAGTATATTATGTTTAGATATCTTTTGCTGGTTAAGAAGGCATGATCTTTGCAGAAAAATAAGTACAATTTGAAAAAGATTGAATGATATCAATTGAAATCACGGGATAGAATTTAACGGAAGATTATTATACTCTCTGAAAAAGGATTTTAGTATCTTAACGTAATCAGACCTTGGATATAAAAAATAAATTTTCAGTGGATGACATGATCTTACACTATAGACCATGACAGCATACATTTCGATTTAAACATATTTTTCTCAATTATGAGTTATCATCTTCTACATTAATATACAATAAAAAGTTTCAAATGGGAAAAAATTGATCTTGCTGTTCAATTTTAAGATTAATGACCAGGTCGATACTTCAAAAGCATAGAGAACTAATGTAATCATTCTAGACAATGCTTCGTAAACAATTTTATATTGTCGTAGTTTATATAATTTCTGCTAGTGCATATCGAGATAATTATAGAACAATGAATTTCTTAGCTTTGATCATCCAAGTAGGATTAATAGTCGTATATATATAATCAAGAAGTAGTTCAATTTACAACACTTTACTGAAGCGGTCTGGAAGCGCAGTAAGAACCGCCAAATAACAATTGTTGAAGCAGTAATAACACTTTCGAAGTGGTAATATAGTAATTCATTACAGATAGATTTTGAAGCCAAAAAAGGGTGCCTTGTTTAACTTACTATTAATAAGACAAACCCTGTAAGTAAACCACTGTCTAAGGAATATAACGAGTTTGATTCAACGTCTGCTTTTTGCAACTAATTTTACGAGTGCCGACTATACTCGTACCCGTATGTGGATTACATTCATAATAAGCGTTGCCCTTGTAAAACTATCAAATAATTCTTTATTTTCTTGCCACTCTATTTGTTGATAAAGAGGTAAAAGATGAAATAAACGGCCAGCAGTAATACAAATAGTCCACCAACAACAGCAAACAAGGCCTGATTATAACAGAGTGAAAAGCATGGTTAACCGCGGAGATCAAAGATTTACTTCAGCACGCAAGGCACTTTTAAACTTTAGTAACTTTATCTCAACGCTGAAATTTTAAATAGATACCAAGATTTGATTGCAGAACTAAATACAGCAGTAAGCATCGCTCATTATTGCTTTGCTTAATCTTAAAATTGAGCTTTTAATTTGTTGACAAAATCGATCGAAATGGAAGGCATTGAGAACTCTACTATGGTTCTAAAATACAAGTAATTTATCATAATTCAACTTATTTTGGTTCTGATCTAAAGGTAGTGTGATGGTGGCATTTAGAAGTAGGAAAATATCGATGGATTTATGCAATATAAAGTATGGAATGCATTACTACCAAATAAGTATGTGGTAGGGCACTGTAATTCTAAGATGAGTCATGGTGTATTGCATATGTAGCATTAGAAGATCATAAGCTAATAATTGTAATTACTTAAATTAGTTTTACAGGTAGGAACTACTTTCTTTGTAGTCCCCGTTGCAGGTTATATTGTAAAAGCATTGAATTGCACAGCATATACGTTGAACAAGTACATCAATTATGATCTCAAATTTAGATGGTGTACTCACTTGAATGCCATTGGAAGATCGGCGAGCCTGAGCTTTTTCTCTGGTAGCTAACGTATTTCTTTTATTTCTTCCTTTAAATTCTTGCTCACCTAATAAACCAGTATTGAGGTATTCAATTTAGCCTTTATTATTAAAATCGAAAATCGAAAATCGAAAGCAATTTGCTAGTGATTGTCGAAATTATATGAATACCACCGTAACTAGTTTCTAACATATATTGGTAGGCTAGTCACAAAAATCTATCGTATCTGCTAGTTTAACGGCAGCATGATTTCTGAGATACTCCTAGTTTGCAGATTTGTATAATTTTATTCGTCATGATAGCAGATAAAGTACCAAATGTTTGCATGTTACAGTTTCTTAAGAATATACGTACGACTATTATGCAATTCGAATATGTTTTTAAGTGCATTTATGAGTATACATATATACTGAATTAATTATGCAGGATATACAACTTGAGAGCAGCTATATCAAGTAAAGTGTACGCATACTTGAAATTAAAGTGCAATAAATACTGATCATTTCGAATGATTCCTCTATCAGGGACTTGTATCATAGAAGTTTCTGTCTCTATCATGGAATAGGTACAGCTTGCATAGCTGTATTTTAAGCACAGCCAAGCGCCTTTCGTTATGGTTCAAATATCGATTTCATAGTACAGTATATGATTTTTACATTGCACGTAACATATACAAATCCAACAGTGTTGTTATGCTTCATCATTCAGACAGTAATATCCAATTCTCCAAATTAATAATGCCTGAAGAGTCTACTCCATATCCGTACTGTACTACATAAGTGCAGTCATAAGAAGATGCAGCTTGCAAGATGTCTATCACTACAATGGCAGAATCATAGTGTGTCAATTAAATAACAATAATGGAATTTCAGGTACCGCAATATGAATGGCCGCAATCACATTACAGTACTTTAGCACTGTCTGCTGTCTCAAAATCGGGGGGAAAGGGGTGTACGAGTAGTAATATTCAAGTTGCTATTAAAAACTTCCTGCTGCAGAAACATGCAGAAGAAAGCTTTTGCCAGATTGACTACAGTGCTGTGATCATCATTAGGGGCACCTCCCATTCCAGGATAATTTGGTCTATAACTTTTGTAATCGTACGTTTACTGTGACGAAACTGTGACATGGCATAACTCAATTCATCATCACCCATGCACAACTGTTCCATTTAGTCTTCAATTCAGTATGATAGTCTGACAGTCCAATTTCGACACCCCCCTACTAAAATTTCGCATTGATCGCTATTCATGAATTGCCGTCTATATCGATCTACAATTTAAAGGTCGAAAGTGAAACAAGACCTAGGCGATGAGTGCTACCAAGTATGGCTAGAGTCTTATATAGCAAAGTTATGCATTAAGGCCGCTATATGAGGAGGAATGCAAACAGAGTGACTGTCCCTAATGATGATGACAGGACTGTCTATGTTATAAAGCACATAGCAGCCATGCCAGTGATGCGACGTCAGCACGGCAATGATAATAGTCTAGCAGAGTACTGTAATAAGGCGAAGGTTGCTCACTTAGTGTGCTCATTCCTTCAAGCGAATGTAGAAGAAACATGCATCGTGGCCGTTTCTACAACAGGTCGTACTTCTAGGTTTAACTAGTCCATATCCAAAGCGAATAAAACACTACCAAGTGAAAGAACTATCGATGACCAGCAACACCTAAAATGGACAACTACTCTTCTCACCGGTCATCATCCTATTCTAGCAGAGTACTGTAATAAGGCGAAGGTTGCTCACTCAGTGTGCTCATTCCTTCAAGGGAATGTAGGAGAAACATGCATCGTGGCTGTTTCTACAACAGGTCGTGCTTCTAGGTTCAACTAGTCCATATTTCAAGCGGATAAAACATTACCAAGTGAAAGAACTATCGATCACCAGCAACACCTAAAATGGACGACTACTCTTCTCAGCAGTAATATGATAGATACTACTGGTATCACTTGCCGAATTCACCATTTCCAAGTCAACATTGTTTCCACACTGGATTCAAGGTGGATTTATGCATGTATGGACTTCAAGCTCAAAGAATTTCTATTTTGTTGGATATCGTAGGTAAAACCAAGGCAATAGAAGAACAAGTAGACTGCAGTTTACCTAATTTTTGACGATATTGTTGGATTGGTGTAGAATTGGCAATATCTTTTCGTCCCATGGCGAATCTTTCTTGCTGTGAATTTGTTGACAGGCAAGGTCGATGAAATGGATGAAGTGGTGCGGCGACAGGTGACAGGTGTTGATTTCAAGTGTAGCGGTTGGAATGACGCGCAGTGATAGCAGTACAGTACAGTACAGCGACGTACAGTACTGTAAGGTTCTCAAGGTATAAGCATTTGTATGGGTGATGTCTACAGTAGGTACAGTAGTTACAGTACTGTACACTGTACAGTACAGTACTGTAGGTGACAGTTGACTTTACTTACTAGGTGACATGTGTTGATTTCAAGTGTAGCACTGGAATGACGCGCAGTGATAGCAGTACAGTACAGTACAGTACACCCTAACCCACAGTGTACAGTATAGTACTGTACACCGTAAGCCGAAGAATACAGTACTTTGTATTGTAAAATAGTGCAGTACTGTACACTGTACACTGTAATCAACTATTAATAGGATTGCACTTTCAGTACAGTACAGTACTGTACTGTACAATTAAATGTGTACTGTACTGTACTGTACAGTACACCGTAACCCGAAGTGTACAAAGTACTGTACACTGTACACTGTAATCAACAATAGGATTGCACTTTCAGTACAGTACTGTACTGTACAGTATGTACTGTACACTGTACAATTAAATGTGTACATAGAGTACTGTATACTGTACTGTGCTGAAACACAGCCAGCACAGCCCACACGAGATGCACCTCGTAAGTTACAAGTGTAGTCAGCGACTTGTCTTCAATGCTCTGACCTGGTACAGTAGTCCAGGCCAGGACAGCACGACATACTGTAAACAAACCATTTTTACTGAGTCACGTTCGTCAAAAGCCTCAACCACAGTTCGTTTCACACAAGTGAGGTGAAGCAGCGATCCAATCCACCAGTCTACTTCCATGTCCGATGTGAGCAACAGTTCTCAACAGCTGCAGCCATTTTCGTCCATCTAGGAAAGTGTCGTTGATCCAATTCTGTCTATTCCTTTTCAATTCTTACTGCATCCATTTCTATTCAACAAAGTGCGGGTGCCAAATCAAAACAAAGAAGTTGTACAATTTTGAGCTGCAGTACAGTAATCTCCTTCAACGATATTATCATTCATGGAGAGCGTGAGTCATTTAGTCAGTAACGGCCAATCTGTCCTTTTGGTATGGAGTCAAGGTGGTCAACTGGATACATTGGCCAATTTTACTTCTTCACTACGAGAAAGAGTAGGTACTAATGGTACTGTAGCCGTGGAAAATATCAACCGACTATCTCAATGTACGTAAGTTACAAACCTATTGAATGATCAAGAGTCAATCAGCAATGAAAAAGTACTTTCCATTTGTCCATAGCTTGACGAGTGGAGATCTCCTTCCATGGTCAGTTTGACCATGAAGGCACTGCCTACACTACTAAAAGTCATCCAGTACAGCATCCAATAAGACAGTAGATTGCCGATGTTAACTTTGTATTCAATGTTGTGAATGGCTGGAAATCGCCAAGGTGTACAACATAGTATGACCAATATGGCGACTCTAATCAATCTCTAGTTGCATAGCTAATGCTAAGAGAGCATGACTTACGTAAGAGCTTGAGTCGATATTGTTGCCCTTTCGACCAATTGGACAGTATACTGTAGAAATTCAGCAAGACATGGTGATATCGTCTTGAAAATGTTCCAATTGGTTGTCAATGATGTACAAGTCTATTAACACTGTACAATTTCACTTGATCAGCATGATCGTTATGGAAAGAAATCTGCTTAAAATAAGGTCACAAATTTAAAGTACAGTACTTACAGGCAGGACTAGATTGATTGGGAAACGGATCAAAGTAATCTTGCTCGTTGAATCATCAATTATTCTGTATCGGTGAATTTGAGAATGTATAATTTGACGTATTGCAATGTTAATAATGATGATAATGAACTCTTAGTGGTGATTTTGTTAGAACGTTTTAGTAAAGTCTGTAAAAGAGCAATGAACTCAATTTATTCAAAGTATACGTGTGTAACCACAATCGTCGTAGGTTACATATTAAGTGAGTTTGCACTTTGATTACTGTGATGGTGTGCTTACTATACTAATATAGTAAGAATCGCCAATGGCACGGTTTTAGAGTGCCTAATCGACAGTAAACATGTTATAAACATACAACTATGGATTTCATATATTGTAGCAATGTCAATTACACAACATATCCGTTTCCATTGTGCCATATTAGCTAATTTAGCCCTCCTTGTGTAGTATTGAACACGTTTAATCTTCATTTTATCTTTCAGCTTCTTATGGATCATCAACGTTTGATGTCGCCCTTTCCAATGTTGTATCAAGTTACTGTTGCAAGCATACTTCGGAACAGTTAGCACAGATTCTAAAAATGTTAAAGCCAGATTGCAAATGTTTATTAAGAGATACCTCACCGTCTGACCAAATTAGAAGTGAATTAATTTTGGCAGGATTTACCAATATATCCATAGTAAGTAATGTTGAGATTATGCATTGCTTGGAATGACATGTACGTATTTCCAGAATAGATTCTGTATGATATAGCTATAATAATTTCTTTCAATCTTGAGATTTTTCAACATTTTGGGGGAGGGGAGATGAACAGAACGATTAATGATAATTGAAGTCTTCGAGCACAAATTTTCACGTTAGCCTAGTACAGTTCGAAATTTGAAATCATGCATTTTCCTATGTTATAAAAGTTATTTATCTACGAATAAGCACAAATTTTCACGTTAGCCTAGTACAGTTCGAAATTTGAAATCATGATTTTCCTATGTTATAAATGTTATTTATCTACGAATGGGTATAGTAAGTCTACAACTTTCTCCTTTACGTACGTTGGTATAATGCGTGCCACTTTCTATCCATTGTAAATGAGAAATCTATATACGAGTCTTTACTCGTATATGAGTGTGTCTTTTGTGTTACAACTTTTGAAGGAATTACAGTCTTGATTGAAAAAAAAATCCAACGTCATTTTCGTTCCAGGATGTTCTTAAAACCATTTTTAGTACTTTTAAAGTATATGGGTAGTAATATTGTCATAAAATTAATCTCTCGTTGTATACACTTTGCCTTCTAGGTAGCAGAAGACAATGCAACTGTAAAGGTATTTAATTCCCATTATATAAAATTGATCATGGCATGGATTTCGTCGCTCTACAGTACTTGTAAACTTAAATGTTGCCTAAAATTGTTTCGTGTTGTCCATAGGTAAATGCTCGCAAGCCCAATTTTGAAATTGGTTCTTCCGCTGCGCTACCATTTGCTAATAAAATCTCATTAGGTATCGTCCAGCATAATAATTCAATACTGATAGTATAAACGAAAATGTTTCAACTGGGGAACACCCATAAGGGTGGTTATGAAATAGATATCGTAATGGTGTCTTGTATTTCACTAGGTGGCAACTCGAAAATGGAGACTGCAAAAATGTGGACGTTGTCATCTCAAGATTTTGTGGATGATGATATTGTTAGCAGATATTGATATTATCAATTATTCTTACTATTTATTTACGCGTATAGTGAGCTTTAATTTTAACTATTTTTTATGACTGCAATTGGTTAGGATATTATCGATGAAAACACACTCATTGAGGAAGACGACTTTTTGAAGCCCGATCCGTCATCGTTGAGAAGTACGTCTTTACGAGTACATAGTTTATTATTAGCGTTTGCGTGTTACTTAAGAAATTAAATTAGTAATAATGCCAGTGATTACTATTTACGCTATTTGGGGGTTATATTACAAAGTTACTGTTTCCACGTAATCACTTCAATTACATCAGTTGTACAATAGGATTACGAAATGAGAGATTTTCGGTATTTTCCTAAACAGTTTATTCAAATAATCGTGTCTGTTTTATCATTGCTATTAGTATATTGTGATGAATTTATTTCATATGTTGAAACTTCCCATTATTGGTCTACAGTAACTTAATTATTTAGTGTCATAATTGCTATTTTCAATATCACAAAAACAGGTCAAGAATGCGATTCAGCTAAAAAAAAGCGAAAAGCCTGCAAAAATTGGTTTGTAGTGACAGGATGTGCTGTCAACTCTTAATACTTTATTAGCTTAAACTGCTATTGGATCGTCATTAGTAACATTAGCTGCATCTATGTATTCTACTTGTAATAGTTCATGTGGCTTAGCTGAAGAAATCGAAAGCGAAAAGAAGACCAATGGGAACCCCGTTTCTTCGTGCGGCAGTGTATGTTTTTAAATAGGAATATAACCTGATGACTGCAATTTGATATGATACTGTATACAGCAACCAATGCATTTTATTCATATTGATCTTATTACTATTATTACGAGCCGTAGCTTACAGTGGCTCCTCAAGCGTAATTCCTTATTCTATTCATTAGTGTTATTTAGGAGATGCCTTTCGATGCTCAAGCTGTCCCTACCTTGGAATGCCAGCATTCAAACCTGGTGAGAAAGTTGCATTACCGTCTCGATTGCTTCAGGCAGACGTATAATTGCATTTCAATGTACAAGTTGAGGTTTCAGTCATCATACTTGCGCCGCAGATAAAATCTTGATGCAAAAACTGTAACAAATTCTTGGCGATATAAGCAAAATTTACAGTCTATCTTAGCATGTCTATGAGCTCTGAAACTGTAGTCTCTAGAGCCAATTGGTAATTTTTAACTACTGTTCCAATTAGACCAGAATCCAATTTGTTCAATTCTTACGATTTACGAATTAGCATTAGTTGTATTATTTGTAAATGTGTAATTTTTGTTGACTGACATTTTAGCTAATGTGCGCCTGCGAACTTGTTATACAAATAATTTAATTTTGCTGTATCCTGGTCTATGAATCATGTATTTGAAATTTTATATTATCTAACAGATACCTATTGTTGATCAATCTTTATGATACTATTTGTATTCTTGCGATCACTGTTATTATAGCAAGAAAATGATAATGCATGCAATCATCATTGAAAGACTTACGTATGATTGCTTTAAGCAACTTCTGACGTAAGCGTTAGTACTTTACGTTTCCAATCTACGCGTATAAATGCATTATACATCATGTTAACTCTTACGTTGTGCATAATTATTCAACTAGTAGAACGTAAACAATATAAACCCATGCTGATGGATTGGTCAATTACAAGTGTAAAGATTCTTTTCATTAGCCAATTGTATGTTGGATTGGACTGATATTTTTGAACAATCTCTATATCAAATGATTCACTGTGCCACTTTATCCCGTATTTATAAATCATGACGGTTTATTAACTGACTCTGTGATTGTTATCATTCTATAATGAACTAATAAATGCATGCTAACTGATAGTTGTGAAACAGTATTGATCGATGGGTGGGTATACAAAATTTGCCAGATTAGTATGATGCTTACAAGGCAAAGAGAAGGTTGGATATGCAGTGTACTGGTGAATCTACACTGAGATAGGCTGATGGTTGATTTTCATTTACCGTTGAGTTAATCCATTAATAATGTCATCATTACTTGGAATGATGGAATAATTACGAGGGGGTGGATGAGTACAGTACAGTGCTTTACTCGAATACGGACCACTAGTAATGTAATGGTGTTTGAAAAGCTTGGGCTAGCTGAATTGTCAATCATTTCAGCGACTTGAGCAGAATGCTTACGGATAACTTTGACACGCTTGTCCATCAAGATGGTTATTTTAACACTGATGGATTGGAGAAGAATGCGGTACTTGTTAGATCTTCTTTCTATAGATATTTGTTTACTTAGTTATGAATTGAGCGCTATCTTGTTGTGTTTTTTTCATTCCGTATTGACACTTCTTCAATGATGATTGTTATGAGTCTACAGTCTGTGTACTTCGTTGTGACTACTTTGGATGCACTTAGTAATAAGCGAAAGATGGTTTGGATTGATAATTAGAATAATAATTAGAATAAATTGATATTTGTTATAATTATTCTAACTGACGAATGTCCCCGTGTTGCTTTGACCCCAGAGTCCCTCATTATAATAATAATAATAATAATAATAATCAAGGTCTTCAAGGTCTGATGTGGTCCACCAACAACTGGCCGGCACAGTACAGTACAGTACACTATAAAGTAGCATACTGTACTGTACTGTACTGTACGTACTGTAGGTCAGAATTAGTGCCTTGATACTGTATGGGATGGTGGCGTCGTGGTTGCAGTCCCATAGTGTACGGACGGTACGGACTGAATGAAATGCAGCAGTTTCACTGTTCGGGAGATTGACACCACTCACTTACATCATTGTGTTGAACCCTGTGAACTGGGATCGGTAATGCCTGGCAAGGTCCGCTGGGTCATGCCATGTCGGTGTCAATGCCACGTCGTAGTGACTCGACTTGTACAGTACACTGCACTGTAAAGTACAGTACTGTACTGTAGACTGCAGACTGGACTCGGGCCGTGCTACAGGCTACATGACGGAGAAGTTCAAGACCCCCCCCCCCCCTATGGGTCAAACAACATGGTACGTATCGCAGTCGATTCCACCGAGTCTTCAACACACCACCGTACTACTTCAATCGATACGAAAGGCGACGACAAAACCATCACGCCACCGAGAAAAACCACCTCAGGTGTCTCTAGACCACGATTGTCGAGCGCAAGCGTACGATCGTGTAGCACTGTAGCGTACCATCGTGTACCGTACCCTTGAAGCCTACCGTACAGTACACGAACGATACAGTTCAACGTCCAATGATGATGACTCGACGATCCGTGCCGGACCAAAACAACTTTTCAAGCCATTGATGATGAATTAATCTGTTCAACTTTTTATCATCGTGGACTAGATAAAATCTTCTTTTACGCAATTAACTAATTTGAGCTGACTATTACAACAACTCACCAGACTTATTACAACGTCAGGGTAGTCTAGGAAAATTATTAACCAAGTTGGATCATCGATCGATTTGCTTCTTTGGGGGGAAACCCTTGGATTGCTGCTGGTGTATCAATACAATCCAAATCGATTGCCTTGACATTGATGACAATTAATGAGGTAAATGTTTTGGATTTTTTCAACTCTTCCCATCCTAATAGTAATGTTATGATGACGAAAGACAAACCACTTGCAAGTGGTCATCATAGACTTGCACTTTTTGCTTCATTTCACCATAAGATCGATTGTAGTTGGATGAGCATGATGAAAAATAGCATATTGTACAGTACTTGACGGTTTTCAACCTTTTTCTCCATTTCCTTATTAGCCTTTATTCTGCATTTTCAAGAAATGTGGACGACTGTATTTGTTATTGGTGTCGCCAACATCTTCCTCCTTCATAGTTTGAATAGTACAATAGGATATTCATATACTGTAGGCAATAATAATATTATTCTATTTCCAACCCTATTATTGTACTCGACTTCAATTAATGTACTGTAGAATGAATATCGCGCTCTATTTCTTCATCCATGTACTACAATCGAAGAATTGTAAAATGATCAATCAATCAGGTCCAAATTGCAAATAATTAGCTTACATGTGCATTGCACCAAAGACTCACTTTGTCATTCTATTGCTTATCATTATGATGATTTAGATTTCCAATTTTCTGCCAGTCGACTGTCAAAGAAATACTGCGATACCCGCAACAACGAATTGATTTGTTCTTCTACAGTCTACATTGTATCATTTTGCCTACTACAACGTCGATAATCGATGTGTTGATTTCTTCACCAAAACGCTTCTATTCTATCTACGCCAATAGTCGATCATGCCGTCTTTAGGAGTGGAAAGTATCCCAGTACCTACCTTACGTACCTATTCTATATTTAGCCTTGGATTATTCCTAGCATCGGTATATTATGCTCGTGAAGTATCTCATTCCCGCTTTTTGCATGAATCGACAAGCTTTGATGGCCTCAACAAATCCAATCTCGATTGTTTTCACCCAAAGCCTGAACAGACATTGATGCTTTCATGGACACAAACTGCTTCGGTCATGCTGGAAGAGCTGTGGTGTGTTTGGGTTAGTCTCTCTACTTGTCATACAAACAGTTGTTTAAAATTGCATAACATTGCAAAGTAGATTACTTTCTTCTTGATTAACTCATGGACTGTATGTACACTGTACAGTAGTGATAGAGGTAAAAGAACCTCGATGATTGTTCATCACAACGTTTACCGTGATTATCAAATGTTATTGTTCCAAATTCTCTATTCCTACACTACCTCTAAGTAATGAAGTACTTGCTGCATACGTAGTGACAATGATTAGAGGATATCATCTGATCATTTCCAGAAATGTGTTGTTCAAAAATTGCAGTACTAGTTGTTTATAACTACGATCATCATTTTATTTTGATTGTAATGACTTAATATCGTAGTGTGTATAGCAATTCCTATTCAGGATAATCAACGATATTCATGGTTCCTTTTTTTAATTAATTTACTTTTCAAAACAAATCAGGTGGTAGTCAATATGGCGTACTGTACACTATTCCTAGTAGCTCGATTGGTGCAAAAAGTGGTTTTTGGCGAACTTCGTGTTAGCGAACAACAGGTAAAAATACTCACTGAAGAATTTAGCATTGAATACTGCTAAAATGGTTAGCTTTCATGATCAACTGATTGCTACAACAGTTTGACATAGATATTAATTGACGTTCTTCTTGCCTTGCCTCGATCATGGTTCATAATTATAATATTGTCACTCTTGTGTCTTTCTATTAAAAGTAGTTGTTGTGTTGATTTTTATCTAATATCACCAGCAAGACTATCTTATTCCTGAACGTACTTTAGGCTTAATTACAAATAGTATTGTCCACACTAATATTAGAAATACTGGTACATTAGATTGATTTCCAATTAAAGTGCTGATGTAAAGAAAATGTTTACCCGGATGTTCATACTTTGGGCACATACCGATGATTGCAAAAAAGGGAATTAGAGCATAGTACTATACCGCAGTTAGGCGGAGACGATTACCATATAGAGTATATTTATGTTGCCTACTCAAGTACCGTATGGTTACACCAGTTATGTTTTTGTATCAGAGCGATAGCAGCGTAGATGGGCAAATTTATTATTTTTTTCTCTCATTTTCTGATCCTTATCTTGGTTATGTGAATGTGTCTATCACTTCTTCTCTTTTTTAAAATCATGTTTTGCTTTATTAGAGTCATATACTACGACTTTATTTGTCCTAATTTCATCGGTTGAAGGCATTTCATGATTTGCATGTGCTAAATACGTATACCCAAGGTTGACATCTGTAGTTAAATTCTATCACTGTCAGAGGAGGAAACTTTGACAGTGGTTCATAAAACATTAAAAGCCATCGATTGTAATACCCTTCCATAAATTAAATAGCCTCCCTTTAAGAAAAAATCGTTTCAAAACTTTTGAAACGGAAGTTAATTTCCCCATCGGTATCGTCGTAACATTACTATTTCTGTAGTTCCGCATCTAGCTGCGATTAGTTCTACCGCACAGTCATGTCATTGAAAGCGATCCTGGTAGAGCATATTTCTTTTCTACGAGTTTTTTACTGTATTATATCAAGTGGAATAAAACGAGGGATATTTTTAGGCTATCAAGAAGTTGAAGCTACTCTGTAGTCTATAAAAGTATTGAAATACGCTTCCATGCCTATTCTCTGATTCCACCAGATGACGTATGATTCGAACTTGCAAAGTCTGCTTTTATTCCGTGATGTTAATTTAGATTCACACTATTGCTTTATCGTAATAGCCGTATAACATACGGATTCTCCTCATTATTTTCGGATATTATGCCCTAGAACTAAATAGCCGTGCAATTATGATTGTATAGCTCGTTATAATAGAAACGATAGGCATTATTATTTTATTATTGATGGCAATGTTGACATCCCTAGCTACGTATAATATCAGTACTTGTAAAAGATCAATCAATCATTTACTGGTACGGAATTTTATACAAGATGCAGTCTCTTCGCGGAAAGAGTAAATAATCATTCATTAATATATTCTTATTAATTATATTTTACTGCCACTAAACTTTCCGCACAATGAAATTTTACTGACGCACTTGTTCATCACTAGTCTATACTGTACTGCTGTAGTACACTATGTTCAACAACGTTAATATAGATAGTACAAGGAGCATAATGAAGGATAGCGATTGCTCTAGTCAATGAAATAATCAACTGTTCCCTCCTTCGATTAGAATTATTTCAGTTTTATTGCGTCTTTGTGCATAGCATAAAATTGGAGGCCTAATGCAAATTTCCGTGCAGTGTGCCTGTGAGAAATGATTTTTTTAGGATTGATCTTGATGTCAATTTCTACTAGTGCTATTGAAAGTTAGACATTTGCGTTTGCTTGCTAAAATTACTTTATCATTGTCTTTTTACAGCACTTGAAGGACAAATTTTGGAATTTTGTCTTTTATAAGTTTATCTTCATATTTGGAGTTTTAAATGTACAGAAACTAAGCGAAGTAGGAATGTGGTGTGCTTGGTTTTCCTTGGTGGGATTTTTACACTTTTTTACGCAATTATGCCGTGATCGTTTTGATTATGTGAGTACTTCCTCCTGATTACTAGAGCAATTGTTTTACTTAATGCTATAAGAGCTACTTCATTACAAACACTAAAATGTATGCAAGTCGCTATATACTGTACGTTTAGCATAGGACCTACTTATCGGAAATGATTTATAGAAAATAAAGTACACTAATTCTAAAGCAGAAACTCTAGCAATATTCCTTCTATACTTTTTAGTTAACTTTTTCTGCTACATTCAATACTGGCACACATGGACGTGTTTTATTATTATTGCTGGGTATCTTGGGTTCATGCTTTACTTTAATGGGTATATCCTATCATGTTGGGTTAGAAGTCGGATTAAATACCTTTGCCTTTATGATCGTTGAGGTAAGTGATTTATATTTTCTTAATTCTGTCTTTTATAGTGTTGTTGGTTGAAATTATTTTTTAGATATTATAATAGCCAAAAACAATATACTGTAATTGCCATATATCGGTTATCGGCTATGCTAACTGTGATCGTTTGATATTTTCTCATTCCAATAGTGTTTTCTGTTGGCCTTAAATGCGTTGAATTGTCTTATAAGGTACTATAAAAATAGTTATGAAATAGTGTTAACAATCTTTGGTGGTTTAATAACAGACGGATGGATTAATTTTCTATAGTGTATCGACTGAGAAATAGTGTAGTTATTCATGAATAGATAATATTTTGTTTTCAATTAACATCAAAGATATGGCATTCACCTGTGGGATATTGGTCATGAAGGTGTTTGGGAGAATCGTGGCACTTATTTATATTATACCGAACTAGTCATTGAATTGGCTGCAATTTTTATTGATTTTTTCCATCATCTTCACATGTTGGTAGGTAGAAAATCTCTTAGTTTGGTACACAAATGCAGTTACAGTTTATGGAGTTTGTAAATAAGAAATAAACACGTGGCTTGTTTGTACCCTTTCCCAATAGATTTGGACTAATTTCTTCCTAAGCATTGCAAGTTTGATTATATGCATGCAGATGCGTTTTCTATTTTACGAGTTTCGACGACGGGTGGCTAAACACCAAAACTATGTACGGGTTATGACGAATATGGAAGCAAAGTACGGCCCCAATATTTCTATGATTTCACTGTGCACTTTGGAATATTGCTATTAAGAATGTCATTATTACTAGATTACGTGTTATGTATCTAATCATAAATATTTACTCTAGGTTTTCAATGGCAACACCTGAAGAATTGAAAGAGCATCAAAAGTGTGCAATATGTTGGGAAAAGCTGGAAAGTGCTAGAAAATTGCCGTGTACACACTTGTTCCACAGGTATTAATGCTGCATTCCAAGATACAGCTTGTACGAATAGTGCTAGATATCCGTATGATTTTTTGATCATACTTGATTAAGCAATTGAAGGACCCATAATGATTGTGTGTATTATTTTTGTCTAGTTCTTGTTTGCAGTCATGGTTAGAACAAGATACAACATGTCCGACATGTCGACTTTCGTTGGCAGATATATGTCCGGATACTCAACATGTTGACAGCAGGTATCAGGAAGGTCCTTACTCTATGCATGGTCAAGCAGCGGGGGCAGATGGAAATTTAGGTCGACTATCAACTGATTCGGATCGGCATCCTGCAGTAGTTAATGCACGGTTAGTCTATTTGGATTTCGTTGAATTCTTAAAATGGAAAGTGTAAGGCATACAATTTGCTTGAACTAATCTTCTTTTCCTTTATAAATATTAATAGGAATCATTATTTTCATTTCGATGGTACGTGTATTGAGACAGCTGAATGATTTTGCTAGCCATTTTAGATCTGTCTTTAATTTATTGACTAAATATTGTGTGGCACTATTTCTTGTATAGGGTCACGAATCGCTAGTTGGATGCCTAGCTTCTCTGTTGAAGTTACTAGCAATCGCGAAATGATGATGCCACACCAAACCGAAGCCATGGTATTATTATTTTTGATAGATCCTCCATTACCGCACAATAGAAGGCGTTGTATGTCCATGCAGTATTAACATGCTTTTCTTGTATTTTATTTTAGGCAATGCAAATACATTCCATGTTTCCCAATTTTTCCTTAAACGCCATTACAGCTGATTTAAACCTCACCCGTTCCATAGAAATAACTACTGATAACATATTAGAAGGTCGCTTAAATGTTGCGGAGGTAATTGCCAATCAGAAATGTGTAGCTACCCTGTAAAAAGTACTTGATATCATACTAAATATGTTTATTGCTTTGATTTCAAACCATAACGGGTTATAGACTGCTGACAATCCTACTGCAACGGCATCGGACGAAAATAGTGCTGCAGTTGGTGGACCGTCACTACCTCAAAGTAATGATACCACTTTATCAGATAGTGGCGATAGTGCCAATAAGATAGAAGCAAACCGAACACCTTGTTCAACAAACTTTAGCCAAGCAAGTAGTGACCCAAAACCAACTCCTGAAGTCACTGAGTGCCACAATAAGGAATTGAAAGAATCCAATGACGACAGTAAAGTACAAATTGATCTCAATAACCACAAATCGCCGGAGGAACGTCAGTCATTGTTGTTCAGAAGGAAAAGAGAAATTTTAGATAATGCACGAAGGTAACTATTACATGATTAGATATTGCTCCATTTTTGAACTATAATAGCCTTGTTCAATATTAATCATGCAATTAAACACAATTTTTGTAGGAAATACTTAGAAAGGCGGAGTACAGAATATTAAATGTTGCCAGTCTGAAATTGAACAATTGATGAAAGTGCAATTATTTTTAAATTATAACTGGATTTTCTTTGTACAATATTTTAACGATATAAGTTGATTTTAGTTTTGGAAATATGATAATAATAATCAATTGGAGCGATTCTGCTCATAAGCGTCAATGTATACTGAAAGAAGCATTGCAATGTACAGAATTTATAATTTGGCATTATCATTAATTAAGGTGTAAATATTGGATAGATTGACTATTTGTCAGATTTATTTCACCAAAAATATGAATCTCTTTAACGGTGTAATTGTCAAGGAACGAAATTTTGCCCTTAAGACCTACGCTACCCAAGATAAGATATAAGATACAGCATGTTAGTTTTTATGATGCAAATAGGCTTCCTTCCATTCAGCTTGTAATGCTAAACCTGAACATCACACTGCAAAGCCTCTGATTAAGCTTTTATTTTAGCAAACGCAGGTGATAAATAAACAAATGTAACTGAACACCTTTAAAACCTTTCGGAAATTGGACTTATTTTCAAGGTTCTGTCACTGCGAGTTACAAATATGATAATAATAGTACTAGATGTCGTTTACAGTACCGTATGATTATTTTCTGATATTGAGTCTATACCGAAGTGCAGCTAATCACATAGCAATATTTAATTGGTTCAACTACGAAATCGTAATTTTCATTGACCTAACGAGTTTAGCATTGACTAAAGAGTCCTCTCGACAGTAAGTGATGGATGATGATATCATGATGCATGTTGACATAACATGGTACAGCAGTGATCTTTTGGTCGCTTATAAGTGAAAAAATGTTTCTTTACGTTGTACCGTTGAAATTACTTGAATGAATATCCATTCCAATCAATGTTACTTTCCTAGTTGTTACTTTAGGTCGGCAAATTCTTGATAGGTGACTTTACGATGTAATGTTGGTAGGGAGAATATATTAAAAGTCCTTGTTCAATCTCATATTGTCTATATTTGACAGTCGACAATTCTGAAATAGGCCGAGTCTTTCCATCTTTAAAAAGTAGTAGTGAATTGAAAGAATTTTCTTATATGATTCATATGATTACTATAAATTGAAAGCTATCAACACGATATTGCTATCTGAGAGTCAAGTATAAAACACTGATTGATATTTCCATTAAAAGAATTTGCGTTCGTGCATGTTGGATAAAAACACATCTTAGGGTAGGCAAATCAATCATCTTGAAACTGATCCATCTTTTAACTGCTAACAATTGATCGAAATTTTAAGCTACTGCCATTTATAAATAAATTAGTACACATTTTATATGATGTACGTAAATTTGCTTTTTGGCTCTAGGAGAAATAGGCAGAATAGAAGAGGACTATAAGTTCACATAAACGGCCAATATGAGTGATCGTAGCGGCAAGCGTACGGTTCTACTATCGCTACTCGTTATAAGACTATTTACTACAGGCATGATTAATGGATAATGAATATTGAAACTATCTCACGTTATAGATATTGATCGTAAGATGTGATTTACTAATCTCATTTTGCTCACACAACTCTTGGGAGTAATAAATTACGTATAGCTATTCGCTAAAAGAAGAAAATGGCAATAAACTGTTGCCTTATTCGTATGCTGTCACAAGCTCTTGGAATAACGCAAAATATTGCAAGCATTCGTAGTCAAAGTATGGCACACAAACATGCTGCGTAGTAGTCTACTGTAATTCACTTTCTTCTTCAATTTCTTCAAAAGATAAGATACACTATCATTCATTTTTAAAGCAAGCAAACAAAGATACTATGGAATATTGATCATATTTCTTATAGTTTTATTTCTGTGTTATTAGAATGGGTAAGAATCCACACCATTGATTTGTGTGGAAACATAGTTACGTCAATAAAAATTGGTCGCATCCAAATTGTCATATTACTATCCTTTTCATATTGTAAATGTTACAAAATCAAGTCTTGAGTGACAAGGTTGACTGATTAACCGATAAAATTGATCACAATCAAATGGAGTAAGACGTTAGCAAACAAAAAATCACCAAAAGCACGTTCCGGTGAAATTCCTTTGAAGATTGGCCTGTTGAGAGGATTAACTTGCACTCGAAGACAGACTATAAGATTGGAAGAAGAAAAAGAAATTAGCATGTCAGCTAATCGATTAAAAAAGTACAACTCAATCCAAATGTGATAGAGTTAGAACAATTTCATAAATCATCATGTATACAATGTGCATCGACAACATTACTACAGTATATTTCTAGACTTTTTATTCTAGTATTATTTTGATTTCTTTCATCGCTATTTGTTTTAACTGTAGTATGTAGTCAGCGACAGTCGGTATCTACGTTGATTTCAGTCGATTTCCTTGCAGAATACTTTCTCAAGAGTGATGTAGACGATTCAGCTGGACTAATTTATCAGTCATATACTAAGTTAGGTTTTATTGTCAGTTGGATGTGAGGTAGGTCTATTTCAAGTGTTGTATTTGATTGGCCTAGTGCTGTTAAGGCTGCAATCGCTCGTTGGACCATGATACGGTAGTCGACATTTTATTGAAGTAAAAAAGGACAACAAAGTAATGTACCGTAGACGACTATTGTATGTAGCGTAGAAAGTCCAAAATAACTTTTGTTGAGAATCGGCCTTCAAGGGACGATCGCAAGTATTGAAATAGTTGTTGTTGTTTTTGACTACAAACATGGCCATCTTGCCTACAGTAAGGGCATAAGATGGTCTTTGAAAGATCAACAAATGGAGCAATTTACCTCCTAAGGTAAAGCTAGCCACAGTAGAGATGAATCCTGACAAGAACGCATTGAAGGGGAAAGTACCAACCAAGCAGCAATAGCCAAATTGAAAGATACCAGTTAATAGAATATAGAACAAGTAGCAATCGACTATTTTCAACTTGTTTGGAGTTTTAAGATTGTATTCCGTATACAAGGTGGATAAAATTTCGGATAGAGAAGCCTGTGAAGACATTTTTTTTCTTCTTCTTGCCTTGCTGGCTTTACTTCGGAACGCAGGAACGTCGTTGAGCAAGCGCTTCAAGTACGGGACCGTGCGTCACCCAATCCCGTACGGTACCGTCCTGGCGTACTGTGTTGGTTCGCTTGGATCCGGTACTGTACTGCTCCTGCGCACTGTATCCGGCTAGACCATGGTTGCATTCGATCCACAGTGGACACGTGTACGGTGGCGTACGATCGGTTGGAGTTGAGTAGCATTCAATTCATCAACGTCGTACAGTTATACTACAGTACAGTACATACTGCACACTAGTACAAGTACTCCCCCCCCCCCCATTCCTATATAAAGTTCACTACACTCTCACTAAAAGCATTTGAGAACGTTTCTGCCATAAACTTCCAGTAGTAGTCTATTAATCGACTCGGTACAAGTCCATCGTAAACAGCCAAGTAGCCATTCAGTGAATGGAGGATGTATATACTGTATAATAAATTGCCAAATTATATATCAGATTGTCGAGGAAGATCTCAATTTTCCCAATATTACTACTAAGTCAGTGGTAATAACCTTAGAAATAAGTTAGACGAGTTCAAAGCAGAAACTACATATATAAAGTTCAGTATACTCTCACGAAAAGTATTTGAGAACGTTTCTGCCATGGACTTTTAGTAGTAGTCCATTAATCGACTCGGTAGAAGTCCATCGTAAACAGCCAAGTAGCCATTCAGTGAATGGAGGATGTATATACTGTATAATAAATTGCCAAATTATATATCAGATTGTCGAGGAAGATCTCAATTTTCCCAATATTACTACTAAATGAATGGTAAATAACCTCAGAAATAAGTTAGACGAGTTCAAAGCAGAAGCTACATATATAAAGTTCAGTGTACTCTCACTAAAAGCATTTGAGAACGTTTCTGCCATGGACTTTTAGTAGTAGTCCATTAATCGACTCGGTAGAAGTCCATCGTAAACAGCCAAGTAGCCATTCAGTGAATGGAGGATGTATATACTGTATAATAAATTGCCAAATTATATATCAGATTGTCGAGGAAGATCTCAATTTTCCCAATATTACTACTAAGTCAGTGGTAATAACCTTAGAAATAAGTTAGACGAGTTCAAAGCAGAAACTACATATATAAAGTTCAGTATACTCTCACGAAAAGCATTTGAGAACGTTTCTGCCATGGACTTTTAGTAGTAGTCCATTAATCGACTCGGTAGAAGTCCATCGTAAACAGCCAAGTAGCCATTCAGTGAATGGAGGATGTATATATAATAAATTGCCGAATTATATATCAGATTATCGAGGAAGATCTCAATTTTCCCAATATTACTACTAAATCAGTGGTAATAACCTTAGAAATAAGTTAGACGAGTTCAAAGCAGAGACTACAGTGCGTACAGTACATTGTGCACTTCAATGTACAGCATAGGGTAAAGCTCGTCTTTTACCTCTGCTTAATGTGTTGACCTGAGTATCAATACTGTCGATCTATCGTGTGGAGATGAGACTACAGTAGTAATAAATTAAGGTTCCATTTCATATTTCATCATGGACTAGACATAAGATCAGAATAATTGTAAGTTTTACTCACTACTATACTTAATAAATTATTATGCAGTAGAAGTAGAGATGGAAAAACAATATAAAACGATCGTGTTTACAAATCTTATAGGCCAGTTTACGTAGGCAGTCAATAGATAGTCAGGAAAGATTGACTTAATTAAGCCATCTTGCCAAGAGCTCAAAGATCTACAAGATAACCCTTCATACTGTACAGCTAAATTGACAGTACCCAACTATTCCTATACAACTACAGCCTGAAATGATGCAAATATACGTTGTCAATTATCCATCGACATCAGTTAATTAATTCATGATCGATGTCACAATTCGCATTTTGCATCGATACGTGTATGAGTATATGTCGGCCAATGTATACAGAACAGTCATGAACTACTAGCAGAAGACCATGATACAGTACAATGCCGGTCTATATTACTATACGAACGGATTTATGCTGCAATTTGAATGAATGCAATTTAATCGTTGCATAAAATGCTAAAAGATTCATATTTCAAACAATTTTATAATTTGTTATTGTTATCATACGTCGTGTATGTACATTGTACAGAAACTTTCAATTTTTCAAGTTATCATAGCAAAGTATACCTATAAAACTCGAGCATATTTACATACGATACAGGCAGTATACTGTATATACAATATTGTTTGCAAATACTGTAGAATGAAGTAAAAAAATTGCAATAAGTTAAGGATTGTCATGGTGCTAGATGTACATCTATGAATATATATCACAATATACAATAAGAGTAGCATTTTACCAGTACCAAGGAAAGCTATCGAGGTAGCAAACCATATGATTCAATAAATGTTACGTCAGCGTATACACTTTGCAGCCAATAAAATAATCTCAATTACATTGACATTGGTTGGGAACGACAACTTCATGATACGTTATCGTCAGTATGTTTCCTCTTACGATGGCTTAAAATTGCTTCAGAAGTCGATAATTGATTCGATTTTCCAACCTGCCAACGCTCAAAGTCCTCAACATTTTGTCTTGTTGATTTAAATATTTTCCGCTCAATTTCATCCAGTTTCTCGGTGAGTTGATATGTATCTTGGTATTGAGCATTCTGTGAAGAATCCATTACTTTACGAAATCGAGAAATAAATGCCTGAAAAGAAATGAACAATTCCTTTATGATTAAGTATGAAGATATCGAAGACTATCTTGATTACAGTATTATTGTTAACATATCCACGCCTACTGAAGATTTCCAGATACTGCTGAAACTGAAACCAGGCATTAATAAAGGAGCTTGGCTTGATAGGATGTGTGTCTTAATTTATTTTACTTAAAAAGAATATATTTTCTTCAATAAGGATGACAGTTACACTTGTCTGCCATAATATATTTGTTACAACATAGCGTAAAGACAGCGTTATGCATTTTATTACTAGAGACTTTGAAAACTAATGAATTTGCTTTAGTTTGTATACTGTAGACGTGTACAGTAGCAAATCCCATCAGCTTTACTTGATTCAATTTACTATCTTCATTTGTTGACTGAAAAACAATATATTTTCTTCAATAAGAATGACAGTTGCACTTGTCTGCCATAATCTATTTGTTACAACATAGGATAAAGATAGCGTTATGCATTTTACTACTAGAGACTTTGGAAACTAATGAATTCGCGTTAGTTTGCATACTGTAGGCGTGTACAGCAGCAAACCCTATCTACTTTACTTGATTCAATTTACCATCTACCTAACACAGTCAGATCACAACTTTTTCTCGTTAAGAAGTCTCACACCATCGTCGCCTACTACAGTAATGTCTCTATTTCTACAGTATCACAATTGAATCATTATTGCAGCTGAATTCATGCCGACCTACTGTACTCTTGATCTCTAGCTGTACCGTATGTGTTACATAGCTTTAATGTTACATCGTCATTTCTGCATGAATTGAGTACACGATAACAGTAAGATCCATCCAGAATGCCTATTCTTGGCATGTCGTAGTGATAGTAAATTAATTAAGCATTTTATTACTTCACTCTATTCATTTATGCGCCTGTCAAACTCTACAGTGGGCGTAATGCGTCTACTTTATTTGATGAAATATACCTGTAATAGGCCTTCAGCAAGTGGACGAGATTCATCATGCTCAAAATTGAATAATTTTTCTCCTAATCGATAATAGGAAGGCCCCCATTTATGCAGATCGACGACATTTGCATCAGCAGCCAAAATTTGCAAATAAGAACTTCGATATACATTAGGATACTCGATGGACACTATTTTACGTTTTCTAGTGCATAACGCCTTGGCTAACCAATAGGGTAATTCCATTTTGGCGTCCTCTTGGATATCCTCCTTATTCGATCCAGGATCAATATATCCTAATCGATGTACAGTGGATTGAAAAGTACAAGTTACTTTCTCTTGGCAGACGATAATATCATCCAGATCGAAATAGTTGTCTTTCTTTAACGTTGAAAATAGCTGTGGAGTTGAAGGAGATGCCTCTGGATACGACATGTTGACTGTTTTGGCCAGTTGTCGCAGCTGTCTACGCTTGTATCAAGATTTCGATTGAAGTCGTTTGAGCGCCTTTTGGATTTGAAGCCAGTGTTTACCGTCCGGTCGAGTCTGTAATGTCTGTAGCATCCGTAAGCAGTGTTGAAAAGCGCTAGTGTAGACTAGTCGATTGACTCTCTTACCTGGTTATTTCAGCTGTACAGTCCCTCTAGAACTGTACACTACACTGTTGGCGTTTGCCGCTCTGGTGACGCAATTGCCACGTGACTTTTATTCGCTGTCCAATGTCCATACAGGAATCATTTCTTACGCTCCTGTTTCTAGCTTGCAGTACAGTACATTAGCTGATGGTTTTCGCGCATGGATACTATAGTGAAGACTCAAGCAGGGACTCGTGTACTGACTGTACTAGTAAAAGAGGAAAGAAAAGAGTAGAGTCAACAACCGTTGGCAGTTCCTTTTCTTTCTTCTTTTAGTACTGCAGCTGCAGTCCCTGACTCAAGTTCAACTGGCTACAGTACAGCACACTCTGTGCGTACAGTACTGCACTGTAGCTTCACTCAACGTACAGTACTGTACAATACCCTGTACTAAGGGTCTCTAGCGCACACACGTCACACGCTACATTCTAACATTACGTCATATACTGTACCGTACGTATCGATCTAAAAATGGATCGTTTGTCAGTGAATGCTTCGCATACAGTACAGTACAGTGTGACACTACGGACGAGTCAGTCTCACTACAGTACAGTACAATACTGTACAGTCGACAGTCTACCGTGCACAGTCTATAGTACTCTGAGTCAATTGCTAGGACAATCAATCGTTTTGTCAGTGAATGCTTCGCATACAGACATACAGTACAGTACATTGTGACGCTACGGACGAGTCAGTCTCACTACTGAGTACAATACTGTACAGTACTATACACAGTCTACAGTCGACAGTCTACCGTGCACAGTCTATAGTACTCTGAGTCAATGGCTAGGACAATTAATCGTTTTGTCAATGAATGCTTCGCATATAGTACAGTGTGACGCTAAGGACGAGTCAGCCTCACTACAGTACAATACTGCACAGTCTACAGTCGACAGTCTACCGTGCACAGTCTATAGTACTCTGAGTCAATGGCTAGGACAATCAATCGATGAACCCCGTTAGCAAGGCATAATAACGACTACTCTATGCTTAATACAATACTCGTGTTCCAATAGATTTCAACAGAGCAAAATATACCCATATTTAAGTCGGCAAGAAGTTGATGAAGTCGACTAATCAACACAAACGAAGAGGAAAGACTTCATCAATTCATTACTACTTGATTAATTTTCCTATTGCCTAGCCTATCAAGCCTATATTCCATCGCTTTATCGTTGAAAAGAGTGGATCAACAGAGCCAATTTCGATCGGAGTGGTTGTTATGGCTACTGCCATTCCTTTACGTGCATTGAATAATGTTAAATACGCCAAGAACGAATCGGCATTATCGGCCAAGACCAAACTGATTGATACTCGAGATCATTCCACTGCCGATGATTACTCATCCTTGACCGATGATGAATATACGGACGATGGTTTTGCAGCTTATAGTAACCGACAAGCTCATCGTAGAAGAAGAAATTCACGACTAGCCAATCTATTCTCGCCATCTTGTCTGACAGACTCTTTCACAAGGTAAGAAGAAAGCTGTTCAATGGAGTCATTGATAGTAGCATAGGTGGCGTTTAATGAATAACTCTAGTCATGAGAATTACAATCTACTGTACATCAAAGTAGGTCTACACAGATATTACTACACCAGTTCAATTTCTATCTTTCTACCTTATCGACTCAATAAATGGTACCAATAGAAGAATACGATAACGTGTACACAGTCAAATGATCTCATTGTGGTGGCCATCATTCAATGCAACATTGTTAACACTTCGTTGTACCATCTTGGATGAAGAAATTCAATCTAGACATGTCGATTGGACACGGTCTACAGTACAGTCTTACAAGTTGCAACTGTTTAAACGTCGGGAAATCATGACCAAAGACCCTATACTATAGTCGTTCTTTCTAATCCACGATTACTCGTACGTTTACAATTGACTGTAGTAAAGTAGCAATGTCCAATAAACTTGATCAACACTGCTTCATAAACTGTACGCGTAGACAGCGAACAATTACGTCAGTTGTCGCAGTAGGCTTTCAAACAACATCCAACTCATGCATTGCCAAAAGAATCACAACAACATCGTGACGGTATGGACACGGATATACTCAAGTAATATTCTAAATTTTACAACATAATGCAATAATGGATCGCCAGATCGCAACGTAGTATGGAGATTTGCTTGCTCTTATGATTTGTAAAAATGATAGCGAATGAATTTCGACTTTTATGTACAACTGCTTGTAGTACTGTACCATAACAACATCGATCAATTTCACTTCATCAAAACTGATAATCATTCTCCTTCTCAAATAATGACCATAATAGCAATTGCTTTATTTATCCAAAAGCTTGAGATTCAACTTTGCCATGCCTTTCAAGAAAGACCTTTATTAATTATTGATGCATCTGTTCCAAACCCATAATTACCGTGCATTGCATCCAAAGCGTATTGTTCGAAAAGTAACCATGCGACATAAGGACACCATTAACATACTTTCTTAAACAACTGATACAACTCATGTAGTCCGGATGAATGCAATGATAAATTAAGCCAATACTCTACTTTGATACGCGTGTTATTCCTCTACATTGTACATTATAATTAATTATTATGAATCATTCACCGTGTAAGTAATTATGGTAGACATGCGTACGTGCAGTAATTTGATCTGCTCTTCATAGCGATTTTAATATAGTCAATGCTCATACAGTTACGTCACATGATAAAGGTAGAAAACTATATACATTATCGTCTACCTGTTTATGTCTACATATTTTTATTCATTAATTATCGTACCATAGTTTAGAACACAAATGATTTCATGATCAATTATCCTACTACTACAGTATAGGCAATTCCTGATACGCTAGGCTAAATGTCACTGTCAAGCTTCTCTCTTATTCATAAGACTTGTCAATCTTTAGATGCTGTACAAAGATACGTAATATTTGTAAAGAAGAAAAAGAATATCATTCACGAAATATACAGATCGGCCAAGTGGTAAGATAATATACTTGTGATTGAGTGATTTGGATCGATTGGCATCACTTTCTAATGCAATACTTTTTATACATTTACACATTATATCCAAGAAAATAAAAAGTAGCATGAATTAAAAAATTAAAATTTACTTAAAACCATCTTATAATTCAATATTCTCTAGATTCAAGCGGATTATCCTCCAAATATCACTCGAAATCAAAAATATTCCGTATTTACTTTCCTTCCTTGTGTATGTATAACATACAAATAATGGACACACTTTATTGTTAATTGATTTATGTATATGATACAGTATACAGCATGTATATATTATAATATATAATAGATGCGGTTACTAACTGGATTTATATCATTTAATGAATTTATATTTGTATTTCAATCTTAGATTACAATAATAAATTGCAACACGTATACTGCCCAAAATAGAAATATTATATTGCTATATCGAATGTGCAATACGGAATATTGGAATGATAGCCGTATCTTACACGCTATTATGCGTATGCAATAGAACTTCGATAACCATAGTTTTCAACTTTCTATTTTTGAATAGGTATTATATGAACAATTCAGATTCTTCCTCAATTTTTATTTCTTGATGGTAGCACTATCACAATTTATTCCAGATTTAAAAATTGGCTATTTGTATACTTATTGGGGACCATTGGTAAGTAATAGTAGCAATGAATAACCGCAGATAGTATTCGACAGTTATTGCTTCACTGATGTAATCATGCTATTCTCTTGATATTATTATATTCTTTACATTACTGTAGATAACTTATTTTATTCTACATAAGTTTAAATATGCTTTCGTGCGGCATTACATAATAGATAGATCTTATATCATATTACACAGTAAATACTATATTTATCTATTTACACTTGTACAAAAATTACAATTATGCTGCTAGAAGACTTTTTTATAATAACAATTTAAAATATATCCTCCATAGACCTTTGTATTATTTGTTACAATGTGCCGTGAAGCTTTCGATGACTTTAAAAGATATCGAAGAGATCGTGAAATCAATAATCAATCATATAAGAAACTAACAAGAAGAGGTATGAATTTCCTATGATCGTTTACCAATGTTACTACGTTAATACAATAATGTAAATCTCTTTATTGTCAATATAGGGACTCAACCCGTTATGTGCAGTGAAATCGTTGTTGGCGACATTATCATGATTGATAAAGTAAGCTTAGGATTATGATAGTTGAGTAGATTATTGTAAAATACGAAATACCTGATGTAGCGGCAATTCGTTAAACTGAATATGATATTGATATCATGCAACCTAGTAGTCTAACCCTGCACTTATTTAAATACTCTGTTTACGTACTGTCTAGAATCAACGAGTACCCGCTGATATGGTTTTATTGCAGACAACCGAAAAAGGAGGTAGCTACAGTAATTAGAAAAGATGGAAACTGCTATTTTTACTAAAAACGATAAATTATACCCACATTCCTATTAACTATGGGATATAGGTGCATGCTTTATACGTACTGATCAACTCGATGGGGAAACAGATTGGAAATTAAGATTAGCCGTGGGAACATGTCAACAACTTCGCTCGAATAGGGTATAGAAATTATTTTTATTGTCTAAGCTATGGGTTCATCAGTAATATCATCCCTCTGTTATTAATTTTTTAGGAATTATTTTCAATAAACGCCTCGATTTATGCAGAAAAACCTCGAATGGATATCTATGACTTTGTAGGAACTTTTAATGAGGTTAACAGAAATACCAAGATTGTCCTATTCCTTTCTATAATATTACTATATTTTAAGAAAGACATTTTCGTACTAATATTAGAGTGATAACGAAATTCAAGAGCCTCTAAGTATCGAAAATACAATATGGGCCAATACAGTTGTTGCATCAGGTAACTCCATATGATTAAACCTTTTAATTCGTTAATTCTAACATTTTTAATCTGTGTTTCTGTAGGTCCTATTGTAGGGATTGTCATTTACACAGGACTTGAAACTAGAAGTTCAATGAATGCATCTAGTCCCCCAACAAAGGTACCATCTCTATCATAGTTAAATCTACCATTGTTTCAAGTAACCCAGATACTTTTTTATGGTTATACATTCTAGATTGGATTAATCGATATCGAAATTAATCAACTAACCAAAGTACTATTTATGGCTACTATTAGTTTAGCACTTTTGCTCGTAAGCTTGAAGGTCAGTTTCATGGCTTTACTATTATTTACACCTAGAATTGATCAAGTCAATACATTAACCATATAACTTATTTTCTTAAGGGCTTTCAAGGACCATGGTATCGTTACTTTTTTAGATTTATTTTACTATTTTCTTCAATCATCCCTATAAGGTACATGTCCATTATACCCAAGTTGACGATTTAGATTTAATCATTGCAATTTGGCCATTGATTACAGCGAGATTGGAATTCTATCTGTAACTCAAACGTGTTATTCTGAATTTTTTCTCTTAAATGAATTAGCCTAAGAGTAAATTTGGACATGGGCAAAATTGTCTATTCTTGGATGATCAATTCTGATAAAGAGATTCCTGGAACAGTCGTTCGCAGTAGTACAATTCCTGAAGAGCTTGGTAGAGTAGGTTACATCCTATCCGACAAAACGGGAACACTAACACAAAATGAGATGGTAAGGATGCTGATAGCATAAATTGTAAGCCTGAGATGCCTTTCTGACGCAGGAAACTTATGATTGGATTAGGTTTTTAAACGCCTACACACAGGCAATGTATCATTTGGTATAGAGAGCATGGAAGAGGTAATCTGTTCTTTCATGCTACCCTAGAAAATTATGCGTTAGTTAAGCGAACTAATTTTGATGGGTTGCATAGATCAAAGAATACTTACGTAGCCTATACATATCTTCGGCTTCCGATAGTGACAATGGTAGTGGCCTCTCGAGACGATCTAGGGTTCGAATAGGATACAATTTAATAAATTTTTTTCAAAACTTTGTTTGTAAAATTGAATATAAATTTTATTTATAGATGAGAAATCAGCCGTTAGAACAAGCTCATGAAGCGATCTTAGCGATCGCTCTATGTCACAACGTTACACCTGTAATCGCTAAAAGTTTCGATAACGTTGTCGACGATGACAGCATTTCTAGTGATGACGTCGATATTGAAGTTTCTCTTAGCGCTGACGACAACAGAATCGATTATCAAGCGTCAAGTCCAGATGAGGTATCAAATTTGTTTCTTGAAATATTCATGTTGCATAGCATATTAATTAGACTTTCTTACATAATTTAGATTGCTCTTGTCAAATGGACAGAATCAGTAGGGATTACGCTAGTGAAACGAGATCTTTCTACAATATGCTTGAGACTGCCTAATGGACAAATTTTGAGATACAGTATACTGCAATTGTTTCCCTTCACATCGGAGAGAAAACGAATGGGAATAATTCTGAAAGATCACACCAGTAATGAAATCTTTTTCCTGATGAAAGGTGCTGATGCTGTTATGTCAAATATAGTGCAATACAATGATTGGTTAGAAGAGGAATGTGGCAACATGGCAAGAGAAGGACTTCGAACGCTAGTTGTAGCGAAAAGAATTCTTACACAAGAATTATATAATGATTTTGATGCACGCTATTCTCAAGCAAAGTTAAGCGTTAATGAAAGAGCGGCGAAAGTGAGCGCTGTTATCGAGAGACTAGAAAAAGATATGAAACTATTATGCTTGACTGGTGTAGAAGATACATTGCAAGTTGATGTTCGACCGACTTTAGAGTTGGTAAGGAATGCTGGCATTAAAGTATGGATGTTAACAGGTGATAAGATGGAAACTGCAGCATGTATTGGTGTAAGCGCACGATTAATATCTAGAAATCAAGCAATTCATACTTTTAAGCAAGTTAATAATCGGCCTGAAGTAAGAATAGAACTGAATACCTTTAGAAGGAAAAATGATTGTGCATTAATTATACGCGGTGATACGCTAGATGTTTGCTTGCGATATTTTGAGCATGAATTTATGGAAGTAGCTTGTCAATGTTCAGCGGTAATTTGCTGTCGATGTTCACCAACTCAAAAAGCAAATATTGTACGACTGATTAAGAAACATACGCAACAACAAACATGCGCTATTGGAGACGGAGGAAATGATGTCAGTATGATACAAGTGGCGGATGTTGGTATTGGGATTGTTGGAAAAGAAGGTAAGCAAGCATCGCTAGCGTCGGATTTTTCTATAACGCAATTTAAATATATAGGGCGGTTATTGCTATGGCATGGTAGAAATAGTTATAAACGAACAGCATCATTAAGCCAATTTGTTATCCATCGAGGTCTAATAATATCTGTCATGCAAGCTGTCTTCTCGTCTATATTCTATTTCTCATCGGTTGCGCTTTATCAAGGCTTTCTCATGGTTGGCTATGCAACAATATATACCATGGCTCCAGTATTTTCTTTAGTTTTAGATGTTGATGTTTCTGCTGAAATTGCAATGACTTATCCGGAATTATATAAAGACCTATCTAAAGGACGTTCTTTATCTTATAAAACTTTTTTTATATGGATCTTGATTAGTATTTACCAAGGTGGAACAATTATGTGCGGTGCATTATTACTATTTGAGTCTGAATTTGCTCATATAGTATCAATCTCTTTCACTGCACTTATATTGACCGAGTTGCTCATGGTCGCTTTGACAATACGTACCTGGCATTGGGTAGTGATAGTATCGGAAATATTTAGCTTGGCTTTATACTTTTGTTCTATGTTGTTATTACGCAATTACTTTGATCTGAACTTTATAACATCCTTCAATTTTTTGTGGAAAGTAGTTGTATTAACAATTATTAGCTGTGTGCCATTGTATATATTAAAATTTTTACGAAGGAGGTTTGCACCACCGAGTTATGCTAAGTTAACCTAAAGAACAACGAGTTTGCTATTAAAATAATAACAATAGGCTCGTATGTTAACTATTACTGTATATGTTTGATTTTAGTCAGTGCAATAGTACCGTACATGTAATGTAAATGATTAATTAAATTATGCTTTATCATAGATCTGCTTAGTGTACAATAAGATCTTAAGGATGACTCTAAGAATTCTTTTATAATGTAGGAGATCTTAGCATTAAGAGATGTGTATAAAGTTGATAATTTTATATAGTGCTGGAACGGTAACTTTTTTAATATTGAAATTTCTACCAATTGTATACTGTAAAAAATATTGGGTAAAAATTAATTCCTATTGAAAGATCGATATCTATAATTGTAAATCAAGCGCAGATCTAACTTTGACTACTTTAATCTTTCAGTGATGATTGGTATCATTTTGGATTACATATAACAATAAGATACAGAAATATTTCCTCTATTTTTTCCGTTATTATTACAATAGAATGAGTATAAATTATTTTGTATATATATACTGTATGGATAGATGAAAAGTAGATATATATATATACTGAATGTACGAGTATATTACATATTGGATTACACAACACTTTGATCATTCTGATTAAAATAACGAGTAAAATGCGAGATTATACCTTTAGTATAGGCATATATATTACATATTTTCAGTGAATTATCCCATATAGTAATAAATATTATTATTATAACATCCAGAGTAAGCATTTTTTTTTAAATCACACAATAAATGGAAGTGATTAAGAAATTAGTCGGATTAAGTTTGCAAACTTTGTGGCAATACATTATATTAAGGCTTAGTTGATTTGAAGTGAGTAAAATATGACAATTAGGTGGATAAGGTGGCCGGATAATGATATTATTCGGTTGTTTGATATAAAATTTATGAGTATGGAGCACATCATTGACTTTAACAATATCGTAAATAGGTTCCTGTAAATTTTAAGTTTTACTAGGTATTATATGATATATAATACTTAAATTTTCCTCCTTTGCCCGATTAGTAATCACTAGAAATAGGAAAGTTAATAATAATTCATTAATAATTTAGCCATGAGGCCACCGTGTTTATCAATCAATCACTAGTTGAGCTTACATGGAGAAATACAGTAGCATAATATTGCACATCAGGATCTGGATCGTTAGCTAAGTTTGCAAGAGTTGATGTTAATTTACTTTGATTAAATGAATCCTGCTCTGAAGGATAGAGGTAAAAATCTGCAAGAAATTGTACATTTTATCATTAGAGCACTGCAATCAAAATGATCCCTGGATAGATTTGCTTTATTTCTTAGTTTGATTTTGTAATTACTACGAAATAACACTTTAAAAGCTTCCTATCAGTGGATAGATTTGTTTCACTTCTTAATTTGATTTGAAAAATGAAACTATTGATATTACTTTAAGCTATGATGTTTTACTAGACTATAGGATTAAAATTATGCAATAAGCAAAGAGTAATATCATGAAAGAAAGCTTTACCAATCTTGGATATTGTTTGGCTTAATGTTCTTGCAACTCCAAGCCGCACATTGGGTACTTTATCAGTGGCCAATTCAAGTAGGCTGGGCAGAAAACGAACTGCAAAATCTTCAGGAGTTTCACTTTGATTTTCAAGTAAACTTTGACATAAGTGGGTATACCTAGAATATATTTGAGAATAGTAAAGTTAACTCATGACAGCTATATTGACATAGAAAACCTTCAATATAAGTTAGTCTACTGCCTATTAGAATGGTTACACTTGAATAAGCTAAAATGATGCATTCTACTCAATTCTTCGTGCAATTAGTAGCATAGTGTTTATAAGAGTACTTTTATGCCGTTAAAAAATTATTGACGGAAATGTAGTTGATATTGTATCAGAATTCTGCCTAGGACTAGAAACGATGCTTTCTACCGAATTCTTCTTGTAACTGATAAAATAGTCTTTTAGAAATGTACTTTTACGGCGTTGAAATGCTAGTGAGAGAAATAAAGTTAATATCATAGCCGAATTCGCCTAGGAGTAAGAACCATACTATCTACTTAATTCTTCTTGTAATTAATAACATAATATTTTATATTACAATGAATGGCGTTGAAATGTTGGTAAAGGAAGTAAAGTTAATATTTTAACGAAATTCTACCTAGGACTAAAAACGATACTTTCTACCAAATTTTTCTTGTAATTAATAACATTGTGTTTTATAAATGTACTTTTACAAGCATGAAATATTGCTAATGGAAATAAAATTAATATCGTAACAGCATTCTGCCTAGGAATTATCGAAATACTCCAAGAAAAGCCAAAAAATATTTTCCTTATTAGAATAAGAACCGTAATAATAGCAGAAAGATTCTTTACTCTTAAATAGTAATCAGCATTCTACATGTCTATTACAACTCTAACCAAATATACCATAGGAAATTTTAAAGTAACTTACTCTTGGCGTCGTAACCAGTGTGGATGATTTGAAAATATAGTAACAATCTCCTGGCAAAAACTATCCCATAGTGTAAGATCTGAAAATTCTCGAAATCGCTTCATCAAATCGCAAATCTAAAATATCAATCATTGACCAGAAAGGATCATAAATTACTTGATTAGCGAATTCAAGATTGATTTTTTATTTTAATCTATTTTAAACTAACCAATACATTTGCTTTCTTGCGAACACTTGCTACCGAATCAGCAGCTAAATTTAAAGCTACAGGGCAAAAAAAGGTGTACAATTCTGCAGGAGGATAGATTTCTGATAGTAAAATAAGTTGCCTAATGTAGTATAATCATAAATAGGTAAAATGAGGGTTAAGATGATATCTTAAACAGTGTCCAGAAGAAATGAAGTATGATCATGTCGGATAAGTGCATACTGGATATAATCAAATCTCATCCTCCAGTTAGAGCTGGAATAAGAAGGGATAAACTCTTTCAATAATGGAAGATATTGAATTTGAATTTGGTAAGGCAGTAGCTATAAAAGGATAGGAATGAATTGATTTTTAGGAAAATAGCAGACTACAATATTGACAATGTTTCATTTCCCACTGTCTTACTTGAATAAATTGATGCAGATGTTTTAAAATGCCCATTCGAACCTAGTATAAGAGTTAATTAAAAATCGATGGATGAGCTAATAGAATTAAGATTATAGAGTATATACGAAAAAATATTGCAACCTCTTCTTTACTGTCTTGCATAAATTCATGGAATACGGGCACTAAATCTTTTGTAGTAATATCCATTCCAAGTATTAATGCCATATCGATAAAGGAATGAGCTAAAGTACGCCGAACTTTCACCTTTAAAAATAAATTTCAAGTCAACATTACTTTACAAACTAAATTTACATTTGCTACATCTTGATGAATAATTGTATGAACGTACTCTTTTTGTTAAAATGATCAAATAATAATTTTGTAGAAATACTATTAAGGAAATGAAATGAATATTTTTCGCTATCTTGAGGAAAGATTTATGAACGGATTCTTTCCATTAGAAATCGTCAAAATAAATTTGAAAGCAATATTACGCTGCATACGAAATGGAGATTTCCGTCATCTTAATAAATGATTTTATAAATGGGCACTTTTCATGAGAAATAAGATGGTGGAAACTACATGTAGATTTTTGGCCACTTTAACTATAGATTTGATGCAGAAAATATATTCTTTCCACTAGAAATGCTTCAATTTTGCAAAGATTAATACACAGTAAAAAGTAGAAAAGGGAGGAATCATACCTGTGGATTAATTGCCAAGGAAGCGTAGACACGTTTTAAATAGTGCCAATATCTTCTACCTAAAGCTAGTGTTACTGCTGGTAAGTTATAAGCGCAAAAATAGGGCAGCTGTACATCGACTTTTTCTATTACTTCCGGATTGACCATAGCTAAATAATTATCCAATAAAGTTTGCGGTATAAGATCCTAAAAAAATAGAGCAGATACATCTGTTATGACGCAATCTCGAACAAATCTTTAATCTAATTTATATAATGTTTAATGAAGGAAAGTCGTATTCCAATCTAAAAATTATTCCATCAAAAGTATTGCTACTACCTCTGAGTAGATACTAAATATAAAAAATATCGCAATAATTTTAATCATTGATCTTATTCAAGATATGCAGTAAGTAGAATACTAAAATAACAACGATGAATTAAGAATCATTATAGCAATGGCGGTGTTTCAAGTTATATTCTATCGAAAGAAGAATGGGCAGGAATAACTTGATCGAGATAGTCGAAAAATCTTTCAAGAGCTACTTCAAGGAAGAAAAATCTTTCTCCATCATCCTCAAGTTTGATTCAGGTTATCCATTACTGTTTCTTGCAGTTGATTTATTCGATTTAGAAGTAAACTTACTTGTTCGATAGCCTGGTCGCCATTATTGACCGATTTAGTAGAGAACAAGATTGGACTTGCTGAGATACTGCTATTTAAAGAGGAGGCTCGAGATCGGTTCTATGGAAGAGAGAGAATTGATTTGGTCTGATAGATCAATTAATGCTTAATTTTATCCACAAAAAATACCCTTCAAGGGTTAAAGTATAATTCAAATCAAGTGCTATACTCTAAATTGACTTTGTCCCAGCTATTAACGAACCTTTTTGACTGGATATGGTAAATTATTTATATCGCCATTATTATCAACTGTCATGGAAGCTAATTGATTGACAATATCGTCCACTGATTTATGCGTAAAATTTCCTAAAGTTCGAGTAGTAAATTGATTATTTCCATCTTGCCATGGGAATGGCAATTGTCCAGCTAAAGCACCAGTAATGCTACCAGTATCGATTGGATCAATCCTAAGATTTCAATTTTATAAGTAGTCATGAAAAAAATTGTGTTAGTAGCATCGTAAATCTTTTCTACTGTTATTTATAAGTCTGCAGTCGATCAATGAATTAAATCATTTTATTTTGAGTATTTCTCCTTTAGTTGTAAAAGCAGTATCTCTATCAGAACTCCTTTGTTTCGATCTGTTCGTTGACTATGTTATTGCATTTAAAATTGTTCTAATTGCATGTAAAATCGCTGTAATTGCTTTTATAACTAGTAACAAGTTGTTCTGCATTTTTAAAAACTTTTTGGTAAGTTGATTTTAAATCTTTTCTCTTTCAACCATCTAATCATTGATGTTGTCGCATCTAAAATCATTTTAAGTGCTTTTATAACGAATAGTAAGCAGTTACTATGCATTAAAAATGTTTAGTGAGTTGAATAATTTAATTTATCCTTTTCTTCTCGTTTCAAATTCAAAACCTCTGTCTCTACCACTCAATCTAAAGTAGAAATGCATCCAACTCATATCATAACATCGACAAATGTTCTACTTACGTAGCTATTCCTCCAATGAATTGATGATTTTGTAGATCTAAGTCAGGTAAAATTTTTCTAGCTAAATCAGTAGTATCGCTATTATTATTGGTAATAGTATTATCTTCGGAATCAACAAATGAAAAGATAAATTGGCCAAGAGATTTATAGGCTCCCATGCGTACCTATAAGAATTCCATATTATTAGATAGTTAAATTTATTGTCCAGTTTAATATTCTAGTTAAAGTCTTACCCATTTCGATTTATCTTGCAATAAATCGATTGCAATAGCAGCTAGAACGCTATGCCGGAGATGGAGTGAGACAGCGAAAGAAACAGCCATAATATTGTCAGCACAAGCCTACAAGGAATAGTAGTAATCCATTTATTCTTACATAATGATTCCCTTTTAGATATACTTCAAATGAAATTGAAATGAACCTTTCGCACTCCCCATATTTCATCACGGCTTAATTTGATAAAAATTGGTAGCTAAAATAGAGATGATTAGACAGTTCAATTGGAACTTTTAAAAATCTCGTAAGAAAGATTACTAATAGAACATAAACTTATACTGACAAAATAGGTAGAACTCTTATATAAGCATATCTTACGAGAATTTCTTCCGTTTTACTACTACCAATGGCATTGCAGATATCACCGATATTTTCAGCGCAAGCTTTGCGCATTTGTGAGAACTCATCTTTACATAATTGTTCAAATCGAGGCAAAATTGAACGCTGAGCAATTTCCTCCTCAATTTGTTGGGCCATCCTAGCCATAATCTACGGATATTTTGATATCATATTATTTTAATCATTAAAATATTACCTATACAGCGCTACCAATATCATCTTATTTTAAAATCTTTTAGCTACTAGCAAGGCATAAAATGAAATAGTATAGTAGCCTAATTGATGCCTCTATCCATTGCATATCTGAGAAAGGACAAGAAAGACATACACAGACAGATTCACAACGATTTTCATCACTGCAATCAGGATGACTCATTTCAAATAAAACTTGGCATATTTGGTCTTCAATATCCTCTATATTTTTTTTTAAATAATTAAACAACGAGTCAGAAAACAAATAAAATGTTTTATTATGCTAATAAAAATCGAATCAAGGATAACCTTGACTAATTAGATTTTTCATCAACATGACGATCAAGGTCGCCTGACTTATTTTTCTAACCTGAAATAAAGAAATAATTGCATATTAATAGAATATTTCGATAATAATTTACCTTGTCGATTATATATCAATTTTTATGCATACTTCTATGTAAGGATCCATTAAACTCTTTAATACAATAGGTAATAAGTAATCAGACATTGCCGTTGGCATCTGACAGTCTTGAACTAAATAATTGGCAACTTGAGGTATTTGTTCCATCATTTCAGCGCGAAGATTTGGACCTATCATATCATTAAGGGATAACGATACGTGGTTTGAAGAAAGTAGAAATTATAAGTACTCTTCAATATTGCCTAGATCTAGATATACTCTGTCCTCTAACAACATGATACATGAATTACTGCAACAATGCATTTTCATAGCGATAGCATTGGAATAATTGTATAACCCTGAAAAGTATCAACTCATGAGCGCCATGATATATCGCTTAGATTAAGATTGAGGAATTCGCAAAGAAGATAATTTATCCAAATTAAATACTAATAAAATTGTGATCAAGCAGTCATGGCAAAATGGGAATGGAAAAGACTGATACTTATGCACTACCGGATATATGTGCTAGTAAACTCTAGGCAAGTGAGCGAAGTGTAGTCATTTAAAATTAGCAATGTCACGAAATAATATCCAAATTAGCGTCAAAAATGGCTGTAGATATGGAGCGATAGATATAAATATAGATATGGAGAAATCAGGATCTCCAATTTTAACATAATACAGCAATAAAGTGTATTCATATGATTAATATTCTACTTAAAGCACTCGCATAGCCAACTAAAGCCCGTTTTTGCTCTCTACTCGGACTTTAGCTAGACATATCGATATGGCTATAACTATTCTACGCCATTCAATTTTCGATCTTATTGGAAGTATTCACGTTACAATTTATAGCACTAAACACTTGAGCACGATTAATTTAATGTCGCTTGGATCAAGCCTAATTCTATCCTGTAATAATATAACATGGAAAGGTCTGTAAGAAATGAATTTACGATCATATACAACTACTTGTGCTAAGTAAAGTAGACGTGAATGTCATCCTTTAAAATTAGCGGCGTGGTCATATTCTCCAATTAAGGCAAAAATAGAAGATTCAAAATGTACTATGAATATGATAAGCTAAGGGATGGAATGAATACAAATTTCAATCAATCGATATAGAAGGAGAAATCAAGAATCCATGAAAGACTGATGCAATGTTAATATATTGAAATAATTACAGTGTCAAGCAGAGTTTGGGAATGGAAAAAAATGGATGATGCGACTTATACAAGTTTAATATAGATAGCAGGAATAAAATCAAAATTTGCAAAATGAAATAAACTGGTGGCAAAGGAAAAAATAGACGTATTTTTCAGAAAGCAATCCACCGAATCATGAAACGAACAAACTTATGGCTCTAGACTTATATTATTTATTGCCGATATGATTCAATATAAAGGTTGGACAAAGAAAATTTCTCTTGAACTTACTGGCTTCTTCCATAAGTAAATCTAAACTTTCTAAAACTTGATTTAATTCTTGAAAATTGAGCGAGCTTTTAATAATATCCCACAGGTCTCTACTTTCGCCGGGATGAACATATCTAGATAGCAATCGGAGTCAATCAAAGTGATTCATTATGACAGTTTGTTTAGTACTAGAAATAAAATTGTATCCTATTTATGGTTGGTTATAAAACTGCTTCAAGGTTTAACGTGATTCCTTATACTAATGAAGTAAGTAGAATTAGCAAAGAATGTGACTGCTGACTCGATTTTTAACCCATACGGTGATTAAGAGAAACTTCGTTCGTAATGTCTTCCATGGAGTTGAAAATTTCTTCGCTACATAACTGAAGGCTACGATGATAAACTAGATTTTAGTCCATGCAGTTATTAGCCCTTAGCTTATTAATAAAGTCGATTTTTAAGCCATACGGTGATTAAGAGAAATTTCGTTCATAATGTCTTCCATGGAGTTGAAAATTTTTTCGCTACATAACTGAAGGCTACGATGACAAACTAGATTTTAATCCATGCAGTTAGTAGCGCTTAGTTTATCATGACTTGGATATCTGTGCGGTCGAAATTTCTTCACGAAAATATAGATACAGAAGCGAATGGATTTGCCGCAGCTTAGGCATTCTATGCTGAAGAACTTGTAATCTATCGCGTTCTGCTCATTTCTAACTACGATTTGAGAAATGAGAGAATTCTCTACTACTACTACCGTCATTGAAGGTAAAATCACTTTGCTCTATATCTTATCTTCTTCTCTTGTCTGTTGCTTGGATATGCTAGAGAACTTGCTTCGCCATGCAACGATAGTCAAGTATTCTCTTCAAATTTAGATTTTGAACTAATAATCTCCTTTAACAGAAATGGTTCTTCAAGTCAAATAGTATTGGGTTTTACAGTATGTTGGAAGGATAACGATGATACTACGATACTCTAATAAGATCGAGTTCATGGTGAAAGCTCCTTTAATAGGATTTAGTCTTGTTATTTACCTTTCTTCTTCATCAACGCTGGCAGCTTGTGTAAATTCATCGCGCTCCATTGGCCAGTAATTGCTACCATCGTGATCTAAAATAGCGATAAATGAAAAACAGAAATTCTATAGCGATCCTGAGATATTTTGTAACCTATAGGATATAACTCATTAAGTCTATCCAGCGGGATAGCAAACTTTTATAATATTTCGTATCCTGCTGCTTTTTGAACGCAAGTGCCTATCCCCAATTATTGAGTTGGCGCCTGTAGGCTACCGTCCATAACCGATCGCTGAGCATGGACGAATTGGTTTAATTAAGATTCTCTTGTTAAACACGGTGCTTGTCGGCTTTTTAGGGCAACATTTTAGGTCTTTACTACCCTTCCAAGGTATTGAGTAAATTATTTATTCCCCTATTGCCAAATTTCCTATTGCAATAGTTCTATTCGTGAAATAATGGTTAGCAGTAGCAGTTCTACTCGTATTTCGAATAACGAAATCAAGAGTAGGAATATTTCTTTTTACCGATCGAGAGAGGTAAATTGTTCTATTGCAACAGTTCTACTGCAAAATGATGGTCAGTCATAGCAGAGATGGGCAATATTTAGAATATATTGCAGAATCATGGCAGGAATGGTGTAACGTAGTTCTACGACACCTTGATATTGGCTGTGGTATTTCATTTCTATCCTTGGACAAACTTTATTCTACTGAAATTGACAATTCAGCGGTTAGGATTTGGAGATGCAATACAAGAATTTTTTCAATTCCTCACAACAAGCTAAAATCGTTATAGCTTGTCCATGAAGAGAAAATGACAAATGATGGGGATAAGAGGTATAGGAGCAAGATAGATTGGGAGAGGAAGAAGTAGATCGAATGGATTAGAGTATCGCTACGAGTAGAGGTAGCCAAGATACAACCGCCATCATGCTATCCAAGCATGGCTAACGAGCTTGTTGACATAAGTATAGACTGTAGCGTATAATGAGTCTAGAATTAGAATAGGACTGACTGACAAAGGTTTTCATTCCAACATCCAATCGAATATCCAATGAATTATTACTTTTTAAATCTGAAGATTGGATGACGAGGGAGTAAAACTATCGAAAGTGGTGAAGACAGCGAACAAGATTTTCTGCCCAAGATGGCCATGCTTTACAGTGGCATAAAAAAAAAAAAAAAATGCTCTCTAGTAATCTAAAGGAATTTCGTTTTTGTCTCTGATCAGGATATAATATTGGAATCAAACTTATTGATGGTCAGACATGAAAGGATAAACTCAACATGATATCATAGCAATGTTCACTTGATAATCTACTTATATAAGATCGAAAAAGATCCTTGGCAGCATTAGATAAAATGGCAAAGTTTTCATCGGTTTGAAGCTGTGGATCCATCAACAATCTGCAATATGTCAACAAGTGTTGCTCAAAGGCAAATGGAAATAGTAATAAGGTAGAAAACTCGGTCAATGCTTACGGGATCGGAAGGAAGGACTAGAATTAAATGATTAGATTGAATATTGAGCTTCAATTCAACGCTTTAAAACCCTTTTGGTTCAAGTAAAGTGGATTAATCATCGACTCATGCACGAAGAGTAAGGATGATTCTTCCTTACGATTCAGGAGACAATTTGGCAATGGATAGATCAACAAGTTAGTAATAATATTATTTATATCTGATCAATTAAAGTAGTCATGGTGATGTATAGTAAGGATTAAGGAAAGGAAAGGAATGGTTTGATTTTATATCTACCTAATATTCAACGTAGGAAAAGGCCTCCTTCTGAGGGCTAAGTAGGACAAATGACCAATTAGGATTGAAGGAGTCATAGCGATTCCTCTTTCCGCTCAGCCAGACCAATTGACAACGAATAGGTCAACAAGTCATGAATAAGATCATGAATTAATTAAAGTTAATGGAAACTGTTATGACGACAGCTAATGGAGATTAATGAAAGGCGTTGAATCATGAGATTCTCTTTTTCATTGCCATGCAAGATACTCAAATAGCTCTTGTGAAGACGAAGTGGATATAGAATCAATCCAATAGCAATGCGAGAAGATTCTCCTTCAATCTAAACAAATCATGGGCAACCGCTCGATCTTCAAATCGAGAATTACATTACCTAGCTATTGACACCTTTTAAAGCAGTAGTAGCAATGGATGATGAAGGCGGTGGGAAGAAATTAGATTCAAAGATTCATTTTGCACCGAGATCATAATCGAAACAGATCCATTGGTAATGAATTGATCTACGAATCGAGAATTCTATTGCATATTAAAGTAGTAATTGCAATCGATCTACGAATGGAAAAATTTATTTCTCATTAGAGGAGTAATCGCCATCGATGAGATCAATTGGCAACCGATCGATCTAAGAATCGAGAATCTTATTATGCATATGCATTATAAAGCTGTAGAAACGATCGATCTACGAATCGAGAATCTTATTACCCATTAAAGCAGTAGTAGCGATCGATCAGATTAATTGACAACCGATCATTCTCAGAATAGAGAATCTTATTATCCATTAAAGCAGAAGAAACGATTGATCGATCTACCAATCGGGTATCTTATTTCCCATTAAAGCAGTCGCAGTGATCGATGATAAGGAGAAAGGAAAGAAACTGGATCAATTGATTGAATTCTAAATCGAGATTGAATAATTCTCCTGGATTGATTTAATCGAAAAGTAACGAGGCAGAAGATTGTTTTGTAATTAAGAGAGACAAATTTACACCTAAATGATCAACAAAGTAAGAATATAGTCTCTACAGAAGGACTCAACGATAAATGATAAAGATTGCAGAAAGGAACTTTAGCCATGGATTCATTTATTAAACGAGATACAACCAATTTCCCTTAAGGAATAAATAGACTATAGATTGATTTAATTGGATAGGAATGCGAAAGAATTCTTTTTAAATCCAGTTAGGCAAATTTACACCCAATAGATCAACGAATGAAGAATCATGTCGCCCATGCTTGTGGTAGTAGCTATGGATAATGAGGATAAACTCCTCCACAAGACTGGAGAAATCATTGATTCTACGCCGCGGTAATCGGAGAGGATTCTTCTATTACTGAAGATTGGTAAATTTTACGACCCATAGATTAACGAGTGAAGAATAATTTCACACATTAAAGTCGTTATGATAGCGATGATGAGACTTAAATAAACTCCTCCTAAAGACTGCTGATATTTTTGATTCTATATAATAGTAATGAGAGAGGATTCCTTTTCAATTAAGATAGGCAAATCGAACTACCCATCGATCAACAAATGAAGAATATTATCACGGATGGATGTTGTCATGATGATGATAGATGATGGGAAAAGGATTCAATCATTTCATCTTTTAATATGAAACTACAATCAAATCATCAGAAAATACCTTGTTATCAAAACAAATGATTGATTAAACCGCAAGCAATAATAATGATTTGTCATTAACGAAATTTAACAAGATAAATTTCACTACCCGTAGATCAATAAATCAAGAACAAGTCAAATATCGTCATAGTGATGGATGATGAGGATTTAAGAAAGGAATGAAACCTTTCAAGTGGATGTTAAACTGCAATCGAATCGTCTGAATAACCTTGACCCATCTACATCAAGTAGACAAATAATCCATTAACATACAAACAGTAAGCATGATTCGTCTTTCATGCAGTTCAATAAGACAAATTTATCACCCTTAGATCAGCAAATGATTAATCGATTCTTGATATAAAGGGAAGAACAACGATCAAGGATGTGAAATTAGGAATAATAAAAGTGATCAAATCCAATTTAAAATTTTGATGAAAATTGATATGGACAAATCCTTGACTAGCCGTCTTACCCCATCATCAACGATGGAGAGGAAACCATAGCGTAACAAAATCAATCATCCATAAAGTAAGTATGAATAGCACAATAAATTTCACAATTTACTCAGAAAAACTCAAGTTGATCACTGATTAGCTGTTTAACAACAATCATGTTGAGAAAATTGAATCTGTTGATTTTATACAGTAGTTTAAGCAATAGATGTCATGGTGAGCTTTGGTAAAGTAATGGCTACGTAATTTTGATGTCATGATCGCTTCTTTTATTGGGCAGAAGAATAGGTTAAAAAGTGAATGTTATAGTATCCCGCAAGGTTAGACTATCTCCGTTTATCGAATTGGCTATGCCAATATGATAGGTTAGATATCGGCTTACCTGAATGGTAAGAATACGTTGAATTAAACCATGCTGCTGTTGATGTTGCTGCCTCTGTTGATGTTCTTGTCATGAGATTGAAGTCGGGATCATTAATGTCCATCATTGTAATTGCATGTTGGAATGGACTACACAGCCAACAATTACCATGCACAATAATATTACAAGGTGGCGTAGGAATAACGGTGTTTAGTCGATGAGAGAAGGGTAGGAAAAAATTGAGCAATTTAATTAGATTTAAGGATAGATGGTTGAGACTAAATCATTCTTGATCAACTGCAACCACAACGACGCCATGATGTTAAAGATACTACTCATGATTGACAGTAGTGAACATAAATAATAATAAGAAAAGTGGCTTATATCAACATATATAGAGAGAGGACGAGAGATGTCTATCTTCAAATTGTACTTCCTTCTATCTCTCTCACTCTCTCTCTCTCTCTAGACTGTATATACAATATATATTGTACATTAAGTGTACAATAGACGAAAGAATTTTGTGTACAGAAGGATAGCTAAATTGTATAATTGTATATATAGAGACTCTACTTGGATGTCAATCAATCAATCAATCAGAAATTCCAGAAAAAAGGAACTGTGGCTATTTAAATTATTGAAGCCCAGTCTTTGATTGAAACTTTTCAACACTAAATTAACTTGTCTTAATTATCAAATTACTTGAAATAGACTTCTACCCATGCTAATCTACTCATGGAAAGGAAATTGCCCTGGGTAGCCAGTTCTTTAATAATCAATAGAAAGGCAAGCAATCATTAGTATTCTATCTAAATGATTGAACGAGACATGAAAGATTGATTTTAATAGCAGTTATTCAACACTTTATTTTACAATCATGACGAATAAATAAGCAATCCTATGGAATTAATATAATGTACACACACATTGGTTACTCGTGTTGCTTTTCAACTAACCACTTATGTAGTACACAAAAAGAGAGAAAAGAATGCTGCTAAAATTGCATAGTAATAGGCTGTTACTACGAGATAAAAGGTGGGAAGAATAAAAGCCAGTCTAATGATGTCTGTGCCGTATCTATTCCTCATTTCAATTTAATGTTTCTCAAACAATCCAATCTAATCTTGCAATAATGTTATCGACAGCCTTCTATTGATCTAACTATAATAGTAAAATACTCTTTCATAGATAAGAATACAATACATCAATCATATGAATGATAATTAAGCATTATGAACAATTTAATTCTCTTCGTAGGCTTATTAATTTCTATCATCTTGTTGCCAATCCATCATCAATAGTGCCCCATCACGTGATAGAAGAGGAAAAGGATGAAGAAGAAGACAACAACAACTTATTCAATCGTCGACAAGTTGAGAAATGCTATCGATCAACATGGGTCGAAAGGATCGAGAGAGAAAGAGAGAATAGATGATAAAATCGTCTTTACTGCTTTAAAATTTTAATACAACCCAAGATAGTCTGTGTTAGTAACATGATTTTGGAATAGAATGATTCAAAGATTTGAAAAGATGATAATCATCATTCCAGAAAATATCAAATTAAGAAGATATTGAATAAATCAGTCTATAATATATGCTAATCAAATTCTAAATATAACAATATCATTGTTGGTAATAATAATGATAATCATGGTAGGATTGAGTTTAAAAAAATATTATTATCTCATATTGATCATCGTGGATATAAACAATCTGTTAAAGAAAAGACAGATATGCAATCAGTTGATTACTACTGTCATTTTTGTATATCTCTACCAAATACGATGGCGCCATCAATTCGTCTTGATTAAAATAATAATATCTCTACCATCATCAAGAATAACAGTCGATCTGATCTATTGTATCTTAAACTATTTTTATACTTTGCTAATAGGTTAATCTTTTATCTCTATTGATTTTCTCCATCTTTTCTTATTTTCTATATCTACTCTCTACCTTCAACTTGTTTACGTCTTTGACTACAATCAAGGCACATAAGTATCAAAAATAATAAATCGTATCTTTATTGCTGTCGACGAAAACTTTTACCCAAGGGTATACACCTAGTAGCAAGCAACATGTGGATGCTTGTCACATGTAGATTCAAATTAACGTGATCGTGTTCAAATTATGTTCGAAAACTTTCACTAAAGGGTATACACCTAGTAGTGAGCAACATGTGGATGCTTGTCGTTTGTAGATTCAAATTTACGTTATTGTGTTCAAATTTGTGTTATAAAATAGTAACACAAATTAGAACTGAAAACTATATAATCGATTCGAATATTCAACTAGACTGTAAGATAGTCTTGTCGGTCCGTTATGATAAAATTACCATTATTAGCAATCGATATTCAACTACAATAGAAACTATCTATCTTAAATAATACTGTGACTAAGAATAGTTCTTGTTGTTGTCATCGGTAATAATAAATTAATCTATTCTAACTTAGATTGAATAGTAGCTTCAATTATGGTTATGAATAAGAACAATCTAGTAGTTTATTACTAATTGAAGGTATAGTATTAATTTTTATATCATTGTTACCACCACTGGTGCAAAGTTTTTAACACATTAAAAACATTCATTTTGACACCCACTGCCAGAGTGTAATAATATTATAACAATGCTTGTCGTTCAATCGATGCGCTACTTAATTATCTAAAATTACAAAATGGTAATAAGTTACATGCTCTCATTTTTTTCTCTCGAAGAGTCAATGGCTAGTTTTGATAAAAAATGAAATTAGACTAATTTAAATCGTCAAGGTTTTTGTAATGTTGAAATAGAGACAGTGTCTTATAAGTTCTAACGCTTTTAAAAATGATCTCTAATTTTGTAGGATAATTTTTAGAAATATTTTACTACTGTATATTTCAACTATCAACTTATAATTATAAAAAGAGAGGATTGAGACAATGTTATTTTATTCTTGTTTAGTATCTTACAGGATAAAGGAGACACCAATCGGCATAAGAACGAACTGCATTTACTGTCTGCTATCATAATAGGAAGCATCCAAATAGAAGAGATAAATCAGTATAAAAAGAAGTCAATTTTACTGTCTGCTTCCATGATGAGAGTAACATGAAGGATATAAAGATGTAGAAGAGAAATAAAACAGTATAAGATACAGCAGTAATATATTTACTGGCTATTGTGGCATTAGGCAGCAACTAGATATAATGGAAGATATATCGGTATATTGTAGGAAGGAATTACATTTACCATCTGCGATCAGAATACAGTAGGCACCGTAGTAACTAGATATAAATGTAGAATCTAATTTGTATTGAGAAGAAATTAGCAGTTCAGATGTTAGTTCAGCCATTGATATCCGGCTATTATAGGATAAGAATGGATTAAAATAGGCTAGATGATAATCCTTAAAATGTCAGACATAGATAACTTGCCTAATCCTCTAACATAATTTGGCCTCTTTTAGCTTAGATATTCGTTGTTGCTTATATAATGATTATGGAAGAATTTTATCATTTCATTATCTTGTCTACACTTAAATTCATTAAAATCAATGGATAAATACATTTGCCATAGCTTCCATCTAACAATAACCAATTTTATATATTATTGAGTACTACTCTGATACAATATGCATTTCTAATATTTGAGCTTTTGAACTCTCCTGTCATTACTGGAAGAATTTCAGTATGATGAGTATTAAAGTATGGTCTAACAATTAAATACGATATTAGATGAGTGTTCGTATTTCTATTTCCATAGAAAAACAATTTGAGTAGAAATAAGAAGACGCTTTACCAGCTTCGTATTGCATCTATTTGATAGAATCAAATGAATGAATTCTAGATGGCTGTGGCTTGATCGCCTTTCATTTATAATGCATAGGCCGTACGAAGGAATAATACACTCATATTTTGAGTTCCTATCCAGATATTTATTGACTGCAGTGTGCTTATACTAGTAGCCTATGCTATATCCAAAGCCAACATATCGATATAACGGGGATTTTAATAGACTCTTGTGCTACAAATCGAAATTTTTAACGGGACATTAAAACTGTAAATAAGTATACAGAACACTACCTTTGTTCTCCCCAGTATCTATCTACAGTACGCTTTAAGTACTGACAATATCTCCATCGTATAGTTATGACTAAAGTAAATGCATTAACAACAAATCCGTAGGACAAGTGAGCAAAGATATGGACTTTAGGAATGACCGCATTATCATTTTGTCAGTAGTTACTACCCTAGTAATCACCAATAAATAATGAATGTATTTACAGCAAATTTATAGATCCAAGTTTGTAGATAATATACTAGACTCTAGAAATGATTGCGTCAATTTTTATAGGATATATTGCTTCATTAATCGTGAGTAAATAGCAACCGGATCTCCAAATATTATCATTAAAGAAGTATATTAATGGCAAATTCGTAAAACATGCAGGTAAGCAAATTGGACTCTAGGGGTGATTCATCACCAAAGTAGATTAGTACCGTGGATAGGCTTAAGCTGATTGATTTTTAAATAAGTCGAAAGTTACAATCATCTCATCAACCCGTTGACGAAAAGAGCAGCTGCAAGATCTCGCTTACTTCACTTCACTTCAATTTGATCAATTTGCTAGAATTAGCAAAACACTATCTTATCTTACAATAAGAATAGCCGATATAAGTACTTATAACTAGAGTTTTACTTAACTATAAGTAGTTAAGGAATACTGAAGGAATCTTAAAATTTACGCGGAATTACAACAATACACCATATTTATTTTAGCCAGAATCATCAATTATCAAATGCTAACAATACACAACGTTGATGATAAAGTGCATATTGTGAAAATGCAAAATAATAGTAGATCAAGCTAGAATAATATTTTGCAATTCTCTAGTATCTGATTAATGTGTAATATTGAACCGAAATAAATTATGACTATTAAGCATAATATACCCTTATCAATGGCCTTGTACTGATCATTAAATATAACTACTATCGATACCAAATCAATTTTAAGTCCTGGCTAACTTAACATTATCGGTAATGACGTAATTTTAAAAGTATTGATATAGCAAATACGCTCTGACAGTGTAATACTAATTAATCACCCAAAAGAAAGTTGCAGTTAAGAAATTTAAGCTAGAAATAGATACCGTTCACGCAAGATGATCGAGTAATCCATTATTTAACTTAAAAAGGCAAGACAGATGGTTGCTCATAGTAATCCCATTTTTGGAATGGCGTTACTAAATATGCTTTGCCGGCATTTGATTCATCTTCGATGAGGAATATAACAGCTTCAGCAATGTCCTCTGTCCTATATTTATGTTAATTGATGTCAATAATAGTTAAGTTATACTAAATGAGCTGTAAAACTATAAAGGTTACACCTGGTAAAAGATTATATGCTTAACAATGTATGCCATTTATTCTAATAATAATTCGTACTTTTATTTCTGATAATTATTGAATTCAATTAAATAGAAGCATATTGACAGATAGAAAATAGCAACATATTACTTACTTCAACATATGTGCCTTTAATTTTTCAATCAGATCACTTGTTAGGAAAGTACGATTGGAATTATCCCAATCTTGGGCTAACGCAGTATCCACCAAAAATGGGCAAACACAGTTGAAACGCACATTATCCGTGCCTTGTGTTAGCTTTAAAATAGAATACAAGCTCATTGAACAAGGTAAATTATATTGCAAAAAAATGCATTATATGGCATTGGAGAAAATTACATATTGACTTCGGGTGTAACCATAAACAGCATGTTTTGATGCATGGTATACTTTTGAGCCTTCTCCAGCCATGAGTCCTATAGAGTTATTCCATACGTTATATTGACGAGTTTTGTAATACTACATATTAGCATTTCATGTCTTACTCCTACGGAAAATATTTCAGTACTATCCATACTGCAAACATCTCTATTTTTGATATTAACTAGAATAGTATCGAAAGCATGATTGAATTATTAGAAAATCGATCAGAATTTTTACCTGCTACTGAAGCCAAATTAACGACCACACCACCTTTACCCTTATTTTTCGTCGACATATTATCTAGAGCCAACTGGCATGATCGGATTAAGCCAGTCTGGGAGTAAAAATTAATGTCTCGATTAATGCTGGTCTGCACATGGCAAGAATATTGAATTGTATTCATAACAAACAGCATCAAGTCAAGTTAAGGATACAATCAATCGATAGAAGCAGTTTTCATAAACTATTCTACGTTAATAGTAAACATTAGATCTGCCAGCTCAAGACTTACCACATTGATTTCCATCATCAACTTCCAGTTTTCCTCATTCAAAATACCCGCATTGTTAACGACTATATCAACGTAGCCAAAAGTTGCAATAGCTTTGCTGTATAGATCTGATATTGCCAATGATGATGTTGTGATCATAGAAAAATAATGATAGTATATTTATCGATAAGATAAACGCATTTTAAAGTAATAAATTGCATAAGTTTATGGACACTTGTTGTAAAAGTGAGTCTATAGAAATCCATCTAATACAAGAGATTAATTAGGTACAGCTGTACAAGTCATAAATCGATCGAGATATTCATCGTTATTGGATCCGTACTTTGCAAGTCTTCTTCTTTGGTTACATTGCATCTGATAAAAACAACTCTGCTTTCTCCGAATTCTTTTTGAAATTCTGCAGTAGTTTCATTACCAACATCTTCTGCTGTATCGCTAACAACAACCTAAAGTATAGATAAACTTATTAATGGTTGGTAAGCTACCATATAATACCTTATAAAAATACATTGATATTTTTAGAGTGTAAATACTGTAGTAAAATAAATTCCGAGAATCGAAATTTTATTCGTTGAAAACGTTTCGACAAACTTTCCTATTATAACGATATCAAATTTTATGATGGCAACAACGCTATAATTATTTGATTCATATCTAAGCTCATTATCAAATGGATATTTATTTATCAGTATTATGATAACAAGGAATTCTAATTTCTAAGACATTTTTATGAGCGTCTTCTCAATCTAAAAAGTTATGCTAATATAATACTATGCATTTGACAGCTAGTTGATAGAATTTAATGGGATGGGATCAATTAGCGGTACAGCTACCTTGCTATAGCAATACTGACTTAATTAATTTACAAAGACAAAGAACTTCTTTACTTTAAGTTATCAATATTAATTCATATCGGTAAATAAGAATTATGTTTGTTATTTAATTAATCATAGTATCATTCCATTATTTTATTTATATACTATCATTAAACTCCATATTGGAATTGAATGTAATCATTCGTCGTAGCTAAAAGGCTACAAGTAGCATGACGGCATTTAGTAATGATATGTCTGTATCATTTATTGCCTGCCACTTTTACAATGATCAGTAGCAAATACAACCTACTTGTTAGCTAGGCGATATTATTAGCCAAGTAAAAGATTTACATCTTTTATAAACTTACATTAGCTCCTTTCTTGAGTAAATCACTGCAGATGCATTTGCCAATGCCTCGAGCACTGCCGGTAACGATGGCAGTTTTACCTTTGATATCATAAGTCATGTTTGTGGATAGTTGATGGACTGGAAATCGTCAAACTTGATAAAATGAGATATTGAGCAAAAAATTAGTATTTGGATTTGTATCGAGCTATTTTATAAGCACTACTAGAAGACATCTATCATGTAGAATTGACAAGCAGCATATGAGTTATTTGGAGCTAAAATCATTTTGGTATAAACAATACTAGATTTGAAAAAGATCCTCAATCTAGTATCAAGAATGATATACTAGTTAGCCTAAAGTAGAGATCGATAGCATGACTGCATAAGTTGCGATTGACGAAAAATTTTGATTGTTCTTTAAAAAAGCTAAACATCATGATATCAAATAAACATTTTAATCGTTCTACATTTGAAATAAATCTTCAATCTGGCTTGAGTTATTACGCAGAATTTAGTCTAATGCCGAGATCGGCACTATATTTACATAAGTTGTGATTGATGGAAATTTAGGTTTTCTTTAGGTAAGTACTCGTATGCATACGGCGTAACATTACATTAAATTTTGTCTACAGCAATGTAAAGATCGACACTGATATAAATTGTAATTGATGAAAAATTTTGATTTTTCTTTATAAAGCTAAACATCATGCTATATAGTAACATTAAAAGTGTCGTATTTGAAATACGTGAATCCTAGATCTGATATCAATAATTAAATATTTCGAATTTAGTGCCATGTAAAGATTGACACCATAACCACATAAATTGTGATTGATGAAAATTTAGTTGTTCTTTAGGAAACTATATACCATTGCTATATAAAATGCAATTACATAGGATTTGCCTAGAGTATAGATCGAAATCTTATTATGTAAGTGATGATGAGAGATTTTAGTTGTTATTGAAGAAATTACACACGATGCATTATGATAACGATCATTCATTTTATATTTTTAATAGACTATCCATCAATCTAATGTCATTAATTACATCGAATTTAGTCTGATACAAAAATTGACACTATAATCAAGTAAATTGTAAAAGATGAGAAATTTTTGTTGTGATTTGAGCAATTATACGTTGCAATGCGTATTTTAGTAATGATTAGAATATATCTCGTTCGTTATACTTTGCGCGCAGTAATTGCTACAAGATTTGAAATAGATCGTCATTTTAATGTCAGTAGTTTCATAGAATTTAGGATACTGAAAAGATCGATATCATAAGCACACAAAATTGTAATTGATGAGAAATTTTAGTGGCTATTTAAGCAATTATACGGTATACTATGCATTTTACACAAGATAATACCAGACTTGAAGTATTTCCATTTTAAAGTCAATAATTACATAGAACTTAGCATACTGTAAAAATCCACCTCTTAAGTCTACAAATTGATGATAGAAAAGGAAATTTCGGTGGTTATTGACCGGAAAAAATTATGTATTATGCTGCACCATATGATATCTTTAGAAAAGATTAATCAATGTCGGAAGGAAGACGCTACAGGTAACAATAGCAGTCTTATATTGTAAATTTACATTGCAGTTAGAAAGGGGACAGTAATGGGAGCAGTTCTAAATGGCATTTTATGTTCTAAAATAATAATGTAGTAATTGGTATAGGTTATTAAAGTGAGTGGCAAGATCCTGCAGGTAGAAATGTGCCTAAATTAATCACAGATCCGAAGAGGAATGGGATCAAAAGGAATTACTGACAAGGTTCTATTAGCGTTATCGAACTAAATTGATCAAATTAAAGATCTTTCCCTAGCCACATTTTCCGCCATGAGCATATCCTCCTTGTACCAGATTTTCACCTGCAGTTGACGCTACCTGGCTTTATTAATTCCATCATCATCAATTAACAAGCCTACGACATGTACCTGTGCATCATCCATTTCGAAAATAGTGCAGCGAGTGTAAATCAATCGATTTCTCTCTACAATTTCAGTTCCGTATACTCGTACCAACGATTTTGATATATCGATATTTATTTATGCCGTGATTAGGGAATGTTACTACGTTATCAACTGACAACATAATGAAAAAAAGCCGATATTGTAAGTTGCGACTACTATTTAGTAAAAAGCAGGAATTAAAAAAAGTGTTTCATCATACATCACACTCTTCTAGTCGCTAGACTACAATATAGTCTAACTACAAAGTATGATAATGGCCATGCTACTGCACTCAACAAGCCTGAGTTTGAGCACATACCTGTCAGGATCGATTTGCGGAACAAGTGGCATCTCTTTAGGAGAGTGATTTGTATTTATCAAGCAGCTTATAGCGTAGATCGATTCAAGACTATTCTGTCAAGTCCGCATGCTAGGACTCATTTAGAATAGCATGATAAGGAATAGGAAGAAAAACTATCATGTTTGTTGGCATTTTCTTAATTTGCCTATCGCATATGGGCGTCTACCCTGTCAGTACCTGTTCAGGTGTCGTGCTATCTAAGCGTCGAAATAGTCCTAATTCAACGATCTAGTGGGCAATAACAACGATGAAATAACATCGATCCATCATCAAGCCCTCAATAGCCATAGTAATTCTAATCAATTGGTATTATTCTATTCTATCCTGTTATAGAATGGGCTGAAGATGGATCGAATCCGCATCGCTAGGCAAGAAGGCAATCCAATCAACTACATGATAAAGGTCAAGCGTCCAAGTATTCCTAATTCGACGAACTACTGGGCAATAATAAACGATGAAATAACATCGATTCATCATCCAGCCTCAATAACAATAATAGTTCTAAATGAATTGGTGCTATTCTATTTTATCCAGTCATGAAATAGGCTGGAAATAGATTCAATCAGCATCGCTGGCCAACAAGGCACCGTAATCAAAGGAGTTATCAAGGCCGAGATAGGCGTTATCGGCTCTCTATCTCGACACTCACATCGATTATTGATTGATAATACGATACTCCTATCCTAGCCAAGTGTTCTATCGGCCTACTTGGCTAAGTAGAGAGCTAAGAACTGTAGGGTATTATAGGCTACATGGTGAACAAGTCGAGAAATAAATGAAATAAGTCATTACTTACCTTGTGGTAAGAAAAGATCTTCACTTTCTCAATTGCTGGTATGGCAAGAGGAGAGAGAGAATAACCGTTTGCTATAGGCTTTTATAGCATCGGTAAGGGGGTGTGGTAGGGTGGTCCAAGCACACCGAAGGGACTCCCATGCCTCGTCTAGTTTAGACTTCAGAGAACAGGACTATGGACTGACTACTCGAATTTAAAGCTTTTAAAGCTACATTCATATCATGCACTTTTTTCCGGGATTTGGTAGTCCATAATATGATTATAAGAGAGGCAGATACTCAAACTGCCTCATGGAGAAGAGAGTGTCCTTGGAATTTTCTTCTGCTATCGTTTCTATTCTATAACACAAGCACTAGGGAGGATGATCAATTTTCGCTCATTCTAAATAATATATGCCTACCACTCAAGCTATCTCATAGAGAGAGGTAAAGGGAACATCGTGTAGTTGCAGTTTTCTTCTGCTGTAACCTATCGGCAATTAGGCAGAAGTCATGCTGCTCATATTTTGGTCATTCTACATAATATACCCGTACTGCTCAAACTGCCTCATCGAGAGAGAGTGTCCTTGGAGTTTCTTCTGCTACAGCCTCTATTCTATCACATAAGCACTAAGCGGGCTGATCATCTTTTTGGTCATTTTACGTCTCGATCTGCCTCATTGAGAAAGACCGAGAAGAGAGAGTCCTTGGAGTTTCTTCTGCTATAGCCTCTATTCTATCACATAAGCACTAGGCATTCTGATCATCTTTTTTGGTCATTTTACGTCTCAATCTACCTCATCGAGAAAGGCCGAGGGAAAAGAGTGTAGGTGGAGTTCTCTTCTGCTCTATAGTCTCTACAGTATTCTATCACATAGGCACTAGCCAAGGGACCATTTTCTGGCATCATTCTACGCAGTATATTGTCTATGCCTATCACTCTAACTGCCTTATGGAGAGAGGTAGAGGGAAGAGAGTGTACTTAGAGTTTTCTTCTATGACCTCTATCCTGTCATATAGACAGGGTGATCATGTTTTTGGTCATTCTACGTAGTGTATATGCGTACCGCTCTAACAGCCTCATGGAGAAAGGTAGAGGGAAGAGAGTGTACTTGGAGCTTTCTTCTATAATCTCTATTCTATCACATAGGCACTAGGTAGGCTGATGATATTTTGGTCATTCGAGTAGACGTGTATCACTCAAATCGTCTACCATATTATAGAAACCAACCTAGTAGCTAATTCAGTAGACAATCTCTTTCTTTTTACTGCACAAACTACGAACTGCATACTGTACGGAAGGATAAATAAAGCTATAAATACTGTGCTAGCTGATCATTTTTTCGGTCATTCTACTATATCGTACCAATAAATAAGTCTACCATACTGAATCAAATCAAGGACTACTAAAAGAAGACCTCGGACAAATCGTCCTTTGCTACGGTTCAATAATATAATCGACTGTAGCTTATTTGGATGCCTAATACTGTATGGTGCACCACTACAGACATGCAATGCAGCTAAAATGACCAGTAAAATAATCAGCCTCCACTCGAGCGAACGACCATTTCTAGCCCCTCGCTTTCTTTTCGTAGTCCATGCTGTCACAGGGTGTCTCAGAGAGGTAAATAAAGATCATTTTGAGCTTTTCCTTTCCGCTACCATATGTTGAGTCCCTACGATTGTATTGTGCAGTATAATTAAATATGTGTTATACAGTATAATACCCGATTTCTATAAATATCGATGACTTTCTGCCATGCACTATCCTTAACCCTTGTCTAATTATATTATCAGCTCAGGGCTATCGTCATCGTGAATTGTAGGAAAACCGATGGTGTAAACAATAGCTCATTTAACGAAGAAGATATTGCATAGTCAAAACTGATTTATCGCCTTTAGTCATGAAAGGGGGAAGCGTATAACTCTATTTGACCTTCATAAATCCAATTACAGTTAATGTTGATGTGCAAGCTAATCAAATTTGAAGTTGTGGTAGCAGTATTATTCGGAAACGAACACATTTAAATGTATTTGCTATTAAATTTATTTCCAGAATTCAAGATAGATTAACAGGTCGTTAATGCTAGTGCTAGCTGCAGTAATAGAACAACTTACGAGCGCAAAACCTGATTAATAAAGAGTCTCCGATCACATTAACAAGAAGGATCGATATTAGCCATACTTTTCTATATCAAAATACATAATAGTGCAACTGTACTCATTTTTCATAATGCTAATTTTAAAGGGCGTCTACTAGAATTTTAGACTATTATTCATAAAACAGCTAAATTGATAAAGACTAGTCTTACTATCTTAGTCATACAATAAAATTACGCGATGAGCAAAAAAATTTCATCCTATTCACAATATGAAGAGCCAAACAAGAACAGGTGGATAACTTTGGAAATACCCTTTCCTCATCAAGTTATAATTTAGATTCTTGAAATTTATAGTAATCGATACCACGAACACCAGTAACTCGCATAACGGCATCATTCTTTGTGTCATCTTCTACCAATTGTATCATTCCACGGGCAACCAGAACTGGACTGCAAGGCAGAGAGAATCAAATTCAACATTCTACTTGGAATAAATTAATAGCATACTACTTCCATTTATAAAATAGTAAATAATATCAACTACAGTCTTTGACAGAGACTGCTTTCACCAAACTTACGCGTACAACAATAAGTAAAGAAGGCCTCGACAAGGCATACTATGAACAACTTTACCTGACAATGTGCTTTTTCATCTTCTTCTGAAAGTCATTACCATAGCTGTCTATATAATTTGGAATAGAAGCTTCAAACATTTCAGTTCGCACAAATGCAGGGCATATGACATTAACACGGATACCGTCCGATGCATTCAAGTTCTTGGATACAAAATAGTTGAAAAGTTATGCAAGTGCCTTATTAGTCCTTAAATCGAAAGAGTCGCTATGAACCGGAATGGAGTATATTTAATATTGTCTGTCTTACGCTCAAGCTTCGTGAGAAGCCCAAAACTCCAAATTTAGTTCCACTATAGACAGGGCCACCCATGATAGGAAATATTGCTACCATAATTGTAAAGAAAGAATTACTTAAAAAGCCATCTACTACCGGTATATCATAGCAGGCAATATGCTTGTATGTAGCCTTAGTGCTATATTTTAGAAGTAGAAGTACGCCCGGCAACATAGCATATGAATATGAATCATCTTGACTTGCTATATCTTGTAAGTAAGTTTAATGTCATAATAAATAACAACAGGAAGAAAATAAATCTATATTCTCATACCTCCCATAGATGCAGTGTTAATAATTACTCCTCCATGGCCACCATTTCGTGTAGACATTACTTCTATTGCTAACTTGGTACCACGAATTACACTAGTCTAATTGATAAATCATTGATATAATAGTGCTATGAGATAGAGCAGAGGTCTGTTCTATCGGCAGTGGTATTGAGAAGTTAGACATTACTCCATTTTAGTCGACTAGCCTACAAAATTTATTTTTAAGGCTAGTGTAAAATTGCTATGAAATTATTTTCTGCTTGAGGACTATTTCCTACAAATTAATCAATAAAGGTAGCGATAATGATCGAATGATTCTAGTTGTATGCTAGACTGTTTCGGATATTTTATGAAAGTAGCATTGTGGATCGATAAGCCTATTATTGATTGATTAATACTATCAGGATACCAACCAAGCAACCTCATAATTAGTATAGACAATTATAATTATTATACGTAAATCATAATCTGTTTAGCAATAATAGATTCTATATTACTACAACTCTATTAGTGCATGGTCTTAAATTGATCATTCAATAGTACATTCTTTTCTATTCGCCTTTAAATGAATTAATGCTCTTTCTATCCATAGGAGCTTTACTTACGAAATTGATCTCGATAGCTTTCTCCCAATTTCCGATTTCTGTTACACCCGCATTATTACATAAAATATCCAATCTACCAAATGTCTTGATAGCAAAATGGATTGTATCTATGATACAATGGTGCAGGGAAAGTTTCAGTATTTGCAACTATCCTCGTTTCACTCTATAATCATGGTACCGTTATCAATCAATATAACCAAAGGTGATATAATAAGCTTACTTTGTAAATCCGCCTTGGATGTTACATCACATTGTATGAATTTTGCACGATTGGATCTATATTGTTTGTTTAATTCCCTACAAAGATCTTCGCCTCTTTGTTTCTTAAGATCTGCAATAATCACCTAATAAAAGATTATCAATAATTTAGCACGTAAGTAGTCATGCTTACGGAGAATATCCACCAAGATGAGCAAATTTATTTCCATAAAGAACTACAACTGATCGCTAGTAAATTTGCTGATTATCTCTACTCTTAAGTATTGTAGATACGATACGATATTTAACATATCTTCTCTAGGTTAAGATATGTAAGTAAGCTATTTAATCTTGTGTCAGTAAAGACTAGAAATTTACTCTAATACTGCTGAAGGAAGTACAAGTATAGCAACGAATCGTTTAGCTTGCAATGGTTGCATAAACATTGTAATGAAATATCCTACGATAAATGTTTAATCTTATAGGAGTAAAAATTGAAAATTAATCTATCGCGAACCATACAAGAAAGCTTCGCACAATAGAACTTGCAACTGTAATCTTTTAGTTTAACTTAGATATACACTTTGCAACGACAAATACTATGCGTAACATATAGGACATTACGTGGGTAGAGGCTGGAATTTACTCTAGTCCTTTATCACGGAACATGTAGGAAAGTACAGCTCAGCCAAGCAATACTTTCGGTTACAGTAACTGTATCAACTTTATAATGATCAACATTATGCGTGAGATATTTGTTCTAACGTGGGTAAGGGCTGAAATTAATATCATTTACTATGCGAGAAAGTAGGATGCAATAAGATTGACTACTGCAGCCATTTAGCTCAATTTGCATTTGCTCGAACGTAAGAAAAGCTTAAAAATAGACTATCATTTTGCATCGCTAATCCTGCAAGGAAAAATATACAATATCGCACACTACAGTAGTTCCCGAGCTTAAAATAGTACATATGGTAATTGGTAATGAAATAACACATCCATTCGTACCCTGATAGTGATGACCTGATTGCAACTTGGAAGTAATCTATTCGATTTAATATACACGTACTTGTCATTTGAAGATCTACCGTATGTCTAATTACCAAATCAAGATAGCAAAATCCTGCGACTATTTGCTGGCATGTAATGCAAATCCATACAGAGTCCATGTAGAGGCTAATTCTAACCTCTACTCTAAATGTTAGTTTCTCAGCTAGATTTATAAATTCTGCTTTTATAACTTGAAATACTTTATTCGATTTAATGTGCTCGTCATTTCAGGTCTACCATGTGTCTAACTACCCTATCAAGATAGTAAAATTCTGCGATTATTTGCTTGCATGTAACGCAAGTCTGTAACAGAGTAAAGGTGATGTCTGACAGTAAAATTTAAGCCTAGTTCTGTTTCCTACTCTAAATTACAATATGGAAGCTGGATTTTCTGCTTTTATAGCTTTACTCGTCACTTGCAGGTCTACAAATGCTATCTAATTACCGTATCAAGATGGAAGAATCCTGCAGCTATTACTTATATGTAATACAAATCTATACAGAGTAAAGCCGTTATCAATAGCGATTTTTTAGCCTACTTCTATTTCCTACTCTAAATGATAATATCAAAGGTGGATTTTAATAAATTCTACTTTTACATGTATGTAAAGTTTACATTGGCTCCGTGATCAACAAGAGCACGGCAGAATTGCTCTCCAATGCCTTGAGCGCCGCCCGTTACAATGGCTGTCTTCCCTTCAATTTTCATCTTGACGGTAGTAAAGTTTCTTTACAGTCTGTCGAAACTATAACTGGGGTTGGATTTTATTTCTAAACTCAAATTACTACGAGAGATAGAGAGTTTCTAGCGAATATTCCAATGCAAAATGATGATTTAATATACGACCGAGCTGCACTACCCAACTCTATAACGTATAGAAAAGGATAGAAGGCGGGCCTACAGTACTACAGTAATTTATATTAGCTACGTTATAGAGTTGTAGACATTCTGCAGTAGGCCTATGTACTGACCCTGTTATTCGTTAGTTGAAAGGGGATTTGTACCATACTCAGGGATACGGTAAGCATTCGTATGGAAGTATTTCAATCAGTATTGGATTTGTTTACATAGCCATTGCACTCTGCCTTCAATATTGCCAAAGTGTATAAATGATTTTCAGACATTTCAATTTAGGTATACAGTAATGCATGAGCAGATAGAACAGCTATAATAAGCTCTGCAGCAAAGTGTAACAAAACTTATATATAAAACCGGCCACAGCAAAGGCTAAGATCTATGCAAGCTATCAGATTGGTGTTTGATCGGTTTCCATGGCTATAATACACTTCCTTTAAGCTGTAACAATATCGATAGCATAATTTTATGAGGGATTTCTTTCATTCTAGACATTTCAGTAAAGATACACGGTAAAGGATGGATAGGACAGCTTTAATAAACACTGTAGCAAAGTGTGATAAGACTTATATGTAAAATAGCGGAAGCTAAGATCTAAGATAAGTTATTTATGGCTATGGTACACTTCCTTCAAGCTGTAATAATAGTGAATAATTTTATGGATGATTCTTTCTTTAGATATTTCAATTTAGGTATACAATAATGCGTGAGTAGAATAGCTTCAACAAGCTCTGTAACAAAGTGCATCAAACTTATATATAAAATGGCCAAGGCTAAGATCGATGCTAGTTGCTGTTGCACTGTTCTACAGGCTACTAATTTACTAATCTTGAGCTCTATCTATTCTATCGAGTACAAAGTCGAAAGTAGATGTTTGTCAATTATGCTATATGCTGTACTCCTAGATTTGCTGAATGTGTAAGTCTATGATTGCAGTATACTCGTGCTATAATTGTGCAATAGTTCACTTCAAAGTGCAGATAGTTTATTTATAATGGCGTAAATAAGCTTATAGGTTTAGAGAGATGATTACCAAGAAATTAACCATACGATAGCTTGAGGATGAAACTATTTACCTCTGGACTCTTTTACCCTTTACTCGTATACGATTAGCTATTGGTAGTATAAAACGCGTTAAATCTGGTAGTTTTCTACTTTACTCGATATCATATTTATTTTTTACGACTACATTTGCTACTAAGAACGATCCTGTAGAACGTCAAAGAATCAGCAGCATCACAATGCCGCTCTCCATATTGTAACCCTAAATGGTGGAAAGAATAAAAGGATTGCATAAGGATAGTTCAAGATTGATGCATATTTCTAATCGTGTTCTGCTATACTCTGACAGTGACCTGATGGAACGTAATACTATCTATACTAATAGTATTGTATAATTCAGTTTTACATTTAGCATATTATCTTATGGTGCATTGTGAGTAGACTATAAAAGGAGTTGTTGGCAAATACCACGAGAAATTGTGACTATACAGGCAGTTGCAGTTATATTAGTGCTTAGGAGTAAAAAAGGTTATTTCTATAATAAAAAGGGTGTTAGTATTCCCTGTGAGAACCTTTAACCTCCCTAGTATCCAGTAATCGCTACATATTTGGTGTCAGCGATCTCGAACTTTCAATTCCTACGAAACGTTGCAATTTTTTTATTTTATTTTTCATTACGGTCTTTGAAACTGATTTCATGATTGGCTATGGCTACGCCGGAAGAATAGCGAGAATTCACTGTTCGTGAATTGCGTGTGATTTATGCCGAAGGCAATATTAAAGTGCTATCATCTGATGAAACGTAATAGTATCTATACTAATAGTATTGTACAATCCAATTTTACGTAAAACATATTATCTTATGGTACATTGTGAGTAGACTATAAAAGGAGTTGTTGGCGAATACCACGAGAAATTGTGACTATACAGGCGGCTGGCGTTATGTTAGTGCTTTGAAGTAATAAAGGTCATTTCTATAATGGAAAGGGTGTTAGCATTTCCTGTGAGAACCCTTAACCTCTCTAGTGGTCGTATCAAAGATAAATTAACAAAGTACGTGACTTCTAAAGCTCTACATGTTTTAATTGTTGCATAAAATTCAATCGCTATGCAGTAATTAGTATTGTTGGTGGGCCTGCTATAGCGATATACGGAATGTTTCTTAATTGTTAAAATACAAATTATAACTGATGATAATGATTTATTAACTAAAGGATCTGCTGGACAGAATCAGTTAATCTAGCTAGAACTGCTGCATACTTTTATATCATATAGTGTTATAAATGGATTAATAGCAGGGTATATCGAGGACAATCAACCAGATTATTATCTATGACTAGATCATCTAAATGGCAATCTGTCTAGACCTAATCCTACCTGACCTCTTGGAAACCCTGAGGCTTTTAAGCTATTGTCTGCAGTTGCTGGACTTATTTTTTAAGTAATGCATGCATGATTTAAGGCCAAAATGAATGAAAAAGGGTCGCCAGAATAATCATAGCCGCTTATATATATTATATCCAACGCTACACAAATTAGAGTTGAAATTTATAGGAGCGCACAGCACAAAAGTTTCGCGTGATTGTACAGTGTACAAAAAATAGAACTAGAATCCCCTACGGCATACTCCTTCATAATGGGTAAAGCAAGGTATGTAATCTATTGTCGAACGTAATAAAAATACAAGGATTCTTTTGCTTTTCTGTACATATCTATCTCATGATTTATACGGATAAATTAGCGGCTATTTCTTACTTGAGATAATCAGAAAACGAATTTTATTGACCTAGACCACAGAAACATCAAACTGTAGTAAAATAGAGCAACTTATTTTTACTTTTTTGTAGATATCTGTCCCTTAAGTTATATATTTAATGTTATGTATATGCATAATATAGTGACCATTCTACTTAAAATCAATTAATAAGCATCTAAGTACTATTCAACTCCCAACGGCATATTGAAATTATAGCTTCTGCGTAAGTGCCTATTAATCTATGTAATGCCACATAACGCTACAGTACGGCATCTTAATATGGTAGTACCACTTGTTTTGATAATAAATAATATATATCCATAGATGAAGTAGTTGACTAAAGACAATTCTGATATATTATCATTTGTTATAAATTAATTATCGATCGTAATCTTAGTGATAAGAATGCTATCACATTCGTTAGTAGTTGTAATATGCCGTTAGTAAATCGGTCGCTTTGTTTAACGATAGAACGGTATAGTAAGAATAATAAAATTGTGCTTAAGATTTTCTTATTAAAGTTCTTTCGCAGTTTTAAAATTGATGAGAACCATCTACACTATATGCTGATTCCAGAGGTATGCATGTTTATCCCCTCCCACTCTCCCTTTGACCGTGATGGTATTACCAAAAAAAATCGCTTTTTACTTTATGGATATAGATTCTTATTATTACAAATTAAGGCTGAATCATTTCGCCATTTTTGGCTACATACGTTGATGGGAATGAATAAGGAATGAATCTAGCCAATCTGCTGGGAAGATTTCCAATTCTAAACATGGGGAATGGGCGTCGACCGCAATAAGCAGTGCAAACAAGCTGTACTGTTGCTATCAGGGTGTGCTAAGAATCTGAGTTCATTAGGAGGCTCCAAGTATGTATAAATGATACAGAGGATGATCATGTTTTACTGATTGCTTTGCTAATGGATGAGAAAATGTTTGGTGAGAATATTCCAAGATGGAGCAAAGACAGCTTCTAGTTCTATCATCCGATCACAACGAGTACGGAGTCATGAGTTAACATTGCATACTGTACGTTATCATTATTTCTTATGCCGTAATATCATATCAAATGTGTCGATTAGACTGTCTTGCGTACTACTCAGTAGACTCTCGCTTTCCATAGCTATTCACTGTTACTGGCTAGGTTGGCCATCAAGGCTTGCGTATCATAGCAGCAGGTGAGGAGTTCGGTGGATCTTCGAGGCCTGTTAGACTACTTGCAGTCGTCGATTAAAACTGCTTTCCTGTTATAGAGCAGCTTGGTAATTATCAAATTGTGTCGTGGATAGACTCTTGTACTAATTGATAGTGAGTAAGATCCAGATATCATGAGTGATAACTTAATTTGGGCAATTAAAAATGGCGATCTCGAAGCCGTAAAAATGACGATTAGCAGTCAAAATATTGATGTTAATGGACAATTACAAAGTGGGCGAATGCCTTTGCATTACGCAGCTGATTATGGACAGGCTAAAGTGATGGATTACCTTCTCGATCAAGGTGCTAATATCAATCAACTTGATAAGCATGGCATTTCTCCACTACTAGCTGCAATCTGGGAAGGCCATACAAACTGTGTCAAGTTATTGATCGATCGTGGAGCCGACAAAAATGCAAAGGCTCCAAGTGGCAATAGCTATATCCAAGAAGCGGAATCACAAGAAATTCGTCAACTATTAGCATAGCCGTATTCTATGAATGTTTTTATCGGTTGTTTCTCTTATGTAATAAGCAAAAGCATGAATACGGTAAGGTGGTCATGCGTTCTCCTGCGATATGGAACGACTGTAACCATCTACATATGATTTTCTGTCAATGATTCCACGTCTACTTGTACTCTAATGTTGATGACTTATGGTTGTCCTTTCCTCTCCCAAGAATATCGGAACTAAATTCTAGTGACGCATTTTTTACAGTGAAGACAATTATTGTAATCAATATGTCAATTTATGAACATTCAGTTCAATTTGCATCATCTATTGATCTAAAAATTGGAATGCCAGGTGGATCGCTTTACTTGGGAATAATCATATACATAATCTGCTTTATAATGATTTTCTCTATGCTGTTTATTTACCCTTATGCAATATCAAAATTTTGAAAGGAAATCAGCAAGAACTGACATATAAATAAGATTCCAATGACATACAGTAATGAAATAAATTAAAGTAAATTTGTCGATTTTTCTATTGCCAGTTTCTCGTAGTGTATCTTTGTGATGCTCTGAATTGAGCGTGATTGCAAGACTCCGTCCATTCAATGTTAAAAAACAGAATCGAATTTTGGTATTGAATTATAAATTTAAAGTAATAATTCAGAAATGAAAGCGATAAATTGAAATGATTTTCATATTTGCAATAATTTTACGCACATAAAAGCCTATATTTGTGAATGTGATATAGTTTATTACTCTTTAAGCAGAAACTTCCTGTACAAATCAATTGCAATGTTTGAAACATTTAAAAATGATACTCCTACTTTAAGTAGCACATGGTGAAGATACGCTACTTGCATATAGATTTTACCTGCATGCACTTTACCGCATCATGCAGTACAAGTAGCATGAAAATCAAGGATTAAAGGAAAACGTTATACGATCCAATTCAGCATAGTAAAAATAATGTAAAAGGATTTTTTTACCCTTATCATACACGTGTACACGTATATTTGTTCATTTTTATAGTTATTCAGTTTTGACTTAAACATTCTTGCTACAAAAAATAATAACTGCTGTTATTCCCATTGTCAAAATTACCAAGGCTACATTGTACCAGATGAGAACTTGCTTATGCAAAGTAACTGTCAAGAATCTATTAAAAAAAACAATTCATAAAATTATAATTATGTAAACCAACAGTGATATTACTTAACTCGATCTAGTATTTCTAGAAGCTAGCGATCGCATTAACCGATTTGCTATCAAGGGTCTCCTACAAAGCTACTACGTACACACAACTGCTCAGTGTCAATTTAATACTACGAAGGAAAATCGAGTTACCGATACGAACTTACTGCTTGCAATAGAATTAATGCTAGCTAGTAATTGCTATTTATTTATTAAAGAAATAAATTCTAATATGTACTTAGCCTTACCTTTCTCCACAGTTCACCATTATATCTATGCGACCATCCTTTGCATAAGAGCTAACAGTTGACAAGGACGATGGTAGGCAAGTTAAGGGAAAACTACTAATCTCCTTGCCAGAACGCAAATCAAGTAATATCAACTGCTTATTGCCGGTAGCAGCAGCAAGTTCCTGTTAATGAGGCCGAAATACAGAGATTATATTATTTACAGTACTAGGGATATAGACATGTTAGTATAATTTTTGTGTAATGTTATCTTACAGTACCGTGCTCTCATCATTATTTGTAGAGGATAATAATATCATCTTTGCTTTGTTGACTTTTTTACCGGCTGCATTCCATTTAATACTAGTTTTAGCCTACATAAATTGTATTGTATAATTAATGCACTAATTTTAAAGGTACAAAACATATTACAATGGTTTAGTAACATGCAAGTACTATACTCGCAATTATTACATGGTCAGTCATTAAACAAACTTAACACCTACCAGCCATAACAAGTAGCCTTGAGAATTAAAACAAGCTGCTTGACCATTAGCTAGCATAAATAAGGTGTTGAAACCTTGTTCAGAATCTAATAATCCATGCCAGTTGATCAATGGGGCATTTTGACTAGTACTAAAGGGACAGTTGTCATAAGTAGTAGGTTAAGATGGGCATTTATGCGTTTTGACAATTTTGTCTTAGAGATAATATATTCTTAGATGCGATAATTTAATTGAATCAAAATTATATCCTATCGTTATCGCAAGTACTTTACCTTTTAAATGTGATAGGTGGAAGCATATCATCATCACCAGAGGTGGCTACTCTATCTAAATCTTCTAATTCAGAAGTATCTACAGTATAGAGACAGAAATTGAAAATAGATAGTAACAAAGATATCACTTTTTATCAGTCGAATATGAACTTTATAGCACACGAAAATTCTACTAATTACTGCATTATTTAATCCTTTCTATACCTGTATTCTGAAAAATGGATGAAAAAATTCCTTTCTTGTGCGTAATTGGTTCTATAAATAACTTCTAAAAAAATTAATTTTAAAATCTTTGAATAAGTATATATATTTAATTTTATTGTTCCGGCATACGTTTGCAAAAAACACTATTTCAATTCTGTCACGATAGTAGCGAAATGTATTGATTATAAAATACGACCTTTTTCATCATCGGTGGAAATCCACTCTTTACTACTCCATAGCATTCCAGTTCCGTAGTAAAGTAGTTATCATGTCGAGAACAAATAACTAATGATGCCGAAGCGATTATAACATTACATAATGAAGCAATTATTTTGTCTGTAACCGTGCATATCATAAGTAGACGTAATGATTTAAGTGCTACATACCACTTAAGCTATCTATTAGTCCATCATTATTAATGTCCTCGAGAGTGCTACTTTGCTGATTTTCAAGTGGTAACCAACATACTAGCTTTCCACTGGATAGATGGTATATTTCTATACTCTGTAGTCATAAATCCAGAAAAATATTATATTTATTTGTAGACAACTGAATTGGGAATAATAGTGAAGTTTCAAACAATCAAAATTGACGTATAATCATTATCCAATAATTGTAATCATAGCTACTTACTTGATGCGTATGAATGATGAGTATATTAGCCGCTTTAGCGATTCTGACAATCCGCAGCCACTCGGCAAGATCATCATTTGTACGAGTGGATGATACGTCTACAATAAATTTATAATAAGCCTTGAGTCTATAAACCACATAGATAGTATCATTGTTGTTGATGATAACACATCTAAAATAGCAAGCTTACCAAAGCCAGCAATGAAGATTGGATGTTTATTTCCCTTTTTCTTCTTTGAGTGCAGATCAACAATTAACTTTGCATCACGACGTGAAGACCATCGATGAGGCTTAAAAAATAAAGTCAAAATGCAGTTCGTTCAATAAAATAGGTGCTATCACATAGCCTAGGTATAATAATGGAATTTATAATACTATATCAGTTCAATTCAATCGTATCCTATGAAGTGAAGGTATTACTAGGTTTCTGATGATATCCATTTTATAGGTGCCACAAATGCTCCTCCTATGGCACAAGATGTCTTTTCTCAATCCCAACTTATAATGGTGCCCATAAAATAAACTCTAGATAAGAGAGATTTAATATAAAATATGACATATTTATTATAAATAATTAGCAAGGTAAAATGTAATCTTACTAAATCGTCCATTTCCAAGCCAACATTATCCCCTGGTTGATGTTTCCATCTTAATTCTCCAGTTGTCAAGTCTAAGGCGTAGATTGTACAATGGACGCTTTTACCATGAGTATCCTAGAAAGTTATCAAGATTACATATGTATACTGGTATGAATAAATGAGCATAGAATAGCTTACATGGGCAAACTAAAGGCTTAAATGATTGGCGTAGAAACTTACTTTTCGATGAGTAGAGCCGACGTCTACTCCAGCTCTATATGACGATACGTTTTCAGCTATAACGTCCTCTATAGTCCATCCATGATCATGTCTTGAGTTAATATTAATGAGATCAAAGGGTTACTACAACTGTGCCAAATATGTATTTCGATTTCATTATTATTATTTTACGCATAAATAACGTAAATATTGTAGTATCTAAGTGGTATCTGGACGATATACGTAGTTGGTAAACATTTATGAAAGTGTGGTTGAAAAATTTTAGATTTTCTGGAAAAGTATTATTGTGATTAGGTTGACAATTCACATGATGATCATTTTCATTCTTGACTAATAAGAATTTTGTAATGTATAGCGAGTAATACGTATAAAAGATCTTTCTCGAGAAATATCCGTTTTAATGATGTTATCGTTGATAAGAAACGCACTAATTATTTTAAATCTTTAGTACAGTACATTAAAGTTCTGCCATGCCTTAGCGAGCAATATAGCTTACCTAACCGATAGTTCTTGGTTAGTGAACTGGTTCGTTAATGGAAATCGAGCGATAATGACTACACCATGATCTTGATTTTTTATGGGATGGGGTGAAATCATCGCTGTTGCAATGATTGAATCGTTTGCTGCTTCTAATTTTTCGTCAATTGATGATTTCCATAGAAGATTAAGTTGATGATCTAGTAAATACACATTCCAATCGTTGGTAACCACAGCTATAACCTATTCAATTTAAGGGTATTGTTAGGATCACTTGAAAATAATTTCTAGCTGAGATCTTGAGTATACGCGTATAATGCAAAGATCTGATTATGTCCTATTTTTAAATAGTCCATTTTTACTCAAGTTATTGATAAACTCTATCTAGGTATAGCAAGACCTTTTTCATTGCATGGACCATATTATTGGTATATCCCACAGAGAGTGCAATAGGATGACAAGTAACATCATCCGATAGTGCCATTTCATTCTAAGTCCAAATCAAATATGTAGATTAAGGCATTGCCCATTAATTATTAATTGGACTGGTATACGATATACTATCGATTGCAACATCAAGTTGAAGTCACGACAGGATTCCATTCCATTACCTCGAACTGAATTTCAGGAATAGGTAACTGCTCTAAATCTGTAGCATGCAACAATTTGTTGCTGTTACTGTTGCTACGACGCACTTTGCAATCACTGGTGGCGATGATGATATCTGTCAGAGAATGGTTGAAAATTATTTGGGTAATCTGCATCGATGTGAGCGAATCTTGGTCCGTGCATTTAGTCATTTTAATAATCGACCTGTTATTTTTGCGTACAAAATACCACATGTAGTGTATATTACCTCGATTTCCATCACCATCCAAATCTGTAATTATTGGATCAAGCCTATCATCATGATATTCAATCAACATTAGTCCCTTCAAAATGTCAAGTTGTGGTGTTGATGTTTACAAACACCACCTCCCCTACATGCAGCCATCCACTCTTATTCTCACTCTACTTACAGTTGGTGATGATGGAGTCCTTCTTTCACATTGAATTGATCTTTTTCAATCCTCCAAATAGGCGTATATTCATAAGTAATCCAATCAGTTACTAAGAGTAAAATCAATGAGCAACCTATGAAAACACCGATATCACTTTTGTGGAGAATGATATTAGCCATGATAGTGATGGTTATTGCAGTATACACTTGTACAGTCGATTACTGCAGTTTAATGGCAACAGTATGATACCATCAATGATAAATCTCATCATTCATGACTATCAATCTCTATAATGAGCTATTAAGACGTGCTATACTACTCTAATTTGAAGCAATCATTGGAAAATCATGGACAGAATTAGCGATTCGTCTTTATAACCATCCAATCTTGATAGCATTTGCTAGCTCGTATCCAGCCGAGTCTAATGGGGCTTTCAAGCCCACCACGAGCAAAAATAATGTCCTTATTATCCATAAGAAAGGATAGGTTAGAGGTGACATCATATTGAGTAGCGGAATTTGGATAGTAAAGTAGCTCTGTCAAAAGTAGCCCATCTCCATGTAGTCTACTCTACCATGCTGTAGCCATGGGCTATAGTAATCCATTGCGTAATTTAGCCTAGCGGTGCACCGACTCGAGCTGGAATGCAATCGGTGATACTGAAACCACACCATCATCGTTCCTCTTATACACTTCCTTACTAATTTAACGAGTACCATAGCTGGTACCCTAGCATAGAGGATAGAGCACAGGGGGTGCGAGAAACAATGTCACCCATAGCCATAGTTTTTTATTACTTCATCTACTACCATACGGTGACATCCTTTTTGCTAACGACCCGCACTGGCCCCAAGTACTATGTTTGTACAGTAGTTCTATACAGTACACTGTACACCAGTGTCGTTCAAGTCAACGCAAAACCCTCCTCGAAGCCGACTTGAGGGGGGAATTCGGGTTAAGAATGAATTTCTATGGTAATACAGTGTTTATATAGCAATGGTACTCATTTCGGCTTCGAAAATCACCAGTTTGATCGGGTTGATCGGGTTGGGGTTGTGTTTTTACTCCATTTAAGGACTCTACTGTCCACTTGTTAAGGCTCTCTGCAGCTCATTTGCTGGTTGATCGCGGACAGTATAGTGTACCGTTGTAGATGTGCAATATAGTTGAAATGACTAGTAAAATAATTAGACTGTCGATTTTTGGCAGAGCCTCTGCTAAAAAGTTGAGAAGCAGAATATGTCCCACAATGCAATGCTGTCTAGAGTATCATGACAGTACTGTAGAGTGTACAGTAGCAGGTACTGTACTGCCATAGGGCACTGTAGTCAGGAATGACGGTTAGCTCGTCTTCAATCTATTGGTCTATCGACGTCATGTGACCGTAGATTTAAAATTTAAACTAAAGGAGAGGAGCTCCATCCGATCACTCCATTCCTAGTCATTCTTGTACTGGCTTACTTATACAAGACTGCATGCGATAGCGTTTACTATACGATCAGTCCCCTTAGTTGGAACACCCATTTGCACAGTGTTTACAAAACCGATTAAGATTTACCTCAGGTGGATATATTTCAAAATCGATTCCAATCTCTGCAATCTAAAGCAGACTAGAGCAAATTAAAACGGCATAACTTGCCGACTAACTAGACATCGTTAACATTCTTCTTTTCTTGGTTTTATTTTTGAATTTCTGCGTCGTATTCTTGTCTTGAAGTAATCTGATCTTGCAACATAGCGAGAGTTAGAAGCAAAATGGAAAGAATGGCCGATTGCGATATCGATCCAAGCTATGAGTATAATGCTCCTAAATTTATTGATTTTACTCAACCTTCACATGACGAAGAAAGCGCCGATCTTTGGTTTGGTAAGTTGTACTATAAATGGATATTGATTCATATCGCTGGCGTGGATAAATTCCATGCCATCATCGACTGTAGTATGCTGTAGTCCGCTAGTGATACTTGCGATTAAAAGTAGTGGCAAATAACAGTGACTAAGAGAGTCGAGAAGTAAAGTAGATTTGTCTATAGTGCAAAGTAACGCTCCATCACATCAAACTAATTAAGTATCAGTTCTTACTATTAAATCACGAATTAATTACAAATCCAATCAGGATGAACAAATCATCGCATGAGATGTGTCCAACCTCGACACATTGGAGCTATATATGCTATCGAGATCAGTTCATTGCTTTAAACTATACCTGTTGATATTATTTTTAGACAATCATATTGAAGACGATGATCACAAACCATTCAATAGCGGATTCTTAGAGGATGAAGATAGTAGCAATAAAGAAAATGTCTCCAATGTAGCCGAGATAGCGAATGATAATGCAGAACAACCACTCACACAAGCGCAAGAACAAGACAAGAAAGAATCTACCGCCCAGTTTATACAAGAAAAAGAAGAAGCCGTTGAAGCTACCCCCGCCGAGGAGGATCATGCTAAAACAACTCAAAACCAGGAATCGACTAATTTTAAAAGTTTATGGGGTTGTGTTGTCAACGACCAACAAGAAGTGCCAAGTAATCTACGTACATCATGGAATATAGGCAGTCAACAAACTGATCAATCTGACAAGAAACCTTCACCTGCTGTTAAGAAAGACCTGAAGAGGTTATCATGTTGTTTCAACATTGGTCTAGATATTATTTTCTATTTCTACATTTCAAGAAAGGCATGATAGCATTTCTCTCAGTACAGGATGGTATAACAATTAAACATGCTTTCCTATTTTGACTGTGCAGGAAAATAGTCAAGCCGGTTAGACGAAGCGTTCCTAATCGGATTGGTACTGGTGCTTCACGCAATGTAACGCCTAAAGCTAATTCAAGAAGATCGGATGGTCCTTCGAGAAAACCTACTTCGGCTAAGAAGAAATCAACGCAGTTAACTGTACCCAATACTCCTTCCTTTGTTAGGTAAGTTTATCCTTGAAAAAATTGTAACTTTGAACGCAAGTTTCAGCCTATAGCAAATCTAATTTATAGAAAATTCAGTCAGTGTAAATGGAGACAAATAAAATTAACTCTTATCATGATCAATCAAACTACTTGTACAGGAGACATTTGCATGGTTCATTTGTTCTAATTTTTAAACTTTGTAGATCGATTACTGTTAGTAAACGACGACACTATATCATCCCAACACTATTACTATCTAATATCGTATCAAAATGCAGTGAATTATCTTAGCTTAGTAGTGTAAGCGCTGTAGGATGAATAAACTTGGGTATCGAATTTCTAAATTGTAAAATATTAGGGAATAAATAGCAATCCTACTTGATCTCGGTATTGCGGTTGATTCACCACTAGATACAAATTAGATTACCTTAGTTATTAGTAGGCACTATGCTATTCGATTTTAAGTTAAGTCATATTAGATTTTGCGTATGGTGAAGAAGTTTATGTTGAATTATGACACGTAGATGGTATAATTTCCGTCCTGTATGTGACAGTGATTGCACACATTAAATTAGTTTAATGCTATTGCATAGTATAGCATCTATGACGTTATCGAATAAAAACAATGGCGGCATAAATGAAATACATATCAAGGTGTAATATTACTGCTATAGCCATTTAGACATTCAATTAAAAAGTATCTTCGTGGTTACAGCCGATCTTAGTGCACTGTTGCATTAGATACAAACATTCCAGTAGTGCACTGAATAAATTTAATAACAGATTTAAATTCATACAGTCATTTTATAAAGTCAATACATGCCGATATACACGCACGGATTTACAATTTATAAACATACTGCAAAATAGACCAATAGGAAAGAATTCAATTTAACTAATAGCAAAATTGATTGGTATCGCTAATTATCTAAATTATTCATCAATATTGTAACTAGACGTTCCCAAGTTAAGCGTCCCTTAAGTGAATCTAAAAAATCAACTGAAGAAATGCAACTGGAAAGGATTGCAAATGAACGCAAGCGAATTCATGAATTAAGCAAAAAAAATGAAACATTCAAAACGAAAGCATTGCAAGCCTCACCATATATGCCGCTGAGATCCAGTAAGGAATTAACACAACCTGTACAATTGCGATTTCATACGGATCAAGTTTTATCCAAGCGCAAGAAAGAACATTCAATGACTTTGCGTAGCGATGGCAATGATGTTGGTGAACTTGCTGCCTTCGATTTTGCGCGGCAATTGCGGAAAAATACTGTTGCAAGTGTAAGCATCTGAGCATGGTTATTATTATGATAATGCTTTGTTAGCAAAAGATGGACGTTTATTAATGGTAGTTGTATTGTATATTTTTTATTTCTTCGATGTTCTATCATCACCTACTGTTAAAATTTTTATATACAACAGAAAAATGCTCCATCAGTTACTGGACCTAAAGGTGTACAACCGTTCACTTTTGCAACTGCATCGAGGAAAAGAAAAGCTGAAGAAGATGCTGACAACCAAGTTCAAGCGCCCTACATCCCAATGGCCGAATTAGTCAACCATTATCAAAATGGTACACCAAAACGTTTCCGTGGTCAATCCACTCCTAAGCAAAATTCTGGACAATCAGAACATCATGAAAATCAACGTGCTCGAGCGACCTGTCCAAAGTCACCAATGCTAAAGACCAGTCAACGCTCGCGTAGCAGTCGGGAAAAAGTTTTAAGCTATAAAGAAATGGAAGAGAAAGAAGCTGAGGAAATAAAGAAGTATGTTATTAATTCAAAGCCTAATTTTAGACCGTAAATTGCTAGTTGATTTATTCTTTTGAGATAAGTAGACGTGCATTGTTTATCAAATATCTACTTCAAGATGAGGCTATTATGCGCACAATTAAACATCGAATATGAGCAAATTTAGTAATTAAACTTTACTACGCTGCGATTTATTGGAAAATTTACGTTATATAACTATCAGTGGTACGCTTATGTGATTAGTTATTATGCTTTATTTTTATAGACACAAATTTAAAGCAAGACCATTCGATCCAAAAATGTTTGAAAACAGTAGTACTAGTGGGATTAAAAATAAAGCTACTGCCTGCACTACTAAACCGATTGGATTTAAATTTCACTCCGATAAAAGACGATCATCCAATAGTGAAAAGTCTAAAGAAAACGATGAAAAAGAAGCTGAATGTAAACGCTTTAAAGCTCAGCCCATACCTGCTAAAATTTTAGATGGAGTAACGGTGAGAATGATAGCAGTTTTCGTTCATATTTATTAATGGAAAGTAATGGCATTGCTAAGTAATCTATTCCACAAACTACACTTTAATTAATGATTATGTTATAATTTCCTAGGGAGTGAAGAGAATAGAACAAGTGCCTTTGACCATTCCACAGTCACCAGCATTAATGGGTAAACAGCGCCATGCAATTTATCAACAAAAGTTGCTTGAAATGCCATCCGAAGAGGTACAATTTTATCAGCCTAATATGTTGCTTAGTAGAATTAGTTGATGATTATATGCACTGCTAAACTGTTTATAACGTATCTGACAGCAACCACGGATGAGTATTGCGGTGGTATTAACTTGTCATTTTGTAAATTCTTTGCAGCCATATATCTTTAAAGCTCGACCAATTCCGGCGGATAACATTGAATTACCAGAAAAGAAGCCCATCTCACCAACAAAACCGGAACCATTTGCTATGCCTGGTCTCAAAGTTCGAGAAGAAAAACTTCAAAAGCAACAAGAGAAGGTATAATAGCAACCGATAGTTCTAAGTGGTATTATAAAAATATCATTTTGAATGATTCTAGATATTTTTTTTATCACCTATGTAAATGAATGAAATATAGTCAAATAGGTATAGATAAACTTTAAGAAACACAATACGGAAATATTGCGCTATTACGTTCATAAATTTGAAGTCTGTAGTAAATTTTCTTCACTCGAGAAGAGATCAGCGCTGAAAAGTAAACTTTCAAAGTTTGACTGATAGCAATTTTACGATATTATTTAGTTAAAAGTATAACATAAATGAATTCAGTTTTCAAGCATGTATTGTTATAGGATTGATATATGTTTATTGAGATAAAAGCCAAAACATTAAGATAGCTACCGATTCTACAGTAAAACTCTTCCCTTAGACGTGTATTCTTTAATAGAACGATTACATCGGTTACTTTAAACTGTCTTGCAATCATCGACTACTATTTTTCTTAAGTATAATTATTGTCTCACTTGAAATAGCTTGAGGAAGAACAAAAAATTGAAAAGGAATCTCAAAATTTTAAAGCTCGTCCGAATGTAGTAACCTTTAATAAACCATTTGAACCTAGAAGATCATCCAAACCGCTAACAGATGTAACTGGATTCAAATTGAATACTGAAGAGAGAGTAGAAGAGCGACAAAAGTTTAAAGAAGAATTAAAATCAAAGGAAGAATTTAAGCAAATGATTGAAGAACAGAAAAAGATAGAATTGGAAGAGCGTGAAAGGAAAGAAGTAATGGCATTAAGAAAGCAAATGACGCATAAAGCTAATCCTGTTCATCATTATAAAAGCGTTCACCTCCAAGGAAGTGATAAGCCTTTGACAGTACCGTATTCACCTAATTTCGCTAAAAGACGCTCGCTGCGTACATGAATAGCGTTGTAACGATTCTAATTATTATCGCCATAAAGTAAATTGTACTGATAATTGTAGCTCAATGATTTTCGTGCTTGCTTTATTATTTCTTACAATTACATTAACAATAATTAACGTGTCATTAAAATATAATTAGTTGCTTCTTCACTGTACAGGCTTTAAAGATGTTGTTGCATATACCGAAGAAATACTGTATAATTATAATAAATATTTGCCTATTCGGCTTCCTTAAATTTCTGCTTACATAACTTTTTTATGTCCATATAGCTGTTTCATTATATTCATGCATAATTGTGTATGATATGATGGCTAGACGGCGCCCACCATATCATCACTGATCATGAAAGCTCAATTTATAGAAACTTGTGGTATAACTTATTTTACTCACGTAATAAATATATATATATTACACGGTCTTTGGTCAATTATTCGCGTAGAAATGGTATGTTAAAATGATAGCCACTGGTTGTGATCGAGCTATGCATCTAATGTGCAAGCATGAATTGTTGCATCGCTGGTGTTCAAAATATTCAAGAATATTTTCAAATTTACAAATATTTAGCACTTCTTGCTCCTAGTCTTGTTATGGTAGGCATTTCTTGAATTACTTGTATGATAAATAACATATAATTATAAATATGCATCGTCATAATCAATTTGCACATATTTAAGCCATGCAATATTATCACTTCATATTCTATCCTAGTAAGCATGATACATTGACAGGTACATTTATGCGAGCAAAATTTTATTTGAATTGATTGTTACAAATTAATATAATATAAAATTCTGAGAACAGACAAAATATGCAGCTAAAAGGTTATCTGTAGCGTTACTTTTAAATTTTCATTGATGACATGTAAATCATGAGTATAGTAAATACTATACCAACACAAAATAAATGCACTGCGACACAGACATAAATTGATACTAAAACGATACCATATAGCATATTACTTTATCTCAAAAACAATAGAATAAAATAAATTGTAATGGATAGAAAATTTAACAACACGAATTATATTAGATTACTCAATTAATAGTTGAAAGATCAATTTCAAAAAATGTATATATCAGTATTGAATACATATAAATATATATATATATATATGTATGTATATTGTCATATATATATATTTATAATTAATTAACATGATCATTAAGGTGCAGTATAACCGCATATTTTGAACGCCAAAGCAGACGATAGACAATATTCGAAGATATAATTTTATAGGTTTAAGTTAAAGTTGCAAATTTGGATTGATCTTTCTATCAAATACGTCTCTTTCTTTACAAACCATTTACATTAACTATTTCTTTCATTAAATTACTAACAATTGATAAGTAATGCATAACTATGAAAGTTCAGCGTCAGCTGTAGTAGACGCGATTGAAGCAACAACATGTTCCATAGCTTGTCGGCCCTAAACCAGGATAAAGAACAATCCATATTATTACTAAATGAAGGAGTACGCGTATCGGTTACAGGTGCATAATTTAATAATGTATACTTGCATATGTACTGTCAATGTAGAAATTCTTAATGTTAATATGAGTTAATTTACCTTTGCTACATTATCCGGAAATGTTCCCGCGACTAAATTTTCAAATAAACCAGAAATACCATACACTACAATTCTTGCTTCCTGGGTAACTAACGTTCTATAAATTTAGAATAATAGCGAGTCAACATTTTCGATATCAACGATTAAGTATGTGTAATCAGAAAGAGTTCAAGATAACGACAAACATTTTAACAGGCTCGAATGGCCTAGAGATTAGTTATAGTCTATAAAATCTCAACAGTATCTAAACTAAATAGTTGTCGTTCATTTAGTGAGATAATTTTCGTAGCATTCAGCTTAGTCAGAATGGCTACATATCTTATATTGGAATGTACTCTTTATGCCCTTATTTCAAGTTATGTTTGTTACTATCTTTCAATTTCAATCTGTTTTATACCGAATATTGCATGATGCAAAGCAAGAGGACTCAAAAAGTCAACAAAATGTTTAAGATATTACTATTATACCGAATCAATCTGCTATATTGGTAAGATTATTGACTTGCTAAACAGTAAGATACCGTCATGTTATGATAAACCACGTTTGTGTATTCGATAAATTGAATGAATCATGATTTAATAAGATATTATGAAAATTTTATAGAAATAGGATTACACTTTTCGAAAAGCTACTACATATATTATTACGGCTACATCGTTGAATTTCACGTAAAGCTTGTCCACTCGTCAAACTTTTAACATTATCCAAGATGCTAACAAGCGAGTAAATTTAGTGCACTTACAAATTTTCATCTTTCGGATGTTGTTGATAAGTTGCAATTTCTTCTACTTGACATAGCGAATTATAAGTTACCTATACCAAGCAAATTTGAGTAAAGTCGTTCATTTAAGGCAGAGTGTGATGATGAATGATGTAATACATCGTTAATATTGACATAACAGATCACTGCGGAAGTCCAGTAGTGGCGTTTTTAGTAATGATCATATTGTTCAATAAAACTATTGCTGGTATAGTAAGTAACCGCCGCAAGCTAAAATTGTTGGAGATTGTTACTGCTTCATGATTACACTAACGTCGAGCGATTTATAATACTGGTTACATGTGCGTTATCATACGGGTATATCTAAGAAATTAAAAAAACTATGTAAGGTCAAGCGATAATAATTGGATTACATTATGATATCGGTAATTATCGCAAAGCCTCAAACCGATAGCCGAATCTTTATCAGCTCTAATCATCATTACAGTGTAAAAATTAAAACCACATTATGTTTTGTTAGCAATTCATTAACTTGGCAGTAAGCCCAATAAATACTTGTTGATCAATTTCTTAATTACTAGTATTGTTAAGATGGATGAGGTCAACTTTGCCGTTCATTGGCAATAAACGAGGTACTGTACTACCAGTTAGCTGATGATCAATGAATTTGGGCGATATCAATTAGTCTTGATAGTATTTGCGTTTACTTTCACAATGACATCAAATACCTCAACAAAATATTTATCTCACACAATAACGTATAGCTTAGCTAAGCATAAAAAAAAAAAAATTGCATGGCCAATGATTCGTTACGACTACCCTTCAAAGTTTGACGGACTATTTTACGATATTACGCTCTCAGAGGCAAATTGATGTTTATCTACATTTTTATGATGCATCATGGCTACACTTACATTTCTTGATAATACTTTCATCACTTTCTTTCGTGGATCAATTTCTGTATGCTCGGTGACATAACATCGATTGGTCAAGCCAAATAACTGTAAAGAAAGAGCAAAGGAATAGAATGATGAGTAAAATCAATCGACCAGGAATAAATTCCATGCTAGTGCATTGCAAGAGTATAAGAAAGAAAGAAATATTCAATACTATTTATCTGGTCAGTAATTTATAGGGTTGTTTCATTAACGATTACTGCGATACCTTCATTATCCATTGCGACGCCAACCATTCGGTACTTAATACTCGATGACTGATTAGCTTGCCATCATTCGTCACTTGTCTTTTCAAGACATCAGCGGCTAAAACATTGGGCAAGATAGGATTAGGGTATTTTAGCCACATGGCTTGGGTAATTTTTTCCCATGGATGTCTAGAAAGGCAAGAATGATACCATCAATTGGTTATTACAGTTTCATCATCCTTGTTTACTGACGTTACTATTGCAATAAGTTGATGGATAACATGATATGGATAAGGAAGTGAAGAGATCCTTTCTCGATGCAAAACTGTTGATGGTTGTCCACCGCCCGTACGGACTACAGTATACGGATTGCTAATATTGCATCATCATATCCCAACCGATTGACTACTCTCCACTACTGTACTGTTTCTTTTTTGAACCATCCATGTTATTATCCAATCTCGATCGACTAGCTCAATCAAAGGTAAACTGGCTATCATATCGAGGAAAATCAAGATTGGAACAGTCATGATGGTGACGATGGCGATGAATCAGTAGAGGGAAAAAAAAAAATTTCTTTTCCTTCCACCTTGTTACTGAATGCTACCGGTGTTGTTGTGAATCACCTCTTCCCCTCAATCATGCTTGGAGTTGAGTGGCATTACTATAGGATGTCGTGCAGTGTTGAGATGACATGACTACAAGTCAGCGCAACAACGCATCTGTTCTACTAGTACGCACTGATTGACTCCATATGGACTACCCTTCCACCCAGACCGTGTGGTATTGTGTGTGGTCTTGTACAGTAGTACAATAGAGTAGGAGTAGACTCGTCGTAGTATCAGCATCCGTCGTGGACCAACACGTGTGACCGCCGTTCAATGAAGAGGCGGGCAGCAACCACAGTCGTAGTAAAATGAGAATCAAAGCCAAAGAAATTCTTTCTTTTAAGATTTTACTCCATTTCCAAGCTCATTTACCCAATAAGAAATCAATGACATTAAGAATGGCTGTATAAAATCAGGGCATTTTCAACCATAGTTGATTGAGTTGGACTACTACAAACGACACTACTCTATCTATTTCTTCCTCATTGAACTCGTAAGCATTGATCGAGTTTTACTAGACCAAAAATGGAAAGAATTGACATGGGATAATCGAACGACATGAATGTAGCAACAAACTCACTTGTAAGTATGTTCTGAAGTAAATAATTTCATCTTGAGTCTCCGTTGCTTGGCACAACCAGGTTGATTTGGATATAACTGCAGCCAGTAGGTAACAACTTGATCTCTGGACGAATCTCTTTGGATAAATTCTTAGACCGGCTCACATTCCTTTCGCGAGCGCTCCACTAGTCTGTCGCATGCCTGTGGTCGACACCTCTTTAACTACCGCCGCTCAGTACGGAACTTTGTACTTTTGAGCAAGGACCGGATTGGGAACGGAATCCTTTTTGTATCACGGTAGAGCACAGTGTACAGTGATAAGTACTGTACACGACTATGGTCAAGGAGTAGAGTTATCAAGACAATGTCACCCATTGCGATTGGCTTGTTCATGGTCCTGTTACTGATTAAATGGGCATTGAGACACGCCCTTACTACGTCATAGTGACATTGCTTCTGCTCGTGATTAGTGCGACTGGTTGCAGGAAGTACCGTACACTGTAGAGTAGGCGGCACGGTACGGTCCAGTGCGGTACGGTCCAGTGCGGTACGGTACGGTACCTGTGAGTGGCAACGCTTTGCACAGTGTACAGTACTGTCGTGTACAGTACAATGTACTGTAAAGGCCATCCCATACGTACCGTACCGGATGGGATACGGTCTACTGCAACGAGCGTATGGTATCATACCGTCGTGGGCAATTTATGGTACTGCACCAAAGTGGAGCAGACTGCAGTGAGTACAGTACGGGACTGTAAACAAAGATGAAAACTAGACTAGAATGAGGCAAGGGGTCATCATGCAAGAGGGTTGACCTTTCCCTCGTCGTATACTGGAGCTGCTTCAATATCACTACCATGATGGCCGAGGAATAGACTACAGTATAGGCTAGTCGGACATGTCTGCTACACTAGGGCAAATGATGAATCCTTCCAGCCTAGATGGGTGACACGGTAACCTAGACACAAGCTGCTGTGGCTGGCCACAAGTTGCTCAAGCATCGATTCTAGTCTAGATTCCATCGTCCAAATCTTCTTCAACTACTCATTCGGCCACAGGGATCGACAATCGGCAGTAAGTTGAGGCTTATTGGCTGCAAATGGCCAAGTTATCGTATTATACTCCATGCTAGACCAGCATGGAGGATTGCATAGGGCATGATAACGGTGTAGAGATACTCGTAGAGATCAACATGATATGCAAAAGTGGACGTATGTTTACATTGGATACTCTCATCAACAGGGTTGAGAAATGCATAATATCAGTCATACTGTCGCTATTCTTGTTTAGAATAGCGTTGAATTGATTTAACTTGATACGATAGCTAATTGAGATATCATTTCTTTTTGCAACTGTATGGATCAGCTATGAAAATTGAAGGAAAGGTCGCTATTGTGACAGGTGGAGGTCAAGGCATCGGAGAGAGATTTTGTATCGCACTACTAGAGAAAGGAGCAAATGTAAGTAAATCTGTAGGCGAAAACTTGCTGGAAATAGATTATAGATCTGTAGACGATGATCGAATCTTGCCACTCTGAGTGAATGGATCAAACATATCTCTTATCTTCAGCTATAAACCCCCTATAAACAATAACTCATTCTTAGACCATGTTTAAAATTCAATTGGACTAATGGAAGCCTATTAAAATAGTGATAACACTGTTTTCAGCCCACTAACTCATACTCATCCCGTTCATAGTAGACTGTATATCGAACAAATTGTAGGCTAATGGCAGAGGTAAATTAAAGCCATAGGGTAGAAGCAGTGGTATACGTATGATTTGCTTAAAGCTATTAATTAAAAAATTTCAACCTCCATCAATTGGGTAGCGAGAACAAATTGAACTCATCAATTATTCATGGGAGCGAGCTTACGTAAAATGGCATCGATGAGGGATCGAACTTCTCGCAATATCACCCTAACAATCTTCTTGTTAATATATACACACGTATAATCCATTTTCCATCGAAAAATTGACCTCCATTCATTGTGTAGTGATAGCATATTAAATCCAAAATTGTTTATGGAAGATTTCGCCAAATGCCATCCATCTAATAGTATAGTCGATATAGAAAAGTAAACTTTCACAAAGTGATTCAGCTCTCACGGTATCACTCTAAGCGTATTGTTGATAATTGATTTTCGATTACAGGTTGTTATTGCGGACATTAAAACACGTCAGGGCGAAAGTCTTAGCAAACAATTTAATCAAAAATATGGATTAAATCGT